TTCGATAATGCTGTACTCTGTGCGGGAGTACTCTCCGGAGGCAAGGACACGTGCTATGGTGACTCGGGTGGTCCTCTCATGATATCCGAAATGGTCAGCAATCAAATACGCTACTTTCTGATTGGTGTGGTTTCCTACAGTGTGGGTTGTGCCAGGCCTGAGATACCCGGTGTCTATTCGAGCACCCAATACTTTATGGACTGGGTTCTTGAAATGCTACTGGATACTCCTTGACTTGGTTTTAGTTTGAGGAACATCAAGTTCCCATTCTGAAGTCTTTATTTTGCTATATCATAATTACACTCACAAGCACAACCTTAAATATATTTAAATATTAACGCATTGAGTGTGTGATCCTTTTGTTCTCATGACCTCAGGGTTTGTCTAATCCTTGTGTTGCATGCCTCTACATACTTATGCAAATAGCCAACAGACAGAGAGTGAGTACATCAATCGTGCTTCTAATGATCGCAGCAACCCTAAGCATTGATCTAAACTAGAAGTAGGGCTTAGGTTACATTTTTAAAGAGTTTTTTTTGGTCAGGAACTGCATAAACTGAGGCAATGGTCACAATGGACTTGGAAGCCAGACAGCCAGCTTCAACTACCACATTTTGTATCATTTTGGCTCCATCTCAAAGGATCAGGGAACCCGTTTATCTCATTTGGCACGCTTCGGCCCCCTTCTGCCAGATGAATCTTTTTATGTAAGGTCAACAGACTCTTTTTGTTATGTTCGTCTGTGCATTGGTGGCCACAAAAGAAGTTGTCAGTTTCCATGCACTCTTTGTGATTCAAATCGTAGGAGCTGTGGCATCAAGCAGCTGTCAGGGCTCTAAGGCTTGTTTACTCCTCCGCTGCCACTCTGAATTTTACAATCAAGTCAGTATCACAACATTGTGCGCGATTCAATCAATATCTGTTGTACAGATCTATTATCAACAATGCCCTGATAAAATTTGCATACGAAATTCGCCGTTCAAAATTTACATGCGAAAGCTGATTTGCGAAAACCCTGAGACAGACACAAGGGTGTTAATTTCATCATTAGCTGTGATATTTTTATTGACAGCTCTTTGCAAGAAAGGGGTTGCAAAAAAAGACATCAACAGTCAAGACGTATACAAAGGAAAACCCATAATCGCAAATATAAACACAATTGGCAAGAACAGAAAAAGGGAGATCATTGTAAGCTGAGAATTTTCGATAGGTTTTCTGAGGCTAATTTAAGGTCAACTATTTGATCAGAAGTAAGTATTTTAGTGTGCAGTGTGGGTGCATAAAATATAAATAAAATGTAGTAACTACTGATTCAGTTTGTCTCTTAAAATTAACCAAATTTATAAACTAAAGTGCACTGATATTTTTAGGTACTGAAGTCTGGCACCTCATTCTGCTGAGTGGCATTGATACTATCAAGAGCTGCAGATATAATTTGAACATCGGCTGCTGGCAGATCCACAGTTCCGACCAGGTTCAAATCACTCGCCGAATGCGGCTCACAGTGGTTAGGCTTGTCCTATGAGGATAACGGGGGCGTTCACTTTCCGTACCAAGAGGTTGCTTGGGACATTCTCGCTCTCTCTAGAAATTGTTGAACACTTACAACATAATGCTAGCTAATAATAAAATGTTCATTTTAATCCACCTTCAAAGTTTGGTAATTGTAGCCCAAAAAATACCCGATAAATATACCTTTCTAGCTGTCATACTGTGTGGGATATTTGGTATTTCCGGTTTATATCATCTGGAGTATTGGTTTTAGACGCGTGGGCAAAGAAACTGTATCGAGCTTTATCAGTTGCCGGTAAATTAGCTTGATTTGATGTTGTTGATTGAATTTGGGGGTTTTAATTTTTAGATTCAATTGCTATACACAGTTTATGAGTCACTATGCGACTGAAGTGTTTAATCGGAATAGCTTGTCATCCAAGTTCTCGGCGTTGTTGCATATATATAAAGGCTAACCGCCTGAGTCGACCTCAGTCTGATAATGTGCGTCGCACTGTGAATATTGTGTGTGCTCATTAAAATATTCTTGAGCAGTGAGTTGAGCTAGTGTGCTAATTATAATCACTGGGCATTAATTGTTTGTTAAAAATGAAGCTGGAGCTTAGTGTTTTTTTAATGATCGCCTATTTGGCCACGCCCATGCTCGGTCAGCTTAACGACGGAAGAGGTACGTACATATATTAAAAGAAAGAAAGGAATGACGAACGATGTACACATACAATTAATTACAGTATAAATTTCATCAAGTTCCTTGTCTAAGTCTTTTGTTCCATATGAGCTCCAGTAACAAAAAAACCACCTAGCGTTTAAAATGAACTTTGAAAGCTGCTGTCATACAAATAAAATGTTTATAAGTTGAAAGCAGCTGGCCACCTAACTTATTTTCTTAAATCTTTTTATTTTTAAGTGAATTTGCCAAAACTTTAAAGCACTCAAAGCTATACAGTATTCACTAAATTCAATAACAATTCGCAATTTCTAGTTTCACGTGGTCCCAGCTGCCAGTTTCCTGTGGGAAAGATTGGTGAATGCGTGGGTAAGCTATAGCTACATTATCTTTTGGAAATTCATCACAAATCCCTCTCGCACAGATATCAAGAACTGTGCATTCGTTTTCAACGAGCTGAAAATGAGACGAAATGATTCCAATTTTGCAAAAGAACTGCGGGCCTCCAATTTGATCTGTGGTCGAGTTGGCAGCCATGTCTGCTGTCCCACCGACAGTAAGCCAGTAAAACTCGTTGATGATGATGAGATACCACGTCGCCTGCCCACTGTGGAGGAGGGTTGCGGCTCTAAGCCCAAAATTAAGAAATCCTTTAAAACGATTATTGGCGGTAGAAGGTCAAGAAAGTCTTCCTGGCCTTGGATTGCACTCCTTGGCTATAGCGATGGCTCCTCTTCACCATTCAAGTGTGGCGGCACTTTGATTACCGCCAGGCATGTAATCACCGCAGCCCATTGCATCAAAGACAATCTGTAAGCGCTCCTTGTTACTTGATCTTGGACAATATAATAACAAATGTGTTTGATTATACTTTATAGAATGTTTGTGCGACTGGGCGAATATAATCTAATGACGGATTCGGAGGCACAGCATGTTGATATACCTATCGCAAAGGTAAATAATTGAAAAATCTGTTAAATAACTCTGGTTTTGATTTTGAGTTGGGAAACACTATAATACTATATACATCGTTTATTTACAGAAAGTGGCTTATCCGCATTACACGCGCCGGAATGGACGCGGTGATATCGCATTACTCTATTTGGAACGAAATGTTCAGTTTACGAACACGATTAAACCCATTTGTATGCCCAGTAGTCCGACCTTGCGTACTAAGTCCTATGTGTCATCGAACCCTTTCGTTGCCGGCTGGGGCAGGACTCGGGAGGGTGGTGATCCATCCAACGTGCTGAGGGAATTGAGGATACCCGTGCTGAGCAACGAAGTCTGTCGCACTCAGTATGCGAAGGTGAATCGTAAATTCAATGAAGAACAGTTCGATAATGCTGTACTCTGTGCGGGAGTACTCTCCGGAGGCAAGGACACGTGCTATGGTGACTCGGGTGGTCCTCTCATGATATCCGAAATGGTCAGCAATCAAATGCGCTACTATCTGATTGGTGTGGTTTCCTACAGTGTGGGTTGTGCCAGGCCTGAGATACCCGGTGTCTATTCGAGCACCCAATACTTTATGGACTGGGTACTTGAAATGCTACTGGATACGCCTTGACTTGGTTTTAGTTTGAGGAACATCAAGTTCCCATTCTGAAGTCTTTATTTTGCTATATCATAATTACACTCACAAGCACAACCTTAAATATATTTAAATATCAACGCATTGAGTGTGTGATCCTTTTGTTCTCATGACCTCAAGGTTTGTCTAATCCTTGTGTTGCATGCCTCTACATACTTATGCAAATAGCCAACAGACAGAGAGTGAGTACATCAATCATGCTTCTAATGATCGCAGCAACCCTAAGCATTGATCTAAACTAGAAGTAGGGGTTAGGTTACATTTTTAAAGAGTTTTTTTTTGGACAGGAACTGCATAAACTGAGGCAATGGTCACAATGGACTTGGAAGCCAGACAGCCAGCTTCAACTACCACATTTTGTATCATTTTGGCTCCATCTCAAAGGATCAGGGAACCCGTTTATCTCATTTGGCACGCTTCGGCCCCCTTCTGCCAGATGAATCTTTTTTTGTAAGGTCAACAGACTCTTTTTGTTATGTTCGTCTGTGCATTGGTGGCCACAAAAGAAGTTGTCAGTTTCCATGCACTCTTTGTGATTCAAATCGTAGGAGCTGTGGCATCAAGCAGCTGTCAGGGCTCTAAGGCTTGTTTACTCCTCCGCTGCCACTCTGAATTTTACAATCAAGTCAGTATCACAACATTGTGCGCGATTCAATCAATATCTGTTGTACAGATCTATTATCAACAATGCCCTGATAAAATTTGCATACGAAATTCGCCGTTCAAAATTTACATGCGAAAGCTGATTTGCGAAAACCCTGAGACAGACACAAGGGTGTTAATTTCATCATTAGCTGTGATATTTTTATTGACAGCTCTTTGCAAAAAAGGGGTTGCAAAAAAAGACATCAACAGTCAAGACGTATACAAAGGAAAACCCATAATAAACACAATTGGCAAGAACAGAAAAGGGGAGATCATTGTAAGCTGAGAATTTTCGATTGGTTTTCGGAGGCTAATTTGGTATTTGGTATTTCCGGTTTATATCATCTGAAGTATTGGTTTTATACGCGTGTGCAAAGAAACTGTATCGAGCTTTATCAGTTGCCGGTAAATTAGCTTGATTTGATGTTGTTTATCGAATTTGGGGGTTTTAATTTTTGGGTTCAATTGCTATACACAGTTTATGAGTCACTATGCGACTGAAGTGCTTAATTGGAATAGCTTGTCATCCAAGTTCTCGGCGTTGTTGCATATATATAAAGGCTAACCGCCTGAGTCGACCTCAGTCTGATAATGTGCGTCGCACTGTGAATTGCGTGTGCTCATTAAAATATTCTGGAGCAGTGAGTTGAGCTTGTGTGCTAATTATAATCACTAGGCATTAATTGTTTGTTAAAAATGAAGCTGGTGCTTAGTGTTTTTTTAATGATTGCCTATTTGGCCACGCCCATGCTCGGTCAGCTTAACCACGGAAGAGGTACGTACATATATTAAAAGAAAGAAAGGAATGACGAACGATGTACACATACAATTAATTACAGTATAAATTTCATCAAGTTCCTTGTCTAAGTCTTTTGTTCCATATGAGCTCCAGTAACAAAAAAACCACCTAGCGTTTAAAATGAAATTTGAAAGCTGCTGTCATACAAATAAAATGTTTATAAGTTGAAAGCAGCTGGCCACCTAACTTATTTTCTTAGATCTTTTTATTTTTAAGTGAATTTGCCAAAACTTTAAAGCATTCAAAGCTATACAGTTTTCACTAAATTCAATGACAATTCGCAATTTCTAGTTTCACGTGGTCCCATCTGCCAGTTTCCTGTGGGAAAGATTGGTGAATGCGTGGGTAAGCTATAGCTACATTATCTTTTGGAAATTCATCATAAATTCCTCTCGCACAGATATCAAGAACTGTGCATCAATTTTCAACGAGCTGAAAGTGAGACGAAATGATTCCAATTTTGCAAAAGAACTGCGGGCCTCCAATTTGATCTGTGGTCGAGTTGGCAGCAATGTCTGCTGCCCCACCGACAGTAAGCCAGTAAAACTCGTCGGTGATGATGAGATACCACTTCGCCTGCCCACTGTGGAGGAGGGTTGCGGCTCTAGGCCCAAAATTGAGAGATACATTAAAATAATTATTGGCGGTAGTAGGTCAATAAAGTCTTCCTGGCCTTGGATTGCACTCCTTGGCTATAGCGATGGCTCCTCTTCACCATTCAAGTGTGGCGGCACTTTGATTACCGCCAGGCATGTTATCACAGCCGCCCATTGCATCAAAGACAATCTGTAAGCGCTCCTAGTTACTTGATCTTGGACAAAATAATAACAAATGTGTTTGATTATACTTTATAGAATGTTTGTGCGACTGGGCGAATATAATCTAATGACGGATTCGGAGGCACAGCATGTTGATATACCTATCGCAAAGGTAAATAATTGAAAAATCTGTTAAATAACTCTGGTTTTGATTTTGAGTTGGGAAACACTATAATACTATATACATCGTTTATTTATAGAAAGTGGCATATCCACATTACACGCGCCGGAATGGACGCGGTGATATCGCATTACTCTATTTGGAACGAAATGTTCAGTTTACGAACACGATTAAACCCATTTGTATGCCCAGTAGTCCGACCTTGCGTACTAAGTCCTATGTGTCATCGAACCCTTTCGTTGCCGGCTGGGGCAGGACTCGAGAGGATGGTGAATCATCCAACGTGCTGAGGGAACTGATGATACCCGTGCTGAGCAACGAAGTCTGTCGCACTCAGTATGCAAAGGTGAATCGTTATTTCAATGAAGAACAGTTCGATAATGCTGTACTCTGTGCGGGAGTACTCTCTGGAGGCAAGGACACGTGCTATGGTGACTCGGGTGGTCCTCTCATGATATCCGAAATGGTCAGCAATCAAATGCGCTACTATCTGATTGGTGTGGTTTCCTACAGTGTGGGTTGTGCTAGGCCTGAGATCCCCGGTGTCTATGCGAGCACCCAATACTTTATGGACTGGGTACTTGAAATGTTACTGGATACGGCTTGACTTGGTTTTAGTTTGAGGAACATGAAGTTCCCATTCTGAAACCTTTATTTTGCTATTTCACATCTTATATATTTGTATGTGCTTAAAGTAAATAATTACACTCACAAGCACAACCTTAAATATATTTAAATATCAACGCATTGAGTGTGAGGTCCTTTTGTTCTCATGACCTCAGGGTTTGTCTAATCCTCGAGTTGCATGCATCCACAGACTTATGCAAATAGCTAACGAAGAGAGAGAAAGAGAGAGAGAGGGACCATCAATCTCACTTTTAATGAGGCAACCCTAACCACTGATCTAGACCTGAAGTAAGGCGTTAAAGGGTTGTCTGCTTATTGACATGTGCTGCATTCTAAATTCCTGAGCTAGGCCTATCTCATCTAGTAGGCTCCATCGCAAAAGATCAGCGGAACCCCCCGCTCCATTTGGCACGCTTTGTCTTCCCTTTTATGCTGTAATCAGATCAAATGCCACAATAACCCATTTTTTATCAAGATAATTCTCTTATATTCGCCCGCGCATTTGTGGCCACAAAAGATGTAGGAATTTCTCTGTAGTCTTTTGTGATTCAAATCGGAGGAGCTGTAGCACCTAGCAGCTGTCAGGACTCTAAGCGTCAGATAAAGAGTTCATTGGACTGGAGTTTACTTCTACTCTGCCACTCTGAATTTTTCAGCTACACAACATCGATCAATAAATTTGCATAGGATATTCGCCCATCGAGATTTGAAGGCACAAGTCGATTTGCGATAACGTCAGGATACACACAAGGTTGGAAACTCATGATTAGCTCGTTGCAAAAATAGGGGTTGCTAAAAAAATGAGACATTAACAGTCAATAGGTGTACAAAGGAAAAACCCACAATCACAAATATAAACACCATTGTCAGAAACAAAAAAGGGAATCATTGTACGCTGAGAATATTCGATTGATTTTCTGAGGCTAATTTTAGATCAATCAATTGAGCAGATGTAAACATTTCTGGTGTAAAGTGTGGGTGCATAAAATATAATTTTTATTACAGAATAGTGTAGATCACAGGAGTTTACGCTCTAACTATTGATTTAGTTTGTCTTTTGACCTTAACGAAATATCTAAATTAAATTGCACTGATATTCTTAAGTACTGAAATCTGACGCTACTTGCAGTTGCTAAACTTCGGGTGAGGTAGCGCTGCGCTTGAGCACCTCATTCAGGGTTGGGCTGAGTGCCAGGGCGGGATTTGCGACGGCAATAATATTATCACCAGCTGCAGATATAACTTGAACACCGGCTGCTGTCAGATCCACAGTTTCGACCAGGTTCAAATCAGTCGCTGTATGCGTCTCGCAATTGTTCGGCTTATCCAGTGAGGATAAGGGGGAGCGTTCACTTTCCAGACCATTGCCCTGTGGAACAGTTTAAGCAGTTTGCCTTTACTCAGGACATTCTCTCTCGCCAGATGGCTAAACACATACTCACTGGCATTGGCGGGGAACTGGAATTGCTGAAGGAGAAACGCGAATCATTGTCCTCAAAGTCTGCCGTCTTGCCCAAACTAACAAGGATAAATCGTATGAAATATATTTTTCGAAATAAGAAACAATTTTTGATACTCACGAGAACTTGGCTATTTCCGTCAGATCGAATGGCGGCTTGGCGAACTTTTGGTACATGGCAAACAGATTGTAGCGCGAATCCTCGACAGCTTCCTTCATTTGTTGTTGTTGTTGTTGTTATTTTTGCAATAAGATCGGGGATTAAAATCTCTGGCGACAAATATTAAAAGCTAAGCGAGGCAAGCGTTTTTGATATTTATTTTTGTTTTTGGTTTTTGGTAAGGAAGAATACACGATGTTCAGTTGGATTTAAAAAGCGGGAAATTTATTTATTGGCACAACGAAAAAGGTACACCAAATATTGCAGAAGATAAGTATTATAAACAAACAACTATAAAAAACAAGCTAGCCTAAAAATATGACTAAAACTAAGTTAGGAATATTAGTAAAAGCTGGTTTAGTTGGAAAAGTTCACACATTTAGCAGAGCATACATAATTTATATAGATAGTGAAATAGCTATAAAAATAACAACAATTAAAGTAATGAATACTGTACTCAGTAACAACTGTACCAACAGAGAGATACTAGAAAAATAGACTAGGCTTCGTTTAAGTTAGGCAAACTACAAAACTTTTAAATACTCAAGACTAGCCAATATTAACAAGTGAGTAACAGCCTCTTAGGCAAAACATTAGTTGATCGGGCCAAAAAGCTGCAAAGTAAAAATTTGAGTTAACATGTGAAAGCGGTAGTAGCTATAGAAACTGCCACCTCCCTAAAAATAAAAACAAAGCACTGAAGCAGAAGCAGTAGCCGCAATTGAAGCTGAGAATCAAGCACTGAAGCACTGCACCAGGAAGCACTTCACAGGACGCATTTTATGGCTCAACGGATGATGTGTTCTTCCTTACCCGATTCAGTTCGATGGGCAACTGGGCTGCCTCCGTGGAGGATAAACGCTGACGCTTTACTTGCAACACCGAATCACTGGACTCGCAGTCCATATCGATGGGTGCACTACGTGGGGAAGCTGTGCTCTGCCCGGGCAGCTGGGTGAGCAAATTACCATAGCGTGCTATGGATGCTGAGTGCCCAAAGCCAGCATCTTTCACAATTTGCCGGGCCAAGGGGAAGAGCTCGTCACGGCGCGTTAGCAACCAAATGGTCTGAGGATTGCGACACAGTTGAGCTGCGGCCTCATTGACGCAGACCTCGTGGAGGGTGAGCGGCTTCTCCGGACGCCGTTTGCAGTCGAAGCGACCATAGATCGCCGAGTACTTACGTATCTCATCCATGCGTCGCGGATCATGCTCACCCATCGCTATCACCTGTTCCAGTTCGCGTGTGGTTCGCTTCTTGGAGGTCTGAGCCCGGGGCTCCCTCTGCGGCAGCTGTCTCGCAATCTTCGCCGCACACATGATAATTCGCTGCACCTGCATCTCGGTGAGCACCGGCGTCAGTTGGGGGGAGCTAGAGGAGACTTGGTGGGCACCGGAGGGTGTGGCCACAATGTTGGGTAAGCTCGCTGTCGCAGACAGCACAAGGGGTGAGGGATTGCCGGGTGTCTGTAACACGGGAAGAGTCTGGAGCACGGGTGTACTGATCTGTGACAGCAAGTGCGCACTTGGCGCAGCGGCTGTTGTGGCCACCGGAGCCACAGGAACACTAGCAGACTGAAAAGAGCTGGCGGCTGAATTGAAGGAAGAGAATTTGCTACGTGGCAGCGCCGGCGTTGTCTCCGGATTAAAGGCGAGGGCGGGTTTCGTTGGTGTCTCACAAAGACCTGGCGAGAAGAAAAACACACAGTCAGATCAAGCAACTGAGAATTGACTGCAAAACTTACCCAGCTGGGGCAACATGGGTCCTTGGAATAGGCTGGGATTGTTGGCCCACTCGTGCAGCGCCTTTTGTAGGCGACGCACATGAAGTGGCTTCGACGCCATGCCCACCAACGCCATAATCTCAAGGAACTCCTCCTCGCCAGCATCGTACAGCTGCTGCACATCATCGCCGCCCATCTCCAGCAGCGTATCATAGTAGGCCAGCAGACTAGCACGCTGGAGCACCCGATACAGCTGCACCTCAGCCTCGTTGCTCGGCCGGGATGTGGTGATCACTGCAAAGGAGTAAACAGGAGTTAAATTGTGAGAGGATCAGGACTGACTTAGTGTAAGCAATCAAAGGAGTATTCGAAATACAAAAATGAATAGTGTATAACTTTACTCTCATTGCTTTAAAGATATGCTCCAAAATAAAACTAGCAACAGGGTATAGAACATGATATTTATGTAGTTCTTGCGCTGGTCCGTTCTCATAATGTTGCGAGTCCATAAGAAAAAAATTTAATTAAATTCTCTTTTTTTTATATAAAACAAAAAAAATCGACCGACGTCTGGACCGTAAACCCTTTTTGTGTATGCAGCACACAACAAGAAAAAAAACCAATCAAAGAACCAAAAAAAAAAAAGGAAAAGAAAAAAATGAAACCCGAAAAAGCGCACAAAAAGGACGAGGCAAGAGTTGGGAACGCCGTCGACGACCTCATCTGCATAAGCAAATGTGAAGGCTGCTTGGTGACTGTTGTGTGTGTGTTGTGTGTGTGATTTCAACCCTTTCGCTTTCGTTCAAGGATCAAAACTCGTTAGAAATGCGTCACGCATACGCGAAGATCAGAGCAAAGGATCGCTAGGATCGCTTGGATCACTTTTAATCTGTTTTTTTCCTCATTTTTTTTCTTGCTTTTCAGCTACAAAATGTAAATCTTTTTTTCATTCGTGTGAATTATTCTAGTGCTTCTTCTTCAGTTTGTATTTCTCTACACAATTTATTGGCAACAGGCAGAACTTAAAAGGCCGCCAATGAGCGACGCTGATGATTATGTCAAATCGTAAATAATTATGTGAGAATATTTTAGTCGAGCTTCGAGCCAGAGCCAGAGTCAGTCTCAGTCTCAGTTCCATTGGCGATGTCCATAGCCTATCTCTGCAGTCTGCAGTTACCAGTTCCCATTGCCAATGTGCGCTACCAACTTTAATTAATAGAAAAACGAGCTGGCCCAACTAAATTATAACAAAACCGGGCAACAACAATAAAAAAGCACACATCGATCGTTCGGATCTTCTTTTCTGCCTTCTGTAGTTTTTTTTGCTCTTATACAGACAACAAGGAGCAGTTGAGCTTGTGTGTTTTTGTAGCCATGTAGCATGGTGTATTTGTTGTGTGTCGTTGTAGTTGGTGTTGTCACTTGATGCGCTGCCAATCATTAACCCATGATTGCATGCCTGTCACAATTTATGACACGCTCGACAAAGAAGGGCACCTTGGAAATGTCGAGATACAACCCATAAATTCCATAATAGATGATATGGTTGTCAGTTGGCAAATGCCCAAACTGAAAGTCTCAGTAGGTGTTTAGTAAACTTTGCTAATAATCTTTATTACAAAAACTTATTGCCACCCCAACAAATCTGGGATGATATTGCTAGAAGTTATTTGGGAAAATTAAGATCGTGTTTTGATATGGTTTATGAATAAATAGGTCTTGTTATGTCTTGAAAATTATGCTCAAGAATCCTCTCATACACACATAAACTAAGTCGCGTTGGAAAACAATATTTATACACTTTTTCTGCCAAAAGTGTTCTTCAATTTGCCATTCCTTTGGCGCCAAGGGTTCTTCAGAAAGTAAATTTCTAATATTGAAGGATTTAACTGTCTCAAATATAGGATGAAGTTTTCTAAAACGCGGAAAATATCTCTTTAATTGCCAGTGTGTTGTTTTCTATTCTTAAATTACAGTTCAGAAAGGATTTTTTCTAGGAATGAGGATTTTAACGGAAAATATATGTATATATATAAATATATAGCAAGCCTTTCTAAGTTAAGGAAAAAGTTTTCTTAAATTTATAAATTATTTCGAAAATCATGGGTATTTTCCAGATATCAGGTCAATTTTTTTTCTGAGTGTATTCAGTTGACATAACGTGTGTGTTTTGGGGTTAAGTCGACTGTCAACGCCACACTTCTATGCGCAGCCTCTTGGCTCCTGTTTCCTGACTGCAGCCCACAAAGGAGTATTTAACGCAGACGCAGAATCTCATTTTTTGCGTAACACAGAAGCGGGAGTCTGGTCTTGGTTGTTGTTGGGGGTCTGCGGTAGTCTGAGGGGTACGGCATTTGCAGCAATAAATAAATGAGACGTGATTTCAATACACAAATAATGCAAGGGGGTGGGGGAGGGGGAGGGGCGCAGGCAACGAGGTAGTGATGAGAAAGGAGTAGCACCGCCACAGGCAACACTGCAACTGGAAGTGGATTCTGTTGGGTTGGGTTTGGGCTTGGCTTCAGGGGGGATACGTTTGTGGTCTGTCTGTGGTGCGCTGATTGTCACTCGGCTTGCGGGCTCCAGCTTCTTGTTGTTGATTTTTTATTTATTTAATTTGCGGCTCGCGATTTTCTTTCTTTTTTTTGCAGATGTTGCAAAAGTCTGTTAATGTCTGCTGCTGCTGTTGTTGTTGTCATTTACTAAATATGTTGTTTTTATGCGATGGGCAAAGATGGACAAAAAAATTAACTGCAGTCGCTTTTTAGTTGGCACTTGGCAGCAATAATGACATTCGACGCCACATACCTTGCCTGGCTGACCAAAGCGAATCTCGGCCAGGACGCAGTTTCAACTAAGTGTGTGTGTGTGTGTGTGTGTGTGTGTGAGGGACGTCAATCGTGCGATTGCTTCGATTATGGGCAAAAAGCATTGAAGACGCAGACGCCGGGTGCCTTCTTCTTCCTCGTCTTGTGGCCAAGTAACCGAAACTATTTCTCATATACGCGACGATAAATTAAAAGCGACTTTTTGAACGACCAAATTCTTGTCGATCAAAATTCCATTGGTGGCAATAACTTGGTTCGCTTTGGACCAGCCGTACGTGCCAATGGCCGCTGCTGATGAAGATGAAGCTGAAGCTGAAGCTGAAGCTGCAGCGAGTACGCACTCCAGACCAAGCTAGAGGAAGAACCATAACCATAACAACGGCGACAACGAGAGAGACCATAAATGTGATTGAAAGGCGACGTCTGCCGTTGGCTTGGACAACATTTCTACCCCTAAAGCAAGCTGGGTTGGGTCTTCTCATTTTTTGTTTTTTTTTTTTTTCTTTTCTTTCAAATTACCCCTGAATTGAACCTATCATCTTGAGGGTAAGCTAACGGCTTCTGCTGTTTAACCGTTATACCTGAGGTACTCGCGCGTTTTTCATTGGACGCGTCTGCAAGGAAGGCGTCTGCCATTACGATTGCCTGGGCTACCTGATGCTCGAGAGCATCTATAGCCAGCCAGCCTGCAAAATAGACGCCCTGATCGTGCCCGACTTGAGTGCTACTCAGGGGTGGTTGCTCGACCCCAAGCACCAAGGAAGTGGAAACCGGAACTGAAACCGTAACTGAAGCTGAAGCTACAAGCTGAGGCGGCTCAACTACCTCCAACGGCAACTTTTTCTATTGTTGCGTTCACCAAAAGTCCGTTGCAATGAGAGAAAAAAACAACAACAGCTTGTGAGCTTTAAAAGCGCGGGAAATTTTGGAAACAAAAGGCGATTTTTTTAACAAGTTGTATGAATATAAAGAGCAGAAAATAAACAAATAATCGAATGATGTGGATAAATTCAGTGAGATCTGTATTAATTCAGGAAGATTGCAGAGAAGACTAGTAGTTAAGATAAGTAAAATAGATTTGAAAATCATTAGTGAAAAGAAACCTTTTCAAAGACAATGAATTTAAATAGCTCAAGTGATCTGGCAAGTTTTACGAAGGAAAAATCCAAAAGAACCATTTGATGATATTTATAAAACAATGAATTCAATATAAATTTGGATTTCAATTTTTAACGCTTCGAGTGCCCATTTTAAAAGTCAGATTAAACTAACTGGAAATGGCGAATCGCATTTGAAATGTAAGTTAATTAATTCTTTATCAACTTATTTTATATGATGCCAAACAGATACTTCCTCTCTCTAATTCTTGTTTAAGAAATTCTTTGATGAAGTTTCTAAGTTTAAGTTAAAGTTAAATATAATAAAAAGACTAGTAATATTGCCATAGGTTCTTACACATGATCTAAACATTGTATCTTGATAGTTCAACAGCAATAATTAATTTTCTAAAAGTATTATTTTTAAAGAAAATTTCAAAATATGAAATTTTAAGCCGAAAGAGTCCTTCGATTTCTACTTACATGTGCCATTTGCATTGCGCCCGAAGATTTTGCCTTGCGGACTTAATATGGGACTGGAGGAAGCCGACGGTGCGCCGGAGAGTGAACGTTGACCTTCGGAAAGAGCACTCGCTAGCGATAGATTATTCAGATTGTCCTCCTGCTTCAGCAGCTCAATGCTGCTGCTGCTGGTCGTGGTGAGCAACTGGGGCAGGGATTGGAGTGCGGAGCAGCTGGAGCTTCCGCTTCCTGTGACAATGTGGTGACTCTTTGTACTTCCGGCTGGCGAGGGAACTAAACTGGAGGACGTTGTTGTGGAGGCTGCTGCTGTTGTTGTTGCTGCAGTTGTTGTTATTGCTGATGCAGCAGTAGTGGGTGAATTTGCCTCCATTGTGGCAAGAATGAGAACCAAGCAAGAAACACGAACAACAAACACAAAGTACCAAAACAAAATGCATGCAAAAATCAAAAAACTAATGCGAAAGGACGAACTACCGAAAACAATGAGAAAAACACAAACTACAACACTACAAGGACTCGTTTCTAAATATTGTTGTTGATCAGAAGATCGCCTCAATTTCGTTTTATATTTTGTTGTATTCAGAAAACACTCGTAAGCGCGTCTCGATTTTGATCTCTGCCCATCCGCTCTGCTCGAGGCCAGACGAACTTCTGTTTTGTCGTTTGGTCGGCTGGGCAGCTCGGGAACCCTTTTTCGAGCGGACAGACCAGCCAGTCAGCCAGGCAGCCTGCTTTCGTTTTCTTCTTGCCAAAGGGGAAACATCTTTGAGATACTTTCGAAGAGATGAAAAACACGCTACATAAAATCACGCAGCAGACGACGTCGCCAGGAAAGGGTTAAAAAATACAAAAAAACCAACAACAACAGCAAAAAGAGGCAGGCAGGAGAGGAATTTTTGTGCGAAGCCCGAAGACGAATACAAAGACGAAGACGAAGATGAAGAGACGAAGACGTAGGCATTGGCGCTACCAGTTTCCACTCGATACCCAATGAGGGTAAGTTTTTCTGCAAACGCGTTTTGTGTGCGCTCCGATCTCTTATTAGAAGTCAGCCAGTGCGACTTGTTCTCTGCGGGATTTTGAGTGATTTCTCGCTCCGCCTCTCGCCTCTGAAAAGTATCTCAATGATGCCAGGAGTTTATCTTATGGGTGCAAGCATTTTTCAGACATTTTTTTCGTTGTTGTCTTCTCTTATTTTCCGTTATCAAAAATATATGCAAATGAATTTTGTGTATTTTCCCTATGTTAAGGAAATATATGTTCAACGCTTCTCTTGTATTTTCTTTTTTTCTTACACAAAAAGTTGATCCCTTCCGACATTTTGATCAACTCTTTTTTTAATCTTTCTGATATTTTCCGTTACCTAAAATATATGCAAATGAATTTTGGGATTTTCCGCATTTTTATTAAATATATGTTGAACGTTTTTCTTGTATTTTCTTTTTTTGTATATACAAAAATAGTTTTACAATATGTTTTGTTTTTTTTTATGAATTATTTTATAAGGTTGGAATACTTTTAAAGATTGCCGTTTTACTCTACGATATAATCATTATAGTTAAATAATAAGGGGACGTTTTAGTAGATGTGGAGATTATGTATGAGTAGATTACACTAGGATGGGTTTACGTTAACAGTCGATTAGATAGATTAGAGAGCGAGCGCAACGTGGCGAACCCAAAATCAGTCGTAGGCCATTCCCTTGCTGAGGAAATCGCTACAAGCGCGGGGTTCCATTCGCGGCACTTAATCGCACTATAAGTTATTCACGCTAATTATCTGATTGATCCAGCCAATGAACGAGGAGACCTTCACATAGACACCAGGCACATCCACTCGACCGCAGCCAAAGCCCCATGAGACGAGACCGGCCAGCTCGAAGAAGCCATCGTCCTGGCATACCAACGGACCGCCACCATCGCCCTGGCAAGCATCGTGTCCCTCCTCGCCGCCCGCACAGAAACTGGACGCGGGCAAAATGAAGATCTTCTCCGTCACCGCATTCACTTTACGTATGCACTCCGTATCGCTTACAATCGGAATCTCCGCTTCACGCACACGTAGTGGAATGGGACCAGCTAAAAAGGCAAACCAAAATTAAAGAGATGTGTTGTTGAAGGATGTTGAAGTGAGCCCACCTTCGCCCATGTAGCCGTAACCGGTGACCGTACAGCGTTTGCCGGCCGTATGACTAACACCTCGAGCCGGCAGGCAGACCAAACAGACTCCATCTCGCAGCTCCGCCTGGCCGTGCAGTTTGAGCAGCGCAATATCGTTATCCAGCGTCTGGCTGTTGTGGTTGTGATGTATGTAGGTGGTGGCTACGCGGAGAGTCTGGGCGCCGGGACTGCCATACTTGCGGGTCAAATCATAGTCACCCACGCGCACATAGATCGCATCCCCAGAGCGCACAATGCTGCAGAGGATTAGGTTAAGTTTCAGTTAAGATTTAATTAGAGAATCTATCGGCACTTACTTGGTGACGCAATGTGCGGCTGTGAGCACCCATTGGGTGCCAATGAGCGCCGCTCCACAGAGATACTGATTGAGGGAGTTGATCAACGCCACCTGCCAGCACCACTCACCATTCTCACCATCCTCGCCACCCACCACACGCGCCCTCCTCCTGCTATAGTTGGACTGCAGCTGCAGCTGGTTGGAATTGGGATTGTAGACGGGTCGCTGATAGTAGTCGGGATAAACTACGGCAGTCTGCTCAAGCTGCTTCAGTTGATCGGGCTCTTCGTGATAGGATCTCAGCTGATTGCTTTGCAGGCCACTGGTGTCCACCAGATCGCCCAGCTTATCGTTGTGTATCTGAATCGGAACAATTGCAGAACCAAGCACGAGTCGCTCGCTGGACTTGTTAATGTTGCTGCTGCTGCCGGCAAAGGATGAGGCCAATTGTCTCGCGGAACGCTGGACTCCATACTTGGCCCGAGCATACGAGACATAGTTGAGGGCTGGGGAGCTGCGGGAGCGACCTGTTCGCAGGGTACCTTTGACACCACACACGTACTTCGAATAGACATGTGGACGTGGTGTTGTCGTCGTTGTGGTTGTCGTCGTTGTTGGCGGTGCAGCTGGCGGCAGTGCTGGCTGTGCTACTGGACCTGGTCCATAGTAATCCGCATAGTTGGGTGGCGGTGGTGGCGGCAATCCCGGCTGATAGGCATGTGCCGGGTGGTGTGGTTGCTGTGGTGGTCCTTGTGGCTGATTGGCCATATACGTGGTGGGTGGATAGGGCGGCGGTGGTGCCTGTTGCTGCTGTGGTAGCTGTGCTGGATAGGGTGGCGGTGGTCCCATTGCCGGATAGTTGAAATACGAGGTGTCGTTGCGTGTCTGGAATTGTTGCTTCTCGAGTATCTTACTCTTGGGTGCACAACAGATTTGACCCGAACGCTTGCATCTGAAGAGATCGGTCATCTCGGCATTTTCTGGAGGAGATTAACGGAGAATTGGCAAATGGAAATAAGTTAGGAACCTTGGACTACTCACTGAAGCACGTAAAGCTGAGCAGGCTGACAATACAGGAGCCGGGGCATTCTTCGCGTGGATCCGGACTCGGTGTATTGGGCAGCACATAGGGTGGTGCTGTGGGTGGGTGCGTGGGCGACGGCGTCGGTGGCGGCAACTTTGGCTTGGGCGCACCAGCACGCGAATTATCACAACAGACGGAACCCTTCGAGCAGGTGGTCTGATGCGATACTAGAATCGAGGGACGTTCACAGAAGGCTGCCATAATATTTAACAGACAGAAGCCAGGACAGCGAGGCACCTGTGGCGGTGCTTGCGGTGGTGGTGGCGGCGGTGCCGGTGAGTTCAGTGTGCTCTCCGCAAACGATATAAACTGCGAAAGCAAATCCCCACCACCCGAGGAGGCAGCGGGTGGCGGCGGTGCTGCTGTGGCAGCTGGACGCGCTGGTTTCGCTGCTGGCTTAGCAACAATCTTTGTGGCCGGTTTGCTGGGTGGTGGCGTCTTGGCGGGTGGCGCCTCGGAGGCAGTGCCCGTCACACAGCAGCTGCCCTCGCCGGGACAGAAGGCCTCGGAGTCGATGTCGTCGCAGAAGATGGCAAAGATGCCGTTCATGCATTCGCCCTCACACTCCTTCAGCACCTGGCCCTGACCCTTAATTTTATTGTTGCTTTCGTTCTTATTGCTGACCTCTTCCTCATCGTCGTCTTCCTCCTCCTCATCCTCCTCAGTAGCGGCCTCAGTTGTTGTGGTGGTCGTTGTGGGTTTCTTGTGCTTTGTGGGCTTATTTTGATTGTTGTTATTGGTTTTGGTGCGTGCTGGTTCCGGTGTGGTGCTTGTGGTTGTTGTGGTTGTAGATGTGCTGCTGGTGGTGCTACTGGTTTTTGGAGCTGTCGTCTTGGCCAACGTTTGATTACCCTTCAGATTGCTCATGTGCTCTGCATAAGGAAAAGATTTTAATGGTCAAGTTTTTAACTAGGCTTTCTCATTTAAAAGTTGTGGTTTTTGGTAAGAAGGTTGTCGACTATAGGATCGAATAATGTAAACTAGATTTGGACCGTTGTTCTCAGTTTGTTCCTCTTCTAATGGAAGACTCAATCAAAAATGAGTCCAACCAGTTGCGTATAACTTCCTTCGTGCCTTCAATAACTTGGTGAAGAGGCACCCATGCCAGGCTTAAAACACGAGTAACTATAATTCTTAAGCAGAATACTCACTGGCTGGTATATAAATATCTTTGGGCAGCTTGCCGTTGGAGTACTCGTCGAGGGAGACACAGCATTTGGTGCCCTCCTTGCAAAGTCCGCCGCTTGTCAAATACGCCTCACAATATTCCGCAATGCGATCCGCAACACAAACTCCCGTACAGTTCTCTGAGAGTATAGAAAACCCAGGTTGAGCTAAGTTAAACTGGGCAAGAAGATCGTCACTCACTATTCTCATCCTCCACTTTGCTGGCCTCTTCCTTGTCCTTCAATTTGCCAGTGGTTGCCTTTTTGGTGGTGGCGGTTTTCCTTGTGGTGGTTGTAGGCGCTGCAGTTGTTGTTGGGGGTCGCTTCGGCTGCGGCTTTGGCTTCGGTTTGGGCGTGGTGCTAGCTGTGGTTGCGATGCGCCTGGTGGTGCTAGTGTTGGCTGCTGTTGTGGTGCTTCGCTGTGTCGTGCTGCTCGTCGTTGTTGTTGTTATCTTAGGCGCAGTGGCAGCAGTTGCATTTTTGCCTAGAAGGGAGCAATTTAGATGGGGTTGCAGTGGGAAAAAGGGATATTCTCTGTTCACCTGGCGCATTCTCAATGCAGCATTTCATGCTGGGCGACGGGCAGGGCACATCGTCCAGGACCTCGTAGCAGATGAGCGTGGCCAGTGTGTGCACACAGACGCCCGGACAATCCTTAGCATCCGCTGTGCTCGTTATCGTGTCCAGTAGGCCGGAGAGAAAACTGCCGGCGAGGGATTCATCCTGGGCCTGAGCACAAGCCAGCAATAGGATGAAAGTCAGTGTGTAAATTATGCTGTTGCCTGAAGTGCTCATTTTGCTTGTTAATTTTGTCATAGATCGTTTTACGTTAATGTTGATGATGATCAAGTGAGCTCACGTGCTCATCTCGTTGCGAGAATCTAAAAGACAGAGAGTGATAGACAGAGAGAGAGAGAGTGAGTGAGTAGGAGAAAAAACGAAATTAGCCAAGTGAAAGTTGAGTTTCGAACACAACAATGTGAGTCAGCAGCACCCATGTAACCCAAAAGACCTGTGACGTAACATAAAGATCAAAGTTGTTGTTGTTGTTGCAGCTTTTTGAGTTGCGGCTAAGATCATTGGCCTAGAAAGAGCTCACATTGTTGCAAGCGACTTGGCTACTGATAAGACCCAACTTGTTCTGCGAGATCTCCGAGTCTCCGCTAAAACCCGTTTCTGGAGTTTGCCTCTCTTAGCCACATTCTGAGAAAACATGGGTGTTTGAAGCTTGGAGCTGGTTCTGTGACAGGTGCGTCTGGCCGTACCGTTGTTTTCGGTTTGCGGTGCTAGTATGCCCCATTTCTATATTACGTATACGTGTTTGTGTAACGGAGCATTCGGGAACTACAAACCAAGCATTCCGTATTCTGGGCCTAATTAAAATGTATTTGGGACAACTTAAATGGGAATGGGTAGTGGCAATGGTAATGGTAATGGGAGTGGGAATGAAAATGGGTATGGTAAATTGAAAGGTAGCTGGTTGGATGTATTCAAACTGGTTTGCCTGCTGCAAAATAATTGTGAATACAGGCGTACTTGGAGAAAATAGAATTCACAAAAATGTAGAAAACATTTCTGTTTAAGTTTTAAGTATTTTAAATGTAGAATTTAAAATGGATATGCTCAAATTATAACACTAAGCTATTTATTTGTATTATACTTGGGATAACCCAATATAAGGCTTATTGTTGGACATCTTCAATGGCTGCTTCTTGTTAGCTTTGAGCCAATTAACGTTAAACGTTTACATGCTTCACAATTTTTATGAATGAAATAGAAAGTACATTGACTCAGAGAAAAAAAAAAGGAAAAACAAAACCAACATAATAAAAAAGCACAAATTTGAAACGAAGCGCAATATCTCAGTTAAAGATCTTTAGCGAAAGTGCTGGCAATAAATAGTACTTGGACTCTAACACTTGACAATGGCCACATGGCCACAGAATGGAAATGGTAAATGGAAGAGCCACTGCTCAATGACAATTAAGTACCGCAAAAACCCCACCCGCTTGGCGCTAGATTTGAAGCTGGAGATGGAACTTTGGTCGTGGCTCACGTGCGACGCTTTCACGCAGAGAAAAAAAACCGGAAATTTCTTAGAGGGCCAACAAGAAACCATTTAAAAACCTCTGTCATTAAGCACAGACGTGTGACAATCCTCATTCTTTATGACGAAAATGAAAATAAGAGAAAAACGCTGATTCGAAATAAAGATTCATAGTAGAAAAGTGATTTTTAAGGCAAGCACAAATTACTCAACCAAATATCTAGTTCCCAATGAAACTTTCTTGAAATAAGAATTTCGTTGTCTGGTCTAGCGACCAACAATAAATCAAGCATAAAATATTCAACTAAAAATTCGAAAAATTTTAGAAATCTGAATTTCGTTCACTTGTGTACAATTTAAGTATAGAATTCTTTATAACTTTTTTGACTGCGCTAAATAGCTGCTCCACCCCGCCGTATAAAGAGAGTCTGTGCCCAAAAAACCAACTGCTTTTCTAGAATCCCAAAAGCAAACCTCAAAAAAAATAAATAAAAAAAAAACTGTATATAGCTCGCACGTATTTTGGGTCAGCCATCTAAGAGCCGTAGAGCCCTGTCTCGGTTGCTTGGCATACGCCTACGCCATCATGAATACCAAGTCCGGCACCAAATCGATAAGTGGGTCAGATGCATAAGGCGCGACGACGAAAACGACGACACGTCTTCCCCTCCGTTGCCTGCCGCTTGTCGCACTCTTTGCCAAGTTGAGTTTAGCAAGAGAATTATGCGTTCTGAAGACTCTCGAAAAAACAACAACACCGAAAAATATGATGGTGTCTGAAAGAATTTCTTTCATTGAATGATGGCCAAAACAAACAGAAACCGAAACACGAATTCAAATGCCGATCGAACGGTTAACACTAACGGTAAACGACGGGCGTTGGATAAACACAAGTTTTTTTTTTTTATAGTTGTAAGTTTATTTTTTAGTTTCATTCAACTCCTATTTGCAGAACTGTTTGGTTTTTGGTGTGGTCTTTGAAACTCTTTCATTTTTAGCACTTCCATTAAAGTCCCGAGACACAGATACAAAGATACACACACACACACACACAGCGCTATGTCTAAAGCTGAAGACAGCAAACAAGTTAAGCGACTTTTTGTATGTTCTGCTTTTTTTTACAGAATTTAACTGTAACGGTTAGCGGAAGACAAACATAACTGTGAGCTGGATCAGCAGGACTGCCATAGACGACGCGTTTGTGTGGCATGCGCTTGGAATGCGGCACAGTTCTTTTTTTTTCAGCTGCGTATGCAAAGTTACACACACAAGCATACACACGCACATAAACTAATAATTGATATAAAGCGCTGGCTAACCGTTCTTTTTTGTAATGCCTGATCGCGACTGCACTTTGCGAAAGCCAGAAACAAACTGACCAATGCTCAAGGTTCTCGCCGCTTGCTTGGCCGCCGCCAAGGCCAGTCACAGGCCACCAGCTGGAGAAAGTGAGCAAAAGAAACGAAAGAAACGAACCGAAAGAGAGCAATAAAAGAGCGACGCATCTCACTCTCTCTCTCTCTCGCTCTCTCTTAGCCACCTGTTTTGTGTGACGGCAGCAGCAGCAGGTACTCGATGCCTGCTTGCCTCTCTCTTTTTGCAGAGCTAGTCGTAAACCAAAGAACAGATGTAATCATTGCCACTTAAGGATTTTTGGCAAAAACCTTTTTTCACACATCACAAATTAACCCCGAAGTGTGCCTGGCAAATATTGCTACCCGTTTCTCGTTTCTCGTTAGCGCATCATTCTCAGGGCTTAGTTATGCAAATCTCAAGTGCCTAAAAATGCAACCTATGCAAATTTGCAAGGGTTTTATTTGCACTATTTTGGCAAGTCAGCGCCGCAGGATATAAATATTTTTTTCCCAGTTTGGCAAATGCAAATGCGCTTTGTCAAAGATGCGGAGCTGTTGACGTTTTCACTGTTGTCAAACATTGTTGAAATGCAATTATGAGTGCATACATCTAAGCAGCTTAATAAATTTGCATAGTTGCTGGGAAAGAAAAATTGCATAATCTTTTACTTACGTGGTTTGGCACAAATCCAAACGCAAATGTGCTGCAGAATATTTCGGAGAGGATTTAATTTTTGGCATTTTGAGATCGCTACTAATTAGCCTTGGCATACTACACGACTAACGCCCAACAGAATCAAGTATCAAAAAAAATAAAAATAAACAGAAAAAAAGGACAAGACAAGTTTTTGAGCGTCTGTCTCATCGTTTGTCTGGCAGCTTCGCGGATGTTCCCAGGCTTCAGACAGATATCCTTGCAGGCCTTCACAAAACTTCACACGACAAGCTGAGACTAAGGAAATTTGAATAAAACGCTGCACAACACAACACGAAAAAAAAATTGAAAGTGGTAAAAAAAAGTGAAAAAAGTTTAGAAAAAAATCTAAAAAAAAAACTTATTTATCATTCTGTGTGCGTGTGAGCACACATTTGTATACCTGAGCAGGAGCAGAAGACCGAGCCTGGCCTCTGGGCAAAGGCAAATAGATAAGGCAGCAATGTGTTATGTTGGTGGTGGTGGTTTCGCCAACAGGATCTCGTCCTGCGTATGCAAATGAGTCGCCCGATTGCCGATTTGAGTCGGCGTCCGTGATGATTCCCTTTCAGTTCGAACAATGCCGAGGGTCGCCCTGGTCCTTGGCCGCGTCCTCGTTCCCGTCCTCTTCTTTTGGCCACACATGCTTGTGTCTGCGTTTTTTATACATTAATCGTCGTATTTAAAAAAAATTGATTAAACCCTTTCCTTATGTACATTTTTTTTTGCTGATTTTTCCTCTTTTTTATACCGTTTGCGAGTGTTTTTTTGGACTCATCCCGTTGTTGTATTTTCACTTTTTCGTGGGAATTTTAAAGGATCTTGGCTGCAACATTATGATAATGAGAATGCATAAGGATTCTGATAAACTAAGTATGTAAATTATTATTAAATAAGAAGATTAATGCTAAGTATAATATTGAGACTTTATTAGTGACTTTATATATATATATATATATATATGTATATATACTTATCACAAATTAAACTATAAACATTCAAGTTTAAAGTTATACACACTCTTTCAAAAAAAATTAAATTACTTCGTAAACATTTTTAAATTGCTTAATCAAAACTTCATAAATACATCTCAATTTCTCAAAATTCTGTAACCACAAAAGGAGTTTGTAAAATATATGTTTTTCATTGTGGTTACATATTTTGCATTCAGTCTTCTAAAATAATAATGCCCAAGGCGATTTATGCTTAATCATTTACCCGCCTGCCCTCATCCATACCCTTAGCCTGGGCAATTCACCCCCCGTCGTTTCTGATCTGATTTAGGGACAAGACGAAACGAGAGAGTTCAATTTGCATATTGAGGATCATGTAAACCGAAAGGGGCCGAGGGCTTGTCATGGGAACAAAAGATGCAGTCGACGGCAAAAGAATAGATCGAAATCAATATTTGAGGTAATTAATTAACAGCATCAAACAAAAAAAAAAACCAACACAATATTAACATTTAACAATCAATTGAAGACAATTCAATAACAGTTTGATATCAAACATGGAAAGTCAAATGATATGAAAGTATTCTGCTTTTTAATAGGCAGCTTGATTGCAAAATATGAATATTATTTAATGAGGATACAATTTGCAAAATTAAATTTGAAATCTGAGGACAAACCATAAGTGAAATAACATTCAACTTACAGTCTATAAATATTTAAAGATTTTCGATGTATTTATCACCGTCTATTTCAGAATCCAATTTAAATTCGCTGTAATAATTTTAGAAAGATTCTTTTTGAAATACTGAATCAATAAATGACATTTTGCAACTGAGTGGATTTATAGAAAATGTCATTTTATAAATTTTGATTTTTTTCATAATTCAAAATTCTAAATGTGTTTCCAATAAGTTTTTTTCTTGCTTTCTTGTATTCTTGTAGTGTTTCGAATGTAACGAATTGAATGTGAATTCATTGATGTGGCAACACCGTCCGTGCTGCCAGACGCATATGGCATTGAAGTATCGATGCTTGTTACACGCATAACTCTCATACATATCGATATTAACGTACGTGTCCAAAGTCAGCTGCGACTGATACAAACAATGCGGTACATAAATACCATGAAACTCTCTGATTTAACGTATTGATCTAAAGTAACCAGTGAGAATTAGTTGAGCTTAGCACGTTAAATACAAGTGAGACGAGCCTATACCAACACACTCACACACGCTGAGACGACACACACACGATGACGACGTCGTGGAAAGTGCGGCGAAATGTACTTGCCACAAGTGGAGTGGCTCTGGCATTCCTTGTGCTCTTGTATTGGACGGATTTAACGGGCGGATATTTCGCAGCTCTCGATGATGCTGGCACTAACAAAAACTGCTTCTGTGAGGTAAGTGCTGGGGTTTAGCGAGGAGGGGCTGGGGTGTGGGGTAACTGAATGCACTCAAGCGTAACAAGAAAAAATAATGAAATGAAAAACTTTCACAGCTGGAGGGCTCGATTAACGATTGCAGCTGTGATGTGGACACCGTGGATCATTTCAATAACATGAAAGTCTATCCACGACTGCAAAGTTTGCTGGTGAAGAACTTCTTTCGATTCTACAAGGTGAACCTGAAGCAGGAGTGTCCCTTTTGGCCAGATGACAGTCGCTGTGCCATCCGCTTCTGTCAGGTGGAGAACTGCGAGGAGCAGGCCATACCCGATGGCATCAAGGATAGTGGAGAGCACAGAGATAGGAGTTCATCATATAAGGTGAGCATAGCGAGAATTTTGAGTAATTGAATAGGGATAATTTACATTTTTTATCTCTTCAAAATTCTTAATTTAGCGAACTTATCAAAATTTTTTTTTTATTTCGCTATCAACTTTCAAATTGGAGTTGCAATATTTTTAATTTCTTATCTATTCAAAATATTTAATGTTTGCTAACTACGCTGAAATGAAAATCTTGTTTAGAGAATAGATATTTTATTTCACTATCAAATTTGAATAGAACTGATTATTAATTTTAATTAAGTATTCATTTAATTTATCTATTCCAAAATCTTAATCATGGTTATTTTGAGCAATCACTGTAGTTATTTTATTTCGCTATCAACTGATAGCTATTCCTGTTATCAGTGCGAATTAATTGATTTCCTCCAAACAGTTTCTTTCCAACTACTTTATTTATAATCTTTTCGCTCAATGGTTGTTGAAGAACCCATTCCATAAATTATGCCCTATCTTTGACTTTGTCAATGGGAATGTTCTTGTTATTATTGTTGTGGTTGTTGTCATTGTCTGCAATCAATGCATTGAGTCTTCTGCTCTTCCGCATGCGGTTGTATCATTTACCCAGCTGTGGGTTGACGTGGCTTATTCACACAATATTCATTCACACGCCCCCTTATTTTTAATACAACCCAGTTGTTGTTATTGTTTTATTTGCTAATTGTTGTTAAGCATGTTAAATATTTAATATTTACGCAGCTGTCGCTAAGTTGAAATTATTTTTTGCATTTTTAGTATACAAAAGAGGCGCAAGTGGAGAGAAGCTGTTCGGATGCGGAAGATTTTAACAGTGCGCTCGGTTTCCTGGACACCAGCATAAGCGATCAGGCGCACAAGGAGTTCGAATTGTGGGCCAAGCACGATGAGGCCGAGGAGGACTTTTGCATTGTGGATGATCAGGATGTGGGTGCTCAGTATGTGGATCTTTTACTTAATCCGGAGCGTTATACGGGCTACAAGGGTGACTCGGCGCATCGCATTTGGAAGAGCATCTATCTAGAGAATTGTTTTGGTGACAGCAAGGAAACATCCAATGAGTTTTCCAGCTATATGCCACACCGGGACTTGCATAATGTGTGCCTGGAGCAGCGCGCTTTTTATCGCATCATCTCTGGACTGCATTCTAGCATCAATATTCATTTGTGCTCCAAATATTTGCTATCGGAGACAAAGGATTTCCTCGATCCGCAGGGCATTTGGGGACCCAATGTTATGGAGTTTAAGCAACGCTTCAGTCCGGAAACAACAGGTGGCGCAGGTCCGCATTGGCTAAGAAATTTATACTTTATATATCTGGTGGAACTGCGGGCATTGGCCAAGGCGGCACCCTATCTACGTCGCGAGGAATACTACACGGGCATTGAGGAGGAGGACGAAGAAGTGAAGTTGGCCATGCACGATATGCTCTCAGTCATTGAGTGAGTCATCATGATTAACAATGAGTCAGCGTCAGTATTTTATTTAATTTCATCACATTACAGATCATTCCAATCACACTTCAATGAGAATGCGCTCTTCAGCAGTGGTATTGCGTCCATCAAATTCAAGAATGATTACAAGGAGAAGTTCCGAAACATATCCAGGATTATGGACTGTGTGGGTTGTGACAAGTGCAAGCTGTGGGGCAAGTTGCAAACCCAAGGTCTAGGCACCGCACTAAAAATTCTCTACTCGGAGAAACTCAATTTTGCAACGGAGAGTGGAATTTGGGATCAGCCGCAAATTGAGACTGATCCCATTTTCAGATTGTCACGCACAGAAATCGTGGCGTTATTTAATGCCTTTGGCAGGTGGGTTTATTGTACAGCATACCATGGCTTAGATTCAGTTTGTGTAACAAGTATTTCCATTTTAGATTATCGACCAGTATATATGAGATGGAAAATTTCCGGCGGGTGCTGAGATAACCACTCATCTCATTGGGTTCGCCCGGAACACGGCACAAATCAATTTCCCTACAGGAGAGCTAAATTACGCACACTGCTCAAAGAAATGCTCTCTGAAGTTAACTGTTAACGCACTTGTGGACATTATTTATATGGATCTTATTTACGGTTTCCCTCCAAGATAGATAACGGTAACCGCCAGCCAGAGGCTAGCAACCACATGGGCATCTGCAATTTTGTATATATCCACATTGGGAATGCATTAAATAGTTCATATTCTTAGGCTACTTGTACTTTACTCCACCCCCTGCGCCACACAGGTGCATTTTAATTGTAAGTTAGAGAATGTATATATATATGCATATTTATTTATTGTGTACGATGATAGCTAATTACACGTAGCAAACATGCAAACAACATATTTGTGCAATCAATCCGAAGATCGTTTTTTATTTGTTTTTCTCGCACCACCGGTATAATAGACGATCGATCAAACAGCGTTGCCATGCCTACTTTATTGCTGCTGTACTGGCAACGCTACCGGTTAGTTTCAGTCGATTACGATACAAAAACATTTTACTTGGCTCATAGCAACCGAAGTTGTTTAAAACATTTGCTGACTTTGTCAGGGAATCATCCAAAAATATATTTGAACATAAAATAAAATAAATATATTTATAATAAAATGGTTGTGCTACACGTGAAACTCGGCGATCAGAATGTGTTCTTATACGAGACCAGTGTGACCGAAACCACAGATACCGTTATTCGCGAGCTGATATCTGTTTTCAATGGTCGCCTAAAAATTCAACGCATTTGCATGGAAATCGAGGAATTGGCTGAGCATGGCACAATGCTACCCCATGAGATGCAGGGCCTAAACGATGACCAGATCGAGGAGCTCAAGCTGAAGGATGCCTGGGCAGAGAAGTGTAGACCTATGGGTGGTTTTACTTACAACAAGGATCCACTGTGCCGTCGCAACGGTCAACAGGCTAACGAAGCCATGCGCAAGGTCCTCGCAGGTGCAATGACCGATGCCAAAGCCATGATTGATAAGGTATAAACATGAGTATTAATATAGTAAGTTGGTTACTTAGGCTCATCCAATGCGCTTGCAGAAATTGTGCAACTTTTCGAAACCTCTGACGCTAAAGATCATTCAGGAGGCTTTAAATATTCTACGCGGTGCTGTTACTATTGTTTATCCCATGAAGTTGCCTCCACATGACACCATTCAAATGGAGTTCACCAATATGGAGGATCTGACTGGCACTCAGGCCTCCAAAGACGTGATTGAACCCTCCAAGGCTCAGCTGTGGTTTGCTGGTCGCCAAATTTTAAGTGGAAAAATATTGAAAGAGTATTTGGGTAATAATGACAAGACCAAGGTGAGCTTCTTCTCACTTTTATATTAGAATTCAGTATTAGCTTTAACCTTTACTGTTTGCCGACTTAGGTTGTGGTCAAGCTGAATCAGCTGGGCGAAGGTCCGCCGGCACGGGAGCAGGTGATCACGGAGCATGTGCGTCGTCAATTGATGGCCGCTGAGTTTAAGCGTCAGGAGGAGCTCAAGGTAGGTGTTCATTAAGAGAATCGTAAATGCTTTATTCATTAAATAGCTTCTATAAGTATATATCTAATATATAATATGTATATTTTATCTATAAGTAGTTAATCAAAAGTGTAGAAATTTAAGCGTGCAGTTTTTTTTTCCTTTGGTGCTTCTGTGCCTCTAAACCATTATCTCTGTGATTTATATATATTTGCATAGATCAGGCTAAACTAATTCGAGTATATTGCATAGCTACTAAATCGAAAAATCAAGGCAAAGTCCAATGCCCTTTTATTTCGAACATATTTTCCCCATTTTTAGTTTGTGCTTGATTTATCGTATTTACAAAATAAATGCATTTGCCCAAAAATGTTGGTGCTTGGTTCCCGTTGTGGATCCTTTATATATATAAGTTCTATGGTTCAGCAGACTGACTGTAAGATTATCGTTGGTTTCTTGTTACTGCCATATTCCCGTCTCTTGAAATATGTATAAATTCATGTTTAAATGCAACTGATTTCGAAATTCCAAGGCACATCCACTGAACCAAACGTGGGCAGATATACTCTATTTGATGTTAAAATGATTTGATTTTCTGATTTGGTCGCATAACCCATGTTTAGAGGGGTTAATAAAGCTCTTGAGAGTTGTATAAAGTTCTATATAAATTGAAATGATAATCAAGTGAAATGCTCTGAATATAGTTAGATGGCTTTGGTTGTTGTCGTTGCTTCTTTCTATGCTATATATATATATAATAAATCGTTTGTATAAATGCGTAGATAAATAGCGCTGAGTGGAAATTCAAGTTCAGTTCGCAGTTCCTATAAAGATTGTATAGATTTCAATATAAAGAGTAACAATTTCTTAGCGATAAGTTCCCTTTTCAAGTCTTGAGCCCATATCCTGGGCTCGTTTAAAGTATGACCAGTGGTTTTTCGGGCACATCGCAACTGGCTGCCTTCTCGTCGTGATCTTCGGCGAAGTTCAGTTGCTCACCACGGTTGCTCGATCCACCGGTTGGGCTGAGTGGTATCAGTGATTTGGTGCTGCCAATCATTTCATGTGTGTCCAGCGGATGCGGCTGATCCTGTGGCGACAGTTCCAGCTCACCCATGGCACCCGCCTGATGCTCTAAATCGACCACATCGTCATCCGTATCGTAGACTTTTTCTGGCTGCTTTGATCTGGCATTATGGCCAAAGACATCATCATCCGAATTGTCGCCAGCACAAACACAACGCATTTTGGCATCGTCACCCACCTGAAATTTATACAGCATTGTGAAACCCTAACTTTATAATTTCAACATTTGACACTCACCTTAACCGACTTGGTTATGACGCACAGCGATATGGATGATACCACAAATAGCACAATCGGCACAATCAGCGAGACGAGCAGCTCGCGATACACCTTGTCCAGATCATATCGTGCAACCACAAAATCCACATTTGCATCCTGCAGAAACAAGGTGAATGTTGTAATTGAAATCCGAGTCTAGATACGGTTCTCAGTTTTTTTGTTGCTGCTGTAATTTACCTTATTATAGTAACACTGATAGCGTGACTGAGCCGTGTTGTTGTCGCCATCGCTACCATAACGGGCCACAAAGTCCTTGCATTCCCCTCGCAGCGTATTCACGCAACCCTCGAGGTTTATGAACAATTTCTTCCAGCTGAATATGGTCAGATTGGCCTGGTTGGGCAGAAACTTTTGCTCGGGGTCAACGGCATGCGTGCTATTCTCGTAGATGGCCCAAAACTGCGTAAAGTTCATATAAGGAGCTGGCAGTGTATCGTGTTCCAGCAAGGTGCCATTCAGGCAATCAGTGGCCCTGGAAAAGTTGATATTTATATATTGCTGTATGGTTTTTGACAGAAAATTTGAAAAATATTTTGTATGTGCTTTAATTTTAAGTGTAGAATTGAATTAGAGTTAGAATCGGTTCAGTTTTAACAAGGCTGTGGAAAGAAAATCTTTTCCAACTTTGGATGTGGGATTAATCTACGGTTTAAAGATCTTTCTGAGAGTACAATTTTCATCTGAATAATTGCGTTTCCAAATTTGAATATAGGATTATTCGAGAGATCAACTGGTGATCAAAATCAGATCCCTTTTGACAAAATGATGGCAATAAATAATTGCAATCCGTCTCTCTAAATTCTTTCCACGTTACTAATTTTGAATGTAGAATCAATTTAGAGGTCAAACCTTGATCAAAAAACCATACTTTTTTTTTTTAAATCGGATAACTTTTAACAAAGTTATGTTGGCTATACTTACATGATGCGATTGTCGGATTCGCGAGTGACTGTTGCACAGTTGGTCAGCAAGTTGCCATCGTCTTCCTTCCAGAATTCGGTGGGCTCGATACGGACGCCATGCTCCTTGCCGCGTGCCTCGTTGAACGCCACCGCGTTCTCACAATCCGCAGCAATTAAGTTGTCCTCCTGGAATATAGAACCGAAAACGTAGTAGCAGAGTTCCTCAGGCTAGCAATAAGGATCAGGCTATACTGACATGCATGATAAGCGTATTGATGTTGCCTGTAGTTATCCGGGAGCAGTACCTATCACAGCTAAAGGGTCGCTTGATCTTGGTGCACTGTACCCCATGGCACTCGAAGAAGCCGTTCAGCTTCGTGTTATCCTTGGCCGAGTTGATGACGGGTCCATCAGGCTTGTGGTGGCACAAGAAGAACTCGGACATGTTCTTGCAGTGTCCTGTTGGGGGAAAAGTGGCACAAAATTAAAATTGAGAATGTCTTTGACACTTGAAGCACTTGCCGTTGGAGCAGTTAAAGACGCCGCGTATGTTGTTGCACACGGTGCCATTGTTGCAGTTGAACTTGTTGAGGCGACTCAGGTCAATCTGTTGGCGGCAAGAAATATATTAAAATTGTTGCATGTCCTCAAACTTAATGGCCTAGTCAATGATCGTAAAGTTGTGTGGCGCCACCATAAATACTTTTGTATTGCAATGCGTCTCATTAAGAAACCACAATAATAAGAACATCTAAGAGTGCTCTAGCCCGACTAGCAGATATCCAGTAGAAATGCAAAAGAAATCGTTGTAAATTATGTGCACTAAAATAGCAATAACAAAATTTAAATCGCCCTGAATTTTTGAATTCTTAACACCATCTTATTATTCAGAAAGGATATTTAGCATTTCTTCATTTTTGGGTAAATTTTTCTAAAACTAAGTAAAATATTTCTAATTTTCAGGATGTTCATAGGAACTGTGTAACTTTAGCCTATATTATTAGTGCAGGGTATAAGAAAAGGACCTTCTTGCTGTGACTCACGTCGACACTCAGGCATTCTAGGGAATAGCGATGACGTCTTTGTTGTGGCTACTTATTGGTGGTAGCTGAGGAAGGGAGGGGTGGGGGTGGGGTGGTTGTTGGCTGTTAAGGGCTCAGCAGCAGTAACTTACCATGGCGCAGGAAGTATTGGACACTCTGGTGCAATTGTTGAGCTGTATATCGGTGCCATTGCGTCGCACTACCGAATGGATTTGCGGACAGAAACCACTTGTGCGTGTCAAGCACCATTCGCCACACGAGGCCCAAGGACAATTGTTGGGCATCTGACGGTCCACCGTTTGACACATGACCGGATCCAGTTCGAAGCCCGACTTGAAGGCTCTACGGGGGCAGAAGTTGAAGTTGATTAAGTATTACTGAAGTAGTCGTAGCCACAACTTACTTCATGGATGGGGAGTAGATGGCCACGCTGAGGTAGACAATTGAGACGCAGGACAACACCATGGTCAGTTGGCAGAGGCAAATGGCGCGACAGATGCGCTTATCCTGTTCGGGTATTAGGCGCGGCTTATCTTTGCGACGCGCCATTATACGATATATACAATTTACGACTTGTTGATTTTCGACTTGGTTCTTTGTCCTTTATCCTTCGTTCACCCTACGACGTTTTCAAGGTGATTCCGTTTATTTGCAGGGTTGGGCGCCCTATTTTGTTGGTTTGGGGGGTTTGTGTTTGTTCTATTTGTGTGCCAACCAAAAAAAAAACAACTTGGGTTGTTTGGATTGTATGTACTATATACTCGTTCTGTGGTTTTGCATTATTGATGGATGAGCTGTGAACGTTAGAATGAATATCCGCTTTTTTTTGTTTTTTTTTTGGTTTCGATGAGTTTTTGCGTTCAACTTCGCGTAGATGATGGCGCCAACCAAGGATGAATTCACGTTCGTCTTCCTTGCGTGCTCGCATGCAACTGTTTGAATTGCTGGAGCAAGACGCAACCAAGGCTGGACAAACAACAATAGGATGTTCGTCGTTTCGTTGCGCACTTTTACTTTCGACACGGCGAGAAAACGAAAGTTAAATGGTCAAAACAAACCCTTAAAGCGGAGTAGGGCAACGAAACCGCTCCACAAAACGCCTGCGCTGTGGCTAAAAAAAAGGTAGCACGAAAGCTTTTCCAGCTCTCACTCTCACTGTTTTCCTTTACTCTCTCTCTCTCTCTCTTGCTCTCTCTCTTGCTGTCTCCATCTCTTGCTCTCTCTCTTTGTATAATTCAAACTATCTTTATTTGATTGAAAATTCTTAATACTAAGTGCATTTGTTCCTTATCAACCGCATCCGCTGGTAAGGTGACCGTTATTTATCTCAAATGCTATCGCTAAAAATAGCATCAGTCCCGTTATCTGCTATTTAGAGAGCGTCAGCTGCTTACACTTGAACACTCTCTTTCTCTGTTTCCCTTTCTCTCGCACACACACAAAAATAAAACGCTCTTTTTTTGTTCTCTTTGTTTTGCTTCGATTTTTTTTTTCTTTTAGTGTAATTTGTTTATTAATTATGCCGTTAGCTTGTTAAACTTGTTTATTTTGATAAAGACACGTTAAGTAAAAAATTTTTAATCATTTTTGCATTCAAATATTTTGTTAGTTTTGTTTTCGGTTTGTTTTGTATGATTTAAAAAATTCTCATAAGCAACGTGCGTTATATCGGTTCTGCTATTAAGCTATTCATATATGTATATATCTATATTGTATATTATACATATACGTTGTATATACTTGTTATTATTATTATTAATCCATTAAATGTTCATTTTTTACATTAGATCTTTAAAACTATTTCAAAATGATGGAAATTGTGTGTGAGTTGGTTGGTATTTTTTCTTCTTATTGTTGGTGGTGAATGCGTTATATATTTGTTGGTTCTGCTTTTCTATGTGTGTGTGTGTTTTCAAAAGAGTTTTGAGTACGACCAAATGTACCGTTAGGACCAGAAAGGGTTTTAGCCAATTTATTATCTCTGGTCCAAAACGCTTCAGTTAAATTGCATGCCTTGGTATACAATTATTTGATTTTATTCACGTTGTTCTTTTTCTTTTTACGAATTTTACTTAATATTTTGTTTATGACTACTATCACAATTTTTTTTGAAAACAAGCAATTTTTTGTTAGATTTTTTTCTTTTTGGTTTTTTAAATGTAGAGAAATTGAGATTTATATAATGATCTCTATATATATATATATATCATGGATAGGCGGAGCATCGATATATGTTTAAAAGCGAGCGAAAGTCGAAAACAAAAAAGCTTTAAATTTGAAACTCAAGCTCTATATATTTATATGTGAGTGTGTGTGTGTGTATATATATATATATAGCATAACAATATGATGGCAAATTTGCAATGATTTAATAATTGAGAATAGATTGTAACAGGAAAATTGTGTCAATCTCAATGCTCCCCTAGAAGTACATGTGTCCTATATAATAATGGCAGATGGCTTCTCATTATACTATATATTATAATTATAAGCTAAATGTGTTCTGTGTATCTGTGTAAGAGTGTATCAGTGTGTGTGTGTGTGTGTGTGTGTGTTGGTACAGACTACAAAGTTAATTTGCTATTTTAACTAATTGGTTTTTGCTAGTATTCCATTTCATCATCTTCGTCACTGTGACACAGAAGTTTGCTAAAAGAATTGATTGAAATTCGTTTCTAATTCCAGTACATAAAAGCAATATATATAGTATATATATATTATATATAGATTGTAGATAATACGCTAGTTACAATAATAGAAAACATGCCAAAGTTCTAAAAGTAAAACATGCAAAATCAAAGCTAAAAATCTATAGAATAAATTTTAAACATGCTAGATATATTATTTTATATTCCATATAAGTTGGATATATATATATTTTTTTTTTGGTCAAATATGAACTGAGCGATGTTGAGTGAATAATAATATTTATTTCCCTTGGACAAGTGCATAATTGTTGTAGATGGTACTTGAAAATACCAAAGAACTTCTAGCTATATATTTATATTATTTTGTTGTTGACTAATATACGAAATAGTTGTATATATGTATATAATATGCATATCTATCAGTTTTGTGCTCATTAGTTGTATAAGAATAGTCTTGGTTTGGATAGCTCAAATGGAACTCGTTGAGTTCTTGAGGTGCTCTACGAGATGATGGCAGCTTAAAGCTGAGATCGGCTATAATGCGTGAGAATATATATGCTAAGGACACTTCAGAGTAACGATTCTTTGCTTCGATTTGTTTGGTGTTTTTTTTTCTTCTTTTTTGTGTTGTTTTTTTGTGAGCGTGCTGAATTTAAGTACATAGAATTTTATCAATTGATTGGTGTTCTTTTTGTTTGTTTGTCGGCTTAGAACTAACATCTCTAGAAACAAAGTTTAAATCCATCGCTCGCATTTGAACCTACTCTCTTTAAAATGGGGCTCAAAAATTCAGGCACTGTTTAAAATACATTCAAAGATAACGACTTTTCCGTATTACATTTCATGCAGTTTACGATCCTGAAAGTAAGTTTTTCAAAAAGAGAGAAAAACGAAAAAACGCATGAAAAAAGTCTCGAGTGTGTTGGAGAAATGATACTGAAAACTGAAAAAACGAGGAGTTTCACAATTAATTTCATAGAATTTGTTTTTTTTTGGAGGCCAATATCGCTTTGGATGATTATTGCATAACATTTACGATCGATAACGATATGATTAACAATATATACGATTAACGATTAAACGATTAGTTTTGACAATCTCAATACAAGGCACAATGGATAGTTATTATATATAAATATATATATATATGTGTGTGTGTATGTGTGTGTGTGTATGTGTGTGTGTGTGTGGGTGGGTGGGTTCTACTACATTACGAGAGAGGGGCGGGGAGACACGGGGTAGGTTGAGTATCTTTTTGTTTAGATGAGAACATAAAAACTATATGCTTGCTTGACTTTGACTTAGAATAACTCACTCTTCCTTGGTTGGAAACTTTTCGGCATAGACGCGCGAAGATTTATTGCACGCCTTCTCGCAGCAAGGACAATACCAATAGCTGAGCACCCCAATCGAGATGGCAAACAGCACATTCGGTATGATCAGCGAGAGCACCAAATGATACAGATTATTCTCCCACGAATAACGTCCGATAACAACTTCTGGATATGCGCGACTATAATAGCAGGGAAATGGCTCACCAATGTGAGAGAAGCTATATGGATAGAGAAGAGAAAGTTTTATTTTTAGTATCATCTATCTAAAGGATAGGGTGGCTCAGTTGTGGCTTACCCATATTGCCTGGCGAAGACACTGCAGTTGGTCGTCGGCGGATAGCCACAACCCTCGGAATTGATGAGAAACTTAGTATAGCTAACATCCCAGTTGACTCTCTCCAAGTCTCGAGGATTGCGCTCCCATTCGCTAAACGGTATGCGCGTATAGTTGACAAACAACTGATGGCACCTGTTGGTCAGAATTATTGGGATTATTGGTAATTTCATTTAAATGATTGGTGATGGATTTATTACGAATCTCATTTAATGATTTGGTAAAGGATTAGTCTACTTACTTTGTGAGTGATGAGGTGCAGCCCTCGCGACAGGAGCTCCAGCTGCAGTTCTTGATGCCCTCCGCATAGATGTGATCGATGACGATGCACGTCACCGGCACCGGATCATAATCCGCAATGATTGTTGAGATGGCGGGATCGACAACGAAGGGTATCAGGAAGAGGAATGTGAACACCGACAGTATGGCAGTCGTACCTAAACAAAAATAAAAATGAATTGATTAAATTCCAAATACTCCTAGCTAATCCTAGATTCACCTACCAAGGCACACGGAGGTGTAGAATTTTGCCTTCTCGAGTATGGTATCCATTTCGATCTCCTCGCGCTTGGCTTTGATGGCGTCCACGCAGCCACTGCCAGGACGAATGGGCCCGTGCGATTGGCAGGAGGAAGATCGACCCGATCTGCTGCTGCTGCTGCTCAGGCTCATCTTGCTGGCGGAGAGCGTTTGGGCCGAGAGCGTTGGACTCGTCGGCATCGACGTTGTCGTCGTCAGTGTTGAGCTCTTCTTCATTGTCAAATATTTATTTATATATTTCTTCTGTGTGTGTGTTGTGTGTGTTTGTGTGGAAAAAGTTTCTGTTTCTGTTTCAGTTATTTTTGTTTTGTTTTGTTTTTTTTTTCTTTGTTTTTGTTTATCACTAAAAGCCTTAAAAATGAACACCGCTAACGCTTTTGCTTTTGCTCTCTAAGCCTACAACAATAAACAACTTTTAACTTTCGCCGCTCTCCTCTCTCCCTTCTCTACGTCTTTAACCCCCCCTTTAGCCTAGTTTTATGGTTTTGCCCGTTCTCTTTTTGTTTTTATTAGTTATTCGTGTTGCCGAAATGGAAATTTGTTTTAATCATTAGTTCTAAGTCTTTATATTTTATGTCGTTTTTCTTTTTTAAAATTGCAGTTTTTTTTTTTTTTTTTGTATTGATTAATTTTATCTAAATTGATGTTTGTTAATTTTGTTCTTGAAGTTTGTTCGTTTTTTGTTTTTTTTTTTTGTTTTGAGTTAACTAATTCTTGCGAGACTTTATATATTTTTGTTGGTATCTTCTTAGTTATTTTTGATCACGCATCCCTCCCAAACCGTTTTGACCATTACTGTTCCTAAGGGCTGATTCTAATTCCCATGTTGTTGCTGTGTGATGTGCGTGTATTTGTGTGTGTGTGTATGTGTTGTGTGTGTGTGTGTTGTTGTGCGCGTGCTTCGTGTGAGTGCATTCAAGTATTATATATATTCTCTATTGATGGCGTTTTTAACTTTAAGTCAAGTAATTCAATCAATTTGTCGCTTTTGTGCTAATCGCCCCCAAGTCCATACTCCTCGTCCTAAAACTCCTAATTACACTCAGTAAGTGGCCTAGCGCACTTAGCCTTATTCCAAAAATATACAAATTATACTAATATTGTCTTCTGATCGGTTCGTATCTCGAGAATTTCTTATACACGTGCCTCGCATTTAGTGTTGACGTATTATTATTATTATTATAATTATTATTATTTCGTTTTTAGTTTTTTTTTGTTTTTAGTTTTTTTCTGTGATTGCTGTTAGCTCAGGAGTGTCCTTGCAAGCCGCTCAGGTGTTTGTTGTTCTTGTTGTTGTTGTGGTCTTGTTGTTGTGGTGTGGTCGCTTGTTTAGAAGTTCGATGGAAGGATTACAAAGAGTTGTTTGCGAGTGGTTTCAATGCCCAACTCCATTACTGCAAAGCGAAGACGCCAGTCTGATGCACCGGACTGTCTTCCTGGAGCAGAGGAATGCCTGCAAAACAAATTCAATGTAAGGCATACAGTTATAGTTAGTTATAAATATAAATCTAGATTTGACACAGTTCGCTCCTAACTCTAATTAAGCTTTGTTTAGCTCCAGTGTTCGCTCGAAAGCTACACTCAGCAAAAAAAAAATCGCCTTAATTCGCTACACTTTCGGCGCCACGGGTTCATCACCTTATTATTCAGAAAGTAGATTTTAAAAATTAAGGACGTTCTATAAAAATATATATATAATATCTATCTATATCTAAATCTAATAAGGAAACAATTCTTATATTAGCTTTTTTTGTGACTTGTTTTGTTTTTTAATGTTTTCTTATATTAGAAATTAAGATAATTTTCTAGAATTCAAGGCGATTTTTTACTGAGTGCAGAACGTTCTACATCTTGAGCGATCACTGTGCCTGCTAAGAGCACTACTTGAGCACAAGATATAGAGGCATTACAATATGCCTGGGATTTTGGGGACGCTACCAAGTAAACTTTGACCTGCGTTAGATTTACCCAAGGAAAGTTATTTTGATCGTTAGTTGAAAATACGTATGTAGCACAGTGTAATTCCCTAGTTTACGAGAGAGAAAGAGAGAGAGTTTTGTCTGTTTTCTTTTGGGGGCGGGAGTGGTTAGCTTACGTGACGGATCTCATAGGGCCATGACCTCGTCGCCACCGCCGCCAGCGCCCATGTCGCCGTTGGTTGGTGTGCCGACGTTGTTCTTGGATAGAATGGTCGCCGTGTCGACGCATCCTTTGAAACGCATCTTGGCATCGTCGCCGACATAGACGGTGCGCTGGCAGAGCAACAGCACCGAACAGGAGACCACGAACAGCACCGACGGCACCACCGACGCGAACACAAACTGGCGATAGGTGACCTCCAGATCGAAGCGGGCCACCACCACATCCTTCTTGGACGGTGAATAGAAGCAGGGGAATCGTGCCCGGGCATTATGATCACTGCCATCACGTCCAAAGTCCTTGAGGAACTCCTTGCACTCATCCATCAGGGTATTAACGCAACCCTCCAAGTTAATCATCAGCTTCGACTCATTCGAAATGGTCAAGTCGACATCGGGTGGTGCAATCTCTGGCACCGGTGTCGCCACCGACACATGCAAATGACTCAGATATGTGAAATTTGTCAGATCACTGAGCATATTATGTTCCAGCGTTGAACCATTAATGCAGTCCACTGCATCCACCCGATCCGAGGTGTTCTTAATATAATAACAGGATGTCATGGCAACATTATCGCTCGATTCGTTCCACACCTCCTCGAGCGTTTCCGCATTGATGGCATTCTGACACTGGGAGAGATACACCTTATCGCCGCTCAGCACCACCACATTCTTGTTCCTGGTTGGTATATCCACGCAGCGTCTGTCGCAATTGTAGGGTGTCCTTATCTTGCGGCATGTGCCGCGACTGCACGAGAACAGTCCACTGATGTCCATGCAATTGATTTTGCCACGTCGCCCCGAACACTTGACGGGCGCGTCACTGTTGTGGAAGACGCACTCGAAGGCATCCGTTATATTCAAACACTGTCCGGCTGTGCAGTTGAAAGTACCCGTTAGATTCTTGCACTCGTCGTTGATGCAACGGGCTTTATCCGCCCGATCCTGATCGATGCCGTAGCACGTTTTATTCGCCGAATTCGTGCAATTCTGAAAGGTGAGATTGGTGCCATTGCTGCGTAGATTCACGTAGATTTGGATGCACGCACCGGATGTCTTGCTCAGGCACCACTCACCACAGCTGCCCCACTCGCAGTTGTCCTTGTTGAGGGCACGGGTTGTGGTGCACATGACGGGCGTGGGATCAATGCCACTTTTAAAGGCACGCGTCGATGGCATATAAATGGCCACAGTTAGATAGACCAATGCCACGGAGCTGAGCACCAGCGTCATCTGGCATATGCAGATGGTGCCACAGATGCGTGTATCTTGTGGCGGCACAACCAAATCCTCAACGAGCACCTTCTTCTTGCCCATGCTGTTGCTGTTGTTGTAAAAGCTGGCTGTAAAAGCTTCTTTTGCTATTTAATTGCTAATCTTTATCAGACTTCTTGTCGTTTGTCTCTCTGCTAAGCCACGTCGCTTGTAATCCAATTAGGAGCAGTTCCTCATCATCATCGTGGCTTGTCTATCGATTGAGCCTCCCACACACACACACACATAAACACTCACCCACACACACACACACACTCACACACCCACCCACACACACACACAGACGCCAATTGTCGTATGTTATATAACTTATGGACTTATTCTCGCCTCGTGCGTTTTCTTTTCTTGTTTTTTGTTGCCAGATTTCCTTTCAAATTTCACAGCCTGAGCACGTTTTTTTTTTATTTTTTTGGCGACACTTTTGCGCTTATTGATTTTTTTATAAGTTGAAGCCAACTACTCGATTTTTACTCTTAGCTTTCAGTGCAAGCTGCTGGCAGTTGAAAAAAGCTAACAGCAGATTTAATTTCAAATAAAAAAAACTTATACATTTATTTAACAGCTAATTATTGCTTTTTTGCATAAGTTGTATGTTTTTAGTGGGATTTTGTTTTTGTTGTTTTTTGTTGCTAATATTTTTCACACTGCTGCTGCTGCTGTTGTTGTTGCCGTTTTTATAGTAGTTGTAGTTGGGCCCAAGGCTGCTGCTGCTGCTGCTGCTCCTGGCTGGCCTTCCTGGCTTCGCACAGTTTTCGCACTGCGAGCGTGAAATTCTTTGTGAGCTGATTTTTGGTGCAATCGTGCGACTCGTGTGACTCGGCTTCTTCCTGACCGCCGACAACAGCTCCTCCTGCCAGCTCCTACCAGCTCCACTATAACTGCTGCTGCTGCTGCTGCTCTTGCTGCTTTTGCTCTCGACACAAAATCAGAGCGCTGCGCGCGCATTTTCATTACAAAATCAATAATTCCGCATTCACGTTTTGCAAAAACATACTTCTCTCCCCGCTCTCCGCCCAAAAACAAATATACTCTTTGCTTTCATTGATTAAGCTTCGCGTGACCGGAGAGTGCAAGTGCACTCCCCCAAAAACACACACACGCCCCACATTTCTGTTTTATTGGTTTGGTGTGGTGGCACCAGGGACAGGGTCAATCCAGGGGCCAGTGGGGGTGGGCGTGCTTGATGACGTAGTTCCCTCTGCATTTAATTTATGGCTTAATAATAAACATATTGGGGGATGCTAAAGCAATTTTTCTGGACATATATAAAATATGTGTAAATTTATTTAAAAAGTTAAATATACTTGATGATATAAAAAACCTGCTGTCGCTCATCGTATCTGTAGCTGCAATTGTTATCTTACTTTGAGTACATGTGGGGAAGGTATTGAGAATTCAAATATACAAAATCAAAGTTCTCAGAATTCGACCGATTATACAAATGCAAATCTTATCAAGTTCTCTTAAGAAAGAAGGTAATTTACTTCGTGTTGTGAAGTTTGGTGACGACTTCTTCCATAAATATTTAATTTTTTGTATATTAGTTGCAATTGAATAAGTAAAGTAAATATATTCTTGATCAGCATCACCAGCTTAGTCTTGTAGCCATCCGCGTCTGTCCGACTGTTCTTAAACTTTTTTAAATATATCCGCCTATTTGCTGAGAGCTGTCCTTAGATATATCGAAGCCATTCGGATCGAACAACTAAAACAATTAGCTCTCATAAAAACAGTTAAGTGAAAGACGAGTTATTGCGTCAAGGCCTTTGTTGTTTATCAAGATTTACTTACTAATCTCTCAAGCTAAACTCTTATATATTGGAAATAATAATTTTGAGTTAAAATTTGAGTACAGCCCAGCATCCATAGGAACAATCAGTCGAAAGATGAGTTCTTATACTATTTCTATTATGCCTTCAACATTTTGAGAAATTATTGCCAAATTTTGATCACTACAACTTACAGCTACCACAGGAATAATCGGTCAAATTATATGTTTTTTCTTTACCAAACTATGCAAAACACGATGAAATTAGGCTGTCAGCAGATGGACTCCAATCTGTGAGAGCAGACAATCTTCAAATTGCCTAATAAAGCCGGCTTTTCTTGTTACAAAGTTCAACTTTATATTGGTTTTTAGTAGTACATAAATACATATACATATATATTTCAGCTATTGTTAACAAATTTGCACTATATTATCAGTATACAACAGGCAGCTGCTGCCGATGCGACTGCCATCGGTAGTTTGTTAAATATAATCCCAAAAAGAGATTTTACAAAAATATAGAGATTAATACAAATTAATATAAATATTTATTGTCCTGGTTCAATCCATGTTTTTTCCTTAAGTGGCATGTTCCACGAATCGGCAATTATGGCTATTGCATGTTTGCTGAGTCGTGGCCCAATCAACGGATTCATTTGGGTCAAATAGCAGCAGAGCCAAAAAAGCCAACAGCAGACAGCGGTCAGCATCAGAATGCATTGGGTGAGCTTCTGTTGGGGGCCGCGTGGCGTTATCATTGGTCCACCAATGCCGACGGCCGCCCACAGGGCTGTGAAGAACAGTATCGGTAGTATAGCGGCGCCCATTTCACAATTTGTGTGCAATTGTTACAAAGTTTTAATAATTTCACTTGTTGTCTTTGTTATTTTGTTGTTGTTGCCTGACTAATAATTGTTGTTGCATATCGATATGCATGTGTATCGCTGCAATAGCAACTCTGGCCGTAGAATTTTGGCGCTGCCAACTTGCTTGGCTGTTCCGATAGCAGGCGCGAAGTTTAAATTTATTTTGTAGTTTACGTGTTATAATTTAATTTAGTGCATCATTTATTTAACAACATTTTATTTACACGAATATAGCTATTTTTTGATGGGTCTTAATTGATACTTCATTTAAATATTTATGAGTTGTTTCTTTACGATATTTTGATAACTATTTATATAGCTGACATTTACAAATACGTCAACAAACTGTTTGAGCTACTAAGATAATTTTATCACATTTAAGCTGACCTTAGATACTATTAAAATACCTTGACGCAAGCTTGCTGTTAATAATTAAAAACACGCCCTGTGAAAAACAATAATAACTTTTCTGAACATTCTTTCACAGCACACCCATTGAATAATCAATGGCGAGTGGGGTTTTTTATTGGGTTTCTTGACATTGTTGATTTGAGTGATTTTGAATGCGCTGTTAAGTAGGCAACACTTTCTCTCCAACAAAAAATGTACTGCTTGCTGCAGCACACTCAGAGAAGAAGGTCAAAATGCAGTGAAAGTCTATCCTTTTTTTGGGGGAAATTTGAATTGAATTGAATTTGGTGCTTGTTGTTTGCTACTCACATGTACAAATTGTGGGTGTTCCACTGGCGAAGTGATGAGGTTTATTTACGTTAGCGCACACACACACACTGAAACACATGCGACACACACACACACGCACATCACTACACCCACATGTATATGCATCGTCGTTTCATAATGGAAATGCAGGCACAGTCTTTGAAACTTGAGGAAAATCGTTTTTTTTATTATTATTTTATTTTGTAATAAGTTATTTAACGCGATTGTAGTTGTTAACTTGACGAGTTGATTCGCAGTTGGACATAAGGCAGCAAATGATTTGATTTTACAATTTTCCTTTACTTTCCTGTCTCTTTTTCTTTTCTTTTTTTTGTACCCGAGCCGAGAAAATTCCAAACAGATGAATATGTGACGTGCACGGCTCGCGGCTCACATTTTCCTGCTGTTTACGCCAAATTCTGACATTTCTCACAAGCACCAAATGCTGCGAAGCTTCTGCTACAGAGACAGTGAGAGAGCAAGCCACAGAGAGAGGGAGAGAGAGAGCGAGTGGGAGAGAGCTCGGTCGAGCAGCTGCTCAATGGGTGGCGAACGCATGCGCTGATTGGCTTTACGTCATCCATTGGGGCCGCCACTGTTGCTCGGAGCTTTTCTCGCCTGGCAGCGTCAAAGCCAAAGCACAACGGGAGCGAAAGCTTTCGTTAGCTGTCAACGACTTGCGTGTGCACTGCATTGGGTATTGAGCTTTACTTAATGAAAATACACTTGCGACAAGTTGAGAAATATAATTTATTTATTTACAGAGTTGGTTTTTTATAAAACCACAATTCACACTAAGTTCGAGCAGTCTTCTACAACTTACCAATTTTGTCTGAGTTGTGCATGCTCCAACTTGTACTTGTCGTATATGCCCTATTGTTTAATGCTAGCGCATCAATCAAAAGCTCTCGTTGCGCACGTTGCTGGAGCTGGTTTTAGCAGCTGCAGCGTCGTCGTCGTCTCCAGTGGCAGTGGCAGTCCTTTCGGTGAAGAGTTCAGCCGTCGTCGTTGTCGTTCGCATTCGCGTTACGTTGCTGCGTTACGTTGCGTTTGCGTTGCGTTGCGTCGTCGCCTGCGCTTGTGTGTGTGTGTGGCTGCTCCGTTTGTGTGCTCGCCATTAAGCGCTGCTGCCGCCGTCGTCGCCGTTACCGTCGTTTGTTGCCGTTGCCGTCGCAGTTGTCGTCGCCTGTTTGTCGGTCGGTTTAGGCTCCAGCGGAAAAATGACAAAATGTGGATATTGTGATTTAGCTTCTTATTTTTTTTATATTTTGAACTTTTGACCCGTACGCAATCAGGTCATAACAAAAAAGAATTGTTTAACACTGTAAAATGAGCCAAGTAATTTTGTTGTTTGTTGTTGCTGTTGAAACTTTTTTTGTGCAAGTCTTCTGATTGAAAATGCGTAATCGTAACCTGAACCTTGAGTAAACACACACACACACACATAACAGTTGTATAGATATGTGTGTGAGTGTGTGTGTGTGTGGCTAGCACGCAACTCGACGTCACAGGACCACCCGTCAAAGAGAATGAGAGAGGGAGAGACGGAGAAGTTAAATGTGTTGCCAGCAACAACAACAGCAACAACAACGTCATATTGCCCATGTTTTAATACAAAACAGAATCAAATTTAAAGTGTTTGCCAAGCACCCCCCAACCCAACCGCCCCTTAGCAGCCCCCAGCACCCCAAACCATTTTTAAATATTTCCCCGTTTGGCTCCATTGAATCACAAAAAAAGGCAAATGAAAAATCGTTTCGTGCAAAGCACGAGAAGTCGTCAAGGCACCCCCTTGACACCTCATACCCCACTCCCCATACCCACTTCACAGACCCCTTTTTTGTGTGCCCCTATGCCGCATTATTTCGTTTTTGCCTCCTCTCTCTCCTTCTGCTTTTGCTACTTTTGTTGTTGTTCCTTGTGCCCGATGAGAGAGTGTAAAGCGTGCCAATTGAATTGAAAATTACATGCGACTCCCATTTTATACACGACCCCTCACCCTATACACCCTGTGTTTAGCCTGCACTCCACTGAAGAAGGAGTTTATTACTCTGTCGCCCATGTGAGCTCATTGTCGCCAGTTCTCCCCTCCCGACTCCTTCTCCTCCTCTGTCTCCTCCTCCTCTTCTGCCTATGCAGCTGTTACTCGTCGGCATATATCCGTTTCGTAATACTCCGGCAACCCTGCTCCTACCAATACCCCTTCCCCCGTTCCACCCCGGTCCCATTTATGGTGCCGCCAAGAATAACAAGCCAAGCAAACAGCACTTAAAATGTACATAGTCCGAGGTTACATAAAAAAAGAAATATATATATATATATATATAATAAGCGACAAGAGTCCTCGTGGCGCATATAAATATAAATAAACCACGCGAGTTGCGTTCAACAAAAAACAAAGAAAGAAAAAATGACAGAAGAAAGAAATGAATTTTAAACGAGCTGCAATTAACAAGAATGTTTAAACATGGCGTCGTCTAACGGTAGTTTGTGATCAATCCATTCCATTTCCCGTGTTCCAGCTGAGCGCAGCACGTGGCTGCACGAATAGTGCTGTAAAGCAGAGAGCAAAAGAACAATAAGTGCAAAGAGTAAAAAGAACAACAAAAAAGCAAAAAAACAAAAACAAAACTAGTGTCCGTCCACGTTTTTAATAAACAAACTAAACAACAAAAAGCAAAGAAGAAGCTAACAAACAACAATAAACAACAACAAGAAGCAGCAGCCAAAAAAGAGTGAGAAAGAAGAGGCCGTTACTTAAAATTGGGCGAATTGGCAGGCCTCGCACACACACACACATACACAAACAATCACACACGCACACAGGACACACACGTATGCGCCTCTTTGCCGCAGTCATAAAATAATCAAGCAAAGGCAAAGAGGAGAACGAGAAGGAGGAGGAGGAGGCGACGTTGATGCTGCTGGCTGCTGGCTGCCTGCTGACGAAACATCTCCGTTGGGACAAAGCAACACACACATAAAGCAATTAGCAAAGGTTGACACGAGATTTTTCGATGCCTACTAAAATGCATATGATGACTGAGTTGTCTCCATCTCCATCTCTGTCTTCGTCTCTGCATCCCTGGATTATATTTAGACTAATTGCGTCGAGGGCCACGCACAATTGCCACAGGCATGGAACAACTCCTGCTCAGCGGCAACAACAACAACAAGAAGAACAGCTGCTGTGAAAGGTGAAACCTGAAACGAGAGATATTATGGAAACGGAGAAGAGGCAGCAACTCAGAGAAACCGAAACAGAAACGGAATCAGAATCAGCAAATAGAAAGCAAACAAAAAGCAAAAGCAAAAAGCAAAAGCAACTCGTAACTCGACTCGCCCTGTGATATAACTTTGCACCGTAGTTGTAAACTCCTCTAATAGTTATCGTTTATCGTTTATCGATTCAAATAGCTTATAACGGTACTAAAGCTAAGCGAAGAAGCAGCAAATTGCAATACTCAATTCTTGATTAACGCCACGCGTGCACCGATATATATATACATAGCATAAAATATATACATTATATATATACATTAAACATATATATATATATATAATTAAGGCAATTATAATTAGGAACAATTAACACTCACTCGCTCTGCCTCTAACCACCCCGCTCCACCACAAAATTTGAAATACTTTTGCTGCCGCCCAGACCTTGCGCCGTCTTAACCGGAAATTAGACCAACAATCAGTAATCGATTAATCGATCAATCGAAACAACAACAACAACAAAATGGGTGATGAGTTGGATAAGCGCACTGCCAAGGAGAAGCTGCTCTTCTATACGACTGCCTTCTTTATACTCCTCGGCACATTCAGCTTGTTTGCCTTCCTCTTTCTCGTCCCGTTCGTCATCGAGCCGGCCTTCACCACGATCTTCATGCAGTTCGAGGAGGTGCCGGCTCTGTGTGAGACCTACGACACAGAGATTTATTTCGGGGCAAAGAACTGCTCGTGGTCGTCGTGCCGTGAGGGTTGCACCAAGGACATTTATACCTGCACCCAGATACGCGTCAACTATCGCCTCAATTTGTACAATTTCACGGATGAGTTCAACTTCACGGAGTATCACATCAATCTGAAGGAAGCAGAACGTGTTGTTCCGCCCGTAAAACGTACGGATCGCTATGAGCGTGCGTTGCGCGATTACGAGTATGATAATCTCGGGCCGGGAGACAGCAATACCATCGATCTGGACATGGATGGTGGTATGCCCATTGGCTCCATGGGTGCAACGGGTCGTTTCGAGCAGCTCAATTTTGGTGATGCCGATGGCTCGAATGGCTATCTGATCGAGGAGTCGGAGGATTCGAATGGATTGAGTCCCGTTGGCACACTCATCAATGGGGAGCGACGACCCTTCGATGAGATCTCAGAGCTGAACGAGGGCCTTATGGGCGATAATTCCACGTACTTTTATGTGGGCGCCCGACTCTTTCCCAATGTGAAGGGTTGTGGTTATCCGCCCATGCTGAACTGCACCATTTGGCTGAAGCGTTACACGAAGATCGGCATCAAGTTTCCCTGCTACTACTCCAAGGTTGATCCCAGTCTGGTCATCAGTGATCTGGACTATTGGCAGAACACCCTCAATTTGGTGTACTCCATGGCCATACCCATTCCGTCGTTCATCATCTCGGTGATCTACTTGACGTACGCTTACTTTAAGATCTACAATGAGGATGAGGAGACGGCGCCGCTGGACAAGAACGCCGAAGACATGGACATCGATGATATCGATGCCGTCGATGATAGCGATGGTGCCGTTCTAGCCGATAATGCTGCAGGCAGTCAAATCGTTAACATGGACTCTACGACAAACGATAGCTGTTTGGACGGTGTCCTGCCCAACGGTGGTCCCGGCATGACCAGATGCATATCGCAAGGTGCTGGCTCAATCACCACATCCGGCCATTACATTGCCCAATCGCCGGCGGGCTCACAAATGACGCCCAATTCGGAAATCAATTCGTTTGGCCATCAACTCAAGGTGCAAATGGCCGATGAATTGTCCAGAGATTCGTTGGAGAATGGCGTACTCTCCACGTCCAATTCCGTTCAAGGGTAAGAATCGGAGAGTTTGAAGATTACTTCTCCACGGATTAAACTCTAGATTAATACCAAATTTCATTTCTTTTTAATATTTTTGGATATTTACAATTATATATATTTAAATATATAAATAACGAAAAAGCTATACATCACCGTCACCGTCACCGTATGGATAATAATAATTTTAAATATTAATATTAACAGATATGAGCGTTTGAAAAAAAAACGTATTTTATATATTTATATAGAAATACCGAACTCTTATATTCATCCAGTTTAAGCACATTCACATAAAGCTCAGCCATTAAATTGACCCACCTTTTGACCTCACCCACCTACCTTATGTGCTCTCTTTGCCTTTTCTTGTATTCAAGTGCTCTTAAGATAAGAGGAGAGCAAATACTGAAAAAAAAGAACAAAGACAATTTACAAGCGATAAAAATAATTACTTGAACTGAGCTGCCAATTTGAATATTTTCTTTGATATGTTCTTATCTCTTTTTCCACTTGAGATCTTTTCAATTACCTCAGATATATCTTCTAGGTGACTTTGAGACATGTTCTAATCTATGTTTTGGCTTATTTTCAATCTGATTTGCAGAAACTTGAGCAAGACGATGACGACGAGTATCTCAACTCCACCTGGGCCGACGGCGGCAGTCTGAAACGTCAGGCGCATGGTCTGGAAAATGTTCGATTCCGATTCGGAAAATGAGCCGCTGCTCGAGGAGGAGGAGGCGCCCTAAACAGCAGCGGGAATCGCCGAATCTACAAAGAGAGAGAGAAAGATATATAGAGAGAACGAGGAAAAACGGAGCAACCCAAGTATTTCTACCTAAAAACAATCGATGACAAACCGAACCTGAATACCTTCAGAGCTGTTAGAGACACTTAAAAACTATGATAGATTAAACTATATTTACCTTATGAATTAACACACACCACATAGGCAAAAAATCACTCACACCCAATCACATAAAATATATATGTATATATATATATATATATATATATATATTGATAGATCGAAGTTATTTTCGACTAAGCTTAACACAAACACAGAAACACACACACATGACATTTCCAAATTACAGTACTTCATCATGCATTAGTAATTTCACAGATACTACAAGATATGAATATGAAATATATGATATATGATATATGCTAAAGGACGCAGAATGCAGCTGTGCTTCACACGAGGAGAGTGTTACTTTAATTGGTACAAAATACAATAACAAGAAGCTAAACAACAACAAACAAACAACCACAACAACAACAAGATTAAGTACTATATACAACAATACCTAAAAGCAAATTATAATACTTATACACATACATATACAAATATTTACTTGAATTATTTTTCTATTCGCAACAATCGAAGTCGTCTGCGAACGTCTCGAAAAAAACGCAATGCAAAAAATATTAAAAAAAAATAAATTAAAAAAAAAACGTAATAAAAATAAAACACGCGCAAAACTTATTTACAAAAGTCGAGGAAAATTAAAGCGCTGAAGATTTTTTTAGATATTGTGCTACAAAAAAAGATTAAAAACTGCAGCAATGTTAATTTAATAATAAATCTAAATTAAAATTTAATACAAACAGAAATAAAACTATGCGATAAAGTAAATAACAGAAATTAAGTCGAAAGAGCCTAAGTATATTTGAAATAATAGCTATAAATGATAATTATAAATGATAACAATATATTATAATAATTATAATAATAATAATACAACAAATTGTTATCCTTCTAATACATGCGGATAAAAACTCACAGCTTTAACTAACAAGAAACTGAGGCATAAGATTTTTCTTCTATATATTAATTTTTATTAAGATTATTATAAATGATAATGATATTTATAGGTACTACAAACAAAATGGTTCAAGCTATTCAATTAAATCTTTTAAATAATTATGCATTAAAATCATAATAATTTAGACCTAAATATAATATTTCCTTTTTTATATTAACAAAAACCAAATACCAAAAATCAAAGTAAGCCCAAAAAAACTCAAAAAAGCAAGCAAACAAAAATACTCAAAAAACCCAAACACAAAAACAAATCGATGCGAATATTCTCAAATTAGGCATAGAAGCGTTTGCAACGGTAAAACTGCACCTATTGCGAATAATCTATCAATGATAAGCAGCAAAAGCAAAAAAAATAACACATAGTTTTGGTTTTTAACAAACAATGAAGATATTTGCATGGAACACCACAAAAAGAAGAATCACACAATACAACATAATAAACAACAACAGCGCAACTACTAGCTAATATCATGTAAAACAAACAACAAACAAATGCTACTAGAATTGAAGCAAACAAGCGAAAAAAAAATCTCGAAATAAATACGCATTTAGCAGCCTACAAACAAACAAAAACCGAATTTATTTATTTAAAAAAACAGTCTTGCCAAATTTGAATTTCTTGCAACGTTTTGCAACACCGAAACGCATAACTGCTCTGCAATTATACCGATAACAGCGACATCAAACCGATTGCCAGTCGCCGCACAGCCGTTGGCAACCCTAGAACAGCAGCTGCTTATCAGCTGTGACCGCAACTATTCGCCGTGCAATGGAAAAAAATTACTATTGGCAAATGTTGTTATTTTATAATAGTGCTTAACTAAAGTGCTGAGCTCGCCTCATTTTTTCTACCCCAAAAATCGCGAGCGCACCTGCATCAATAAAGCAGCTCAATTGTTAATCGCCGTGGTACATTGTTTTGTTTCTCTTTGTTTTCGGCAAACTTTTGTTTGCTGCTGCTTCTTCTGTCGCTTGTAAACAAATTTCTTGGCAGCGGTTCAAGTGAAAATTTAACAAATGCTGTTGCAAAGCTGAGACGCTAACAAAACAAAATGGACAACAACAAGAAAGACATCTACAATCTTTGGGTGCAATACACAACAAAGGTATATGGTAACCAGATAAGCAGCTATATTGTTTTACAAGGAGAGGGGCGGGGCGGTGACGTGTTTTTCGCATTAATCATCGCAATGAAACAATTTTGATAGCGCCTGAAATGTTGTCTAGACATGTTGTCTCTTGTCTAAAAAACGGTAATTGCGTCTCCTGCTTTGTTTGTTGATGTTTACGGTTATATAATCAAGGCTGTGTTGGTCGCCTTTCCTTCGTGACACGAATTCACATTCGATTTCGTGCGTGATCCGTACTAGTTTCGTGTTAGACTCTTCCACAATGTGGCAATCCGAATCCAAATAAATTAATTAACTTAGATAAGCGCTTATCAGATAAAAAGTTAAACGTGTCTTAGATTAAAAAATATGAACACAAACAGAATTTAGTCCCCCATCATATGAAATATGAGTTACACCCTTCCAGAACAACTGACAAAGTAAATAATTAAGCTTTTTCTATTTGTTTTACCAAATGCAATTTACTCTATTATTGTATTATATTTTTGTCGTATTTTCTTAAAAGCAGTAAAAATACATCAAAATTACTTATTCCAAAGATTTATAAAGTTTCCCTATGTCAAAATACTTTCAAGTCATTTTATAGATTATATTATCTTTCAGAACTGGGCTTGGTTGATTTAAGCTAATTGCACGGCTCTAAATAAAAAATAAAAAAAATGTAATTTTTTTCTGATTGGATTGGTTTACTGGGTTTTCTCCAATCCGAGCAACAATTGCTGAGCCATTTTTCATTTTAATACCCCAGCAATCGTATGAATATTTATTTTTATTTTCTAATTTACATAGAAATGCTAAAGTTGATTTTTAATTTAATTTATTAATTTTATCGTTACCTCTCAACTGATATTAGTTGACATTAAATAAATAAAAAGTTAATCTTATTGACTCCTCCCCCTTTTCTTGCTCCCCTTTTACAGAATGACGAGACATATTTTCGTGAGTTTGTCTCGCGTTTTGTGAACATTTGGCGTAGTCAACTGCAGCTGGACTTTCAATCAGCTGAATGTCCGCTGTGGCACGAGGTGCAACCAGATAATGGACCACATCTTGGACGGTTGCCGGATGAGCTGCTGCCGGCCATTGGCAAGTTTCTGATTGTGGCACGCGATGCCAGCGATATGAACACACTCGAAGAGGAGGGCATTGAGGAGGTGGCCATATTGGTTGACTGTTTGGTAATTGTCTGTCGGCACTTTGACAACATATTAGCCATCATCAAGTACGAGTACAAGCCCAATCTAATCGCCATACTAACCAAGGTGTTCACGCAAGTAAGCCAATCATAGCAACCACAACAACATGCAGATTATAATTCTCATTTATTTCTTATTTTTAGCAAATGGAGCAGCGACGCGCATCGGCTGCAATGATTCATTTGTGTGGCAGTTTCTCGTCATTTCTGGAGGTCATGTACGATCCGTATCTAACATGGCGCAGCTTTCTGCGTGGCCAAATAGCAGATTACACACGGCTGCCGTACAAGCCGCACTCGGTGCATGTGGAGATCGTTCCCTTTATCTATGGTTAGCTGCCTAACTTATCGACTTATATGCCCAACTATATATTACATATATATGTTATGTTTTATCAGATTGTTTCCAGAACGAAGAACTGCTCCGGTTCCCAGATATCGGCGAGAGACTGCTCCATGTGCTGGGCGCCATTATCTGCGGCTCTCAGGTAGCACTCAATCATGTGGATATGTCTCATATATATATATATATTTATCATTTCTTTAACTGCTAATTGATTTTTGTTCTACTATTGTATAATAACTATCACAATCTTTGCTGTTGTATTGCTGTTGCCCTCTGCACTAGTTTCATTTAGTTTTTGCCTATATTTTCTGTTCATTTTGCTCTTTGTCTAATTCCATTTCGTTTTCATTTTGATTGTTGGCCAAAATTTTATTAAATTCGATATGTGTGTGTGGTGTGTATGTAAACCAACAACAATTTGCAGAAAACTTTAAACTCGAACTCAACAACAACAACAACCACAACAACAACAAATAGAAATACTAACGCTCTAATTACTACAAACGCCCCCCGCTCGGGTGATGGGCAACTACTTCTAAACTGTGATAACTTGGTGAGTGGTGAAAAACGCTTTTCATATACATACATCTATATCTATATATATTGTCCGTCTGTTATCCGCTCATATATATTGTAGTGCTTGCCCTACTCTGTCTCTCTATCTCTCTCTCTGTATCTCTGTCTGTGTGTCTCTACTCTTCTCTCTCTCTATGCCCTTCACTGAGTTTGTTTCTGTTTGTGTATTGAATTGCTTTCCATTTTATTTGGGTACTGCTGATGCTGCTGCATCCAGCGCAATGGCATGAGAGCCATTTGCCCGGCAACGGTTTCCATTATCATGCGCATCCTGCAACGCTGGGAGAGCGCCAACACTTTGCGTCGTGTTGCACTCAATTGTTACGCGCTGATGGTCATTGTACTTCAGAAATCTAGTCCAGAAGAAGTGAGTAATGTTTTACCGACTGTAACTCTTATTGACAATTACTAAAACTGTGCTTATCTCTCTTGCAGCGCCAAATAGATCTAGTTACGTTAATACAACTCTATTGTGATGCACTGCAGCTGCTGCTGGCGACCAAGCACTTTGACAGCGGAGTCGCTAGCTTCGATATAACCAGCGACAGCGATAGCGATGTTGCCATCGATATGAATGCGCTCTCCGCCAGCGTGGCAGCGATTCAACTCTTTCTGCCGGCCATTGGCAATGGGGCATCGGCTGTCTGTGAGGCCATTAGCGAAACCAATCTACTGGAGCTGCTCATTGGACTGCCGCAGAGTATTAAGGTAGGGTACAAATCTTTACGAATCGTGCCAAACTCTCAGTTCGATCTCCACAGAAAAATGAGTTTATTTCTCTTTCATGTTAAGCTTATGTTAATTACAGCTGTTATCGTTCTCGAATTGCATTGAGCGCGATTATTGTATGAAATAGCTAATTGCTATGAATACTCTGCTCATTTTACATTAATTACATTAATTATTTCACATTAATTAACCTGCTAATCCTGTTGTATTGCTTTGTGTTATTAGCTAATGCTATGAATACGCTGCCTACTAAATTGCCCATCATTGAATCTTGTTCTGCTAATCCTGTTAAATTGCATTGTGTTATTAGCTCAATGTTATGCTACTATATTGCTTATCCGCAAATCTTCTCTTTCTCTCTCTCTCTCTGACTTACAGCATTGGCACGTTTCGCATACGAGTGCTCTGATCAGCAACATGGATGCACTAGCTGCACTGACGCACAGCTCGCCACGCAGCGCGGATCATTTACGGCAAGCTGGACGCATTGACAGACTCTTCAGCAGTATGCGTGAATTTGAAATGCCCTCAGCTGCTTTACTGGAATCTTGCTTCAGTTTGGGCTACATCGCCGAGCAGCGTGTGCTTGTGCTGCCCGAGGTGATGCTGCAGTTGGTGGAGTGGCTGCCCCAACTGCAGGAAACAGAGCAACTGCACGTTAGCGCAATGCTACTCAAGGGCTGCACAGACAATTTTGGCACGTAAGATGGCGTGAATCGAGCAAGTGATTCAAGTGATTCATTAATCTCTCTCTTTAATTCAAGTAAAACTGTTAGCTGTCGCAGTCGCGTTGTGAAGGCCGTCTGTGCTTGTCTGCTGCGCGGAGGAGATGCTCTGGCTGAGACCTGTGCCCAGAATCTAATCAAGCTGATCGAAGAGTTGAGCAAGTTGAGCATTGTCCCAGTGGAGCTTAAGTCCATATTTGCGCTACTGCGACCGGGTACGCAATTTGCCCAGCTTAAACAGCTGCAACAGGTGAGTATATTTTATATTTATGTATAAAAAAACTGGTCGATGCTCACTCCCAAAAAATTACTTTGCAGACACTCGTCGTGATTGCGCTGCAGAGTCTGCGTGGCAGCGCCTGTTGTGCCGAGTATTTTGCCATCGAGCAGCCGACGGATGGCATCACAGTGCCCGACATCAAGAACTGGACACTCTCCGGCTCATATGGTTTCATTTTTCACATGCTCGTCCGTTTTACCACTACCACTTCGGATCCGTCGCAGTCGAATGTACGACGCATGCTGCTCACTCTGCAAACGGCCAGCGGCGGTGGCTTCGAGGTTTTCGTGCAGCCCAATGGCAACGTTGTCGTTGCAGCTCTGACTCGTCGCGAATACCTCACGTCGGCAACGGCAACGAAAACTCTGTTGGATGGCCAGTGGCACTATCTCACCGTGGCCATAACGCCGCCAAAACGACCCTTCTCCTACAGCCAGATCAACATCTTTGTGGATTTTGTGCAGAAACTCAGCGCCACACTCAAAGTGCAAGCCGTCAACGAATCGTTTACAGTGTGCAGCATTGGTGCTGTGGTGGCGCCACAACCAAAGCAGAGCGACGTCGCCAAAGGTGGCTCTTTGCCGCGCTCCAGCTCACAGGAGAGCGGACCCGCCTTCAAGAGCATGCTGCCCAGTCTGCTGGAGAGGACCTTGTCAGCAAATGTAAGTAATTATTCTAAATCTTGTCAAAATTATTAATCAACCAACGTGAAATTAATTTAGTTATTTATTTAAAAATACAAAAAGTAAAAAATAAATGAAATTAAAAAGAAAATTACATATTTAAATTATAATTAATTATACCTTTTGCAGGTCTCCAACTATTTTACGCTGCCGCTGCGCACTCAAACGGCCTTCGATCCGAATGTGAAGAACTTTCCCATTGGCATGCAGGACACAGTGTTTGGGGAGCAGACGTGCCTTCGTGGCCACGTGGGTGGTGTGCTGCTGGCGGATCCAACGACCAGCCTGAAAACGATCTTTGATGCGGGCATGAACTTTAGTTCGATCTTCTCGCAGGACAACGATTTGCTCGAGTTGAATTCCCGTTTCGTTTTCTGCTATGCGCCCGGTGCTGTTTGGCATGGCAGTTGCCAGGATTTGATACCAGGCGGTCGGTATCCGGGACGCATTAGTGCACAGCACTGCAAGACTGTCAAGATGCAGGATACGATCAATAGCATTGGAGGAATCAATGCCATACTGCCCATGCTGCATCGATTGATCAGGGAGCAGGGCGATGCGGATGTTTCCATTGGCAGCAGTTACAGTGATGATTCTGCTCCTGCATCTCTGAAAACTCCAACAGCTGAAGAGTTGACGGATTGGGAAATGCTCTCCTCCAATTCGTATACGGAGTGGAAGATGATCCAACATCCGTTGGCCAGTCTGCTGTGTCTCCTCCGATATCTCACCCACGACCACGAGAACAATCAGCAACAGCTGCTCACCAGCGAATGTTTGGCTATTATTGGCACCATGCTCCAACGTTGTCCATCCGCTCTGTTCGATGTCAACGCCCTGATGGCCACACATTTGCTGATGGAGTCCTTGCAGGCACACAAATCCACACCGGGAAGCAATTCACAACTGTTGGATGCACTCTACGAGCACATTGTCTTTGACTTTGCCATTTGGTCGCGTTTGCAGTTTCAAATAACGCTCGGACATGCTCAATATCTGAGTGCAATGATCAAGAATGATCGGAAATACTTTCGACGACGCTATGGCGTCCAGTTCATGTTGGATGTGGTGCGTCAGTATTACAGCACACCGGATAATATCTGCAGCGATGATGCAAGAACCATTCGTGCCACACTCTTTAGCATTGTGCGTTTCTACCTGCAAAAGGATGTCAACATCAAGGAGGTGAATGCTCTGATTGCATGTTTGGCATCGGTACGACAGGAGCTCGTTCTCATCGATCTGCTCGAGATGTTGACCTTCTATGTGCGTGGCAAGAACTGCAAGGATCAGATGGTTTTGCTGCTCCACGAACCACAGAGCGCCAATCTCATCTACAACTTCTTCGTGGACAAGAGTTACAGCAGCGAAGTCCAAGAGGCTGCCATTCGCGTAAGTGATCAATTTTAATAATCTGTTACTGCAGTTAAAGAGAGTAGATTGATTTTGTGCAGTATCCGTCCGAACGCAACTTGTCTGTCATATCATATCTCGTCAGACAAACTGTACAAATTGGAGTTCTCTAGAAAATCGATTATCGCAAATTGATAAAGCCAAAATTAATCACAAAAAGCTATTTTTCTGAAAGTCTAAACCGATAAAGCCTCATACCTCCCACAATTTTAAGGATAGTTACACCAAATTGAAAAGGTGGCTTGCTGATAATTTCCTTCAAAGATCGGCATATATATTTTCACGTAGATTACTAGGAACTTCCCTCGGACATTAAACTCTAAGCTTGTTTATCCACAGTTCATCAGCGGTTTGCTGGCCACGTCGCGTGTGCATCACAAGTATAAGCAGGTGCTCCGGCTGTACGATCAGAGCAGCGAGCAGAGCATGTTCCCCGGTTTCTTTAGCTTTATAACCCCCATGTCGCTGAGTTCAACTATATTGTTTCATCTGGTGGATGAGATGCTGAGCGCACAGCCCGACTATGGCGGACTCATGTTTGTCGTCTATCATGTGAGCAGCTGTGATCTGCAAGTGAAACTGGAGATAGCGAAGCGTCTGCTCCAGACCACCTTTGTCAAGCAACACTCGACGGCGGCGATTGCCAAGCAGACGGGCTGGCAGGAGTCCATAGCAAGACTGCTGATCCGCAAGCCGATTACGTGTGTGTCACCGGTGGAGGAGCGCAGGCGCAGCTTTGGTATCAACATGGATGTGCTCCTGGAGGATAATTCCAGTTTTCTGGCTCAGGCCGATCTAATAACGTTCTCTGAGCAGGAAATCGGACTCGCACAACTGCAACAGCAGCAGGCTCAGCAAGATGAGCAAAGTGAAAGCGGCCTCATCCTCAACGAGATTCAGGCGAGCGTCTCCGAAGCCGCAACGGTTATTGAAAGCGAGATTAAAGGTGGATATAACAACACTTTCAATAGATTCCTCTTATTAATTGTCTACTTTTCCTTATAGAATTAGCGGAATCTGTTTCCGGCGCCGTTGTGGAGAATGTGAATAGCGTCTTCTCGGTTTTACGGCAGACAACGCACGATATTCAGGACACCTTCGAGTCGCTAACCCTTGGCAGCGCCACGGAAACGGATAGCACACCAAGTGCTTCACTGCAGCGCGAGGAATCGCTGAGCTCGGAAAGCTCCACGCAATCGCCACATGGCACGGCCAAGAAGAGTGACTCTTTGGAGGTAGCCTCCAATATCTCTAATATGCTGTTAATTCGTAAATAATATTTTTATTTCACTCCACAGAGCAACTCGGCTTTTGATTTTATGGCTGAGGGCGATGTGGACAGCGAGGAGCAGCTGGTTTATCTGGTCTCCAATACGCTCTTCAACGTTTTCTGGCGTGGCATTGGCAACGATCATCCGCATTGTTGGCAGGAGCGTGGCCAGGTCCTTGGCTGCATCAATCTGCTGGCGTTGAACAATGAGCTGATTACCTCGCATCTATCGCTGCGTCTGCGCATTCTGGAAATGGCGGTGCAGGCATCGCTCTTCGATCTCTCCGAGCATGGCAGTCAAACGCTCATCAATCAGGAGGTCAGTTAAACATCATTCTTTAAACATCGTTTATTTTACTAATCCCCAATCAAATCGTAGAACGCCTCGCACATTTTGCGCATGGTTTACGAGCTGGTGGTGCTGGGCTCAAATGAAGATGAGTCCAAGAAGTGCTCCACGAAGTTGCTGGACGGTGTCCTCGCCCTGCTCGATGCTCTGATGATATTCCAGCACGGCTCCTCGGACGATTGGTCGGATATGATACGCTTGTGCTTGGGTCTCTTGCTCAAGTGCTCGCATCACCCGAATCCTGGCATTGTGGCCATGGCCACCGCTAAACTGCATGCCATACTACAAAGTCGATCCACCGAGGATCCTGCTGAGCTTTCCTACTTGCTCTACAGCATTAACAGAGCGCTCGACAATGCCATCGAAGGTGAGTGTGGGTTGGGAATCCTCCAACAAATGGTATACTACATCATCTCTGTTCTTTTCTTTTAGTTGGTAATCCGGAGGAATATTCGTTTCTAATGCCCGTGATGAAGGCGTTGCTGGAGAAATGCCGCTTCGCCTTCAACTTGGACTCCACGTTGCCCGATCTGCCATCGACCTCGTCGGGTCCGGTATTCTTCAATGACTTCCAAATGTACAGCACCAGCAAAAAGTGGCGCAACTTTATGGAACGTATGGTAAGTGATTATCTCCAAACTATCTTCGAATAACATAAATCAATAGAAATCTCTGGTAGTGATGGGACTAAACTGCCATAGCTTAATATTAAATTTATCGAATTTCAAAAACCAGGCCTTTTAATCATGGTTTGTCTTATAATTTAATGCTAGATTCAAATTTGGAAATGTTATTTTTTAAAATACCAGTTGTACTTGGTTTTTATTTAATTTCAAATTTCTTTTTACTGTTAAAAACTTAAACCTAAGCTTATATTTGAAATAGGCTTTCGCTATCCATGCCTAACTCAGTGCTTGCTCCCAGCTCTCAGGTATTTAATATAGTTTGTGATTTTTTGGCAAATTCTGACGCAGGGCGTGGAGTTGGCGCTCCATTTCCCGATCGCTCTGGGGACTTTTGAAGAGCGTCGTATCGAAGATGCCTTTGGTGGTGCGCTTCAGTGTCGGATTTCGTTCCGTACCTGGCAGCAGAGCTGCAGCAGCTCCATGACGTACAACGGGTGCTCTCGTTGGCCTCGAACTACGCCCCGAATGCACGGGGATCGGATGCTGATAGGTGGGCGGGGCAATGGTGCCATCGTAGTAGCTCTGCGAACGGGACTTCTCAATGGTGACAACGGTCGAGGACGCTGCGGATTCCGTGGACGGATTGCGATTTCTGTAGCGTGAGTGGCCGCGACTCCGATTCGTTATGTGTGGTGTACTGGTCACCACAGTGGGCAGGAACACACTGCTCGGTGTAGTGCGCGATCTCATTGGATTCCAGGGCGACGCTGATGTCGTCGTCGTCGTCGTTGTCGTTGTTGGCGTTGCATATTTGCGTTTCTGCTGCACGTGGCGTGTGCCATGTGCCGCTGTATCCAAATCAGTGCCTCTAACGCGCACATGGGAATCGGCATCGTAGGCCTGTTGCAGTTCCGGCACATCCAGTGTGTGCTTCTTGGCCACCACTAGCGAGGATGCGGGTCTCTTGCGTTTTCTACTCTTTGTTGGTGTTCGCGAGCTACCCGCGGCGTGTGCATCATCCAGCGGCAACTCATTGCTGCTCTCGTCGGGCAGAATGGGTGGATAGGATTCGTGCTCCTCTCTGTTGTTCGACTCGAAGGGTATGGGATCGTAGATGGGCACCTCATAGCTGGACTTGGGAAAATCAAAGCTGGGAAACTTGTGATGCGGACTCAGCGGCAATTCCTCTGATGGTGGTGCATAGTTCTCCTGTGGATAACTCTGCACGGGCAGATGTGCCTCCGGCTGGGCATAGCTGCTCGACGGATGTTGTTGTGGTGGTGCTGGCGGTGCTGGTGGTTCCGCAAAGTCGTGAGCTGGCTGATAATTATGCTCGATAGTGGGTTGATGAGGTGGCAAATAGCTGTGATCAGATGGAGGTGGAGCTGGTGGCAAATAGCTGTGATCAGATGGATGTGGAGCTGGTGGCAGATAGCTGTGTTCAGAGGGAGATGGAGCTGGTGGCAGATAGCTATGATCAGGAGCTGGTTGGTTATAACTATGACCAGGCGAAGGCGCAGAAGGTTGATAACTATGTTCAACTGGTGGCTGATAATTATGTCCAGGAGCTGGCGCTGATGGCTGATAATCATGTCCAGCTGGTGGCTGATGATATCCATGATCTGGAGCTGGTGGTTGGTAGTTGTTCTCATATTGCGGTTCGTTAGCTTGATACGAAGTAGAAATCTCGTAAGCTGGTTTGGAATGGGAGATCTCGAAATTAGCACTGTGCGTGGGTGGGCCTTGAGGTGGTTCCGCAAAGCTCTGATGATGATAGCCGACATTGGGAATCTTCTGCTCGTAAATGGAATACGAATCGGGCGCTGGCGGAGGCGGAGGGGGAAGAGCCGAATGAGTATAGCTGGGTGCAGCAGGCACACCATATTTAGTAGATGGTGGCGCCGGTGGTGGCTCATAGTGGTGGGGTACAAAGGATTCAGGTGCTTCGTAGCTGCTAGCTGGAATGCTCTGATGCTCCTGTGGCGGCACACCATACTTCTGATGTGGCTTGTGCTCATAGGAGCTTGAGACTGATGCTGGCTTATGCGATTTGTGCTCGTAGGGGCTCAACGAGGGTGACTCATGTCCACCACCCACAAAGCTATACTCCAAACTGGGAAACTTATGAGCGCCATACAGATCCTGATCTCCATGGCCGTACAAGTCCAGATCCATAGACTGCGCCTCATAGCTGGAGGGGGGCAATTGAAAGTCGGCGCTGTCGAACTTCAAGTGTTGAAAGGCATCCAGCGAGAAGCTCGGCTCCTCCAAGTGGGCGGGAAACGCAGGCGACGGTTTGTAATAGCTGCTGATCTTTGGTCCCGGCGCATAACTGGTCGATGCATATCGTACCTTCAGCTTGGGACTCTTGATACGCCTGCGTTGCTTACTCCGCTTGGAGCCACCGGCGCGTATAGTATAGCCTGGATGACGTCTAAAGCGTACTAGTTTCTCTGCACTGGGCAGCAGATCGCTGCTGTTGTTGGCGCCCAAGTGGGCCGCAATTAAGTCTGTTTCATTGCCAATCTCGGCACGCAGACATGCTGGCAGCACCTGCAAAGACCGGTCAAATGTTTAGTGGTTTATGATTTGGAAAAAAAACACAAAAACAAAAGAAAACTTTCACTACAATTTGGCAAGCATTTTGAAGAGGGGTCAACCTTTGACTCTTTGTACCAACTACTGCGTCTCGTTACTCTCTACATGTTTTACTGTTTGTTTCCGCAAAGCACGTAACACAATCACGAGCACCTCACTCTTGCAGTGCTCCCCCCCTCCCCCTCCCCCACTCTGTCCAGATTCACAGTTTGTGGCCACCCCTTGTCCTCACACGTAATTGGCTGCCATCGATTACCGACTGGCTGCTGCCTGGCATGCAGCGTTGCAAACGTTGCTGCACGCAACACCAGCAGCAGTAGCAGCAGCAACAATTGCAGCTGCTGGCTTGGAAAGAGGGGAGGGGAGGGGAATAAAGCATTGAACCTGAAGCTTCGTCACCAATTCAGGTTCGGTGAGCATCGTAATCCGTTCCGATGTGCTTTTGTTTCTTGTTTTTTCTTTGTTTTGTTTACAATTTACGTACAAGCTACCTACACAATTGGCCCGCCATGGATGAGCATCCACTTGAATTGAGCCACAGGCAACGATGCACTTCTCTTTGCAGAGTTTTATTTGAGGAAAGGTGACTACTCCTGGCTAAACTTGATATTCATATTACCATTCGCAAGTGTTTATAGTTTATATTCTTTTTAGCTAGTAAGCTGTACTTTTCAGTAAGTAGTAAAAAGAAACTAAGCTGACTAACTAAAATCAGTATTTCGCAAGACTTGTTATAACTAAGATAGTACATTTTAAGTGTCTATTCCATATCAGAAAGTTAGAATTTTTGGAGCAAGAGCTAAATGTTTATTGAATAATACATATAATAGGTCCTAGACATGTACAAGGGAGTGTTTTAAGGCTTGCAGGTTGCAGTAGCCTTTTTTATTTTCTTTTCTATTTAAAGATAGTTAATTTCCTTTGTGAAATGTGGTTGTTCTCTTACACAACGTAATTCTATCTTTGTCTACATTAAACAATCGGAGTATATCTCAGTGAAACAGTTAGAAAAAATCAAGATTTTTCTTTATTCGTCATAATATCCAACTATAGAGGAGTTAAGAGAGAGTTTTGCAAACTAGATTCCTTTCCCAATGTGAATGAAAGAAAAGATACTATCAATATTCTTCACAGTAAATTATTGTTTGCAGAGTTTAGTACAACTTAAGATGGAATTTCACTTGAAAGATCTTTACTAGAGGAGTTAAGAGAGAGTTCTTCAAACTAGATTCCTTTCCCAATGTGAATGAAAGAAAAGATACTACCAATATTCTTCACAGTAAATTATTGTTTGCAGAGTTTAGTACAACTTAAGATGGAATTTCACTTGAAAGATCTTCACTAGAGAGATATGATCGCACTTACAAGGCAAACACAGAGCCACAAAAGATTGCACATCATTGTTAAGCGAACTGCTTCTCGAAGTTTTTTTGTTTTTTTTTTAATCAAACGCGAAGAGCAGCAAAAACTTTTATTGAGGGACAAGCGTTTCAGTTAATCTTGAGCGTGCTGTCTTAAGACTGTTTAGTTTAAATATTTTAGTTTGTATTGGAGCTCTTTTTTCTTGAATTGCTTTGGCGAAGCACGAAACACCACCACCCGGTCACGACTCGTTGGACTTTCTTTCGGCAACTGAGCGGGCTCCAAGAAAGTGGTCTGGTTTTGTTGCCAGCAAAGACGAGACGTCGCTGGTTGTATTAGAGCTAGCTGCTGGAACCAGTCGGAATGACAAAGCGTTGCCATTGTAGCCACCCATCAGTGCACCACCAACGGAGCAGCGCCCTGGAACAATCGGATGCCCGAGGGGAGCGGCTTGTTAGCTAGTCTAGGCCTATGTATTATGTAAAGAATGCCCAAATGCGGATGTATCTACTCAAATTTAGGCTCGACGAAATGCACAAAAAAAAAAAAATACAAACCAAACCAACCAAAAGCTCGCACAAGAAATAATACAAATGTAAGATGCGAAAGATTGTCAGTTAGTCAGAGTAAAACTCGTTTTTGTGATACGGCTGCCAAACTGCATTCGAGATGCACGTTTGAGCAGCGATGCTTCCTCAGCGGCAGCGTTGCCACTTCAAGCATCCAGCGTCAAAATCAACATCAGCATCCACATTGAACTTGAACCTGATGACCACCGGACGTGACGTGCCGCCTCGGATTTGGACCTGCAGCGGATTGAATCATGCAAAGCAAATGAATGAAAGCGAAAACAAGTCAAATAAGCGTTGCTCAAGAGTGTTTAACTAATGTGATACCCTGTGATCTTAGAAATAGCTTACTTGATTTATTTATCTATCTATTTATTTCTTTATTTTCTTTTCGTTATTTTTATTTATTTATTATTAATGGATTTTTAACAGTAACTCACTGTGAACTGTTTACTCAGACCAAGTTTCCTCTTCGCTGTTACATACAAACACAAAAAATGATCATACCCCGCAGACAGAGTACAGAGTCTAACCGGTCTCTGCCACTGTCTACTGTCAACTCAAATAGACTTATAATGTGTTATTTGCCACTTTATTAATATTTTTGTTGTTTCTTCTTTTGTTTGTTACAGGTAAAGCCACTTTATGATCGCTATCAGCGCGAAATTGAGCTGAATCTGTGGGAGCCGATCAATCGCTTCTGGGCCGAGTGCTACGAGGCATGCAAGGGGGCGTCGAAGCAGCGTGCCAGCTTTCAAGCGACGAATCGTCGAGTGTTCCAACAAAAGATCTATATGCCGTGGAAGGTGCGGCAGGTGGAGGAGATGCAGCGACTCCAAAATGCGGCACTGCAACACAAAACGAACGACAGTCACATACGGAAGAGATGGAAGGCCGCCAAGCGTTTCTTGTACGGCCCTCGGGGACCCTGGTTTACCGGGTAAGTTTGCAAAAAAAACCAAAGAGAAAAAACTACGAGTCTCTCGTGATTCGCTTCATAACTTATTATTATGAAACTGCAACGCAGTTTGAAGCATTTTTAATTAAGGCGACAATTGCAAATGAGGCGTGCGCCAACGTAAATGGTTACATGTGAGTCAACACAAATGGCTTAATCACCTTCAAGCGCACTCAGACACATAGCATATGTATATAGTTATTTGATATAAGATTGACTGGCTTCAGTTGTTAGATATTAGATACAGTTATTATTTTAAATGTGTAGCTGACACGCTTTTATGTTCATTTCACTATGAAATGCTAACAAATGAAATGCACTCAGTCTATCCCTCTCTCTCTCTCTCCTCCTCTCTCTTTGTTTGTGTTGAGGCAGCAACTGGCAACTCGCAACAATGGGGAGAAACTATAAAACAATACAACAAAATCTTAAAGCCGTTTTTTTTTTAAGCTTACTAAAAATAACTCTTAATTTCACTTTTTTTTAGCTTTAGCTAAAGCTGACGCGGAATCATGTTTTTTTTGTAATAAAGGTTCAATTCAACAGCTGCTGATTAAACCTTATTAAAGGCAATCGATCCACGTATTTTCCATAATAAAATATAGGCTCAATAGGTCATTCAAATCAAAAAATCATTATTTAATCAATGTCAGATTTTACTATCATTAAATCAAATATGATTTGCTATAAATAATATCAGCCTATGACTGATAGGCTATTCAATTATCAATGCATTCAGCATTCAGCTGTTCTTTCTAGTATTTTTACTAACTATATTTTGTTTTTTTGGCCACTGTAGCAGCTGTCAATTGTGCAGCTTTCGCCGCGTTTGTTCGAGCGACTCATCAGTTGGGGCGCGATTAAAATTACGATTTAATTTCATTAAATCATCAAAAAGGCTTTATGCAATCGCAGAAAGTAGATCGTAACAATGTGTTATAGTCGTAGCCGACTGCAGCTAATGCATAACTGCACCACCAAATTGAAAAGGGTGGTGCGCTGCATTTCAGCATGATTTCAGTTTGAGCTTATAACGTGGCCAATTGCCAATTACCAAATACGCAGTTGGGGCGTGGACCTTGTGCGTTTTACAAAAAAAAAAAAAAAACTGACGGTCAAAGCTAATTAAACTGGTGGCTGCTGATGGTCGTGGTGCGTGTGGTTGTGGTGGGTAGCAACGTTCTAAGGTCGCACCACTCACCATAACTAGTTGTGAGCCACCAGACACTTGCACTAGTTTGCATTGACAGTGATTCTTAAATTTTCCTCTCTAAGCACTTTACATCACACATATACATATTATATATACATATATATCATTTGCTACTTGATAGCATAGTTTAATCTCGAGTTATATAAGATATTGGAGCGGATTAGATTAATATTTATAGAGAGTTGCGTGTGTTTTGTTGTTGTTCTTTATCGCGGTCGAAACATCCTTAAGACTAAGTAGACAAGAAATATACATGAAAGGCGTCGAATGTGAGTGTAGATGAGAGTGGACGGGGGGATGGGGGGACGAGGAGCACTGACTCCCAATGCCTCCTTCCCCTCCGAGTGAATTCGTTTATGTACATAAGTAATTCTCGATATTTATCGCTCAATCATTTCAACTAAAATACTACAACTATCGACTATGACACGTGGGGCACAGCTGGGGACGATTAATCCCAATCGGCTGGCTTCACGCTTAGAGGAGACGTTCGAGGCGGTGTTTGTGGCAAAGTGGTCGGCAACATTTGTGGTTCGGTTTCCCTTATTCTTCTTTTCTTTTTTGTCATGACTTAGTGATAACCGTAGGGAGAGTAGGCGGCAGGTGCCAGAGCCGGACCATGGTAGGCCGGTGCGAGAGCAGGCAGTGCTGGCAAGGCTGGTCCATGATAGGCGGGTGCCAAGGCAGCACCATAGGCGGGCAGACCATAGGCGGGCACCTTGGCCACAACTGGGGCATGGAGCAGTGGAGCCGGTGCCAGAACCTTGGCCGCCTTGACCACGGCACCCTCACGATGAACGACAGCATTGAAGCCGTGCACAGGATCGGCAGTGTACTCCACAACGCGACGGGTGCCATCGGCCTCAATCAGGGAATAGGAGCCCTGGACAACGTCGCCGCTGCGCGACTCCTGCTGATTCTTCACATCACCAGTTGAGCTATCCTGCAAATGAAAAGAGGAGGCCATCAGCAAAGGACTTTCAATTCGGTTCTTTCAACTCACATGGACATCGTAGCTGAAGCTGTACTGTGGATTCGGATCGTATGGCTCTGGTGCAGCCACCTTGGCAACGGCCAGCTTGGCCACACCCGGATAAACAGGCGCCGCCAGTTTGGGGTAGCCTAGACCAGGATATGCACCCAATGCGGGCAGCGCTAGTCCAGGTCCGGGCACCACCACAGCACTGGCCACAGCCACCAGAGCGCTGAATACAATCATCAATTGTTGTGCCATCGTAGATTGGAAGATTCGGATGAGATTTGTTTGTTGTTGGAGATTTATACTGTTTGCTGCTGTTGCTGCTGCTTGGCTGACAAATGAACTCACTCTGTGGTTCTGATGCTGAGCGACAATTGCTTTTTATAGCCACCAAAAGCCAAACTGCCAAGCTGCAGAGGCCCAAGCCCCCAAATCCGCAACCAAATCAAACGACGAAGCTGCTGCCTGCCTGCAAAAATATTTATGCAAAAACAACAACTGCAACAATAACGTTAGGCAAAAAATAAAAATAAATAAAAAACAAAACAACTAAAAAGTACGCATGCGTGTGGAGTATATTGAAAATGCTTGCTAAGATCACAAAACTGCAGCAGCAGCAGCAACAACAGCAACAAACAACACAAGTAACAAGTAAGAGTGTACTACTCGAAAAGTGACTGACTAGCTCGATACCCTGTACTGCATTGCTGATTCTCTGTGCTTCACTCCTTGAATAATAGCAGCAATAGAAATGTTGCTCTGCTAATGTTACTGCTACCGAGCTTAACAGATCAATAACAGGGCTCTGTTAGCAACAGAGCAGTAGAGCAGTAGGACATGCTTTACAGTTTGGTTGCTGTATGCGTTGCTCTCGATCCTTCTGGTATTGCTACAACTACGAAGATCACAATGGAATTTGGTTTGATCTTCCGAATAACAAAACAGAGCAAAGGCGGAATAGCATTTATTACAGCCTTGTAGCATTTTCGATCATTCTTCATTCTTCATTAACGAGAGAGTTCTGATACCCTATAATTGGCGAAAGAAGAGCTGAAGATTGAAGATTGTCATTATGCTCAATAATCTAAACAGGATTTCATTCTTTGCTTTCTGTTTTTGCTGCTAGAGTCTTGTTGCAACATTTATATATGCATCATAGGCCCGAAGTAAACTTCTGCTGTTCGTTACATTATGCGTAACACCCTCGTTACACACTTTAAATGCATGCAGGGTATACAAATGAAAATAATTCATTTTTCGTTGCGTCGCAATTGCCCCTGGCAATTTGAGAGTCAGGGCAAAAGAGAGGGAGAGAGGGAGCCGGGGGGGCGTTGCATTCGCTGACTGTCTGACAGGCAGGCGTAGAACTCGAAGAGGGGCGTGGTGTGTGGTGTAGCGGGTACGGGGGTTGGCCAGACACAAAACAGCTTAGGCCTACGAGAATGGCACGCATGTCTGCGTTGTTGTCTGGCGCTCTCCTATTCGAGTGGTGGACAGCCCAATAACCGAACCGAACTGAGCTGAACTGCTACACGAGATTGGAGCAGGCGCAGATCGGATTTGATCGTGACAAAAAAGTTCAATTCGAAAGCGATTTTTTTTTGGTCCGGGTGGCCAGGCAACATCAGGTGTGCGTGTCTCTGTGTGCGTGCGTGTGTGAGCTGGCCAACAGCAGTTCTCTTAGAGAGAGCGAGAGAGAGGGAGACAGCCAGACTTGGGGCACGCACCCAGTTGCCAGCATCGTTGTCGTCGTTGTCGTCGTCGTCGTCGATTGTTGAAAGGTGTGTGCGTCGTCGTCGTCGTCGTCGAGCTCGAGATCAGCCTTCGAAACTAGCACAAAGCAGCGCCGCGCCCAACAGCAGCAGCAGCAGCAGCCAGCAGCACTCAAACAGCTAACTGCAACCCCCTCAAGTCCGGCTTTGACTCAGACTGCAACTGCGACATCAACTGCGGCGACTACCCAACTTGCCACTGCCGCTGCAACAATGTTCATTTTTTATTTTTATTGGCAATGGGACAATTTTGCCCATTATCACTAATTTTGAACGGTGCTCGGTGTTTGCCTTGTTAGGCGTCGCAGTCGACACCAACGCAGTCGACTGCAACTGCGACTGCGCGGCTGGCGGAGACATGCACAGTTTTGCGTAATCAAAAATTGTAGCGCGTCGAGTACTTTCAATTAAGCTATTGAATAATTCGAGCGCGTGTCTGTCGCTTGAGTGAATGTTGTGCAGAGGGTGCCAGTAGTGGGCGGGGGTGGCGCGTCTACACTCGGAAAAAAACTAAAGTTTTTCCTGTTTTTAGAAATAGTTTCAAAATTTATGAAAGCATTTTTCTGAATAATAGAAAGTTGAAAATATAAAAAATATTTTCTATAAATAATAATTAACGCTGGTTTTTCGAAAGCAACAATCTTCCATTTTCGAATTAAACTTTATAACCCGAGGAAATCTTGGCAATAAAAGTGTGCCGAATTTCTAAAATGCAGAGCGTTTTTTTTTCTGAGTGTATATGTGGGTGTTTAAGATTATTTGCATACAAATTGAGGAAAAGGATTCAGTTTGGCTATCGAAATTAGATAATTAGATAATCGTTCTTGGAATAGGTCGGCCTTTGAGCAGACTCAGTAACTTAAGTTGATCGCTCTTTAAAAGTTAATCGATGCATTCGATGAATTGATGGACATTACTAAAAAGATGCAGCAAGGCATCTAAAGCTGAGTCGCATCTTAGATCCTTAAATTCCTTGCAAAGTTCACATGTCAAATGGAAATAAATCAAATTTGCATATCACATGCCTATCTGAAACAACTTATTTGCAACACAAGCCATTTGTCATCGCAGTCTGCCCCGACTCAATATATATAAATCTATATATATATATATATATGTATAGATATTTGCTCGATTATCCATAACCAGGTGTCCCAACAATTAGGCGTGTTGTTGTTGTTCTCTTTGGCTAACTGGATATATATTTATGTGATTTATGACTTTGGACAGACAATAACTTATCTACACGCTAATATCAGCTATGATGGAGCACAGCTGTTTGTTTGTTTGTTTGTCTAGCCGAGGAATGGTGCGGGGCCAACAGCCGCCGGCAGAGCGGGACGGGCGGCGACCACCGGCACTGGAACTGGGCCACGCTGCACCACCGCATTGAAGCCATTGATGGGATCGGCGGTGTAGAAAACGGTACGCAATGAACCATCAGCATCGACAACCGAATAGGAGCCCTTGACCACATCGCCATCGCGCACCTCCTGCTGACTCTTGCTATCCCCCGTAATGGCATCCTGAACATTGTAGGCGTAGGCATATTGAGGATGCGGATCAAACTCCGTGTTCACCGGCACCAGGGCGCACTCGATGACGGCGACCAGAGCGCAGCTGATGATGATCGACTGCAAGTCGGAGAGAAGTTCTTAGATATCCTTGGCAATGATTCGTCCTATTTCAATCTTACCTTGAGTAGAGCCATTGTTTTGATTGATTGTATTGAACTGTGAATTGTGGGTGGCTTGACTGCACTTTCTTGACTGTCTCCTGGTGCTGAGTGGTGCGTGGTTATAAGCAGTTGATTGGTGTCAGTTGCCTTGTGGCAACCACTGCCAAAAGTGAGCAAATATCTGATGTAATAATGTGCTACACAAGTCGGGAGGGAACCCACAAGAAATTTCTTCAATGGACGTGCCAACAATTCCGTTGCTGCCCCGCTTGCACAATTCATTCCCCCTCCACATATGACAATCATAACTTTAAATGTGGCACGTGAGCTGCATTAATAGCTTCCCAGTTTTGGTGCGCCTTGAGGTCGGACCTGCCGTAAGCACCTATGTGAATTGTGACTAAGCATTTAACCTTCGAAGAAGTAAGCGTTAGAGTGTATTCACCTTGGAGCTAGCCTGAGATTATGAGTTACTCGTGAATCACTCTGGTTTTGAGTTATGAATTTAATGATTGCTACTCTTATTGCACAAGCAATGAAGTTCTCCGCTTTGTAGCAGATCCTTTCTGTAGGATACTTCCTCTCTGTATGACTTCCTCTTTGTAGAACTTCCTCGCAGTGAGATTTCCCATCAATAATACCATAATCAATATCAAACAGAGTTTTTTAGTTTTGTTTTGTACCGAAAACTTTTATTCAGTAAATGCAGTTTAAGAAATCACTAGATAAATTGGCCAATAACCGTTTTCCAAGTATCCCTAAGTTCTAAGTTGGTTTTCTTCTATCGATTAACATAGTTTTGGGAACATGATACGGAGTTGACTTTCAACTGGAGGACAGCACGCACGTAATTGTTGTTTAGAAGTGGAAATATTTGATTGATGTGAAGCACTTTAATACTAGAACTATTCAACAACGGTCTGAGGGGTGACATCTAACGAAATTTGCGGGGCGATCGTTTCTAGTAGTGTCCACCAGACAGACCATATGCGGGTGCAGCGTACGCGTGTGCAGCGTATGCAGGTGCAGCGTATGCAATCTTGGTGATGGCGGGCACAGCAGCCACAGCCAGGGCGGGCTTGGCGACAACGGCGACACCCTTCTTCTCGACGACGGCATTGAAGCCATTGATTTTGTCCGCCGTGTAGGTCACCTTGCGAATGGTGCCATCGGGTTCGGCCAGCGAGTAACTGCCATGGACGACGCCATTGACGAGCGACTCCTCCTGCTGCTTGGAATCGCCAGTCTTATGATCCGTAACGCCATACGAGAAGCTATACTGTGGATTCGGATCGAAGGGCTCGGCAACGGCCACCTTGGTCAATTGGACAGCCGGTGCAGCAGCCACAAGTGTAGGCGCCGCCAGGAGCTTGGGCGCCGAATATGAGATGGCCGGTGCAGCGATCAGCGACGGACCATAACTATCAATGGGCAGGGCGACAGCCACGGACAGCGCCAGTCCAAGCACACACACAGACTGTGCCATCAAATGGAAAATGAGTAAAGTAATCCTACAGAGATTGAATGGATTAAACCTTACCTGAATGAACATGCTGAAGGATCGTGTTTGTGGTTTGTTTTGACTGCGTGTCTGCACGGCAAGAACTCAACTCGATTGTGAGATGCATTTTCCGCGAGTTCTTCAGTTTTATATTGGAAGTCGAGCGGCGCGTTTAACCATTTGTGGCAGCCACATTCCCTCCAGCTCCGCGGAGCTCTCCGCCTGCAGCTCCTCGCTAATCAACGTCGAAATATGTAGCAGCTAATGGCAAGTGACAATTTGGCTCTGATTGGCTACTCACTTCTTGAGATCTCGATCTCAAAATCGCACCTCAGCCCGATGCACATGCTCGATCTCGATCTCCGTCTCCAAGCTCGTGCTTTTCTAGTGCAATTTCATGTTTTGTCGGGCACATTTCATCATTTACGAGTTTTTTCGTTTTGTTATTTGGTTGGCCATAATGCGTGCGTGGCCAAGAGACTTGTTTACCCGCCCACCGCCCCCGTCCTTCTGCTGCAAGCCAGCCTCGAGTAAACCAGATCTGGGGCCAATTCTCAGGTTCGTTCTCTGCTAACGTTTTGTCTGATGTAATAGTGCGAATCATTTGGCTAACGTCCAGTTTGCTGCTGGGCCAAAATTGAAAAAAACCAAAAACGAGACTGCTGCCACCCCCTCGCACTGCACCACTGCACCACAGCCATGTGTGTCTGTGCGGTGCGAGCTGCTTTGCTTGGCCATTCGACTCGTTTAATTAGAAATCTAAAATGGAAGCAATTGATCGAATTGATCGAAGGGGGGACTGCACGCAATGGGAGGGGTGGGGAAGAGGAGGGGAGTGCAGTGGTGCAGATAAAGCAATTACGTACAGTGATACACACACTCGCACACACACACACACACTTGCGCTAATGCAGAAATGCAGTCCAAACAGCTGACCTTGCCACAGTTGCCAACAAAACAGTTTGGCTACGATTCAAAAACTTAACTTAATTATAAACTGAATATAGACCCCAAACCCTCAACCACCACCACCCTCATCGCCGAAGCAACTGATTTTGGGCATACTTCTTTTTATGAGCGCCTAATGAGATGAAATTCAACTCAAATCATTTCCTTTAGAATCGAGCAAACTTTTTATTCTATTTTTTTGGCGGTTCACATTTAAAGTTTCTCTTCTCGCATTTGAAAAAACCAAACTTCCGTACCTAATTGTGAGATTTGGATGCATTATTTGTTGAACAAAAAAATCGTGTTTCGAAATTTTAATGCAGTTTTAATCTACATCACAAATCATGTTTCAAATGGCCTTCGAATTTTAAAACGCTTCAGCTTTGACGAGGCTATGGAAGCTTAAAGGATTGCAAGATCTTTTCTAGGCACTGCATTTAATTTAAATTAATTGCAATTCAATTATAATCTTACAGCTTAATTGCTCAACTATAACTATATTACTGGAATATTTCGTAACTGAATTGTCTTATTTCGTTTTATGGACTGCAAATGCGACAAGTAAAAGTCACCCAAAACATGTATGTAGAACCAACTCAGAAACCACTCAGCCAATTATGGTAACTTGACTTGCATTTTTTTAGATTTAGTTTTTTTCTTTTTTTTTTGTTGACGACAGCTGTCAACTTTTGTCAGTTTCCGGTGACAACCGTTACGACCTGTGCTAACTGTTGGCTGTTAACTGAATGTGCGTCTTCTTGAATGTGGCCAAGCAGTGAGCGGTGAGTGCTGCCAAGTCTTAACAAGTCGCAAGGTCGTCGAATGCATTTGGCAAAAGAGTCACGCCTCAAAAGCATTTTACAAACATTCAAAATCAGGTCAAATCTGCACTAGTAGCTGGCTTCAAAATTGGGTTAAAATAAATCAACGACAGCAGCTACTTACTGAAACCACAATTGATGCGCATAACAAATACCTAGATACAATAATAAACCAGTTTCAATCACGTAAGAGAAAACCACGCCACGTGTGGGTGACTGACTGACTTACTGACTGACTGATTGACCGACTGACTAATTGACTACCCCATTCGCATTTCTAATTGAAACTTTCCACTTGCCCCTTGTCGAATCTATCGATTAACGCTTATCGATTGGTTTTGCCATAATCTTAAGATCACTTTCATTTAACTTAGTTAAGCCCGCCTGTGTCTAAGTCGGAACGATTAATCAAAGATCTCTGAACGGTATTCAGTTTGATGAAGTTGATTAAGTTTCTCGCGTGTGTGTAAAAGAAAATTAAAGTAATGCCATTGAATGAATGGCAGCTGCATGACAATTACCAATACCCAAAACCCAAAAGCCAACACAAATCGCATTCACTTTCGTAGCCATGGAAATGACTCGGATTCGGATTGAAAAAAAATTCGAAAAACTTGGACAAATATGGTGGTACGTGCCACGAATTTGGATCAACAGGCAGACGCAGCCATGTTGCGGGTGGTGGCTCGGCTTTGCTAAAGTGCCGTCCGTTGGATTACCGAATGCAAATTTCTGCGAATGAATCTCGTCGCCTACTGGCATATAAAAGTCAGCGTTTTTTTGGTAATGGCATGTCAGTTCATTTTTGATAACCGACGGTGACAATCCAATAAACCCACCCCCAAGCCACACAATGAATCCTTTGACGGTAAGTCTGCGATCTCAATTTGGTGCATAGCAATTCAAATTGTTCTTTGCTCGCGCTTGCAGCTTGTTGCAGTCCTTTCCACCATGGCGCTATCGGCTCAGGCGCATTTGGCTGCTGCTCCGGCTGCTCTGAACTACGCAGCACCACTGGGTGCCGCTCCCTACTTTGCACCGGCACCACTGCGCTATGCTGCTCCAGCTGCGTACGCTGCACCACTGGGCCTGGCTGCGGCTCCAGCTGCCTACTCTGCACCACTTGGTTTTGCTGCTGCTGCCCCGTACACCACACCCTTTGGCTACTCTGCTCCCTTGGTGCAGAAGACCTTCGCCGCTGCTCCATTTGCTGCTCCTCTGGCTGCCGGTCCATTTGCTGCTCCAGTTGCCGCTCCTCTTGCTGCTGCTCGTCTGGCTGCTCCAGTTGCCGCTCCTCTGGCTGCTGCTCCTTTTGCTGCTGCTCCTTTTGCTGCTCGTCTGGCTGCTCCAGTTGCCGCTCCTCTGGCTGCTCCAGTTGCCGCTCCTCTGGCTGCTGCTCCCGTTGCCGCTCCTCTGGCTGCTGCTCCCGTTGCCGCTCCACTTGCTGCTCCAGTTGCGCCCGTGCTTGCCAAGACTGAGATCGTGGATGCTTACCCACAGTACAGGTTCGCCTATGATGTCCAGGATACGCTGACCGGCGATTCCAAGACCCAGGAGGAGACCCGTGATGGCGATGTCGTTCGTGGCTCCTACTCCCTGATTGAGGCCGATGGTTCCCGTCGCATTGTCAGCTACTATGCCGATGACATCAATGGCTTCAACGCCGTCGTCCAGAAGGATGTCCCGGTTGTCGCCGCTCCCGTTCCAGTTGCTCCCGTTGTGGCCAAGCTGAGGACCTTTGCTGCTGCCCCCGTTGCCGCACCAGCTCCATTGCTTGCCAAGACCTTCTCCGCTCCCATTGTTGTCTAAAGTGGCGCAGGAGGCGGTATAATTAGTGGGAGGCGTGTCGTCATAGCTTGCGCCTTTGTGTGAAATGGAATGCATTCAGTTTGACAAAGGATTTTCATTTGTACATATTCGATTAATCATTGTCGTGCTAAAAAAATAACTTTCATCGCAAAACCCAAAATTAATCAAAAATAAATATTTTACCTACAAAATTTGTGATTCCAAAATACGAATCTGGTTGTTTTCATTTCATTTATTTGCTCCTAAATATGCATACTGTAAATCACTGCCACTTGCTAAGGTCATTCCTTTGTTCTTGCAGAGAGCTGGCCGAGGAGTTTTGGAAGTTGTCGCCACACGAGAATGTGGCTCGCATGCGTCTCAAGCTGGAGCCACAGCTGTATCCCAACAAGCACGAGAATGCCGCCAATCTGCGTGATAATGCGACCAATGCCTACGACACAAAGTAAGCAAACTCCTTGTGAAAGTTGCACTTGCACTCACAATCACCATTTATACTCGCAGAGAAATATCCGAATTTGATTCAACCATTAAGAATGCTGTGGTGCGCGACTTCCTAGCCGATGATGAGAGCTCGCAGCTGGAGGAGGAGCTGCGTCAGTTGATTGATACGCAGTCGCAGCAGGACGCAGCATTGGAGAAGCTAGTCATGTCGCAGGACTGTGAGCTGATAACGCTAATGACCAAGGTCAAGGGTCGCATTGAGGTCAATCAAAGTGTGTTTACCTTTGTGGATCTGAGTCCAGCCTCCGAGGATGGCTCCAAGCATGATTTCAGGTGAGCAAAAGCAACCATCCAAATTACCTGATCTGTTTCTTGAATTGTTTGTCTTCGCGCAGATTTTCAATCAACAAAATTCGGGAGGTTCATCTGCGCAAATATAATCTGAGACGCAGCGCTCTGGAGATCTTTCTGATAGATCAGACCAGTTACTTTCTCAACTTTACGACCAAGGTGAGATTCGATGATAACTGAATAATATTTCAATTACTTACTTATCATTATGTCTTCTCAGACGCGCAACAAGGTATTCACCAAAATCGTCGGTCTTCCCTTACCAAATATTCTGTATGGATCCGGTCGCTCGCCACCCGAGTTGTTGAGGGCTTCTGGTCTTACCCAGCGTTGGGTCAATCGTGAAATATCCAATTTTGAGTACTTGATGTACCTAAACACCATAGCTGGTAAGCCATGAAGATTATCTCGATTTCACTTAAGCCTAAACACTGCGATGTTGTTGTTTCAGGCCGCTCGTACAACGATCTTAGCCAGTATCCCGTCTTCCCGTGGATCCTAGCTGACTACACCAGTGACGTGCTGGATCTAACCGATCCTCGTTCATTTCGTGACTTGTCCAAGCCAATTGGATGCGTAAGTCTCTTCTAAAATAATAAAGTATCATTTGTTAATCCGTTTTCTTTTCCCTCTTCATAGATCAATCCCAAGAACGAAGCTGAGGTGCGCAGCAAATACGACTCCTTTGAGGATCCGTCGGGTGCCATACCAAAGTTCCACTATGGAACACACTACTCAAACTCTGCCGGCGTGCTGCACTATCTGCTGCGCGTTGAACCCTTCACATCGCTCCATGTGGACCTGCAAAGTGGCCGTTTCGATGTGGCCGATCGACAATTTCACTCCATACCGCAAACGTGGAAGCTACTAATGGACAATCCCAATGATGTCAAGGAGCTGATACCCGAGTTTTTCTACTTTCCCGAGTTTTTGAAGAATATGAACAAGTATGCATCGAGTTTTTATCCATCAGCAAATTCTTATTCATTCATTTATGCAGATTCGATTTGGGTCACTTGCAAATCACCAAGGAGAAGGTTGACGATGTCATTTTGCCTGCCTGGGCTACCAGTCCGGAGGAGTTCATTGCCATACATCGTCGTGCACTGGAGTCCGAATATGTTAGCCAGCATCTGCATCAGTGGATCGACCTCATCTTTGGCTATAAGCAGAAGGGTTCCCGCGCAGTGGAGGCCCTAAATGTTTTCTACTATTGCTCCTATGAGGGTGCCGTGGATCTGGACAAAATCACCAATACCATTGAACGGGAGGCTGTTGAGGGTGCGTAGTTACTAGCTTCACATTAGCTAATTATAATTCTTATAATTCAACGTTTACTCGCCAGGCATGATCAATAACTTTGGCCAGGTGCCGTCACAACTGATGCGGGAGCCACATCCTCGTCGACTCACCCAAGATGAGACTGCATTGAAACTAGTCCGCGCCGAGTTGCGACGACCCGATTTTACCCAGTTCCTGGACAAGGTGGTGCAGTACTATTGCGAACTGTCCACGCCCAAGGATCCCATTGTGTACCTGAGTCCGCCACGCAGTCCGCCGCGCTCCTTCCTACAGCTGAGTCCCGATGTGCTCGTCAGCGTGTCGAAAGGCTGCATATTGGGCTGCAACTCGTGGATGTCGTTTGACAAGGAGCAAGGATTTCTGCTCGAAATCGATGCGACCACAACGAATCTGAAGTGAGTTGTCCTCTGGCTTAAGTCGTACCTCCTCTCTGATCTGTTGTTGTCTTTTATAGAAACCGTAAGCGTGTCTTTGGGCCGTTTCACTCCTCGCTGCCGCCGCACTCGCAGAACTTTGCCGTCAGCACCGATGGCAAATTGCTGTATGCCGGTGGTATTTGGGATAATGCGTTGCGTGTCTACAATCTGAACAAGGGCAAATCGGTGGCTTCGGTTACCCGCCATCTGGATATCATAACCTGCCTGGCGCTGGATAATTGTGGCTCCTATCTGGTGACAGGGTCGCGTGACTGCACCTGCATTGTGTGGAGCATACAGAGCAATCAGCAGGGCGGCTCGGCAACCAGCAACATTCCAGTGCACGCTCTGACAGGACAATCACATCTGCAGGCCATCACTCAGCTGAATACACAGAATAGCTACTCACCGAAGCCCCTAACCGTGCTCTATGGCCACGATGATGCGGTGGCCAGTGTCGCTATCTATACGGAGCTGGATCTCGTTGTGTCGGGTTCACTGGTTAGTCCTCTTGTTAAACTATAAACCAACTACAAACAGTCGGTTAACTGTCGCTTTATCAATAGGATGGCACTGTTAATGTTTACACCCTGCAAGAGGGTCAATTTGTGCGCACCTTGAAGCCCATCGGCTGCACTGAGTCCTGTGTGCAAATCTCCTTTGTCACCGTTTCATATCATGGTAAGTGCCAGCAGCTGAAAGTATGCAATGCATTTAACAAGCAACTATTAAAAAGTATGCTACAAATTTGCTTAAGTGGTTTGTGATAGATCAAGGCGTCCACTTCACATTTTGTGCACTTTTAAGGCCGCTTGCCGCTGCCGCTGCCAAATGTTTTATTAATGCAAGAAATGGTTTAGCTATTATCGGCTGGCAAAGTTGACGAAGTTAATGGGTTCCAAAATGGTATTGGTTTTTGTACAACTTTAAACAGGAGCAAAATGCAAAATCAATCCAACAAAGATTCTAGCATTTGTGCAGGAGCTGGGCCTGATGGAGGAAGGTACCCCATTGGATCGAATAGCTTGCAGTATGACAATCATAATTATAGTAACAATCTGGCAGATTTTCACACATATCTGGCAGCACTTGTTGCCAGCGTTTGTGTAAGCCCACCTTTCAGATAAGAGGCTTCCGTTTGCATTGCTAACGGGGCGGAGTAGCATTGAACTGGCCCTTTATCGGCATAGCACTCACGTGCGATTAGAACTCAAGGAGGTCTAACGATCCGTTCCGATTCGTGTGTGCCGGGCAAACAGTTTAATCAGCGCAGCGAGCTTATCGCCAGCCCGCCAGACAATTGCCACACACATTTCTATCACGTGACACGGTTTGCTCGACCCTGTCTGCGTTTCTATCTTTCGAGTCGCTCAACGTTTATATTTCCATTCGTCATGGTTTCAATGTGTAATATTGATAAAAACGAAGACTTTCCGAATAAGCTAGTACTTGAAATTCCCTAGCTAATAGAATCAGCCGTTTTAGCTATAGCGTTTCAATTGAATTCCAAAGGTTTTTAATTATTATAATGCTTATTCAAGTGCAATACTCAATTTCCGTTCAGTAAATCAATTTATTATTTATACTGCATACGTTTTAAAATATTTATATGAAATAAATCAAATTAGTGGGCACTTTAGACTATACTATATACGGAATCTATAAATTTGCCAGTCAGGCCTCTTATCGAGCGGGACAGTGTATATATTTAACATATATATATGATGTATATAAAACATTCGATTATTATTTTGCAATATCCGGCAAGCAAGTTAAACCAGAAAGTAGCCACAAAACCCCAACCTATATTATATGCACTTATGAAGTATTTAACGAAATTGTTTTAAAATATTTGTAAATCAAATCATTTATTTTCTTTTTTTTTGCCTTTTAAATCACTTTTTTTATTGCGTTCTTTCCGAGCTCAATTAACAAGGGTTTAATTAAATGTCGAACTTTGCCGTTGCTGCCCTCCCCTGACTCTGCTTCTCTCTCTGTTGAGGGGGGGACTACTTATCAGTGCTCGAGCTCAAATATGCGCATTCATACACACACACTCAAGTACTCACACTCACACTCAACACTCAAACACTCACACTCGAGCATTATTAATGGAATCAATTTAAAAGCGAACAAGTCGTCCCGCAATCGCATCACAGTCACACGACCCGACGACCGCCTTCAATTCTTAGCACCCCATTCCCATCCCCATACCCATACCCATGCCCTCCCCTCTCCAAAACATGCCACACCACACAGCACCACCCCCCGTGCCGTCCTTCATAAACCCCATGACCAAGCAGTGGTGTGCGTAGCACTTGAGAATGCCGACAAAATAGTGATCAAGTTGGAGAATGTAGGACGGGGCGATACCCTAGATAAGCTAAAAGGGAACAGGTGAAAGCTATATGAGTGAGTTAGACAGAGAGAGTGTGTGTGAGAGAGAGAGAGAGACTGAGTTGGAGTCTCTTTTCAATTGGGGATCTCAATTCACAAACTTATAAGTATCTGATATAGGTACATAATGCGATCTCTGCCTTTGATATACATTTGTATATTTCATTATGCCCTTTTAGACATACTGAATGTTTACAGGGTATACGTTTATAAGCAAACACTCATTCATGACATTTTGATTATTTTTTGAGGCGCTACAAAGTTTTATGAAATAGTTTATAGTAAATCTCGGCGAGGGGGCCTTAACTGACTGACTGTACTCTCGCCTGTGTGCGTGAGTATGTGTGCGTGAGTGTGTGTGTGTGTGCGTGAGTGTGTGTGTGCGTGCGTGCGTGAGTGTGTGTGGGGACCCTAAAGAAACGAGAAAACAAATAAGAAAAAAAAGTGTCGCAGATATGGAATGGGAATTTTGTTGAATGAATGCAAATGTCGCAATTGGCAAGAATGAGACTGACAAACGGAAAAATTTGAGCAGAATTCGAGGAAACGCAGAGAGCAGAGGCATTAAAATTAGCCAGTTTATTTGATGATTATTTCTAGTTTCTACAAACTGACTCGGACACGGTGTCATTCAAAAAGTATACTTGACACGATCTACAAACTGAAGATCAAGTCATGGGGGCACTGGCACCCAACTCCAACTTCCTCTCGCCCCCCTCTCCCTCTTTAGTCAGTCAGTCAGTCAGTCAGTCTGTCTGTGCAGAGTAGTTCTGCAGCATTTGGAACGGGTTTTCAATCAATTTCATTGGCATTGCTCGCAGTGATAAGCACAACTACGCATCGCATTTAATCAGCGCCGCTTCTCTTCTCATCTCGCCTAGCTGTGTGTGTTGGCTATCTTATGAAGCGTGTCATAATTTAAAATTCCATACGCTCGGCGACGCGCTTCTTAGCTAGCTGCAGGTTATCATCAAGCTGAGCAGAGCTGAGCTGAGCTGAGCTGGCACAAGTGGGCCGGACGCGCGGACCACACGCACAAGTGTGGTGTGGTCTATTCGTAATTCCAATTCCAATTCCAAACTGCGTAGAACTCAACGCAAGTCAAGTCAAGTCGTCAACGATTCCAACAACTCTCTATTCGACGCAACGACGCATACTGCACCCTGCCCCACATTCCGCAATCTTAATCACAGTCGTTTGGCTCCTGATAAGATAGAGCCTACTACATTGGAGATGCAACATTACCCGAGAATGCCATGTCGCGTTTCAATTCAGAGTTTATTGGCATTTGTGGCAATCTTGATTTACGATTATCATGCTTGTCATGCTTGTCATGCACGGACTGACGTCAGCATACTGAACTCGATCTCATTATACATATGATTATCATTAATTATGAAGTGAAGAACCCCATAAATAGCATCATAATCTGATTCGATATAGCCATAGCTCTCCATCATCCCATCGTGCTCACTTTGCAAAATTGCCTTTATCATGAAACTTTAAATAGCCGCGATATTATATTATATAGCGGCTGTAGGCATTACAGATCCCATTCAAATTATATAATCACATTGTGTAAGAGTACTTAACAGGCAGGTGGAATCATCTTCAACCCCATTATATATATTTGTGTATGTATATTATAAATTAGCGTCAATAGCTGTGTCTCTATAATATAGAGTCTATTTCTGTCATCTGTCCACCTGTCAATGCAAACTGACATAGCTTAAAGGCTTTATATATATACTGCACAGTACAGATCTAATCACTACATCCTATTGCTATTATAGCAAATAGCAAAACTTACCTCAGCCATAATATTGAAACACTTTTCACAAGCGTACACTTTTTATACCCATTAAATGTGGCAGTTTTAGGTTAATATAATAATTTCTTTTCTTTTACCCCAATCAAAACTGAGCAGATTTTCACATTGTATACTTTTAAACCATTTAAAATGAGGAGTCCAATTAGTCCTGGTAGATGTCAGAGACTATAGCAGCTAGAAATGTAAATTTGAAAATATGAGTTCTCAGATCAAGTTTATTTCATTTGTAGTTAGAAACTATAGACTCTTTTGAAGTTATACATTTAACTAACCCAATCACATTTGACAGGTCACATTGCATTCAGCGCCTTGGACGACACATCGCATTCGGTGCACGTGTATAGCATCAATGGGGCCAGTCTGGGCTCCAAATATGTCTCGGGACGTGTGACAGGACTCGTCTGTGCCTCGGATTATCTAGTGGTTGCTGATGATGCCGGGGACATAACCATGAGTCGTCTACACGGGTGAGTGGCATCTTTTTGCTATTGACTAACTTTCCAACTGTATAATTTCCACTTTTCCTCCTTTTTCCTATTCCCAACAAAGACTGAAGCCCGTCTTTGACATTCCGTTACATGTGCCCATACAAACCGTGGTTGTTACACCGGGCAATACGCATATCCTGGCACCATTGCGTGATGGACGCCTCGCTGTGGTTGCCGTCCAGCTGCCCACTGGCAACACCAAGAAGCATTCCGTGCTGAATGTCTAAGAAGCCGGCGAGAAGCCTCCCAAGTCTCACTCGGCGGGAACGTCAATTCCTTCGCTTTCCTTTTAAATATTGAACCGAGAATAACAAGAATCACTTTTGTCCAGTTTTTAGCATTGTTTATTGGAGAATCCCTAGCAATATTTTCTTGATTCGCTTTGTGCATTGTCGTATTTGTTTTATATATATTTAAATATGTATTTATTTATTTTTCATGTCGTTACGTGCCAAAAAGAAAAAAAAAAACACAAATGGCCAAAAAAAAAAGCAGGCCAAACATTTTGAGTAGTATTTTTTGTTTTTTTGTGCTTCAGTTAGCTTGAAATATATAATGTATCTAAAGATACGATAAATTCCATTAGCATTAAGCAGAACATGTCGATCAGCAGCAGGCGATAGTTTTTTTCCCTAGAAATTGGATGACATCCATGGCATATCATATTATATATATATATGTATATCTATTTAACTCTCGCATCTTATTTAGTCGTATTTCATTTGAAACGGCAATTATTCACTTGGCAGCCATCTCCACCTCCTCCGGCAGTTCAATCCGTCAGTCCAACGTGGGGCTTCGCGCGCGCCTTCCAATTAGCTTTGACAAATTCGAATAAATCATTTATCATTAGGCTTGCGCAGACGTTGGCTTTATATTACACATATATATAAAGCATATATATATATATATATATGTGTGTATATATATAAATTAGCACATAAGTGTCGTCATTCCACATTGGCCGAGCTGTGGCAAACTGGTTGCCGCCAAGTGGACTGGCTGGGAGTCCCCCCACCCCCATTCCATTTGCTACCCACTCCTTTCTACACTTGGCGGTGACTCTTGATAGCTCTTGATCACCCCCTTCTTCCCCCTGCCCCCTGCCCCTGGCTCTCTTCGGATATATATCTCGAGCATCTGAGTCACGCGCGACTTTCAAATTGGCCCCAAAATCTGCCCGGCAACAGCAACCAGAGCGAGAGAGGTGTGGAGATCGAGTGAGTTGGTTGGTAGTGTGGCATATCAACCCAGCCAGTCAAACTGGGGCCAACAGTGCTTTTTGGCCACCAGATGCTGCTGCCAAGTCAAAGCCGAAATAAAAGCAGAAAAAAACAGCAACAAAAAAAACAGAAAAACTTTCGTTGCCAGCGAAAAATGATCAAGAAATTAAAAGCGAGACAAATCTCTCTGTAGTAGACCTATAGAAAATAAAATGTAGCTGTATCTGTATCTGTATCTTCATCCAATACATTTCCAATTGACAAGCAAGTATTATCGCAGTATAATTAGAGTCCTCCGTCCACGAAATCCCGACAAACAGACAAACAAAACAATTCAGAGTGGGTTTCTTTGCCAAGAAATACCAATTGATGTCTCGCTTCTTTCATTCAATTTCTCTCACACGATTTGGCCCGTTGCCCAAAACCCTTTAAAATGCAAACTTACCTTTCGAATGTAATTCCAATGACAAGTGACAATATATATATATATATACACATATATGTATATCATAGTCGATCATTCAAATCGATCGATTTGTTGTACTCTTATTCTCTCCGACGCCTTCAACTTGTTAATGCGCACAATCAGAATTTAATATTTAATAGAGATGATCGTCGAGATCCCAACTTGAGAAGCCCATCTTATTATTTACCAATGAATTATGGCAACAATTTATATCGTCCTTCTATATCACTTAACACTTACTTACTATATACTTACTATATGCGTTGGCTCGTTATTTGTTACAAAGTGAAAATTAAATATAGAATTTTTCCAGTTTAGCGTGTAGATCATAATATGTGACACTGTTTAGCTTGTAAAACTGTCAATAAAAGAAACAAAATGTTGAAAACCAAAAAACCCATTGAAAATCGTTTGCATTTATTTTATTATTATTTTATTTGTATTACTCAAAAAACTAACACTTTAAATTAATTCCATATATATGTATATGTATATCATAATAATAATAATAATAATCATAAAAAAAACCATAATTCAGTTCAATTAGCGCTTACAAAATAAAACATATGATTGATAGGTAGGTATCTCTTCGTATATGTATATGTATATGTGTGTGTGTGTGTGTGTGTGTGTGTGTATAATATATATATGTATATAAAAAACTGTTCTGTTAACCCAGTGAATACTTGTTCCGTATGCGAATAGATGTGAATAGTGTGAATGGGTGTGTGAATGATGTCTGTTGTTCAATAAATTAATTGTTGCGATGGATAATCGATAACGATTATTTTCGATAATTGGTGGATTTGGTCGATTTGTGGAATTGTTGGTGGATTTTGTGGATTTGGTGGATTTGGTGGATTTTTGGCTCATAGCCACATATTAAGTAACGGCCAATTAATTACGTTAACTAGTGTGTGTTTGCCTGAATCGTTAGGAACAATCATTGCTACTTACATAACGATAAAATTGATTACCTGACGCACAAACTATAACTAAACAAATATAAAAAAATTAAAAACAAACGTTTTGAGGAATTCGATTTGTTTTTTGTTTTGTTTTTTTTTTTTGTGTCTGGAAATCCCTGCATAAATTAGTATTCGAGTTAAATGTAAGAAAACACAAAAAAAAGTAGTGGGATTAATTGGTAAAGAATATTAAAGTCTAAGCCGGCATTAGATTCTAGAGTTTCTTATAACTAATTTTTTTTTTTTGTTAAAGTTTTTTTGTTGTTTTTTTCCCCTATTTTATGTTTTCTTTACTTTTGTTTCACGCATCTTCAAAGGCATTTGATCTATCTAACTAACTAAAAGTGTGGTTTTTATGTCAATCCAATAGCCTTGTGTGTGGAATCTTTAGTCTTCATCCTTCTGCAAAGAAGCCAAGCAAATGGAAGAGAATAAAAGTTAGTATGGATTCAGATAGGATAGGATTGTTGTTGTATAGATAGATGGTTATTTGATAGAGAGTGGGATACTTACAAGTACGGGATAAACGAAGGTATCAGCCGAGTCGTGTCCGACGGCATTGTGAGCTATGCACTTGTAGTTGCCCATATCCTCCCATTTGAGACCGATAATTAGCAGATCTCCGGTGGGCAGCACCTTGAAGCGATGGCTCTGCACGATTTCCTTGTCCTCGTTGCTCTTCCATGTGATCCTGGCGTGGGGGCGAGCGTGCACCTTGCACGGCAGCATAATGGTCGATCCCATCAGATCCAGATGCGTTTTCTCCGTATAGATGATGCGTGGCTTCTGCGGACCCTGATACTGTTTCTCGGTGGCGATCAGACCACCCAATTCCAGATCGGAGTGCGACGGATGAACCACAGTGCTGGCATAGATGGTCTTGGAGCCGCTGCGTCCAATGCACGTATAAACTCTCGGCTCACTCAGCATATGATCGATGACATGCACCGATTTCACACGCACAATTGCCGACGGCGCATATTCCGTAATCGCATTCGACTCCAGATTATCAATCTGCGCAGAGAGAATACCACATACAAATAAGCAATGGTCTCGAAGGGAAACTGAGACGTGGGAGTGGCAGTGGGAGTGGGTGGGAAACTTACCTCAGAGCGTGGCATATGGCCGACAATCCACTGAATGCTGGGCACCTGGGACCCCATCATTTCGCAGACAATCTCAATGGTGGCGCCGGCTGCCTGCTGCATCTTTGTTGGTGGCGTCTTGGTGAATTTCAGCCAATCATCTTCAAAGAGACGGTTGCGACTGTGCTTGGACTGTGCCGGCTGTTGCTCCTCCTCGGGCTCAATGGAGTTGTCGGCATCGTTGTTCTCATTGTCCACAATGTCCACGGCGCGACTGTGGACCAGCGAGATGCTGCCAAAGAGCAGCAGCGCTATAGCGCACAGATTTAAGTTCATTTTCTGCAACGAAACGAATTAAATTCTTGCTTAGTGATAAGTTATCAAAGTTTAAAGATCATCCGATTATACAATATATATATTTGTATTTATGTATATATGTAGGTTAATAAACCCTCGATGATGTTGCATAAATTATATATATATATATATGTGTGTGTGTGTGTACGCAAATGAAATGATCATTTCATAACACTTATCAGCGGAGTCCAAGTCCGGGCCAAGCTAAATCCGAGGCCATAAATCATAATGTCGGGGGACAGATACAGATGCTGATTACTGGAAAGTAGGAGTAGTAGTACGGCTAGCTGTACCTATTGCGAAACACAATGGAGATGAGCATCCCTCCAACAATAGACAGAGAGAGAGAGAAGCGAACAACCCCCTTCTTGATCAGAAACTCAACAGATCAGTTGCCCCAATTCGACTAAATGGCTAATTTCACAACATCACGCGGTCTTCACACACACCTCAAAATAGAATATTCGATGATAAATGTTGATCGCCAGTTGAAGAAGACAAAAGAAATGCTTACGTAGGCAGTGGCAATAAGCAATAGGTGGACTAAGTGGTTTGGATACTTAATGTGTCGTCAGCACCACCCACGCGACATGGAACCAGAAATTATTATAGACCGCTAAATTCCTCCTCCTAATTAGTAGTAGTAGTTTCTATAGTCTAGACACTTAACACTTAACACTAAACGATTAATTATTCATTGGGTTTTCTGACGATTTGCTAAACGAATACTTATATATATTATGCATATTAGTGGATTGCGGGCACTATCTTTTTTGTATGGTGTATCGCTTGGCAAATGTTGCATCAGATTTTTGGTTTTTTTTTTTTTTTGATTTGACGTTGCCCTTCGCATCGTGGGGGCTTTTTTCAACGCTTCCAAATTCGCTGAATTCGCTAAATTTGTTCACGTTTTTTTTTCCTTATAATCGAATTCTTGAGTTATGATATCAGTTTGTCGTCTAGATTGGGGGAGTGGGGGATTTTGGGGACCGGTCTAAGGTTGGAGCATTACTCACCTTTTGATTTGATTTCTTTTTTCTCTTCCGGTAAAAAATGTTTGCGATTTTCTCCCTAACGTACGGGCGTAAAACGTATATTTTTCGCGTCTCTTGGTTCTCGTTCGATTCGCGAGCTGATCGACAGCTCTCTGTTATGTTATGAAGGAGTTTATCAGCTCTAAATTGTGTTCTGATCTCGACTGGGCTTTCTGATTGAAGTTGAGCAGCAGCAATTGGCTTAGCACTGACATAGGTCCGACGGGATTTGCCGTCTTGATAGCCTTGCAGCTTACTGTTGGCGAAATCTTGAATGCGTTTCTGCCTGTCTACGCAAGTGCGTAACTTATAATGTCGGATCTTGGTGTTGGTCCGGCGGAGCGTGTTGAGCTGATGCTAATAGAGAACTCAAAGCAGATCTTCACTTCTTGCAGCGATTTTGGCACATTCGTTTTGGGCTTTAACTGTTTTGATTTTGGTTTTTGTTGGGGAGGATCAGCAATGTAATAGCTCCTTTGGCTTCTTGGTTAGTTTTGTTGCTTGTTGGGGATAATTGGTGCGGCAGTCGTTTGTAAACGCAGCACGGTTCATCGACATTACAAGTCAAGGTGTGTCAGCTACGGATTCGGATTTTTGTGAACTCGCGTTTTGAATATATTTTCAACTTGATTCGGCTAAGAAATACGATTGCAGGCGAAGCGATTTGAAGCGAAGGCAAGGCAAAAAAGAGCAAGAGGCGACAGCAGGCACTTAAGTTGTGTTCAACAGCTGAAAACTGTAACAGAACTGAATCAAACACGGCGTTGTATTCGCTTATATATGCTGGGCCAAGCGTCGAGCGTCGCTGCTGTGCTCTGCTGCTGCTGCTGCTGCTGCTCTGCTTTGCTCGCTGCCTTAACCGATTGTGCGCGTGCTCTCACTCTCTTCCTCCCTCTCGCTCTCTTTCTCTGTTTGATAGTATGCAGCAGAGGCTCGTGTGTGCGTGTGTGTGTGTATGTGTGTGATTCTTAGCTAACACAGCCTAGTCGCTATATGCTGCTTCTTCTTCTCAGGCTAGAAGATGAGCATGCACAATTCACAAGTGCAACGCTGATCAATTCGAAACGAAACGGTTTTAAAACCGTTTAATTCGGTTATCCAAAACTTGATATTACTGTAACTCCAAGCCAAAGCCCATCAGCTTTTGGACAGGTACAGTTTTTTTTGGCTGCTGTTTTTTTCCAATTCCCCCACCCCCCACGACGAATAGACTTTCAATTCGAACGAAATAGTTGCTTTACCCTTGACTCAATGCAAGTCGTGAGTGGCAACCAGTTGACAACAGCAAAAAAAAAGAAGGAAAAAATAAATTCAAATGGAGCAATTCTTCTTCTGCTCTACGTGCCCAGCCGCATGAGTTTTTTTTTTTTTTGCCTGCATATAGAAGGGATATGGTAGGCGGAGGGAGAGGGGGGCACGGTGCACACACACACAGTCTCTCCATTAGTTGCCTGTCCAATCTCACCATACACACACACACAGACTCTTTGCAATCAAGTCAGTTGCCAGTTGCCAGTTTGTCTGCTGCGATCGTTCGCTTTTAGGCAGCATGCAACAATATAAGCGGCACTGATTGCCCCGCGGCGGGTTGCAAGCGGGGGCCAACGTCGTTTGGGAGCGGGTTTCAAACGGGGGGTTACAGTGGGGTAAGGGAGGAGGTGGAGGGAGAGGGGTGTGTACTGCAGTGCCAATGCAGCCACAATGGCAGACAGACTGGCAGCAATTCAAACAGATCGCGTGTTCGCTTTCCGTTGCCCGGTTACGTGCTGTGGCTGTGGATGTGGTTTCTTGGGGGGAGGGGAGATGAGGCAGGTGGGGCAACTGGCTGGCTGGTTGACTGTGCTCGTTGCTCGTTGCTTGTTGCTGGGCGGCAGCCAGATCTGGGGCCCGGCTCGGTCCGGCCCGGGTCGTGTTCTCTGTCACTCGACTGGGTGTGACTAGTTTTAAATACCCTGTAGCCATTAAGAACTGTTTGATCAGGGGTATGCTGAAATTGTGCTTCTATACCATATAGTTTACTAATACTGCGCTGAGCATCTGGGTTCCCATAATTATTACTCAAACTTATTATGATGTTTAATAAGAGGTATGATAAAGTTACGCTTAGAGAGATATCGTCCATTATACTAATTCCTGTTCGGGTTGTGGAGTTGCTCAGATCAAGATCCATTTGGATACATTGATATCAATTATAGCAACTGCTTACAGGGTATGTGTCTAGTCTGTCACTTTGGGTGGTCAGCGTTGACAGCGACAAGCGAGATTCAATTCTACAAGTAATATATTTATTACACGTTACACAAATCCAAGTCCGACCGCAGCCAGCGAAGCCTACCCGTTACCTCCTCACACCAACCCTCCCCACCCTCTCCCCTACCATCCCATACCCCACACTAATAGGTTTGGCAGCTGGTTTTGGTTTGGCGTCGGCGAAATTCAATTGAATGAAATGAAAAATGTTGCAGGTGCTTTCGAGAATCGAGATTGTGTGTCTCGTGTCTCGTGCCTCTCACTTTGCCCTTAAGTTGACTGCACAAATCAAAGCAGAGACGGCGCGGAGACGCTAAGGTAACGTATCGTTGAGTTGACGTTGACGTAAGGGCCACTGAATTGAAATGGCCTTTTTTTCTCGTTTTTCTTTTTCTTTAATAGAGCGATCAATAGAGCGATCGGTTCAGGGCGGTTCATTTCCGAGTTATCGACGGTGGCAATTAACGCGAGATTCATTTAAGATTCCATTGACGTTCCAGGAAAGGCAACACGGATGCAGTCGTATAGATACACTGGTATATATATATACTCAGATACATGGTTACAGATACACAGATACATTTTGCTATAAATGAACTCTGGACATATGTACATATACTATTCATATATTCATAGAGTACGGCACCGGCCGGTACCGGCAAGCAAAGCGATCGAACGAACGATCGAACGATCGATCTCTCCATTTGGGCCATCAATTTATCACCTCAAAAAAACAACAGAAAGAAACAATTTCCTAGAAATCAGTTAAGGTCGAGGTCTGCTCAAAAGATCGCATGACGATCATGCGATGGTTGCCATCATCATCAACATCATCATCATCTTCACCATCCACATATCATTTGCCAGCTAGCAATTATTGCATCATGCAAAATGCAGCGCACAATTGAATGAGCCGAGCAGGCGTTGAAATGGCAAGTGGGGATAGTGGTGTGGTGTGGGGGGGTTATTTGGGGGGAGATAGCAAAAATAATAAATAAATAAAATACAAAATTGGCTCACTTCCGTTAATGGGTGTTGCGAACCCGCTAAGAGCTCTTTTAGTCTTCGCTTGCGTTTGCACTTTTCTGCCAATTAACGTTTAACAATACGGTCAACAGCACCGGAAGAAGGGGTAAGCGCAAAATTGTTGCCAACTTTAGAGAAGTTCATAAGCGCAAGCTTTTTATGCTAACAATAAATTGGTAAATTTAAGAGTGCTGTGTTGGTTAAAAAAATGTATAAAACATATAAATACATAGTCTATATTACAGATATAATACAGCTGAAAAAGTATGCTTATAATTAAAACTATTCTTCTCTTCGTTAATTCAATATTCGCTATACACTTCGAAAAAGCTAGTTTTGGCGGGATTTGAGCGAAATTGGCAACAGTGGAAAGCACAGACAGATGCTGAAAAACGGCTCATTCAAAGTCAGCCAGCAGAGAGTCGGACGGACGGACAAATAGTAGAAAGACATTCAATTCGGGGAAAATATAATGCAGCATGCAACTGCCACGACCAGTCACACACACACACGCACACACATATAAATATGCCACAGATAGACGCTGTTGTCATGCTGGCATGTGAATTGCAGGTTGTACGAATCATGAATGTGTGTGTCCGAGTGAGTTGGTTATACACAAATAGATACATAGACAAATAGGTGTGTATGTATGTATGTGTGTGTGTGTATATATATTTGTATATACTCCACAACGGGTGACGACGTGAGAAAATTCATGTGCATGCCGCAAGATTCTGTGCCGTTTTTCATTGGTTTTTACTGCTTTTTTGACTTCGTCATTGAGGAAACTGCGCTTGGCAACAGGCTGAATGAACTTCGGGTCCGGCAGACGACCTCGACTCGTTGGAATTCGAAGAGAAGAAGAAGAAAAAGAAGAGAGCAGAGCATTCCCGGCCTGTCATTTTTTTTTTTTTTTTTGGGAAGTTACAGGTTTATTGTTAGTTCAATCCTACAGGCATGACTCGGCACTTTTTCCCGCTTTTTCCCGCTGAACTTGAATTGACTGGCAGCAAAAAATGGATTTCCCTTTCAAGTCTGTCGCTCTACAATACAATAGAAATGCATCATGCCACAAGATCTTTAGTTCTACGTATAACACAATCTCGCTGCTTTTATGAGCTGCAACCGCAACAATTGTACACATTGTAATTGTATTTGGGCTTGCAATGGAAAATTTTCGAAACAACTTTTTTCTTTCTTTTTTATTTGATTTATACATTTTTTTTTTTTTTGGGTCGATTCACATAAAGTATGGAAAATTTTTGTGTGCTGTTGAACGATAAATTGAAACGAATTCCAATTATCGCTAATTGTTGCGTTGCTAAACTAAACTAAAATTACAATAAGCACTTGTAATGTGTCTGGAAACACGATGATCGATCGCACTTCCTCATCAACTAACTCATTCATATTCATTTTATGTGTTTCACTCCGTTTTCCATTTGTTGCCTGTACTAATGTAATTTGTCAATTAACCTATGGAGTGTGCTATGCTCACATACACACGTGCGTTTACTATGAAATGTAAGCATGTGTGTATGTGTGTGTTGTCTGTTCCTCTGTAATCTGCTTCCCCTGCATTCTTCACACATTGTATTGTGTGCGTGTGCGCGTCTGCTTGTGTGTGTCCTGTCTCTGGTTACGTTTTGTGTGTGCAAGTCGAGCGCAAACGACCATCGACCACCATCGGAGAGTATCGACTCCGACTCTCGCCCAATTCAGTGCGGCGATTGCATCAGCCAATTTCGACTCTGCACACGGCGTCAATGTAGGCAATGTAGAGTTAAGTCGCTGCGGGTCACGCTTGTGGAGAGTGTGACAAAGTTTGAAGACGAAATCGAGCATAAGCCCTTGCTCTTGTTTCGCTCTCTCGCTCACTTACACTGTGTTGCTCGCTGTGCGTGCGCGTGCGTGTGTGTGTGTGCGTGTTTAGTTAAGCCGTTCTCTGATGAGTCAGAATATGCGTTTCGTTGCATGACAGGTGGCATTAAGAAATATAATAATAATTAAAAATAAACTGCCGGGCTGGGATTCACGTAGACAGCCCAACTACGTCAGAGGAGACAATCAACTGACAATCTTAATCTGTTCTAATTAGGTATTTAGTTAATTTATGAGGATCTCGATTCGCCGCATGCTCTAAATTCGCTGCGCAAGCGGAATTACGCCTTTGCTTGCCACGCATGCATTAAAAATAATCTATGGAATAGTTGGGCTTTTTCAGCTATGTAGAGCGGACTTGACAATCAATTCGGAACTGAAAACAAAGTCATTCGTTGTGAAGATCTAATGACGTGTGTAGATGTTTTTTCTTGTCTTTGAAATTTTCGCTATTATCAACGCAAATTTCATTAGAGCTTCAATAACAATTATGATAATACATACAGACAAATTGTATTTATGTCGTGTATGAATGTGGAAAAAATAATAATAAAAAAGGGGCTCGTTGCTGCACACACACAAACACACACGCAGATAAACATCGAGGACAGGGCCGCTGCGCAATGGAAATCGAACGAGACGAATGCCGTCGCTTAATTAACAGTTTCTCCTAATTGACTGCAAACACACACACACACACACACCGCACACATAAATACACACACAACAGACATATTCATTTTTCTCTGCATTCATATATCCCCAATATATTTCTCGTTGTCTCCATAACAAGCAGCATATTGGTCTCCATGCCTGTGTGTGTGTGCGTCACGATATTCGCCGCAGCCGCACTCGCAGTCGCACCCTTTGTTCATTTGGCCACTTGGGGGCTCGTCTCTCGCTCTGCTGCTGCTTGGCCAACGCCAAACGTGAGCAGCGGCAGCGACGCACATTGTGCAACACATACACACACACACACACACACACATATACATGCTTCTTTCCACACAGCAAAGCTTCCAGCAGCTTGCTCTTTGGCGCGCTATCGCTTTATGTGTTTCGCTCTCTCTCTCTCTCCCGCTCTCTCGCCGTCGATCAATGGCATGCAAATGCGGCGAATGCAAAATTGATTGCCAAAGCGAAATGCCGTTGATCCGCCACCTACCAGCCCCCAATCTTGAACTCCCTCTCTCCCTCTTTATATCTCTCTCTCTCTCTCGCTCTATCTTATGCGTTCTGGCTAGCTGTGACGCATTTTGAAGTCGCTTTGATTATTCCATATGTGCATATTTCATTGCGCCTTCAATTTCAGATTTTTTGCTTAGGTTTTGCATTTACTTTTCATTAAATGAATTGCAATTTATTACAAAGCGATCTGATTATTAATTGATTTTAAATTGATTTTGCGACTGCGACTGCAACTGCAACTACAACTGTGAATGCGACTGCGTGACCAGCTCAACGTCGAATACCTCGGAGTGTGACCAATTTCTGCGTGGATGTCGAGACGCGCACGTAGCCCAGTTCCGATTGGAGCCGACATGACACCAACCAGACCAAGTCACGCCATTCGCAAAGCTCCAATTAAAAATGTTGCCTTAGCTTGAAAATCGCCAGATTTCAAAGTCAGATTACAAATGCAAAGCTGCTGATTTTTTTTATTTGATTTGTTTTGATTTCTTTTCAAAAGTACATTCGTAGCTGAAACTTTACTAAAAAGTTTATTTTTTTGCATATCATTTTTTGTCATTCCTGTTTAGATTTTTTGCCATCCTTTTGGAATTTATTTACTAACAACTGGTTTTTGTTTATGTATTCGGGCAGATAAAAGCATATTTCTGTTAAGCTGAATAGCCTGAGAAGAGCTCAACACACACAGCTTGAGAACGGAAATCACTCAAAATAAGTATTAACATACATATCGGTTTTCTTGTCATGATCCAGAAAAGGAAAACAAACAAAAAATCGGTTTAAGAAAACATTCACAGCAGACGCAGATGCGATCTTTAACTGATAACTTTCTCAATATTATCTCAGACTCAAGATGAATAAGCTGCAAGCTTAACCAAATCACAAGCTATAAAATGATGTATAATTAATTTTATATAATAACTTCCACTTCCACTGAAATTGCAATTTTAATTTTACCTTGCTGGAACACAACAATTATTTGAATATGTTAATTGAACAATCTTATCTTTTGAAAGCACTTCCATAATATGGCAATTAAATTAAATGCACAATTTCGCTTTTAACGCGAACCTTCAAATTAATTTCAATTGGAATCTAATGCGTCAGCAGAATTGTGAAATAGACCTCTTAGAGTCTGCTTTATTCGTTATAAGAAAGCAAAATAAAGAAGAAAAAAGTGGTTCATTTAGCACTATTATCGTATATTTGATGAAATGATCCCCAATATACAACTGATAGGCCTCGGAAAGTGCGCAAAAGCTAATTACACACATATATTGAGGGATGGATCGATGGATGGATGGGTTGATGACTGGATGGATAGGCACAGGTGTCAGGTGCCCAATGATGATTCAGTCGAACTGATAAAAAAATAAAGTCTACATTTTACAATGAATCAAATCAAATTGAGCGTCATAGAAAACTCGCCCATGATTTATGACTATGCTAAAAATATAAAATTATTCAGGCGATTTACTTGACGCTGATGAAGTGGAATCATTTACACAATATAGAAAGTGAAGCATATTTCTGTCAGTGTAATTAATTTGAGTTGCTTAGGTTATTAGGGCCTACCTGCATAATATTTTTATTAAGCGGTTTTTCCTTTCGTCTTTTCACCGCGGATTTTTCACGAGCTTTTCACTTGTCACTTGGCGAAGCGTTTCTTTTACTTAATTTTTTACGTATAATTTTTTTTAAATAATTTTTTTGTATTTTTCTTCAATTTTTTTGTTTGTTCTTGTATGTTCTGTTTTCCGTTTTTTGCGTTGCGTTACGCTTCTGAGATGTGTGCGTCTCCGGCTAGTGTTGGGACTGTGTGTGGCAAATGGTTGAGCATCCATGCTCTTTTATATATCGCCATCGCCATCGCCATCGCCATCGCCATTGCCATCGCCTTTGCCGAATTCAACAAATTCCTCCGCATTCGTCAAATTGGACTCCATTCGGCATATTAACAGTTATTGGCATTGGTATTAGTATGCTGCCGAGTATTTGTCGTCGGCGTCGTTCGTCGTCAGCATCGTTCTGCTCTCGTCGTCTCTTCGTTTATTCGTATTGGTGAGTGTCGGCTTTTTCTTATTCTTATTCTTGGTGTTGTCGTTGTTCTTGTTGCTTTGCTCCTTCTGATTGAAAAAATGAATGCAAATTTATTTGAATTAATTGTATATCACATATTTGGCATTAAAATGCGTGCGCATTCATTTGCTACTTTAGCCCCAATCCATAATTTGAGGTACAGTTTGCTCACTTGAGCTGAGCACTTTAATTCCAATAGTAATAGGATCAAGATCGATGCGCAGTTTCACTTGACAAGCCGTAATTAGTGTATACCCTGTACCCTACGCTGTGGGCCTTAAAATTTTGTGCCAAAGTTTGTAACATGCAGAAAATATAAACATATATATTTTATTGATATATTCATTTTATATCTATCCAATGTAGACGTTGCTTATTTCTATCTAAAGTCAAATCACATTGAAAGTGTATATTGACTTCGGCTTTGCGTGAGTAAAATTTCTTCTTTTTTGATTGACCCTTGTTAACTTTGAAGCTGGAATTCTTTGGTTCCCTTCGCTCTTCTCCAATTGGAAAGCTGCATATTCAATTTGACTGCTCAACGACATCGATGCCATAACCGTACGCATATCCAGCTGGGAAAGCCACTTCCGTTCCAAGATGACGTCGCTGCGAATAGGTGAGACTGCAACACTGCAGTCGGCGTAGCAGTTGCAGCGCTGCTGACGTGACAAATGACAAAGTTGCTCGGATTGTGCAGGAGTTAAGAGCTGCAAATGCAAAAGTCGCAGACGTCACGTACTCTGCTCGGCCACAGCTTTAACAGATCAACTTTCCAGTCAACAGCTGTGATTCAACGGCAAAAGCTTAAATAAGCTTGAAATAAGAAACTGTTGATTGGACCAGGATGGCAGCAAATACAGTGAAAAAATAAACGTGTTCTTTACCAACTAGACCAGAAAAGCCTGTGTAGATATTAAAAATAATTGAGTTCTGTCAAAACTTAGCCAAATATCCCAGCAGAAAAAGAATTTGATATTTGCACAATTGTATATTCAAAAGTGTTTCAAAAAAGGAAGAGTTGTGTTATCAAAATTATTTATATATTTATATATATATATATATATATATATATATTGTTCAAAAAGAGAAGAAAGTAAAAAGGAAACGATTTTCTAAACAAGCTGCAAACAATTGCAATTTCTAGAAGTTTCTGCAGTTTATTTATTTTCTTCTTTTTTTCGGGCTGAATTTGAATTTTGCAGCTGTGGAGCCAAGCAGAAACTTAATTGATTCCGTGCCATAAATTGAAATGCACTCGCTGCTGCTGACTCAGTTGAAACCGTTAAATTCAAATGAGGTTCGCCGTTTAAAGTTGTGCTACGCACTGAGTGGAAAAAGGAAGGAGGGCGGAGTGGGAGCTGGAGTTGGAGTTGGTAGTGGAGGTCGACGCAATAGGTGACATATCTGACAGATAATTGCACAATCATCATAATGAGCTGCTAATCAATGGTAACTGATGAGGTCCTTGCCTCGCTGCCTGGCAACAACTCAACACAGTTCACCCGTCGTGCGTATCCTTCAACTGTCTGCCCCGCCCACACCCCTTGGGACACTGCCCACGCGAGTCGCCTTATCCAATTTGGCCCGAACAGTGCACATATATATCTGGTAAATAGGGCTTCATTTGAATTGCCAGCTTGTCTCCAATTGGGAGACACGCCCACACGACAGGACAGCTTCAACTGTTTGCCAGACGCCTAGATCCCTATATTTGGCCACCAGCAGTCATCTGTCATCTGTCATCATCATCATCCTTATATCATCATCATCCTTATATTCATCAGCCAATCAGTAAGCAACATGGCGTAATTAAACAACCAGCAACAATTGCCATATTTTTCGTTTCTCTTTCCTTTTCGTTTTGCGCCGCAGTTAACTACAAATTAGTCTAATTAATCACATTTGAAATGTAGCCACATATTTGCCTTTTCAAGGAATAACACGATGCGAAATTGATGTGGCATGCTTTTAGGGACAACCTTTTTAGTATACATAGGTCAGGTTTTTCCTTTTACGTTACTATGGCTTCAACTCAAAAGATTTCGAGATGAACAACAAAATAAAGTAAACATACTTTCAGGCTCAATACGAAATCCCACGATAATTTTTAAAGCACACTTTTAGGGCGAGGGAAAGTAAATGACAATGAATAGGTTCTTGTATTGGCTAACTTGTATTCGGCCAAGATTGCAACATACTTTCAGGGGCTCATCAGCGACGAGAGCAAAATGGCTATAACGCAGCCATATCCTTGCAGATTTTCAAAGAACATGGCGCACTAGGATCACAAGGAGTAACTCTATCGAACTGCATTCAATGCTTAGGGGGTCATCTAAGAACCCAAACACTTGTTTTCTCGGCAACGACTAAATAGATACACTGTGTTTTCAGAATGTGAATATGATGGACTTCTTTGTGTTCATAAACTTAAAATAAATCACTTCATATGCAATTCAACTTATCAGATGCGTTATGCGTTTGAGTATAATACATAATTAACTGAAAGTGTTTTGTGGTATAGTAATAATAATAATAATTGTAATAGTAGAAGCATAAATCATTTACATTTTGGACTTCTTGCTGCTGTGTCCCTCGATGCCCAGATTGCAGCGCGAGGCGACATCCTGCACAGATGTCAATCCCGTCGTGCTCGTCGGCAGCGGACCACCAAAAGCTGATGCCGACAGATTAGCGTTGCTGGGACGCTTGCGTGTCGGGGAATGGACGGGTGACTTTTGCTTGAGGCATTCGACATCGTTGAAGACGACCTGAGCACCGCCGCCGCATGTGGGTATCACATTGCCCTTGTACAGTTTCGTCTCCACATCGCCATCGGTGTCCGCATCCTGCGAGACGAGGCAATATTTGGTGGCGCCATGTCCCGTCAGCTCCTTCATATCCGTCAATTTGGTGACAGACTTGCGATTCTTCAGATACGGCTGCATAATGGTGCCCAGTGGCACAGGATTGGCGGCTCGATGCTCCAGCCACTTGTCGCCGGCGGAACGCGAGCGACGATGTCGATTGTTGGCAGCAGCCATGCCCTGCAAGAAGAAAATGTGCGTGAGTCACGATGAGATTAGAGGAAGAATTCAATTAGCTCACATGTCGTGGTGTGCAGTAGATATCGGTTCGTGTCGTTGCCGGCACCGTGGATTCCGTGCGTGCAGTGAAAGCGCCGCGCTCCTTGTCGCTCAGTATATTCTCGGAGCTTTGGGAGCGCGCCAGACTGGGCACATCCTCCGACTGCAGTATGTTGGACACCAGACGCAGCTTCTCATCCTTGATGCGCATGCGCTCCTGCATTTTGGCGCGTTGCTCGCGCAGCTTTAGATCGAATTCACGTTTATTCTTATCCGATTCGACGGCCAGCTTGGAGTTGTACTTCTTCTTCTGTTTCTCCTTCTCCTGCTCCTTTTGGTTGAGCATAAAGTCCTGCTCGCTCAGCTTCTGTGTAAGCTCGTGAATTTTGCGCTCCTGTTTGCTCACCGTATTGTTAAGCACATCGATGGAGCTCTCGTGTATGCGCACCTTGTTCTCCAATGCGAGACTCCTTTCGCGCTCCTGCTTGTAGACGGCCTTCATAGAGGCCAGCTCGGTGCGCAGCTGTAGATTGTCCCGGTCCATGTTCATGAGTAACTGCCGGAAATTGTCACCTGCAAGGCAAGTAAGTTATCCATAACCAGTAAGGAATGGTTGTAATTCCAGCAAGACTCACTTTTAAGTTCCAGGTTGGCGCGCAATTTGCGTCGCTTCTCGATGCGCTGCTCCAGATACTGCATTAGCTCCTGGATTTTGCATTCCGTCTCGGGACTGTCCATTTGATAGTTGGGAAAATCCGGGCCCAAACTGTAGACCAAACCCACATCCACATCCAGGTGCTTGGCCTCCGGTATGCCCAGCTCATTTAGGTTGTTAACGGCGATCTTGAACAGTTTGTTAGCCTTGCGACGACCGGGTGTTAAGCCCAGATCGGGTTTCATGGGTGTGGCACGCGCTATTTGCACCTCCTGCGTCATCTCGGCAAACTTCATCACTTGCTGTCGAGTGGAAATCAGTTTAAATTAAGATTAGAATAGATATTCAAAGGCTAACCATATTCTCATCGTAATCCTCCATGCGGGGATTGATGCACACAATCATCGAGACCTGACCCTCGCCATCAAAGTAGTTCTTGAACATGTGCGTGATCTTCGAATCGCGATACGGTATCTTCTTGGACGCCGTGCCACAGCCAGCCGTCAGCTGGTTCTCGCGCAGATATTCCAGACAGGTGCGCAACGTCATCAGGGAATTGTTGATGTTGCCCGCCTCGCGCAGACGCACGCCAGTATTTTTGGTGCGCGAGGAGCGTTCACTGCCCGCCAAATCCACCAGCGATAGCTGACTGACGGTTATCGTCTGCTTATCCTGCAGCACACGTTCGCCCTGACAATCAGTGGGCGCCTGGACGAGTCGTATATTGAACACGGAATGACTGCGACTCGATTCCGCATTGAGTATTGTGTTGCCCATGCGTTTGCGCTTCTGACCCATTTGGAACACCTCGAGCGCTTCCTCGACCGTCTTAACCTCTACCTCAGTGACGCCGTGCACAAACATTTGATGATTGGCATCCTCGCGTATGATTTTACACTGCAAGGACCTGGAGCACAAAAGGAATTGATAATGTATGAATGACAGAAGAAGAATAAGTATTAATTGTATGCTGTTTGTTACTTCTGTATGCCTGAATCCTCGAGCAGATCGTACACGCTGTTGTTGTACATCTCCACATAGGTAATGAACACCGAATACATATTATCCTCGTCCAGTGTGTTCAAGGGCGTTGGCTCCACCGAGGCCTGTGATGCTATCTCCGGATCGGAGTCCTTGCGACGGAACGCAAATCGTCCTGCGCCCGCAAAACGTTGATTCATCTCATGCTGGCGCTCGAGCAGTGCATCCTCCTCCGATAATATTTCAAAGCCATTCAAACGATCCGGCTTGAAGACGAACTTCTTAGCCTGATAATCAGATATGCTGCGAAAGAGCAGATCCAAGCAACGAGGCATAACACCACGATGCCTGGCATTCCCTGTCATTGTATAAGTCTTGCCACTGCCAGTGACGCCATATGTGAAGAGTAAACTATTGCGACCACGTATGAGATTCTCGACGAGTGGCTGCGCCACCGCAGCAAAGACATCCTGCTGCGTTACATCGGGCTGAAAGACGTGCTTGAAAATGTACTGCATTTCACGCTGGGCGCCAGGTGTCTGCTTGTGATGCAGTAGCTGATCCTGCGAATTGACCGCAATTGTTGTCGAGTTCTTGACACGCATGCATGTCAAGTCGCCATCGGACTGAAGGGGACGCACTCGACAGAACACATTGACCGGATCCTGCTGTTTGCTCGAGCTATCCTTGCGTTTCTCTGTGTGCGTTTGCGTCGGCGCCGTTCGCGGAGTTTTTGGGACGCGCAACGGCGTACGTGACCTGATTTGAATTTGACGTTTCATTTCGCTTACAAACGCTTGTCAACACTAGTTCTACTTACATTGCTTTCATTTTGCTAGTTTGCTTATTCGTTGACAGCCACTAGATTATTTTATATATTTCGTTTTTTCTCTGAGTAAAAATTCGTTAGCTTCAAATGCTTGCGCCCACAGAGACGCCACGCTTATGCTTCTTCTTCTTCGTGACTTTTTGCGCATGCAGCTGACTTCACGCTTCTCAAAATTGCGTAACATGCGCAGCGTTGTATTTTTCAATATCTTACATTTTTTCATATATAATTTTTAGTTGCTGGTTTAACTAGTGTTTAAATTTCTTTAAAAGTATATAGTTATAATTGCACTAAGATTCAAATTCGAGCTTCCAAATAATTACCCATTTAGCCATGGTGCAGCTATGTTAATTAACATAGCTATGTTGATTGACAGAGAACTCAAGCAGACGTTAATTTCAAAATATTCTTTTTTTTTATTTTCGATTTAATGTAAATGCACATAAAATGTGTTATAATAATAAAAGTAATTGCATTTGTGTGTAGATCATATGTTGCTTATATTAGCGAATAGTTTTCTATTGCTTGTTGAACTTGAAAACGGATAGCATGTTACGCATGAGAGCGGGTCCATTCCAGTAGCCAGTTAACATTAGCTTCCAGTAGAGCAGCGGCATAAAGTCTTTCTTCATTATAAACATCGAGTAGCGTTCTTTGTTCTGCGCAATTGGAAACGTTTCCAGCGGTTTCAGATCATAATCGAACTCCGCGAGAATGACGCTATTATAGCCCGTAACTAGCGGACATGAAGCATATCCATCATAGACATCGGACAGGGGCTTACCATTCAGAGCTGCGATCATATTACGATATACCACAGGTGACTGGGCAGCTAAAAAAATACGTTTATAGAAATTTACGAGTTATATAAGAATACACAATTTTCTATATGTATGTGTAGCTCACCTGCCGATGCGGCAGTCTTTGAATTAGGCGAACCGGCTGAGTCGCCAATAGCAAATATATTCTTGTATTTTGTGTGTTGCATCGTGGATTTATCCACATCTACAAAGCCGGCCTCGTTGACCAGCTGCTTGCAACGGGTGAGCGCATCAGGAGCACTCATTGGCGGCACAGCATGCAGCATGGAATACTGGAGATCAAAATATTATTATATCTGATAGAGATTTTTTTGTATATATTAAATTGCGTAACTACCTTCTCCTCAAAGTGCTCGCTGGGTTTGTCCAGGTTCTCGAAAATCGCAATATCCTGTTCGGGTTTAACCTCAATGAGGTTGCGGCGCGTATTTACCGTTATGTTGCGCTTCTTCACAATGGGCCACAAAGCATCTGCATAGTGTTTAACACCGAAAAGCACAGGCAAAGCAGTGTTGTAAGTTACATTTATTTGATTACGCTTGGACATCTGAAACGAAATCCGGTAAGAATTTAAATCAGCTGGAAAAATGTCAAACTTACCTTGCGGAAATAGTGTTCAGCAATGTAGAGAATCTTCTGGGGTGCACCCGGACACTTGACGGGCGACGAAGGAAATGTGAAAATGGCATTTCCACCCTCGATATTACGCAAGCAATCGTAAACTCTATCCACATATTTGGGTGAGTAAATCGAACAGACTTTGCCATTGGGTATGGCAAGGGCAGCCTCCAAACCGGGAATCTGTTGAGGAATAGATCAATTAATTTTGATTTTTCCCTACTCCAAAATTGAACTTACTTTATTGTAGTTCAACTGCAAACCGGTTGCAATCAACAACATATCATATTTAATGCTGTCTCCGCTGGATGTCTTCACCGTATTGCTGTCCGGATTGAACTCGACGGCGGAGTCACGCAACCACTTGGCCTTCTTGGGCAGTACCTCTTCCATGGTCTTGTAGGAGTGCTCCAAACGCTTCATTCCACCACCAATCAACGTGAACATCGGCTGATAATAATGTTTCTACGGAGAACACGGGGGAAAGTGAAGCCGGATACACATTTCTATATCTATCTGGTTTACGTACATCGGCTGGGTCCAACACGATCACCTTGTTCCGACCTAGTCGAGATGAGAGCTTGGCGGCCATGGCACAGCCACCGGCACCGCCACCAACCACCAGAACTTTACATCTATATTACGTCGAAAAATCGATAAATTTATTAATAAAGCCATTAAGTAAATTAACTGTGCCCCAATTTACTGAGCATATCACAAAATATATGAAACAATGTATGTATAAAAAATATGATGACATAGTAATATGTTGTACGGTCTACGTGCTTAATTCCCCGGCTTCTAATCATGCTAATTGCATTTGCTTTGCTGTTACAGTGCTGAATCGTCAATTAGAATTGGCTGCTATTATTGGTTTAACCTTAGCAGATAGATGATAGATTAGACAATAACGCCTTGAATTGCAATTAGTTGATTTATTTACTATTGATTATTATTATAGTTAGCAGGATTCGCAAACTGAGTCTGAAGAGTTCGCATTATCGAACGACAACTGTAGATTTAAAGCAATAATTTATGCACACACAAACATTTACTTATACATATAGACGCACACGCGCGGCACTTTTCAACGTTGTACGATCGCCCATTGGAATTGTTTTATTTTTTTGGCAATTAGTCAAAAGAGGAAACAAATAAATAAAATAAAAAAAACAAACTTACTCGTGCTTGTCAAAGAGCGTTTGAGACGATGAAATATTGCGTTGCAAGATGGATTGATTAAAGCCGCTACCGGCCAGAAGTTTGGACTGCCTTAAAGCCATTTTAGGCAAGCAACTGTAAGAAGTCATCGTAGGGCTAAAGAAATTGTTTGGATCATACGTTAAGTTGTTTATTATAATATATATACCATCAGTTATTTATTTATTGATAAAGATATAGAGTCGAGCACAAGCTGCGAGATACGATTGGAACTTACTTCAGCAACGGACGTCTGGTGACTGTCTGGCTAATTTTGAGAGCAGGAGAGAAAGTCAAAGCAAAGCTTTTTTGTAGTTTGATTATCACATTGCAAAACATACGCCCTAAGAAAAAGATTGGTATTAAACTGGTCAAACGAGTTTGAATAAAAAAATTGTATTTCACAAGAAATTGTTTGTGTTGCAATAGAGCAGGAAGAAGAAGCAGCACATAAAAGTTTAACATTTATTTTTGTCTGTTCTCATTCATACACATTTTTCTCTTTTTGTGCAAGCTTTAACCTTGAATTAGCTTTTCGGATACACGTGCCGTATTTATCAAACACAAGCGAGCTTTATGCGCACAACAACAATAACAAAGCGGAACAGCTGTTCGAAATGATTGTTTTGCTAACTGTTGCGCACAATGAAGCGCAAAAATATAGTAGCACTTTGAGTTTAACGATTATGCAATATATCAAGCGTAGCTATTCGCAAAGAGGGAACAGAATTTTATTTGTTTGAGCCAAATAAAATCAGTAGTTAAAGAAAATCGGAAATTATAAGCATATTTTTGAATATTGCAGTCTATGAAAAAAATTAAAGCACTAGGCAACTATCTAAGCGCTTTGGGTGTCCTTTAAGGTCCTTGACAATCCACGGAACTGGAGACCCATCAGTATTGAGACGAATCAATTCGAAGCTCTACAACTCGATCATCAATTGCCCATTGTTCTCAGTGCATGGAAACAATAAACAATTTTAGAATTACTGCATTTATTGTTACGATTATTATGCCATAAAGTATTTCATAAATTATTGTATAGAGTAGATTCGCATACATATGCATGGCCATAGATGTGTCCCCCTTCGGCCCCACAACAAAAAAAAAAACATCTCATTTTCTGATTGCATTCAGATTACAAATATATATATATGCATTTATATATGTATATATATGGATCTCGAATTATTGTGCTGCTGGCCGATACGCGATGCGTTTTTATCATTAAAGTGGTTTGTTTGTTACAGAAATGATAAGAAACAAACCGAAAATCACATTCACATGCATTTCTTTGTTTTTGTTCTTTTTTTACTCTGGTTTAATTATTATTCCTGCGTTTATTCAGATTTATGCTTAAATTTGTAGATTAATTTCAATTACTAATAAATCAGTCTATAATTAAAATATATATTCGCTTAATGCTTTTGTGTGTGTGTGTGTGAGAGTGTGTTTATATATGTGTGTGTGTGTGTATGTGTGTGAGTGTGTGAGCTGCCCCGTAAAATGAGTATATAACACGGAATACTTAAATCTCTATATACGACTCAGAAATAATTCTAGATTTGCAATTATCTGTTTTTAACTTATACGAAAAACATACAATTTGAACGTAGAACTGCTCCCATTGTGGAAGCACATTTGTAACAAAGCACATCTTAATCAAAAATATGTTTTCAATTCGTACATGTGGGTGTGGGTGTGTGAGAGAATATTAAACAAAACACAGGGAATAGAAACAGAAACAGACAACACAAGTTTAAAATCAAATGCTCTAATGGCAATATTAACATTAATCATCATAATCGTAATCATTTTAATTATACATTTTAATCAATATATAAAGCTGTGTTTTTTTTCTTTCATTTTCATAAAGTATCCAGATTCATTCGAGACGGAACAAAATATTTATGTATGTATTTATGTAAGTATATGCAATAATACGTATATAGTAATGTTTATAATGTTAACTAACTTCCGACTAACTTCAATGCAATTTATATTATATATATCTCTATAAGAACTAAGGAGCAAAAAATTATGCTATGGTTGGAAAACAAATTTTGGCTATAAAGCAACGCGAATTGGAAACAAATTATAACATTTTACACTCGCGCTCACAAACTCCCAAATGTTTAGTGTGTGTGTGTGAAAGTGTGAGTGTGTGTATATATATATATGTGTGTGTGTGTGAGCAGCTGCATTTGTTGGCAAGGCAAGCGACGATAACAATCCGGATTGTGGATTTCAGATAGAAGCGTCATCTCTGTGTGTTTATAAGTGTGTGTGTGTGTAGGATGAGTGTCTGTGTGTGTGTGTGTGTGGAAATCGCCTCCGGCTTTTCGCTAAAGCGCTTTAGCGATTCCGGCGTTTCGCGTTTATCGTAACATAAAGTAGAGCGGCGCTTCTCTTCCTTCTACTGACAACAGGTTGCCGCAGCAAGTCATGCTGATGGCGACACTGGAACTGGCATCGTCCCCGGCACCGTTCCTATGAGCACTTGACACAAGCGCCCTCCACATCAAAATCGAGTACCATCAGCTTGGTCTCCTCCGTGCCGTTTCGTGAGCCCACAGCGCAAATCAGCTTAGTGTCATTTGCCCTATACGAAACAAACATGGATACATTCATATATATAAATATAATCATATATATATAAGAAGAATAAGAACCTTATACGCCAGACAACGCCACCGGAACCACCCGAATCGAGTGCGACAAGATTACGTATAAAGTCGCCCGTTTTGACGTCCCACAGCTTGACGGTGCCATCATCGGAGCTAGTCACCACAAACCGTGAATTGAACTGCAGGCAGGTGACAGCGGACTGATGCTTATTGGGACCTGGATGCGGAAAGAATAAGTCAACTCTTTGCATAGCCAGCTTAGCTTGAATTAACACTTACCCGATAGCGTCTGCAGACACTGGCCCGTTGTTATGTCCCAGACTTTGACGGTGGAGTCCGCATTGCCCGAAACGAGTATGTTCTGGCGCAGCTCCATGCCCGAGGTGAGGCTCTGGTGGCCCATCAGCGTGTGCTTGCAATTGCCCGTCTCCACATCCCAAACGCGTATCGAGGTATCCAGTGAGCCAGAGACAACATGAAGGCCATCAAACTAAAATCGTGGAATGTGGTTATAATTATAATTAAAACATATATATAGGCATATATACCTGCAAGGAGTAGACACGATTGGTGTGTCCCTGCAACGTATGCAGGCATTCCTGTCGCTCCGGATGCCAAATCTTGACCATATAATCGTAGGCGCCGGACACAATTAGCTTGCCATCGTATTGCACACACCGCACAGCAGCCAGGTGACCCACCAGGACATGCAGACAGCTGCCGATCTCAATGTCCCAGACACGCAGTGTCGCATCCCGCGAACCACTGACCACTCTAAGAAGGTGAACAAATTACAACTCTGACTAGATATGATAAATTTAGATTGAAGACTTACTTGTTGCCATGCAAATGCATACAACGCACCGTTGAGGTATGTCCTTGCAACGTGTGGACACAGGTGCCGCTGTCCATATCCCACACCTTCAGCGTGCGATCCGTGCTGCCCGAGATGATGATATTGCCGGACATCTGGGAGGACCAAACGCCGCCCGTGTGACCAACCAAGGTGCGAAGGCACTAGAGATTGATAGAAGAGATTAGTTTAGAATCGATTGTAGTTAATAAAGAGATTTTTGATTTTACCTTGCCATTGACAGCTGACCACACTTTGAGCGTGTTGTCGTCGGAGCCGGAAACGATGCGATTGCCGGAGAATTGCAGACAGGTGATGACATGATCGTCATGACCCTTGAGCACCTTGGGCTTGCGCACCGGACGCGATCGCCAATTCATCTCGATGATGTGCTGTCGCATATAGGCCGCCTTCCACGGCGAAGCTATGGGCGGCATATTGCCGTCGCGTCCACGCTTGGGACGATCACTGCGCGATTCGGTGAGGATCATCGCCTTGCGGCACTTCTCCTTCCACAGCAGATTGTCGTCGCAGAGGAAACGCCAGCTGCGACAGGTTTGCGCCGCACGCAATAAATCCTTCGGCTCCAGATACGAGAGCACAAACAGTGCCAGCTCTCGGGGCAGCAGCGAGATGAAATCCCGCTGGAATTGCGGCTCAATGACCTTCATCATGTGACGCACCTGCGAGGGATCGCAATGATCGATCAGACGATCGACGGCCACTAGGCGTTCGGCATGGGACCAACGCTGGAATTGTGCCAACCATTGCGGCAGCTCTGGCGGCGGATTGTCCCGCGTGGGGATTAAAGCACGCGGCGTACGCCGACCCACTGCGGGTGAGCAGCTGCCCAGAATGGCACCCACTGTCGCCGCCGTCGTTGGCGTCATTGCGTGCAGCACGGTAGTGGAAGAGTTGGTGGAGCGTGGCGTCGACGCAAAATCATAGGCAATCCGTTTGCGACTATTATCGCCGGCACCGGCATGTCGGCCACCACCATCGCCACCGCCACCGCCGCCACCCGTCATGGAGTAATCACCATCGAGGTAACGACTCTCGTTGTATTTGCGCTTGCGCTGCTGCTGATGGGAGCCGGTGTCGATTTTTTGAAAAGAGATGGACTCATCCTCCGCGGCGAACATGTGATAGTTGTCCAAGCAGTCCGAGTCGCTGAGGCTGCCACTGCTGCCGCTGCGACTGCTCGTGAGTATGCTGTTCTGGCACGTGCAAATCTCCTCCAGATCCGAACAGTTGTTCTCCTCGTCGCAATTACCCCAGGGCTCTTCGGCACTAAAATCACCCGGTTCCACAATGCCACCACCGCCGCCTCCATTGCCAGCGCTGTCGCCATTATTGTTGCTATTCTCCTCAACGACGACTTCGAGGATGACAGGATCGTTTGAGCCACGACGTGTTGCCGCCTCGCCGCCTCGTCGACTGCGTGTGCGTACAGTGCTAACGGAGACGCCACCAACCACACCGCCGCCGACAGCTGCTGCTGCCAAGCCGCTGCGTGCCAGAAAACGCTCCTGAGTCTGGGCGCTGGCATTGACCTGCCTGGTGGCAGCTCGAGATGTGGGCGCTGCATAATGACAGCGTGCGGACGAAGTCGTTGATGTCGCCGATGTCGATGGCTGTGCATCCACATCCCCAACTGAACCGGTGCTGGCCGCAGAGCTGGCGGCGCATGCTGCCGCCGATGTGCGACTGCAGCCGCTCTCCTGGCTGGTCTGCGAACCGACAGAGCTGAACGATGTGGCTGCCAATGGCGCAGCTGCCGGCGCAACGTCCTTGTCCATCTGGTGCTGGTGGTTTTCATTCGAGTTGATGGTGTTCGTATAGACATCGCTGCGATTGTTGTGTGTGGTGGAAGTGGACGCATTGTTGCTGCTGCTGCTATTGGCGGCGGAATTGGTGGTGGTGGTGGGTTTCATAATCAACACAATGGGCAGCTTGGAATTGATGGTGTAGGTGGTGCTGCTATTGCTGCTGCTGTTGCTCTGGGAACTCTGGTCTCTAACGTTGCCGACTGGCGGCGGCGGAGCAGATGCAGCAGGCGCAGCCGCTGCAGCACTGGCCAGCGATGAGCCCAAATTGAGTTTGGCAGTGGACTTGCTCAGGCGACTGTTTGTGTACTTCCGGCTGCTCGTCGGCGTCGTCGACAGATCCTTGTACGTGCACTAGGAAGAAGAGAAAAAGTGGACCAAACACAAAGGTCAATCAATTGATATATATTGATTATTAAATAACTGCTCGGTTTAACTTCAATCGAAAATCAATACTGCAAAGAAGAGGAGCAGAGGAATCTGCTGAAAACTACTTTTGCTCCTGCCCGGCACTTGCCAGACAGAGATCCACTGGGAAGCCCCCTTCTAACCGATCTAGCGCAATTAGCTGAATGAGGATCAACTTCCTGCAACTGATTGAACTCATTTTTGATTTCAGTTTTCCACTAATAGTGTCAAGGAGTTGAGAGATGTATTCAAACTACGTTTCAAATCCGACGTAAGCTAACCTTATAATTAAAATGGTAATATAATCTTCAATTACCTTGCTATCCGAGGAGAAGGCGCGTCCTTGGCTGCTGCTGGGCCAATCATCGCTGCTTCCACTGCCATTGCCATTGGCACTATTCACTGTAACGACTCCTGCTCCGACTGCTGCAGCAGCACGATTGATCAGACTTAGATTGAGGCGATTCTTGTTCATCAGCGAACTGGTGCCGATTATAATGCCGCCGGTTAGTCGCTGTTCTCTCTCAAAGTCGCGCCGCTCTATTCGATCCATCGACAAGATGTCTGCCTTCGATAGAGACTGCGAATTGGCGCTGTTGGAGCTGGAGCTGGAGTTGGAAGTGGACCCGGAGCCCGAGCCGGCACTGGCACTTGCATTGGGCGTGATGCTCATTTGCTTCAGCCGCACAGACATTTGTCTGTCGTGCAGTGAACTGGATGCCACATCCGCCGCCGTTCCCTGGGCAATCGGCTCAGACTTAACTAACACTCTGTTGCCGCCTGTCTGCTGCTGCGCCTCCGCAGAAGCCTCCGCCTCGAATTCATCACTGAGACGCTTGGGCTTGCCAGTGAGGAGTTCAGATTGTGTAGCATTGCCAACGGTGACATGGGTATGTGAGAGGGGCTCCTCCACAACGGGCGTCTCCAGGAATATTTTGGAGCCGTCTGCCGTCATAATGATGCCATCGCCTCCACCGCCATTCAATTGTGATGTATTGGGGCAGTCCAGTGGCATTGATTGTCCACCGTCAACATCATCCACATCGTCATCGTCCTCATCAACAATTTCCTCCTCCTCATCGAAATCATCGTCATCGTTAATAAGGCAAACAACGGGTGGCTCATCGTCCACAATATCATTATCATCATCGTTATAGAAAACATGATCCTCGGAGGCGGCACTGCGGGCACGGCCACGACCACGCCCATTTAACGTATCGGAGGAGGAGCTATCGTCGACGGGTACAACAACATCATCGCCCACATCACTGGAGCTGGCCGCTGCACCGGTGCTGGCTGGCAAGGAGTTGGAAGAGCTGATCTCGTATGTTTCCAGCACGCCCGTCTCATCGTTACTGGAGGACACATCGTCATCATCATCATCATCATCATCGAGCACTACGGCGAAGCCATGTTGCGAATTTGAAGTGACACAGTCCTCCACGTCTTCCCTCAATTTGGACATAGAACCCAATTGTTTAACCCTTAAGCTCGGTACTGTGCCGCCTGCTCCGCTGCTTCCCACCTGGCTAGTGCTTGGCTTTGGCTGACTTTGTGTTTGAATTGCTAGTTGATGTTGAGGTTGAGATTGAGGTGTTTGCGGCTTCGTCTCGCTTCCAGTGCTTGCAGTGCTGCTCGTACTGCTAAACTCCTCGGCACTCTCACAATTGATGCTAACAATTGCACATCCTTTATCCATAATACTATCACTATGCGCCGGAGAAAGTCAATCTCTTCTCTTGCACTGCTCTCGCTTGCTGCTCTTTCTCACCTGCAATTTATATATACAAAAAACATAAATATATTGACAGGATTAAATAAAGTGCCAAAGAACTCAAAGCAAATGTCTACATTGATAACAAAGACTTTCCTATAGCAGATAAGTTCAACAATCAAGCTCAATCCTCCACCATCTGCCACAAAAATATCGAAATCACGATATCCATTTTTGTTCATGGTCAGATATGGAGTTGGACGAATGGATACAAAATTGTATAATATTTGATTTCCTTTGTTTCCACGATCTGATCGAAATTGCCTCCATTTCACATTTCGTATAGTTATTATTGTTATGGAAAGCAAATTGTAGAAAATTTTACTTCCATTACACAACAACGCTTACAACAATTATAGGGACACTCTGAAAGAGTCAGAACCCATAAAATACCTCAAGCCCAAGTCCTTTTTCAACACTTTTAAGTTCAGTCTGAATATCAATATTAATATTCAACTTATATGCAACAACAAAATACATATAAAGTGCACTCTTTTTTATATTTAAGAAGAAAAAACTAGTTGTAAGCTATCCTTTTTACCTACACACGAGTGGTAGAAGAAAAAACGCCGCTAGGAACGAGCCGCTCTTAAGCTGCGCCAGCGAGGCTCTGTGAAAAATTCCCACGCAACGCGAAGCAAAAGGCAAAGAGGCAAACGGCAAAAGTAATAAGCACGATGAGATAGATGATCGTGTGCAGGCAGTTTTCAGTTGTTGTCTGTTTCTGTCTCTCTCTCTCGTCTTCACAAATGATGAGATGAACTGAGACTGAAACTGAGAATTGCAAAAAAAAATCAAAAGAAAAGAAAATCAGTGGGAAAAATGTTTGTAAAGCAGCAGCCGTCGTCGTCGTCTCAGTAATCAAAAACTCGCCGAAGGAAATCACAAAAGTGCATCGGCGGAGGAAGCTAAAACGGCGCGAAGTAGAATGGGCAAAGAAGATGAAACGGGTATTACAGCAACAACACACACATACACACACAGGCGCACAATACATTCCCACAAACATACACATCCACAGGCAGACAGATCAGCAGCAGCAGCCCAGGCAGAAAAGGTAAAGGCATGCGATGACAAGAGCAAAAGTAACGGACGGAAGAAGAAGCAATAAAGATACACACCACCAACAACAGCAGCAGCAACAACAACAAGAAGAACAACAACGATAGCGTACACCTTGCAATTTAAGCCGCTATCTGTATGCGCTCTCTGCTCACTCTTTCTCTCTCGCTCGTCAAAGTCGTTAGCTTCGACTGCGACTAACATACGCGCCCTCTCTCTCTCGCATCACTAGCACAGCATCAATTTAACGCACACTAACGCACACGCACACGGACAGAAAAAGGGATCCCATCAGGCCGAACAACAAAGACCGATCGCATAGGAATTTTCTCCACACACACACACAGGCATACACGTGTATGTATGTGTATTTGTAGATCCTGTGTTGCATCACTCGTAAAGCAGATCAGATGTGCATGGGAATGTCGACGCAGTGTGTGAACCCTCAGCTCATCTCTCCCTCTCCCCTCCTCTATTGGCTGTTGACCTCTTGTGAAGGTTTAAGGGTCTGATGCCTGCTGCCTGTTTTTTGCTTCTTCATTTTGTGTCCGCTTTCACACGGCATTCGGCATTCGTTTTACCTGCGTTGTGTGCTGAGACACACACAAGGACTAATACTAATACCAATGCGGGATTCTCACACACTTTTGCCTTTCGTTTTCAAGGCTTTCATCATTTCATAACGAAAATTACATTACATTTCTTCCCAAAAGAAAAATAAAAAATAGTTAATAAAATTAACTAAATTGTGCTGGCCCTAACCCCACTTTTCTGCACCTGCATTGAGCGAGAGCCAGCCCCATAATTCGTGGAGCAAACAACAAAAGAAAAATGTGAACATTGTTGTACACACACACACAGTTACACCAGCACACACATCTACGTTGGATGTCGTATGCATACACACACACACACACCTATACACAGAACAAATGTCACGACATGGATGAGAAAATGTATTTACTTTACCCCTAATATAGCTTTATTTTGCACTTTATACAACGGAATTCATATATTTGGTGTTCACTCGACGTTTGCAGTTGCAATTTAGCCTAATTGCTTAACTATTTCATCCGTTTTACACTTTTTGCGTTTAGCTCACGCACACACACACACACTTACACAGCCACAGGCACACACATATAAAAGCATTTGCCACTGAACACACGTTTAAACGAATTTAGCACGTACGTTTCTCAGCCGTTTTCTTCAATGTGTCATCAGCTATCCAGAACGAAAGTTTTGTTTAACCGTTTTAGCATTAATCTGATAACAAAAACAAAAATTCTTAAATTCAGACAGAAAAATAACTAAATGACTTGAGCTGCGCTGCCACTGAATGTTAGCAGCACCAAAGTATCGGGCCAAAGCATCGATATATGCTGCTCGCACTGCTGAGGGTATCGATGTAAGCAGCAGCTTATGCAGCGATACCATCAATACCATTCATTCGATAACAATTGCATTTGAGCATTGATTTTTATTTTGCTTTCAATCGCTTTGAATCAAATTTAATAAATAAGTCTAAAATGCAGATTGCACTATTTGCCAAGCGAATAAGAACAGAAATATTGAATTTTCTGATGACGAGCGGAGTTGAATAAGAAAAGTGCGGGTGCCAACCGCTCTCATCGATACATAGACCCGCCCGCATTCGATTGCCGGCTGTTTAAATCAAGTTCGAGACAAATTTTACATTTCAGTTTGGCTGCCGCGAGATGTCAACGTCCGAGGGTGTTGGGGGCCTAGTGTCCCATTACCTTGAAAAAGGCATAGTGCTGATTATCGCTGATCTGCTCAGTTTGATAACAGTGTCATCCTGTCTGGTCATTAAAGTGCCGCAAATAAACACAATCCGAGCAAATGAATCTTCCAAAGGTAAAGATACCTTCGAGCTTTTTTCGTACAGCCTCCCACGCAAAGTCCAAACTTTCTTTTCTTCTTTTTTTTATAGGCATCAGCGTCTTAGGACTATGCTTGGAGCTGTTCAGCTACACTGTGATGATATCCTACAATTATACATCCGGCTATGATTTCCTCTCCTACATGGAGTATCCTGTGCTGTTGCTGCAGGAATATGTACTCATCTATTATGTTTTTAAATATCAGGATTTGCTGGGCAAGCGTACACAAATCATTGCCGTCTTCTATGTAACAATTGCGACGCTCATCTATCTCAAGTTATTTCCCATTATAATCCTAACATTCCTGGTGGTGAGTAAGAAACAATATCGTTATCGCTTATATATATAATGACAGCTGCGAAATTGATTAGAATTGATTGGAAGAGAAACAAAATATGTTCAACTAGATAACGAGTATTTCTGCGCTCAAACTTGTTTTCTGTTTTAACTTAATTTAGCCAATTATGTTTTAGTGCTTCTCGGCAACTTGTTTCTTTTGTTTATTGTTTATTTCTGTCAGCTAGAAGCTGGGAATAATGAGGGACTCTGAATCATTGCTCAAGGTCATTTTAGTTTGTTTTAGCAAAATATATATTTGTTATGCATCTATTTATAAAAATGTTGACCAATTGTGTGCTGGCTGTTAATATATATACAGGGCTCACCCGCTAACTATAACTTCTAGTTTAAAGAATTTGTATTTTTGTGATTCAATTTTAAGCACTAGGAAATCTCACTAGATATGTAAATTATGTAGTTGAAAACGCGTTATTTAATTATGTATTTATCAAATTGTATCTATTTTTATAATAATAAGGAAATCATTTGTAGAATTAGTTAAACGAAAATTTGAAGAAAAAATATAAGGTTCTCTTTTCATCTATTTTTAAACTGAAATAGTTTGCAGTATTTTAAAAAATCATAAGAATTTGATCTTTGGGTTTATTTCTATCTATTTATATATTAATATGCTTCCATTTATAGCCCTTCTGCACACCGATCGGAGCGACTAGCAAAGTTCTGCAACTCTTGGCCATATTACGCACAAAGGATGCCAGCTCAGTTAGCCGCACAACATGGGCCCTCTCCGCCTTCACCAACATGAGTAAGTATTTAGATTATATATACCAATGCACAACTAACTAATCCCCTTCATCTCTTGCGCAGCCCGCATCTACACGGTTTATGTGCAGTCGCATGATGTGATGCTGCTTACCAATTTCCTGATTTCCACGTTCCTCAGCTCGGCCGTCTTCGTCGCTGCCTGCGTTTACAAGAAGAAGACTAAGAAGGATTAGAGGAGAACAATGACAGTGAACAACACAGCTCAAAAATACTCAAAAAAGTTTTATGTAAATTACATATTTATGACATTATATAAAGTTAATTTCATTGGCATTTCTGATTAATAGCTGTATTGTGCTTAACTGATCTTAACTGTCCGCATAGTAAGCCACGGCGAGAGCGCCGACAACCGCAAGCAAGGCCACCGCGCAGATGGCCCAACGCTTCCAGTCGATGTCCGATTTTGTTGGCTCCACATCGAGTGCCTTGCGCTCTTTGTGCTTACGCTTGCCAAACTTTTGCTCGAATTTCTCCAGCTCGAGACGGTTCTTTTCCTCCTCCTGCCGCAAACGGCGCTCCAATTCTTGCTGTTCCGTTGCCGCCGCCTTGGAGCGTTCTGCTTGACAGTTGCCATCGCAGTCCAAGGATGTTTGACCCGCTCGATGCTTGTCGCAGGCGATCTCTAGCTTGATCCGCTTACAGGCACAAAAAATGCGCACCTTTTTGCGGCACAGCTCGGGATTGGGACACAGGCCGGGATGGCAGATGGTCAGGCAGCGATGGCCACAAGCAAACTGAAATTAAATATGAATTCTAATTTAAAGAAATGCAGTCAGAAATATGGGGAATGAAATATACATTCTTGAGGCAACGATTGCCACAGCTGCATAGCTTCTGGCGTCGCTCCATAATCTGCAACACAGATCCCTCCTGATTGAAGAATTCGCTGCACTTGTAGATGACCTGATTGAGGCCACAGTGGCATTTGGTCTTCATCACAAAACTGCAGGGCGCACAGGGCGGCAGATGACAGCCCTTGGCACAGGCATGTGTGCAGCCGGTAGGACGTGGAATTGCGCATCCCTGCTCGCATTGAGCACAGCCCGCCTGTTGCTGCATATCATCGGGATTGGGCACCGCATGACAGAAGAGCGCACACCTGTGATTGCCACACTTTAAGTGGCGCCCACATTTGCGGGCGCAGGACGACGGCTTGGAGTTCCAGCACGGCCAGGTGGCCACCTCGTGACCGCCAATACAGGTGACGCTGACACCCTCCTCGCAACGGGGATGCGCCTCTGCGTGGTATTCATACTGAAAGTGGAGCAGGAAATATCTATGAGCTGTCTACACTATACTCGAAATAAATTTCGAGTTTACCTTATTGGCATGCGGACGCACTGCATCTGCTGGCTTGAGCACACGTATGGCTGCATGGCAACGTGCCTTGCAGATGTGTCCACAGCGGCTGGTATCATTTAACAGGCCACATGGCTGAGCACACGGTGGACATTCGCCCTTGTGGCAGCGATGCCTGATGGCATGATGACATTTAGGTGTGATGCTGGAGCAGAGAGTAGAGTGTTAAGCTTAAACAGAAACTGAAATTGGAGGCAACCTGTGCACAACTCACCGACATAGCTCCTGGCAAGCAATGCGTGCGCTTTTCTCTCTGCCACAGGGCACACTGCGACGGGTCTTGCCACAGCGGCAATTTACCTGCGATGTCAGCTTGCAGGGATAACAGGGTCCATTGTGACACACAGATTGACACTTGTGCTTGTTGCAGCTCAGCTGCTTGCCGCAGATCTTCTCGCACGGCGGACACTGATCCCCACAGCACTAAATAAACAACTTGTTACTAACTGATGAGAGTATGGATTGTGTTGCAAGTGGAACCTTTCGATTGCACGCATGCTTGTTGCAGTCGCGCATCAGTTTGCATTTGGTTTCGCAGTTGAACTCCTTAGAGCAGGGCAATTCCTTCTCGTGCAGTCCACAACGACACTGCTTCTTGGTGCGCACCAAGCACTACAAAAAATTGGGATTTGTTTTCAATAAATATAAACATAAAATATGTATATAAACCATAAATATATCAGTTTAAATTTGAGCGTTGCTCACCAGATTGCAGGGTCCGCGATGGCAGCGTTGTGCACAGCTGTGCTTGCCACACGGCAACAGCTTCTGGCAGGTGTCGCCACATGTTTCCAGCGTCTCGCTGCAGCCGCCAGTTTTCAACTGTTACAAATTGAATTGATTAATATAAAGTTAATCCAATTTATAGCTTCGCTTACGCTCTTGCCACAGGGGCAGCTGCGCACACCCAGGGGACACTCGCCGCCGCAAGGCGCCGCATGGCACACCTTGTCGCAGTTGTGCAGACCACACGCAAAAGGAGCACCACAAATCTAAAAGTTAATAACCATTAATTGTTGATATTTTATCAGCTTTTATCTTGAGTTATTTATCTTTACATACGTTTTTACACTTCCATTTGGGCTCCGCACAATTCACAACTTTTTGCTCACGTCGGCAATCGCAGTGTTGGGCGCTCTTGCTGCTGCAGGGCGGACACTGGCCAGGTGGATGGCATCTTTGGTTGCACTTGTGCTTGCCACACGACAACAGAGATTGGCACTGCGAAACTTGATTTTAGTATTTATCTCACAATTGTATTTAATTCACTTACTGTTTGCTGGCACTGCCAATTTTTGTCTATGCAGCGCACAGAGCGTGGCGCCGACTTGCCACAGAGGCATGAACTGTGCGCCAGTTGAGCGCATGGTGGACAGGGGCCGGGATGGCAGAGTAGCTTGCAGTCGTGCCCACATTTCGGCTGCAACAGTTTACCACAGATTTCGCCGCAGGAGTGCGGCACCAGAAATGGTTGCGCCTCCGGATTCACCTCCTTGCCGCAGAAGCATTCATATTGTGTGGGTCGATCCGACGGCTGGTAATCCATGCGACACTGCGGGCAGCACCAGTGCAATGATTTCGGACGCTTGGGCGGCACAAACACGCCGAGATGATTGTAGTGACCCTGGTTGCCATTCTGCTGCTCTGCCTTGACTTTCATTTGCATGACGCTATCGTTGGCCCAGCGCTGAATGCACCTCAGATGGAAGAAGCAATAACATGATTTGCATGACCAAATTGGCTCCACGCGCCGAATGCTCCCAATGCAAATGAGACATGTTGCCGCTCCCGAGTGCAGGGTGTTCTCCAGAAAGGTAGCCGTACGATTGGCATTATTGTCGTTGCGTTTGCTCGAGTTATCCGGCGTGCTTTGATAGTGCTTGTAGAGCAGATCTAAATAGTGCAATGAGGACGGACACGTCACAGACAAACATTTGGAAAGTGTTTAATTAATTACCCAGTATATGTTTTTCATCCAATTCGCCCTCATCTTCTGAACTGGATGCGTATGCATCGACAAGCTTCTTTGCGGCTGCCAAATTCTTTGCCTGCGCTTTATTAAACTTTTCCATTTTTGCCGGTTAACAAGCAAACAAAAAAACTACTCTGAATTCTAAATTCTTGTGGAACAGAGGGGGGCACGCAATCCAGGGCTGCAATTGACTCACACTGTACTGTTAAGTTCCGTAGTGACTGGTTCTTTTAATATTTGTTCTCGCCAGTGTTGCACAACGCCTTCGGCACTATTATTTTCTATTTGTGATTATGCAGTTGCTTTTTTGTAGCTTAAAAATACAAATATTAATTAAAAATTGAAAGACTTTATCATATACACTCATATACTCATATACAGAGAGCAAAACCCTTTATTTTTGCAATTGCTAAAACATATCGTTATGTATTGGGATGGGTAACTTTTCACGCGTAACGCGCTCATCTCTAGCAAAAAAGTACTAGTTCATGTTTGTATTGCGACTGTGTTGCCCAAACTTTCACAATACATTAGTAAAAAAAAAAACACTCATCTTTTCAGACGCAGACGCATAAAAAGAAAATAAACCAACGACAAGATGAGTTTCCTTAATTACATATTTGGGCCAAAATTGTACATGGAGTACAAGGGTGTGCCCGAGCCGCAGGTAACCTGTTTACATATTAATGGCAGCGATTGCTCAATAAATTGTAACATTGCAGAGGAAAATCTATGAGCCCGGCGCAGTTGAAAAGTTTGGTGAACAAATATTATCAACGGTAGGTGTGTGGGTAGCTATATATATGTGCGTGCGTGGGTAGGGGGTGTCAGTAGTTGAGTGTGAAGAAATTGATTTGTTTTTGTCGTCGTTGCCTGTTGCAGCTGTCGGTGGTGTGGTCTGTGAGCTATTACACGTCACCACTGATCTTCACATTCCTCTATCGACGCGGCTACTTCGCAGCGGATTCGATACCAACGCTGGCAAAGTTCACCACGAGCGTTGGTCTCATCGTCATCATATCGCTGTTTATGCGCGGCGTTGGCCGTCGGCAATCGCGTACTTATACAAACATGATAAATGCATTGATGCTGGCCAAAACGAATAAATCAACGGATGCACTGCGTCGCTTTGACATTGACTTTGCCGCCTGGCCAGTCGACTTCGATGTCAAAACCTTGGCGGGGTGAGTGGGGTGTGCCCAAAATCGAAATTGCATTTGTAATCGAAAGTAATTTGCACTCCACAGCGATGCCAAGAAGCCCATAAATACGGCGAGTTCCTGCGAGGATTGGAGCTTGGCAACATTGCCCTACGAGCTGATCGCCTATGTGGCCATACACACCTTTGGGCTGTCCATGATCTATCCCGGCTCCGTGAAGCTGATACAGAAATTTATGGGTATATGAATATGGATAACACATCGATATATATATATATATATATAGATAGATCATCCAATTAATCCGATTCTCTTGCAGCACCTGCACTGATCTCAGGCCGTGCCAAACTGATTGAGGATGATAATGGCATACGGTATAAAGTGAAAACGATTGATTCAAATGAAATCGATACGCTTTTCATTGATAATCGCAACGACAATGTTGGCAACGGCAAAACTCTAGTCATTTGCTCCGAAGGCAACGCTGGCTTCTATGAGGTGGGCATAATGGGCACACCGATTGCCTTGAAATACTCGGTGCTTGGTTGGAATCATCCGGGCTTTGCTGGTAGTACAGGTCAACCCAAACCGGATCAGGATAAGAATGCCATCGATGCCGTTGTACTTTTTGCGCACAATCATCTGGGTTTTGCAATTGAGGATATTATACTCTATGGTTGGAGCATTGGCGGCTACAGCACACTGTTTGCCGCGTCCTTATACCCAGAGGTCAAGGGAGTGGTAAATGGATTGACAAGATTTCCCTTTTTCCACATTGTAATTGTCGTCTGCCTTTAGGTCTTGGATGCCACTTTTGACGATCTGCTCTACTTGGCCTTGCCACGCATGCCCATTTCCCTTGGCGGGATTGTTCGCGTTGCCATACGTAAATATTGTAATCTGAACAATGCCGAGTTGTCAATGAAGTATCATGGCCCAATTTTCCTAATACGACGCACGGAAGATGAGGTCATTGCCGAGTGAGTGTTGAAATTTCTATATATTCAATATATCCATAATAATCATTGTATTCCACACAGAGACAATCGCATTGATACGAATCGTGGCAATTATTTAACGCTTTCCGTACTCAAATATCGCTTTCCCAACTTGTTCAGTTCCACACAGTTGACGCGTGCGAAGGGATTGCTATCGAAACCATTGGAATCCTACAGTTATCCCATTGCCGAGGAGAAGCTCTGCATGTCGCGCCTTATAACCTTTGCCTCCGATGAGGGTAAATCGTATCCCATGCTAATTGGTGCCGATTACAATGAGGAAACTCGCAGCCAAATGGCTATATTTTTGGTGGGTTACCCGTATATGATTTATATGTCTATATATATTGTATAATGTGTAATTACATTTGTCGTTTATTTATGTTTTTTTTGTAGCTGCGCAAGCATTTACGTGATTACAACTCAACGCATTGCACACAGTTGCCGGGCGAGTTCTTTAGCATTCCCTGGGATATACCGATCGAACATGGATTCGTTTTTACTTAAACTGAGGCCACACTTAAATATGGCTGAGAGAGAAAGATAGTCGCAAAATGACGTTAGTTGTCGAGTATTGAAGTGTGCTTTTTGATCGTGGCGGGGAGGGGGGCTTTTTAGTTAAGATTTAGTGAAAATGGTTTAAGTCCTTTTTGCATTTTAACTGCTTAAATTAAATTATTAATTGGTCAAGCTGTTGTACAATACAATAACTGGTGTAAATTCGTCTTATACAAATACATATACAAAAAAATAAAACACATAAAATACAAAATGAAATAAATGTCGCAAACCAATCACAGTCGTCGATAGCGATTAGCCCAATAAACGGCTTCGTTCGTTCGTTGGTGCAAAAATCTGTCTATTTCTCTAAATATATCTATGGCTATTGCGTTAAATATATAATATTTTACAGATGAGAACAGAGCACGCTCCACAATTAATTCCTATGAGTTCTTCTTAGAGCCACCAAAGCCAGAGAAACCCATAATGGCAGCCATGTCGTCGGGCAGTCCAGCATTGAAATCTCCACTGTCTTCGGCCTTTCGCTTGCGCTCCTTTTTCTTCTCCTTTCTGTGCTCCTTGTAGCGATCCTCTTCCTCTTTGGCCTCGCGCAGTTTCTTGTCCAGCTCGTAGTCTTTTTGCTTCTCGGCCATTTTCTGTTTGTTCTGATTGAAGCGATCCTTCACTTGATCAACGGTGCTGCGCTCCACTTTCATCGACATGCCCAGATTCCGCTGATGCTTCTTGCCATTTATATGGTCCAAAAAGTTGATCGAGTCTTTGACAACACAGTCGCATACATTGCAATAGTAGCCGCCGGATTGTGAGGTAGGTGTGTTTTTGTTAATCACAACACTTTTTCCCAATTTGCTGTCCAGGTCAACCTTGTAGTCGCGCCGTTTCAGATTTTCCCGCTGCACAGGCTCTATGGAATTTTGCAATCTTAATAAGTGGAATCGAATATCAAACTGCATTTCAGTTCTTACCTTCGTCTTTGGGATTCGCATTGTTGAGCAGACGCTCCTGTGCCAATTTCTGGTACTCGTTCTTGTCCCATTTTCTGCGGTGGTCATCCGGTCGCATCGTCATTTTGTCTTAATTTCTCTTCGGCTCACGCAAAATATCCAAAAAGGTCAAATTTTTATTTCATTTAGTGCGATGAACGAATGTTGTGTTGCCAAACAATCGATAGTTTTATGATGCAGGGCTGCATCAATGTTGGGCGGGTGAGTTGACTTTGATTTTCGATAACCAGTGAACAGCTGCATTACTAAAATCCTCAATTTTGCCAAATCAGCCGAAAGTAATAGTAATAATATTCAGAAAACAAAACATAGTGATAGTGTCGATCCATAAAATCATTGCTCAAATCGTGTTTAGTGCACAAGTTGTTATTGTATAATATTTGAATTTTTTGATGAATGAAAGAGTGTCGCAAGCAATAGGAAACATGCGTATTTTTACTCAACTATCTGTGTATATGATTCTTCTTTAAACGAATTACAAGAATCACAATCTTAAACTGCAGCTTGGTATCGAATAGAGAGTAATTGCCTCACTAAATATCGATAAGAAATGAAAATTTGACTATCGATATGCTATTGATTTTTCGAAGCAAGTGAGAAATTTTAATAGAGAAGCAAAAAACACTGCGTGTCACAATTGATTTAAATCAAATAGGTAAAAAGAGCTGTAAATAAAAATAATTTAAGATGGGCGCTGCGTTCTTCCCGTTGTTGTTTTTCACTGCCGTCTGGGGTGCTGTGGGCATTGGTATGCCAATTATGACACCGAAGGGACCACATCAGAATTTAATACGTTGCATCCTGATGCTGACTGCGGCTTGCTGCTGGCTGTTCTGGCTCTGTTGCTACATGGCCCAAATGAATCCACTGATTGGCCCGAGACTAAAGCGTCATGCTTTGGCCATGATTGCGAAGTCATGGGGTAATAAGCTTGTAGAGGGCTAAAATGTATCTACTATGTATCTACACAAATTGCAGTTTAACTACGTGTTGTTGAAAAACTATGTTATTCCAATAAATTACCAAACAAATAATATATAAATTGTAAATTTAAATCTAAAATAAAAATTATAGTAATTTAATATGGGCTTTAAAATTTAAATTTGGCGCTAAAGATCGTTGATTTGGAGCTGCTAACCTGATCAAATTACAGATGAGAGAGGGGACGAGAGAGAGAGAGTGCTTGAGTGAGAACTGCTGACAGCAGCGCCTGCGCAACGCATTTAGCTCTCATGACGGTGCACCGGGCTCATCCTCAACTCTCTCTCTGTCTCATTGAGCGTGGCTCGTTTAGCTCGAGCTGAGATTCGAATTCCCATTGGATTCAGTTTTCTTTTAGCCGCGGTCGCGTCAAGTTCGCATTGAAAATGTTTCTGCTGTTGTTGTGAAAAGCGATTAACGTGAAAATCTCCACCATAAAAATCAAAGATATTTTGTCCCGAGAATAAACATAAAATAACATCGAAAATAAATATCAGCACACACAAATGACTTCTCCTCGACTTCGATCAAATGGAATCACATTTCTGGACTAGACTTGGACTATAGCGAATACACTTTTGTTTGGTAAGCAAATACCAAAAATTCCACCTGATATTCATATACATATTTTGCATTCACGCCGAGATTCCGAGATTCCTCATGGATGTAGTTAGTTGCTCCCTGGCCATAAACTAGTTAGAGACAGGCATTAAATCTAGAAAAAGTGGTCGCACTTAAAACCATTGAAGGTACAAAACTGGTTGCATTACACTCCCAACCCAACGCAAAAGAAGTTGCAGCAAAAAAAAAAAAAACCAACGTTTCAAGAGCAATAAAAACGATAAAAAAAATATTAAAGCCAAGCAGCAATAATCGCACACAAAGCCAAGAAATTATGGATGTTGAAATGAAAAATGGCAATAAAAGACATGCCGCGACAAGCTACCAACACAATAAACCAAAGGAAATTAGAAAATGGTATAAGCCCAGCTAATAATAACAAAAAAAAGGGCGGCAAGAGGGAATATTTAACTGTGGCATTCCAAACTCAACAATACCCTTGCAGATCGGAACTGATTATAAAAATAAAATGTATATGATTCTATTGTGGAATATAAATCATTGTTGAAAAAGAATTAAAATTATATTAGAAAAATACAGAATTCCTCGCTCAATGGATAGTCAAGTAAATAGATGGATAGATAGAGCATGTTATTGACAAGGCTATTGATTATGCTCTAGAATTATTAATGGAATATACTTCTAGAATGTAATTACTATACATGTGTGTATCAGCTGGACTATTTATATGGATCAATGACGAGTCCGCCAAAACACGCCTTACCACATAATGATAAGGTATACAAAGCGAAGCAAAAGAGCTTTACTTGCTTGGCGGCAGTGAAACAAAGCGTTAGAACAGAACTGGCCAAGAACAACAGGTGATCGTGATGGTGGCCGAGACGCAGAAACAATGATGGCCAAGAGTAACCAAGAGAACGTTGGCAATATTCTTTCTTTGGTGCTTTGGTTTATGTGTCGCTAACCGTGCGCAATTACCACATTTATGAACTGGGCCAATTGACAGCGGGCAGAACCCCGTTGCACAGCATACAATGAGTGGAGTCGCAGAGCAGTTGTGGACTCGCAGTCGTGGAGAGAACACACAGCCTATTATGATCCATCCATCCATCCGCCAACACTCTGGCTGGATAGACCGGAGGTGATAGTATCTAGGCAATTTCTGACCGTTTTGCATTTAGCAATTAAGGCCGGAAATTGATATCATTTCAAACGGGAAGCGAATCTCAAATCGATCCAATAATTTTCCTTACTTACGCAAAATATATTCAAACCGACTCATTAATGGTTTGCCGAAAAAAAATGTGAAAGTGGCTGAAGATCAGCGTGAATCACAACTGATAATCAGCGGCAGTTGCAGCTGGACTTTAAGACTGGTTAAAATTAGCCAAAACCAAAACCAAATCCACATCCAAAACCAACAAAAAAATTGTTGTTGACACATAAAAACACCCATATTCGGTGCGAAAAGTGTCTCAGGTGTCAACGCTGTGGCAATTTTCATTTTCACTTGAAATCATTTTCACCAAACACTAAAACCAAAACAATTTTCATTTTTTGGCGGAAGTGGATCAAAAGAGAAATACACCAGTAGAAGTAGAAATGTGTCGCGCCAAATTTTCGCAAATAATAAATTATGTACATATATTTTTTATGAATAATTTTTGCTGTTGTTATTTTTTTTATTATGTTATTATTTGGTTGATTTCGTTTCGTTTTCGGTCAAATTCTACATTAACGAGCTAATGAAACACTTTCGCTCGTTAAGACGAAACCTTTTGAACTAGGCTGTCAAGCTTATGGTCGTAGTCACCCCTCCCTCCTCTCTGACCCCTCTGCCTCTCTCAAACCCACTCAGTTGTAGGAGGGGGAGGGGGGGGGGGGTTGGTTCTCATTCTCATCATCGACTTGAGGGCCGTGAAGAATTGCAAATTGGCAAGAAATCAACAACGTCATTATGAGGCCTCACCTGGCCCAAATTACCATTGACAGCTCGTGGCTCTTAGCCCCCTTTCCCCCTACTTCTTCTCCACTGTTTGATGGTCATCGGTGCCGCACGATTCTTGGTCGGACAACGACAACAATGTAAAGATAACGATGGCGGCTCCCAGACTCAAATGACAGACTCGGACTCCGATTCGAACCGAGGCCCCTCGAGTGAAATAGAACATAACGCTAAACTGCAACTAAATTACATTCAAATGGATGCAAAATCGCATCTAATGGGCTCCTCTCTTTTGTTGCGCCAGACCGAAGCGAACTCCATGTCTCCAACCAGTGTTGACAGATTAACGCAAAATAAAGCTAAATAAACAAAAAGCTAAAAAAAAAAGAGTGGAACTAATACTAACAAATTGCATAGAGCCCGCACAGCTTATCAATTAGAAATAGCAATTCATATTTGTTACATAGTCGAATAGCATTATTCCAAAAGTTTGCTAGCTAGAACTAGCTATTAAATGGCCGACACGGCAACACTGGAGTGAAAAGCGACCTCAAATGCACAGCTCAAAGTCGATGTCTGAAATGCGCCAAAGCAAATGCACTTTGTTGGAATTTCCAGGCGTAAACACAAAAAAAATAAATAATAAAAAAAAATCATACAAAGTGGAAAGAAGAAGAAGAAAAAATGAAATGCATTCGCTCATCTGCGTGTCGTGCATTTTGATCGTGGCACTAATTGCGCTTGTAGCTGAAGTTGAAGTCTTTTGGTTCTTATCTCTGCGTGATGTGTGCTCGCTGCATACTAAGCAAATTATCAGATTGAGATATTTGCGTTCGTTGTGGACACTTCCTGTACCGGTTGTACCAAGTTTTCTCCAAAATAGATTAATTTTCATGTTTGATCGGCTTATATTTTGTTCTGATTGATAACGAATGTGGTTGAACCAAATTGAAAACATGAATACTGGCAAAAACTACATTAACCAAATTCATTTGTCTGGCAACGCTTTATCAAAAAAAAACACCGTTTAGCACACTCACTCAGACACTGCTTGCCAATACTGTTAGCACTCAGCGTAACGGTTGCAATATTAGCAACGACAACAACAACAACCTCAACAAAAACTACTTACTACGAGTGACTCCACAAATTTGATATACAATTCAGATTCCCGCACATTAAATGGAGAATTTGTGGTACAGCCATTTTTAACAAATTCACTTGCTTACACACACAAACACATGTGTGATTTTGGAGCTGAGAAAAGAGCGCCTTGTCTTCTAGATTTGTTGTTTGCTTTTAATTACATATTTAGTTTGGTCGCCGCTTAAAACGTAACGGTTAATGTCTTAATGACACACCCCTCCCCCAAAAAAAAATAAAATCATTCTTTCTACCCATTCGCATTCGCGTGTTTGTCAGCACCTATGCCGGCATTGCCGTACTGTCGCCATTACCATCAACGTCATCAACGTCACTTTCCGTTCGCTTGTCATCCAAAATGAAATGCAATTTTGCAAGTTCCGCCATAGAACGCCTTTTCGTCGTTCAGCGTTCGGCATTTCGTGTCGTTTACCAGCACTGCCAATGCTCATTGAGTCAGTTGCCTGTTCTGCTCTAGTAAGGCTTTCCAGGCAAATGCCGTTAGAATCATTATGAAATTGCAAAGCTGTTGGCTTTTTGTATTGCAAAAATATGCACATATTCATATGTGTGCATGCGTGTGTGTGGAAAAATCTATTATATTATACAATTATTTTCATTCATGAGTGCGTTCATCTCAGATTCCACATGCCGTCGGCGGCTGCTTCTTTGTTGCGAGCAGCTAAAGATTGCATAAATTTCAATTAATTTCAAGTTCCCCGCCCAATAAATCAGCCAATAATAATTATGACATCTCTAACAACAAATCGTTTGTATGTGCAAAAACAACAACAACAAATAAAACGCACACAAAAATTACTTTCAAATTTTGGGAAACTTTTGTGTTTGTCAACGGTTTTGATGCATTGTTGGGAATGCTTCAATTTTGGTTTTACGATCTTCTAGTTTTTAACAGAGATGCGCTCAAAAATAAACTTTCCATTTCGCTGGCATGTTTTACTGTTTTTTTTTTGTCTGTCTTCTGTTTTATTTTATTTTTTTTTTTTTGATAAGCATTTCCAAATGTCCGAATGTTGTTCGCATTTCACTTTCTTTCGCCGCTGACACTTTGTGGGGCCATTATTATTGAAAGTGGATGTGCTTGATTATAATCTGGTCGAAGTATCGCATCTGCTCAGTTCACATGGAAATGCCAACGCATTTTTGCTTATTTTTTTTTATTTTTATTATTATTGACGCCTCAACAGCTCTCTTCTTGCTGAACAATGGTTATTTGGAGCACAAACAGGTTGCTGTCGCTTCCGTTAAATATTTGGCAGACAAAATTCTCATCAATCATTCTTAGCTTTATTTTGTTGTTGTTGTGATTATTGTTGTTGCATTGCTTTAACAGTTTCACCAATGGGAGAAAATCGGCTAATGCGAGAAATTTAATCAACTTATGCGTGGACGACGATGACGACGTCTGAATGCCTCCGAATTGTGACTGTGTCGAGAGTGTCTGACTCTTTTTTTACCTATTTTTTTCGTGATTTTTTTAACGCACATAATTCAATTTGTTCTTTCTCCAAAAAAAAAAAGAAACATAAACACACACACACACACAGAGCAACAATTGGTCAGGTTTCCAGTTTTGGGTGCCAAGCGCCTGAGTCTTGGCTGTGTTTTTGGCTCATAGCTGCTTGCTTATGGCTCTCCCGCTCCATGCGCATCTGGGTCAACGTCAACGTCAACCCAATGGCAATGGCAATGGCAGTGGCAATCCACTAGCCAGGCCTTTATTTTTTTCTTAACTGCCAGCACTCGCATATGTACATGTGTCTGTCAGTGCCTGTGTGTGTGTAAGCTAACTGTCTGTCAGTTTGGCCACACTCAATTCATGTGTGTGTGTGTTGGTTAACACTAATTGTACTTATTTCTGCAAGTTGTACTTTGAATCATTTTCTGCCTCGACGCATACTTTTTATGTGCGCACATATTATGCAAATGTTTTTTCGTTGTGCAAAATGTGCCGTTTACTTTTTACTAAATAAATGATTTTTGCTCAAAAACTAATTAAAGTCATAGGCAAAAGAATAAGTACACTTAGCCAGATACTGCGGTGAAATTTATAAATATTTAAACTGATTGATTTATATATATAAACTGGGGATAAGCTTAAATCTCGCACTATCTTTTAATAGTTGTTAGTCGAAGACTTCTTATTTAGTCAATTCAATCTAAAACTTAACCTTAACTAAAGAGGACTGTGATAGATACTTTAAAGAAAATCATTAATCGCACTATCTTTTAATAGTTGTTAGTCGAAGACTTCTTATTTAGTCAATTCAATCTAAAACTTAACTTTAACTAAAGAGGACTGTGATAGATACTTTAAAGAAAATCATAAATCACCCTATTGTTTTAAATATATTAAGAGTTTTCTGTAATCTGTAAAACAGGTCGAGTCGAAGGCCTAGGTCAGTACTCGTTAATAAGACATTATGCTTAGTACTTATTGCTAAATCATAATTATGTAAAATAAAACAGAAAATACATTATAAATCTCAACATAACCTCAAAAATGCACTTTAACAGTTCGTTAATTTGAAGTTTTCAATAGTTTCAAGTCGCAGACCTTTCTCATTTTGTAAATTAAATCTATAAGTTAATTGCAATGAGCATTTCTAAAAATAAAGGTATTTATCTATTATATTTCGTTGTTGATTAAGTCTTTCATTAGTAACTTTAAGTGTCTATCTTTAAGCAAACCAATTAGTTTCACCTGAAGAAGTTAAAGCTGAAGCTGTTGCTAAAGCTAAAGCAGAAACCAAGTCAAAGATGAACTTTGGGCCAACAACAACAATAAGAAATAACCAAAAGCAACAAGAGCAACATGATCATCAAGCGCATTCCAAAGCAGAAGAACTTTTACTTTTGACAGTTCAGAGTCGAGCTCAAAACTCATAAAATCAACGTTTTTGTTTGCTGCTGCTTCTTGTGGTATTCCAGGTATCCAACGCAAAGACTATTTTTACACACAGGTTTCTCTAGCTGAGTGTGTGTGTGTGCAAGCTTTGATTATACATGGTGGCAACATAAATACAAAGTATGTATATGACTTGGTGGCACGAGCAATAACCCTGCCGAACCGAACCAAACCAAACCAAACCGAAGTAAAGCAAAAACCAACCCATCCGATCCGATCCTATCCCCAGAACTGGTTTCTTTTGCTGATCTTCAGCCAGCGAGTACTTAAGGCGAAGTCAATTGGCTTTTGTTGTGGGCTGTTGGTTCTGCATTGTTGTTGCTGTTGTTATTTTTATTGTGTGTTGTTGTGGTTTCCCGAGTGAAAAATTCCAAGATTGTTTTGAATTTGTATCTCTCTGTTGGTGGTGCTGGTCTGCTTGCAAGCGTATCAAAGTGTCGGAGGTATCTAATTAGATTTAGCTCAATTTTAAAGAAAAGCTTTCGCTTTTTACGACTCTTGTCCAGCACTTGACTCTGTTCCATATACACCAATTATGACAAGATATTTGTGTATATGTCTGTATATATACCTGTCTATTCGAGTTAATAAGTTATGCCTAGTTTTTATGGTAATGTCAAAGAAAGCATTCTTTTGGTGAGTTCGCTTTTAGGGGTATTTCAAATATGTAAAAACCTGTTGACAACTTGGCGCATAACAATTTTCCACTCCACGCTGTCATTCTTTTTCTTTTCCTTTTTTTTTCTTCGTTTTTTGTTGCTTTTTACATTGGCGAAAAGTGAGAATTTTCGTTTTGGTTAATAGGATGGGGAAAACAGGACGGGCCGGTTTTTCGACCACCGGAAGTTTGGCGCCGCGAAAAGAGTCTGCTTTGTGGTACTGATGAAGCAATCAGCTCTAAGTTTTTGCAACTAGAAAGAAAGCAAAATACGACTGCTTAACGAAAGTGAAGCATTTGTGAAATATGTAATGATATCAACAAACACTCAATCGTATATGAAAACCACTTACTAAAATGCAATCTTTTCCTCTCTTTATAGATCAACCAGTTCAGACCCCTTAGCAGCAGCGACTTCAACTTTAAGCCCCAAACATGGATACAGTTTATGGCACCAAGAAATACTTTCAGAGCTTGTCGGGTGTTAGTGATATATATCGAACGCAGACATGTCGACAAATGGTAAGTAGACATTAACATTAACTTCCTCAGCCATATATCATTGTGAAAGAACGGTTAACAGTTATACAACTCGACAATGAATTCCATATTAGAATCTAATTTACATGACACAAAAGAGCACAAGAGAGCCAAGGAACTAGGTTAAAACTTACAGCTGAGAAGAAAAGATCTTTTGATAAGCCATTACACATTACGTAAAACCCACTGGGTATTGAATAAATGCATGTTTCATTTTACAAAAGTGAACGCAACAAGATATTTACTTAGTTTTGTTAGATTCTCAGTTGGTGCTGTTTGCATTTCCCAATCTACAAACAGACATCAAGTTAGTTATTAAGTCAAACAATTTCAACAAGCGACGAGCAGACCGAAAGGTGAATGACTTTCTCTCCAAGAGAGAGGGAGTGAGCAGGAGAGAGAGAGGAAGAGAGAGAGAGAGAAAGAGACACGCAGCAGAACAAACACAAAACAGCAGAAGAGAATCAAAAGAGGGAGAGCAACTAACAAGAATTCGGCTAAAGACAGGCCAAAGCAAAACAGCTGTTGCGACAACAGGTTGTCAAATAGCTAACTGCAATGGCAATAAGTGCGACAGAGAGAGGAAAACTTTAAAGTTACATAGGGGAGAGATGGGCAGCAATGGGGAGCGAGAGAGGGGCAACGGGGTGTTGTTATATGCCCCTCAGCTAATGACTGTTAAAGAGCAATAAAAAATACCCGAAAAAAAACAATTAACTTTTAGCTACCTTAAAATAAACTGTTCCAAGTAACGTATGACAAAAAACCAAATGTACTTGGCTTTAATATTTTTGGTAACATCTTCCAGGAATTCAACAGCAGCCCAACAAAAATTAGTTGCCACTGAAATTATGATTTATGTCTTGAACTTGAAATAGTCTTATCAGCGAAAGATTCTCTTTCTCGCATAAGAAACAGTATAAAAGTTCATTTACAGCTATTCGCAAGGTCTTTAACCAGGTACTGACTGATCTTCATGATGCAAGAAGGCCAAGAAGAATTAATTGCCGCTTAAATTGTGACTTTTGACTTGATCGTCTCAGTTAAAGCAACTCTTTTGCGCATAAGGAACAGTGTATAAGTTCATAGATCGTATTTGCAGCTATTCCCAAGATGTTTAGCCAGGTACTAACTAATCTCCATAGTGCAATGACTTACCAATTAAATATGTAATCCGCTGACTTAAGCTGACTCGAACGGATGAGACGGCATTAATTAGCAATTCATGACAACTCAGTTCAATTTCCTTGATGATAGTTAATTCTTACATAAGTTAAGAGTGTCTTTTCCCAAAGTGATTCTCACGTCTGCCGCTTGGCAAGCCGTTAGAGTTGTAGTCGATTTAAATCAAAGCTCGTCTTAACCCTAATCAAATATGTGGCATCTTACTGAAGATCAAATTAAAAATCAAGCATTAGTGAGAAAGTGTCTGAAGGTCTAGCGGCTTTTGAGAAAGTTTCGCATTTGGCAATCGGCTCATCATCTGAGAGTGTTTGGACAATTTTCTAATTAGTTGCGATTAATTAAGGTTCCTAACACAGACCTAGCAATGACCTGCTTTTAAAACACACTTCCAGTTCCCAAAAGAAAAATAAACCAAAAATTATGTTCAATTTATTTGTTTTTTTTTCTGTTTCTTTATTAGAACACCTCCGAATACAATTATCAAAATACGCTGGGACGGCGTTCCCAATTGGGCGCTTACTATCATATGAATAAGCAGCCCTCCTATACGAACGATCATAGCATTAATAGCCAGTATGGTTACAACACATGGGGCATCTGGCGGGATGGCCGGAATATAGCACCCTCCACTTTCTCGACCAAGACCCATACGCACTATCCAAAGAACCGATCCTTCTCGATCATACTCACCACGGCAGCGTTTATAGTCCTACTGGCTGTGATCTCTATTGCTGGATTGGCCTTCTACTTTAGCTCCATTAAGGCCACACTGGAGGATCGTAAGTATACTTTAAAGCACATCTGGAAACGGCTTACTTATCACTCCAATTCCATTTGTAATTTCAGCTGTTCTCGGTTTTGAGGGTTCGTTTCGGATTGCCAAGGGCGATCTTTACTCCACGGGATTGAGATACAACCATACCACGACCTACAAACAGAAGATTGAGTTTTACAAGCGCTTCGTGGAGCGTGCTTTGACGGACAATGGACTCCAACCGCTGCGCACGGATGTCTGGGGCTTTGGAGAGGGTCCACTGATAAAGGTCTCCTTTCGCTTGTTCCTCGATGTGCGCAAACTGCCACAGTAAGCAGTTCCCCCAATCCATTGATCTATTTGCTAATCTTTATTATGTTTACATAAAAGAAATATACTCAGCGTCGAGGAGTACATAAAGGAGTCACTGTTCTTGGAGACATCCGCTTCGAAATCACTATATCGCTCACTGCGTCTAGACACCGAATCTGTGGAGATTAAGCGCATTCTGGATGAGCAGGCGGTGCGCTCAGCGGCTATATTGAAGGAGGCAGTAAGTATATATAGTATATATAGGGTTAGTGAAGAGATCCCTGATTCAACACCATTCTCTGCCCGCTTAGCAGACTGTGCCCACCAGCCAAACTCAGCTGGAGAAACGACTGATGAAGAAGGGCGCTGCTGCTTCTGCTCCGCCACTGCAGACGAAACCATTGGGTTTAAGTACGCCCAAGCCACGTGGTCCACCCGCACGGCTCCACTCGCCGGACGATGAGCCCGATATCGATGTGGAGAATGCGCCCGTCATTCAGGGCTCCTTTGAGGGTTCATTTGAGATAACCAAAACAGATGCGGATATCGCACGCAAGAAGGCTTCACCGACGCGCTCCTATCAGGCCAGCAGTCTGCCGCCCAAGACCATCTCGGTAACGCCGTACTCGCTGCGCGTCAAACCCAAGAAGCCGAGCATCGAGAAGCTAACCACAATAACGCCGCAGACACCAACGGTCAGCACCACAAGACAAACCACAAAGACAACAACGACAACCACAAGGAAACCAACGACCAGAAAGACACGACCAACAACCACCACCACCACAACCACAACAACAACAACCACACAAAAACCCACCACGATCAGCAGCACAACAACAACTACAGCAAAACCCACCACAACCACAACAAGTTCAACAACCACAGCAAAGCCCACGACAACCACTACAACTACCACCACAACAACTGCACCACCGGCAAGCAGCTCAACGCCTAGCGCGACGGCAACCACTCCATTTACATATCCCACTGTCTCCTCCACTGTTGTGGTGCCCAAGCTGGATGCGAATCTGTTCACCACTTTTCCCATACTGGACACACAACCCTGGCGACCCATGCATCGTGAGGTGCCCGAATTGATGCCCGGACCACCGCCAGCATTCCCCACCAAAACGCTGCCTGTGCTGGGTGCACCACCACCCACTACACCCACAGTGAATCATATACCACAGCGTCGCATCGATGAGCTGGAGCTGCCCTTCATTGGCGACAATCCGACACCGCCCTCAGCTGCGATGCCGGCAATGCCGGGAATGCCGGGAGTAACTCTGGATCCGTTTATGTCGGGGCATTTCATGCGCCTGCCGGATGGTAAACTGGATAATCCCAGTCAGCAGGAGCAGGACATGATTTTCTATCACAACTTTGGCAGTCCCGTCTTTATGCCCGGCACTGAGAATATCGAGAGATTGGGCGGTGCTCTGGTTGAGCCACATCCTTTGCCCGTTCCTCTGATCGATGATGTCATCATACCACCCTTCCGACCGATTAATCCCACGCTGGGCGGCATCAATAAGCTGCAGTTCAACATCGATGGCAGCAATGAGAGATTCGAGCATCTTGGCGGCGGTGTCATTGCCAAGAAGCAGGAGAATGGCACCACTGGTCAGGAGCTAAAAGTGGATGCACAGCCTCTGGAAACAACCACAACAAAGATAAGTTCCTCAACAGCAGTAACTGTGAGTGGTTCGACGACGCCTCTCAGGATTGAGGTGAGTGGTGCACCGACCCCGGCTCCGGTTGTGCCCGACCAGAAAGTCACGGAAAGCTCTGTGCTCGCCGACACCATTGGTGAGTTCTTCATGGAGCTGCTAAAGCTGCCCAAGGAGGAGAATGTCACCACAACACCCGAGCCCGAAAAGATTGAGTCACGCATAGAACCGGAGATAGAATTGGAACTGGAAGCGGAATCAGCATTGGAATCCCAGAAACCAAAGCCTAACTTTATGAATCTAAAAGAGATCATTTTGCGTAGGAACTCAGCTCCCTCCACTACCTCCCCAGCGCCTGAACCCACAACGACAGCAACAACAACAACAACAACGACGACAACAACAACCACTGAGTTCCCTATAACCACAAAAAGAAATCGGATACGTCCCAACAGTGACCGACCCACGATGATGGATGATTCCAACTTGTTTCCCTCGCACTCCAAATGGGAATTTGTGAATAGCTCGTCCCCCTTGAATTTTGGTTACAATGGCAATATGCGAAAGGTGTTCAATAAAACACTTCAGGCTTGGGTCTCCGAGGATGTGGAGAAGACAGAGAACTTTACGTTGCACGACATCAAGACGCGGATTAACAATGCCAGCAATATACAGGATATATCACTGATCTTTGACACACTGGCCTCCAAGTTGGGCATCACGCCCAGTGTGCCCATGAAATTTCCACCCTTCTCGCACAACAAACTGAAGCATGGCCAGCGTAACGAGACCAACAAGGTGAAGCTGGTGATCTCAACTACAACTACGGAATTGCCCGTGATGGAGTCTAGTGTTAAGAACTTTGTGGAACTGCCGCTGCAACAGCGCGAACCCTTCATTAAACCCATGTCAAGTTTTATGAACGATGGCTCCGATGAAGTTTTGGGCGCGGCAATCCCAGTTGTGGGCGAGGCAGAAGTTGAGGTAATCGACCCTCTCAAGTACGAGGAGCTGCTTAAGACCTCACAATTTGCCGAGTCAACTTCTACGTCCACGGAGCCGAGTCCGCATCAGTTAGTCACCCTACTACCGGTCCGTTCCAATTCAGGCATTCGCACCTATAAACCATCCTCCGAGGAATTCGATGGGGGATCGTCGCAGCGCAGCCAAAGTCAAAGCGAGATCGTGCCTGTCTCCAGCAAGCCCAAGTCCAGCATACGTCGCAAGATCAACACTAATCACAGCCGAAGGTTTGGTCAACCTCCAGCGGAGGCGGTGGTTAAGGGTGGCATCAAAGTCACAGTCAACAAATAAAGCAACATTATTCTTCCAATTGAGATTAAGAGGAAAAAAAGAGAAGGTCGTTTATAATTATGAATAAGTAGTATAATTTAAGAACTTAAAATTAAGTGATGGAAATTGGCGTGTACAAAATCTTGTTCGAAAATTGTTCATTAGCAGCTCCAGAGACAACGAACAATTTTGGAATGACAATTTCTGTAGTATTTTGCAATATTTTTGGCATTCCCCTTTTGCCAAACGTACGGTTTTAAGTCTTTTTTTAGTTAATGTATACGAAGCTGTTAACTTTTCCACACAATAAAACTATTTCCTTTAGCTACCGGTTATCGAATTAAGAAACCGATTTTAAACATTACATGTATGCAAATAAGTTTAATGTTAGTCAAAAATTAAATATAAAATGCAATAAGGTCGATCTTTGAATAAATTACGTGTCAATAACTAAGAAAATTGTTTTTAAATAATCGTTATGTTGCCACTTATCGATAAATTGCATGACAACGATAGACATGCGCTTATTGATATCGCTTATGATTGTGGCAGCCCTAAGTTTACTTATTTAGTTGCTTCACCCCTGGTTTGTGGCAACATTTCGCGGTTTTGGTTGTGAAAAAAGAAAACAAAAAATATTGGCTCAACATATACAAAACATTAAATAACGACAAGTATTCTAATTAAAACGTTACTCAATAATGGGTTGTGCTGAAAGCAAAGACGGCGAAGGCGAAGCCCAAAACAATAGAAATCGACCAAAATATCGCTCCTGCACAGATGTCATCTGGCTGACCATTTACATATTATTCTGGCTATTTCTGGTAAATATGCCAAGTAAATTGAAGTAAAAGTATTGCGTATAACGCCCAAATACCCGAAGTGCACTGCTTACATACATCTTACTCATTAAGAAAGTGAAAGCTGCGAAGATTAATCAGACTATGCGATCTGTCTCTGTGTATTTGTGTGTTAGCCTCACTATTTGAAAGATGCGGAGGAGGAGGTGGAGGGCAGTGAAGTGTAGACTGTGTGTCGTCATCGTCTATCATATGAGTGGAATTGCTAATTTTGCTAATGACTGCCTCTGACCACAATGAATAATCCGGCTTTAATGTGTTTTTTTCCCTTACCTTCCTAAATACATGAATACATAGAGATACATAAATTTATTGGTGTCCTTTTTTTAAAAATATGTTTAGGCACGCTATTCCCTTGTCATTTATAAGACATACCCCTTGTCATGTTTATGGCGTGGGCGTTGTCACTTCCACAGTAGCACATAAGCATATATTATACGTGTTTAAATAGATTAGATCACTTTTTTGATGTCTATATTTGCTTTGATTTCGATTGCAGATTGTCATTGCGATATTTTCGTTTGTTTATGGCAACCCGTTGCGTCTTATCAATGGCTATGATTCCTTTGGCAACACCTGTGGCGTTAAGCACAATGAGAAATTCCAAAACTTTCCCTTATCCGGCATGAATACCTTGGACAAACCGGAGCTGTTCTATTTTGACGTTAAGGAACTTAAGAAATCCTTAAAGATCTGTGTTAAAGCATGTCCGAAACGAAGCCTGAACAATCCGAAAGAGCTACTGCAGTATTATAGCGAAACTGGATTCCAGTTCTGCAAATATGACTTTAACATGGGCCAACTGGACAGACCAGGCATGACTAACGATGATAAAACCTTTGATACCCTCGGGCCATGTCCCCGTTTGCCCGTCTTCGAGAGGTATTTGTTATACAATATTTATCAGTTGGCATACAGACTAATTGCATCGATCTTTCATTTCAGTACCCCAGTACTCCATCGCTGTGTGCCCAAGCAGTCCAGCAAAGAAGTCAAGGAAATGTATAATATGCTCAACAATTGGGATGTGGCTCAACAGTTTCTGGGTGACATTTACTCCACCTGGCATATTATTGCCATTGTCTGTGCAGTTTCACTGCGTACGTTCGTGTATAATTGCTCTTATCGATTCGAAATTAAATTATATATTATCTTTATGCAGTCATCTCTATTGCCTTGGTGACCATGATGCATTGGCTGTCGCGCATTGTGTCCTGGCTGATTTGCGTGCTGGTAATTGTGGCAAGCATTGGATTGACCGTGGCACTGTGGTACGCTTACTATAGCATTCGCAACAAGTCGGCCAGCACGCAATACTCTCAGCTGGAGGAATTCCTGCGCAATCAGCAGGCGGTGCTCACCCTTGCTGTGCTAGCCACAATCACCATGGTAGACTTTTGACAAACTATTCAATTATCACCATACTTAATGCTTGTTTCTTTGCAGGTCATTCTTTTGGTTATCATTTACTTCCTTAAGAACAAACTTTCTGGCTTGGCTGCTCTTTTTGAGGAAGCTGGCGTTTGTATGATGAATCTCCCTGGCTTGTTGATTGCCCCGCTTTTGGCATTTATTGTGCTCATTGCATTTCTGGCCTTTTGGGTGGTTGTCGTCATTTGTCTGGTTACAGCCACAACGCCCGATAAGAGCCCGATTGCTCCGTTTCACAGCTCAGCCATTCATCCGCAGATGCCCACCAATGCTGCCCTCTTGCTCAATCAGACAGCAGCTGGAACTGATCAGCGAAGTAAGCAAACACTTAGATATATGTTGGCTATAATACAGCTACTTCAAATAACAGTCTCTCCTGGAAGAAAACGACTAAAATTATTGTTAACAGTTTAAAGCTTAGCAGTAAAAGCGTTTCAGTCTTTACAATCAGCATATATTCATTGGACTTTGTCTTCAGAATACTTCAGCTATTATTATTATTAATCCATTGAACATCTTTATATTTTCATTGATAAAAATAAAAAAATTCTGGTTTTTGAAATGTGTAAGTGATAAATCATCGCTCATTCTAAAAATGTATGATGCATGCACTGAATTGGTATTCCTTCTTTAAAAATCTCATGTATATATACACAATTTTTGTATCTTAATGTCTAATATATCTTATATACTTATTTATCTATTAACTTGTATATATATTTAAAAGTTATGTTATTTAAAATTGTTGTCCTGTATTATTAACTAATTCCTGCTTACCCAATCCACAGCCATAACCCGGATAGAGTATGCGGATGCCGGTGCTCTGCGCAGCATGTTCTGGATCTATGTGGTGGGTCTCATTTGGACAGTGGAGTTCATCTTTGCCTGCCAGCAATTTGCTTTGGCTGCTGCAGTTGCCTTCTGGTACTTTAACAAGCCGACAACGACGCCAACTGTCTACGCGATTGGCAAACTAATCAAATATCATTTGGGCACTGTTGCCAAGGGCTCGTTTATCATAACCATATTCAAAATACCACGTTTGATATTGACCTATCTCTATGCCAAGTGAGTTGTGATTGTAGGTAAAGTATTTCCTCAATACTTATTGAAATTTTTATGTGATTTGCAGACTGAAGAAGGGTGAGGATAAAGGCTCGGAGTGCGCTGCGTGCTGCCTGAAGTGTTGCATCTGCGGTTTCTGGCTCCTTGAGAAATTTATACGCTTTCTCAATCACAATGCCTACACTGTGGTCGCCATTGAGTCCATTAACTTTTGCCCAGCGGCAGGCATTGTACGTAAAATAGAAAATATCAATAGAAAATATTCTACATCTAATATATATTAACCACTTTCAGGCCTGGAACGCCATGGCCACCAATGCGCTGCAAGTGGCAACGATTAACAGCATTGGCGACTTTATTCTTTTCTTGGGCAAAGTTGTTGTTGCTGCACTTTCGGGCCTCATTGGCATCTTTATGCTGAAGGATAAGCCCGGTCTCAATTTCTATATGGCTCCCGTCATACTAATTATCATATTCTCATTCTTTATTGCCCACATTGTGCTCTCACTCTTTGAGGTATGTGCATCTTAATTATTGATTATAATTGTTGTTGCTAATTGAACTCCTCTTGCCAGATGGTTGTGGACACGCTGTTCCTGTGTGTTTGTGAGGATAAAACGATTAATGGACGCGGCGGCCGCTGGGCCCAAAGTAATTTGGCTAAACTTGTGGGCGAGGAGCCGTTGCAGCCCGGTGAGGAACCGCCAATCCAAGTGGTCGAAATGATGCCGATCAATAAACAACCGTTTAGCACACGACTGCCACCAAGCGAAATCTCCCCAATGGCGGAGTAAATCCCAGATGCTTTCTACTAATATAACTAATATTCCGTGTGCTCCCAAGAATACATTGATTTACTCATTACAAACGCACATCTCTCAGCCGATGGAACCAAGCTCGTGCCCTCCGTGTGAACAAACTCAACGTACAAACAACATAGTAAATGACATACATATATAACATATATAATCGCAATTTATGATATTTTTGTAAGCATTAACGAAACTGAGGCAGCTGCAGCACATTTGTAAACGTATTTATTAAACGTATTCATTTTTATATATTTATGTAAACATTAAAAGATTTAAGCTTTTTTCGTACGTTTTACCTTCGCCTTTCGCTGCTGAATTACTTGTTGAACGGCCTTCATTTGCTTCTCCTTGATCTTATCGGTTAGCGCCGATTTTGGTGTCTTCTTCGCCTCGGCCTTCTTTTTGGCCTTTAGTGCTAACAGTTTAGCCGTTTCCAGTGGATCCTCGTCGTCGAAAAGCTCCTCATTTTCGATACCCTCGTAAGCCTTAACGGGACGTGTTGCCTCATGGTTTACCTTTTGCTCCACACGATTGACATATTTATCCTTGGCCGCTTTCTTGAGCATCTGTCGCTGCTTGGCGGGACTCACGTAATCAGGATTTTCCCAAATCGTTGTGCCCGTGAACGAGCCATCAAAGATCTTAACGGGATTCATGACATAGCGTGGACCCACCTCAGAAAGGCCACCATCTTCAGATAGAATTTGGAAATTCCTAAACCAAATGCGGTTATCCAGGTAGGTAAAGGTGTACACATGATCCACAAACGGTTGGCTCTTCGGATGATGATTGGGCACAGCAAATGTCTGCACAAACAGCTCCTTGAGCAATTTCAGGTGGGGCAACTCATCAAATTTGGCATCAAAGGAGAGCAGCGGACGCGATCCTCGCAAGCAATTTCCGGTTAACTTCAACTCGGCCATTGTGTGTATGTTCTCGATGAGAAATTTGGCCGAGGGCCCAGTCGAAGCGACCGTATTCGATAGCCACATGTACAGATCCCGTTTACGGCGTCCCTCGAACAGCATCGCCTTGTTGCAGTGCTTCATTTCGCACATCTCGTTGACCACCGACAGCGTCTTGGCGCGCTCCATTTTCGACTCGGCCCGATGGTGGGGCATCAGTGTTTTGATGTCGCGCATCAGATGCCTGTCGCGGTGGCTAATACCACGTGCAGCAAACACCAAGACGCGCTGTTTGTTAATCCATTTCTCCTACAGGAATTGACAAACAGTTGAGAAATATTGTTCATTCACATTTAGGTAAATATAAGTGTTACCTTCTTGGGAATGACTTCATCTGATTGTCTTTGCGGTGGTAGCGGTAGATTCTCATCCAGCGGCACAATCTCTAGCTGCTCGACCTTCTTTTTCCTTTGGAATTTGCGACCCATTTGTTTAATTTCACTGTTTTAAAATGTCCACCGAGCCAAACAACGTGGAGTTGAAATGAAATAAACTCAGGGATGCAAGAAACGATATATCGATAAGTTATCGAACTGAATACAAAGTTGTTCATTTGAACCCCCATTTTATTTGAACTTCTTTCCTATAACAATAAACTTAAATCTAATAATATTTCGATTTATATTAATCTAGTTTTAATCGTCGCTATCGCAGCTTGGTTCTGGACACTGACTACAACGGCTTTCATTAATACCGTAGCCCAAACAGTGGCCGCCAACGCACTCGCAGCAGCCGTCGTGGAACCATCTGTAGCTGGCTGCACCTGTCTTCTCGCAGGTTTGTCGACACTTATTCCAAGATGTGCACTCGTCCAAATATAACACCGTACAATTCATTGACACTTCCTGCTCCTCCTCCTCTTCCACGTCCTTTATGTCATTGCTATTGATTGTAAAGGTATGCACCCGCCATTCATATGTGTATCCATCGTTTGGTGAGGATGTTAATGCCTCGAATAATGCAGTTGCTCCCTCGAAATCCTCCACATGCGATTTCTTCGACATTTTAGCCATATCGCCACGTATTCGCTGGATGTGGATCGCTATCGCTAGCAGCATCAGTATTGCAATTGTTTGAATTAACTTCATTGTGAAGAACTTATTGCGACTAGCATAATTTCAATCAAAAGCTTTGCATTTTATCTGGCCTCCCACAGGTTGTTGGAAAATTGACAGCGGGTTATCCTGTGTTAACAGAGCATCTGCTCGCCTACCTAAAAATTTGTGGCCTCACAGCATTTGCCAAAAGCAGTGTTGGAAAAGAAGGAGAAAAAGTAAAATTAGCAACAAAAAATAAACCGGCACACAATCGATATCTCTGACGATTATTTATTCAGTGGTATACACAAATACTGCACTGTATTCTGCCATTTTGTATTCGGCGTCTAGCCAGCAAAACAAAAAGAGAAGGAAAGAAAACCGAATAAGTTTTACAAACAAAAATTAGGTAATAATAATAGAAAAAAAAAATATGTCAGATTATCGGTCTCAATCGCGCGGTGGTGGACGCGGTCAAGATTATTCCAATGACGACGATCCGCCTATGTCGCGACTCTTCATCATATGCAACAAAGCGCATACCGAAGAAGATTTTCGCGAGGCCTTCGCACCCTACGGCGAAATCGAAGATATATGGGTGGTTAAGGATAAGCACACACAGGAAAACAAGGGTATCGCATACGTAAAGTTCTCAAAAACCTCGGATGCCGCCAAGGCGCAAGAACAGATGAATGGTAAAACCATTGGGAAAACAGACAGAACCCTCAAGGTGCTGGTTGCCGCAAAGTAAGTGACCTGGCATATATTTTTTTGCTCTCTCTCTCTTCTCTTTGGTCTTTCTTGCTGAGGTCAGCAATTTGTTGTTTGTGTACTTTGTTTGCAGTCGTAATCAAGGTTCAAATAAATCGGAAAACGAACAGGAGAAATATGTGCGACTCTTCATTGTGATTCCAAAGACAGCCACTGAGGATGACATACGAGATGAGTTTGCCCAATGGGGTGAAGTGGAAACAGTCACAATTGTGCGCGAGAAGAACAATGGCAGTCCCAAGGGTTTTGGTTACGTTCGGTTTACAAAGTAAATATATTAAGATATAATTTTCGTTTTTTCAATAATAATATTAACAAATCATTACCATTGCAGATTCTACTATGCAGCTGTGGCATTTGAGAATTGTTCAGCCAAATACAAAGCGGTCTTCGCCGAACCCAAGGGGTCGACGCGCACACAGCGTGATCAGTATGGGCGGCTTGCCGATGATTCACCCGTGTACTCTTCGGGACGTGGTGGTGGTGGTGGTGGCGGCGGCAGCAGCGGCGGTGGCGGCTCAAATTACAATGGTGGTAGCGGTAGTGGTGGTGGTGGAGGTAGTTTCAACAACGATTGGAACACATCGGTCAACAGCGATATGTCGGCATTTTTGCGAATGCAAAATGTTCCAGTGCCCCAGCCCACATGCTTGGAGGTAACGGTTAGTAATTGTGTTAATCAGGATCAGCTGTGGCGACTGTTTGACATCATACCCGGCTTGGATTACTGTCAAATTATGCGCGAACGTAAGTGATGATTTCATTATTGTTCACACATGTTTAATTTACACATTTTTCTGTTCATTTTTGTAGATGGCCCACGCACAAACGAAGCCGTGGTCGTCTATGATAATCCGGAAGCTGCAATTTATGCCAAGTAAAACAAGACGCATACAACTTGATTAATCATATTTATAATATAATATATATTTTTTTGTTTAGAGACAAGCTTCATGGTCTCGAATATCCGATGGGTGAGCGTATTATTGTTAAAGTGAATGGTATGAGCTCAGCTCGCATGGACACCTCCTTTATTGATAGTAAGTCAACGGCGATTCTTAATTATTTATTCAACTTGTAATCCACTATTCACTGTTCTATTCGCAGAGCGCACCAAAAAGGATGCCATTTGTAATGTGCCCTTGCCACCGACACAGCCACTGGCATCGCCGGATGCTCAAGTTGCCCAAAGGCTTTTCATTGTGCTCGCAGCGGTAAGCCTCTCGAATATATATATATATTTTCATATAAATATAATTAATTGTCTTGTGCACAATTCTTCGATTTTAGAATTTGCCACACTCAATACTGAAAAACATATTCTCCTGCTGGAAGGGACTGATCGATGTGTATTTGCTGCCCAACAAGAATTGTGGATACGTGAAATACTCTGAACGTGAAAGTGCACAAAAAGCGATTGCCCTGTTGAATGGTGCCGAGATCTGTGGAACCAAAATAAAGGTTTGTATTGTAAATACTGCTGAAACAAAGCAAATGTAATCAAATGCAAAAATGCAGGTCATGGAAGCTGAGGAGCGAAGCGGCTCGGATGGTGATGATGGCGGCAGAAAGCGACTGCGTCGGAATTAAGTGTAAGTATACCCCTTATAATAGCTGATTCTGTGTGTATCTACTATATATTAATGTAGCCATAGTTGGAAATGAGTTTTTGAAAACGCCTGCTCCGAGGTAAGTTCTTTTAGTGTTTTAGTGATTTTTGAAAAATTGAATTGTGACAGAACAGAAAGAATATAAAGACTTATTGCATATAGATATATATTCAGACTGCTATTAGATACAACCGATTTGAACTTAAATCCAAGGCGCATTCAGCGATTTGACTGCCATAATGCCATCGACGATCGAACATAATAAAGCAAAACCATTTTTATCTTTCTATTTCCACAGACCCACTGACAACATTGTACTTAACAGAGAACATAAATGTACGAGTTAGTTTACTTTAAACAAAAAACAAAAATAACAACAAAGAAAAACAGTTCAATTAAAAACAGTTCAACTGACGCAACAACCGCCCAAAAAAACACTACGGAATCAACCAGTACCAGAACCACAATCACAACACAGAGCGAAACAGACACGGAAAACGGAAACAAGAAACAAGAATTACCAACCAACCAACCAACCGTACAATTGACTTGTTCAAATGCGCTGTAGTACTGAGTAACCATATACCACATAATATTATATCTATATAGACCAGACTTAAACGGAGCCAACGAAACCGCAATGATTGCTACAAAAAAAAAAAAAACCAACCACTTACGGGACTATCGTATCTATCTAGCATTACCGTTTACTCAAAACCAAGAAACATAAACGAACTCTTTGTACAATTTACTAACGTATTCCGACAAAGATAAGAATATATATATATATTAAAACAAGCTTAACTTCATATTCATATGTACGTATGACAGTATGACATAATTAAATTAAACACAACTACTATGTAAAGCCTTCAAGCGATATTAATAAAGGAAATTACCAAAAAAAATATATATAAAATCTCATGTTTTATGCTCAATGCTTTTTCTAATTGTGATAGGTTGTGTTCTCATCGCAGGAGTCGGAGAAGTTTTGAAAATCAACGGCTGTCAGACTATCGACGATAGCGTGTTATCGCTGAAGTAAAACTATCGACTTGGCATATTCGTATGTACAATTAGTCGATTGCTATTGCATCCCTGGAGAAATTCAACCAACAGCTGTTCGCATAGTTGGCAGCATTTTGTTTGGTTTGTGTAAAATTTTGCAAATATATAATTTTTAACGCACGGCAAATAACAATAAAAACCCAAAAATGGATCCGGCGCTTCTACGGGAACGCGAAGCGTTCAAAAAACGGGCGATGGCAACGCCAACGTAAGTGCCGCAATCTTAACAAATGGTAGCAATGTCTCTACAATTGTTTCTCTGCATTCCCAGCGTGGAAAAGAAAAATAGAACTGAAAAAGCACCGCCACCGCCGAGCAGAGATGACTCCCAGAAGAAAATGCGACCACCAAATGCACCAAAGATGGATTCATCCACGTAGGTGACCACTTCTGCTCACTTTAGCCTCCCTTAAATCTGACATCCACATAATTTGTCTCCTTCTTTGCTGCCTGCAGGTACAAAACGATGTCGGGCAGCTCGCAATATCGATTTGGAGTCCTGGCCAAAATCGTAAAGTTCATGCGCACCCGCCATCAGGATGGCGATGATCATCCCTTGAGCATTGAAGACATACTCGATGAAACCAATCAGCTCGACATTGGTCAATCAGTAAAAAGTGTAAGAAAGTGAAAAAGGGAAATATTCTAATCGCAATGAACTAATTCCTATTTCCCATTTCGTTATAGTGGCTGGCTAGTGAGGCGCTTAATAACAATCCCAAAATTGAGTGCACACCCTGCGGCACCAAGTTCAGTTTCAAGCCCGTCTACAAAATCAAAGATGGCAAGAGCCTAATGCGATTGCTCAAGCAACATGATCTAAAAGGACTTGGCGGCATATTGATGGAGGACGTACAAGAATCTCTGCCCCACTGTGAGAAGGTCTTGAAAAATCGCGCTGCTGAAATATTGTTCATAATACGTCCCATCGACAAGAAGAAAATATTGTTTTACAATGACAGAACCGCCAATTTTGCAGTGAGTTTGAACAGTAGATGAATGTTCATTTGGTTGCTTAATTAAATTAATCAAATATATAGGTCGATGATGAATTCCAGAAGCTTTGGCGTTCCGCCACGGTTGACGCCATGGACGATGCCAAAATCGATGAATATCTCGAAAAACAAGGTGTGACAATCAATGCATTATCTAAAAATAACTCGTTGACTAACCCGATATATGTGAATGTTTGCAGGTATACGTTCAATGCAGGACCATGGCCTTAAGAAGCCGATGCCCAAACGCAAGAAGGCGGCCAACAAAAAACGACAGTTCAAAAAACCCAGAGACAACGAACATTTGGCTGATGTTCTGGAGATCTACGAGGACAATACCCTAACGCTAAAGGGCACAAATCCCACATAGTAAACAAACAATTATAAGTAGCTAATAAACTTAAAATTAAACTGATTATCATTGTACTATCTTTAAGGAATGTGAAATGAGCACAAAACATCTAATAAATTCACTCGAGATTATTTGGCGGTTATAAAAGGTTATATATATATTCTATATACAATATACTTCCAAAGATACTGCAGAATTTTGCAAACTGACAATATGGCAAATCAATATTTATGGACACATACTATCTTTCGTTCGCTGCTTGTACCTCGAAAATATAACTTTGTCGCTCGGCAATGATACTTAAAAGCAAATGCATGTAATCTTATTTATATATAACCGCATAACTGTATTTGCTTTGTGTGTGTGTTTGTGCGTGTGTTGGCAATCGTAATCGATTTTTGAGTGCTTGCAAAGTCGATAAATTGGCCGCGAAACAAACCAATGGCGTCAGTTGGCACTGAAGAACACTCCAGCCAGGTTTGTTTATAGTGCGCATATTAAAATTGGGAGGCGGCGGTTAGAAAGCTGAGCTGAGAAACCCGTTTTCTTTATTTTGTAATTATTATTCCTTGGCCTAATTCGTATGTAATAGTTTCACCTCAGTGGCAGTAAAACGTTGGCAAAATGACAGGTGCGGCTTTTATAATCGTTTTGTTTTTATTGGCCTTTGGCTTTGCTCCAGAATCTGTAGCCGCTGGTACTGAGTAAGTAGTATTTATATTTATAATTGCATAAATGAACCGATTAATTGGAACCTTTGACGGGCTTTGTTAATCGCAGTGAATTGGTATACGGTTACGAATGCCAGAGTGGCAAATGTCGCAAGGTCGAATTGACTGAGACGAATTTCGTCAAGGCAATTAGCCTACCAGTTTGCAGGCTCTTCTGTGGCAGCAGCATTGGCACCCTGTGGCCCAAACCCACTGGAGCCGTGCAGCTAGAGCCGCTGATGCGCCAGGTGGACATGTCTAACATTGAGGTCCAAATACCAAGTGGACTGAGCAGAAAAGAGAAAAAACTATGGAAGGCAACGGAGCAGCGTTGGATGGACTTGCTGGAGGCGAAGATACCCAATCGCAAGATCCTCAAAGAGGGTGGCTATCAACTTACGGTTAGCATCAAAACTACGGATAATGGAGGAGCGCCTTATAGACTCACCCTGGACACTGATGAGAGTTATGCTTTGAGTGTTGGCTCTGAAGTCGCTGGTGAGATCTTGGCAAACATTACAGCTGGCAACTTCTTTGGTGCTCGTCACGCCCTGGAAACGCTCAATCAATTGATTGTCTACGATGATATTAGACGAGAAGTCCAGGTGACGGCGAATGCTTCCGTCAGCGATGCGCCTGTCTATAAGTGGCGTGGATTGCTACTGGATACCTCACGCAACTATTACTCCGTGAAGTCTATCAAGCGCACATTGGGTGAGCTATTTTGATGGGTATCTATAATAAATACTCATTAATAAACCACTGATTTCCATTACAGATGGTATGGCCATGGTGAAACTGAACACATTCCACTGGCACATCACGGACTCGCACAGTTTCCCGTTGGAAGTGAGCAAGCGACCAGAACTGTCCAAATTGGGCGCCTATACGCCCAGTAAGGTCTACACCCATGCCGACGTGGAGGATATAGTTGAGTGCATCCACCCAATCATCAAAGAGCTAATCTTATTCAAAAGGGATTCCCTTATTTCAGGTGGAATATGGACGAGAGCGTGGCATACGTGTGATGCCCGAATTTGATAGTCCGGCGCATGTGGGCGAGGGATGGCAGCATAAGAATATGACCGCCTGCTTCAATGCACAGCCCTGGATGCAGTATTGTGTGGAGCCGCCGTGTGGACAACTGGATCCCACAGTCGATGATATGTACAATGTGCTGGAGGACATTTTCAGTGATATGTTCAAGCTTCACAATCCGGATGTGTTTCACATGGGCGGCGATGAAGTGTCCGTGTCCTGTTGGAACAGCAGTGAGACAATTCGCAACTGGATGCTGAAGCGTGGTTGGGGCCTGACCGAGGCGGATTTCATGCGTCTGTGGGGACACTATCAAGAGGAGGCACTCAAACGAGTTGATCGCGTGGCCAATACAACAAATACACCGGTTATCATGTGGACCAGCAAGCTCACCAATGCACCCTACATCGATGACTATTTGGATCCATCGCGTTATATAATTCAGATCTGGACTGAGGGCCATGACAAAGTGATTCAGGAGATATTGAAACGTGGCTACCGCATCATCGTCTCTAACTATGATGCTTTGTACTTTGATTGCGGCGGCGCCGGTTGGGTGACCGGTGGCAATAACTGGTGCTCCCCCTACATTGGCTGGCAGAAGGTCTATCAGAATAGCCTGACCAAGATCGCCGGTGACTATGAGCATCATGTGTTGGGCGCCGAGGCAGCCATCTGGTCTGAGCAGATCGATGAGTACACACTGGACAATCGTTTCTGGCCACGCGCAAGTGCTTTGGCCGAACGCCTCTGGTCCAATCCGACTGAGGGCTGGCGTCAAGCGGAGTCACGCATGCTGTTGCATCGCGAACGTCTTGTGGAGAATGGCATTGGGGCGGAGGCACTGCAGCCGGAGTGGTGTCTGCAAAACGAAAACGAGTGTCCCGTTGACGCGTATGCTCATTAGTTCTTTTCTTGTGTTTCCAACTCAGTCAATTGTGTACAACTCTGTTACATTTATACTTATAGATATGCTAAGCGCAACAAGAATGGGCTGCCCAGCTGCCTGCACCTGCTCCTCGTTGCCTTAACGCTTTGTGCCTGCAATAAATAAATAAATAACAGTTGAACAATCAAATTGCGAGTTGACTCGTCCTTTAATATTCTATATGAGATTATTTGATTTGTGTGTGTTTGTTTGTATATATTGCGATCTCGGAATCATTTCTGTGTTCTTGTCGTGTCTATGAATACAATTTTTGTGTGTATATAATTTCTAAAATCAGCACAGCAGTCGCAAGTTGCACTGGGAATACACTTCACTCATTCCAATCTTCCTCGTTGCGACCAAATTTGTACACCAGGCTGCCAAACAAAATGAACACGTTCTGCAAGAGTAGCGCCACGCCCAGACTAGAATCCTTTTTGTCTATAAGCAGAGAAGGGGTTTCATAAGTAATAAACATAACTCTTGAAATGTGATCTATAACTGAAGTACCGTTGTTTATGAAATTATCAATCATTACCCAAATGGCGGCAATGATGGACGCAAATCCAATCACAAAGCCAATGAGTAACCACAATTTGGCGAGCCTCGCTCCCGACTCCGATGTGTTATCTTCGGAAATCTACCAAACAAAACAACGACAAAAATAATGACTCATTTTCTTTGTACGTAAATACGCAAATAGATACTTAGGCATAAGGAGCGTTACTTACATATTCGCCTTTAACGGTATTCACCATGAAGAAGCTAATGGTGCCAAAAACGCCAATAAATACATGTCCTGTCGTTATTTGATGCTGGCCATCTCCAGACATGGCATCGATTATTATCCACCACCCAGTGAAGAACTGTCAGCGGATGCGAATGGATTATAGATTTGTCGCATTGCGCTTAGCATTTGGATTTGTTGGACATACCAATAAACCTGCCGCCAGGGCAGAGTTTTTGTTCCTCGATGTGTCAGATGTGAACCATGATCTAACATTTTCTACCAGACCCATTGTTATTTTCAATAAATAAATGTTTTGCCTGAAAAAGACTGCGAGTCTCGTCTCCTAGAGATGCAACTATATACAATTTAAATCGAATGAATCTAATCGAATGTTTCGATTCTGGTAATCGCTCAAATGCGATATGAACAGTTTTTGAAATTTCATTTTTGTAGCCCTGAAGCATGTGGCAACCCTAGTTCTATAGCACGTGTGGTTGAATCGACATAAACAAATTATTTCCATTAAAATGAAGAAAAGACCCGAGGAGACTATAATTGATGAGGAGGAAAGCATGGAAGAGGAAGGGGAAGATGGGTCTGATGACGAAAGCGAAATGGATTTGGCAGCCAGCGCAACAGAATCGGATACAGATGATGATGCTGATGATTCGGATGAGGCGCAAAGTGAAACTGAGGAAACCGAGTCGCGGACAAAAACGAGGGTCGAACTCATTGAGGAACAAATACACAGCAAATATGAACAGTTAAGGGGCACACGTCTCTATGTGCGCTTTCCCAAAAAGTTACCCTTAGACGAACAGGAATTCGAGACGAAGGTGAAATCGCTGCATCCGCTGATCTCGAAGGCAACAAAGCCACGACAAAAGCACGCGCGCTTTTGCCTTGTGGATTTCAAATCGAAGGAAGATCGCGATGCAGCCCTGGAGGATATGAGGAAATCAATTGAAACTGATGATGCTTTTAAGGGTTTCTTTGTCTCACTGCCAAAAACCGATTCCGATGACTTTGTCAACGAACTTGTTGCGCGCAAGCAGCAATCAATTGAGAAGCGGAAAACCAAAAGTTTGTTAAAACGCGCCAGCAAGCAAGTGAACCGCAAGGACAATTTTACATCTTCGGTGGTCATCACCAATCTGCCCAAGACCGCCTCGTTGGCTCAAGTGCGCCAACTCTTCGAGAATGCCGTCGATATTCAAATCAAACCCGGCAGAGGTAAATTCCGTGACTTCAGCGCTGCTACTGTCACCTTACCCACAACCTTTGAGGCTAGGGGTGCTCTGAAAAAGGATCTAAACCTTGGCGGCAGCAAACTCACGTTGCGTTTCAATACCCAGCAGAAGAAACGGCGACCGAGGAAGAACGAGAGGAAGCGTTCAGCGACTGGCGAACCTCAGCCCAAGAAACACAAGAATAAGAAGGCGAAACAGGATGTGACGGCTGAATAGAAAAATAGTTTAAATATCAACTATTTAGAATAACCCCTAACTAATATCTGTAGTATCTGCCTTTTTTATAAGATCTGATAAAATGTTTAATAAACAAATGTTTAATGTTTAAATGTTGAAGTTCAAATTCTGTTACAGATATATAGCAAATGTTTGGTATGCTTTCACAAGGTTCAAAATGTACAATGCCCAGAAACAGACAAATGGATCTTAACATATCTAAGTTGGAGATTAAGGACAATATAATAATTTTATCATATCGAAGCTGTTTTCGGAAATGCATTACAAATTGATAGACAAGCTTAAAAAGTTCTTCAAAAGCGTTTTAAATTTTAAAATATTTATTATCGTACACGATATACATACATACATAGCTTTAGGTATTTTCATTAATAAGCCGCTTGAGTTGTTTACTGGATATACATTAAGTTGTTCACTAAGCCTATATATATATATATATATATATATATATATATATATATATATATATATAATATGAATATAATTATGAGATTATTTTGTGCACAGGGATTCAGGGATATCAATTTGTAAGTAGTATGTATGTCCAACAATAAGTGTGTGGTAGATAATTAATTCATATGTGTGTGTTGTTCATATCTTCTCTGTTCTTTTTTTATATCTCAAATACAAAATATTTAACATTCGCATATACATATGTATAAACTCACAGTATTTTCTTCTTTCGGTTCCAAGTGGAGCTGATGATATTGGTTATTCATTATCTTATAGGGGTGACGGACTCCCCGCACAAAAAAACATATATATTTATTAATATTCTTTGTTCAAATGTGATTCATGTTTAGATGTCGTGTCGGTTGTTTCTCTATTGATTTATTTGTTGTTGACAACAGCTATGATACGGACAAGCTTTAAAGTACATATATATATATATATATATATGTTAACATATATATATAGTATTTGTTTGAGGGCAAGTATCAAAAATGTAATCAGCAATTGATGCAAAAATGTACACTGTTTTTTTCTGTACGAAAGCGGGATTATAATTGGAAACGCGTTTTAGTTCGATTCGAGAGTTCTTTAAATAGTTTTTTTTTATAATTTGAGATACCTCTAATGAGTTTTCAAATTGCTTTTTTTTTTTTTTTTGTAAATATAATCAAAATTTGTATCTGCAATATTTTTAAATATTTTTTTTTTAAAGAGAAAAACTAACACCGTGTGTTTCAGATTAATTAACGTTCTTCACCAAGCAGTCTCGCATTTTAGCCGTTATTGTAGTACATACGTTCCTTTCGATAAATACACACACTTATAATATATATATATATATATATAAATGTATCCATATCAGTTTTGTTTTTCCTCCTCATGGCTGAGTTTTCAAGATTAAGGGCATTCAGATTTATAAGGCGTTTGAACGTCCGCTTCAATTTGCTGATTAAACTGCAGCAAAAAACAGTGATTCATAAAAGCCATTCGAAATGTATATTTTATATTTTAAATGTGTATTTTATAATATATATATATATATATATATATATATATATATATATATATATATATATATATATATATATGTATGTATATATGTATATATATATAGATAAGAGAAGAAGGCCAAGATTAGGAGGAGGATCTGAGACTCAAATCGAGTGAAGAAACGGATAAATCCTGGAGTTACATATGCTTCTGTATGAGTGAGTGAGAGCTAAAGTTTGTTCTGAAGAATAGAGATTATCGGGGATTTCTTTGGATAGTTTTCTGTTATTTTTCTTATTTTTTTTGTTTGTATATTGTACCCCGAGATAAATTACGTATGCAGCAGCCGATCTCTAGCCGAGGGTGAATTATGTTGCATAGTCGCCGCTGCTGTGGATGCCGAACCAACCAATGGATAATTAGGAGGAGGAGGAGGTGGCGGTTGCGCTGGCGGCGAACGCAATGGAATCGATGGCTGTACAAATCGCACACGTTCGGCATCTGTGGCGGCGGCATTATTTACGGCTGACGACGCACCACCGGCTGCTGCATTAAATGCCGACGTAAAAGCTGTGGCGGCTCAAAGAGTGTGGTAATTACGCTCATTGCGTGCCTTGTAGAATTTGTAGGCGACCAGCCCAATGGCCAGCAGACCCAGTGTCAACACAATGCCACCAATGAACGATGAACCATCGAAGTGTCCGCATGGCACCGGTACGGGTTTGGGCGTAGTCGATGTAATTGGAGCCGGAGTTGAGCTTGTTGGTGGCACCACTGTGGTGGTGGTGGTAGTGGTTGAGTTGGGTGGAACTGCTGTGGTGGTCGATGTTGTTGTTGGTACCGGAGTTGTTGTATTCGGTGCAGCAGTTGTGGTTGTTGTCGAAGCTGTTGTTGGAGTTGTTGGTGCCGGAGTTGTTGTTGTCGGAACTGTTGTTGGAATTGTTGGTGCCACTGTTGTTGTCGCTGGCGTTGTTGTTGTCGGTTTCTCAGTGCTAGTTGTTGTATTCTTGTCATCCGGCACCGGCACAGTCACCGTGGTCACTGGCTCCGTAGTTTCATTGGCTACAAAATTAAAGAAAGACACACACATATACACATACATACATATTTAAAAAGTATTTCAACTTAATTTAATAGAAAGTTCTTTATGTTGAAATCTTCTTCAATTACGCTGCCTACTTATTTACACACACACACACACACACACACAACACATGCAAGCACACACATGCAAGCAGACACACACAACCCATCCACACACACACACACACACACACACACACAAGTGTGGCATTTAAAATTCCCATACACATGCATTTATAAATTTGATATTCAATGCAGGCACACTCACACATACATACACACGTACACGCATTGAATGAAATTGGTTGTGGCAGAAGAGAACTCACCTTCGTCTCCGACTCCCCCCGCCGCTTGACAACGACCTGAGGAGGCAAACAATCCGACAAAAAGACATAATAGCAAATATTTGGCCTGCAGCTGCATTTTTGTTTGGTTTTTGCTTTTTTAATCGTAAATTGCACGGATTCCGCTAAGATTGTTTACTTCCTGGTATTTTCGAGTAAACTGTGGTATTTACTTGACTTTCGACGTGTGCTGCACTAAAAAGAAAAAAAAGGAAAGATGTCGGTGAATAACCAAAATATGCCAACATAATCAAAATTATAGCAACACAATGACATATGTTTGCGTTGTGTACAGTCCTATTATATGTGTGCAGTTTCTGAGCAAATCTGCAGCAATGCATAAAGTTATATGCTCTACTTACCAAACAAATCGGCAAACGCGCAATTAGCGAATGATTAATAAAAATCCAATCGAACGAATCACGAACAGATTTTTTTGTGTGCCTGCAATGCAAGGTTGCTCTTGCACCGATACCGATACCGATCATCCAGCATCTATCGATGTATCGATAACATAGTGAGATTGCAACAAAATATGCAACGGTCACACTAGTCACATACACTGACTCAGAGACACTGTCTTTTCTCAATTGCTTTATGGAAGCGAATTTAGATACAAAGCAATCGCATTAATATCGTGCAATAACCAAAATGACATCTTACGTACGCGCTATGTACGATTTTTCTGGTGAGCCCGGCTCATCGGAACTAACGATCACCACCGGAGACATATTAACCGTGACACGGAGCGACGTAGGCGAAGGCTGGTGGGAGGGCAAAAACAGTCAAGGCAAAGTTGGCCTCTTTCCGGCGGCCTACGTCGAGGTAATGTCCGCCGCCGAGGCACGCCAGTTCACCACCCCAGCAATGGAGGTGACAACCCCAAAACCTGCTATGCAGCCCAGCACCTATCAAACGGATTCACGCTACGATGAGACGGCCGATGATGACAACAACAGCGATTGGTCGGACAGCGATGACAACGAAACGTATTCGGAGATTGCACCAGCTGGTAAATTCGGTTCGGGTGCACGCGCCAGCGGCTTAACACATTCCGCCAGCGATTACGATAACAGGCATTTACCTGTTGCGCCCAGTGAGGATGACATCTCGTTAAGCTCACATGCGGGTGGTGCTGGTGCTGGTGGTGCTGCCACCATGAAAAAGGGCATGTTTGCCAAGAGCTCCGATTCGTATATACTCGGCTTGTATTCGCCCAAGGAGAAGATACCCGAATGCGAATTGGCATACATAACGCCATTGGAGGATTCAAGCTATCAGTGGACACATAATCATTCACCTTACTCTGTTGTTGTTGCCAGTCCCAAAAAGGAGTCCAAATTTAAGGGCATGAAAACATTCATTGCGTATCAGTTGACGCCAAGTTTTAACAATATATCCGTGAGTACACATCCAACGTTATTTATAGCCATTTTCTACTCGGACTACTTACTTAGATAAGCTTCAAATGCGTGTGAGCTGTTTACTTATGGTGGCAGCTACCGCTTACACTGTGCAACAAGTGTCAGCTTTTTAGTCTAAATTTCCAGAAATTATGATTCTTATTTCCAACGGCTTTATGAACCTGTATTTCGTTTAATGAGATTTTGGTGTTTCTATATATTTATGATATTTATTAAGCAGAGTATGCAAAAATCACTAAAAAGTAGCAATATAATATATGGCTCATATATGATACACATTTTTTTTAATTTTGTGGTTTATTTATACCGCTAAGCGATAGCATAAAAAGCTATATATATCCACAGGCCATTGGATATCTGATTGAATCCAATAGTAAACAGTATGAATTAGTAAAGATGTTCACGAGACAGAACGTTCAGAAATTAGTTCTTAATGGTAGAAATATAGGCTTCTGACTTGATTAAATGATTATGATTACTATTGTAATCATTACAGAGTACTCGAAAATGATCACGCCAGAAATAATTAGTATTAAAGCGTAAAGTATTAAAGAAGAAAAAGGGTAGAGATAACGGGTAGGTCTCGAGAGGGAGCAGAAAAATTAATTTGGCTTACCATTTACTAACCTAACACCAAGCATATGAGGACGATTAGTTAGGCAGTGAAGTTCAAAAAGGAGGAGTCTGTGTGGGGGTAATACACCCCTGTTCAATCGGATATTATGGAGACCACACAAAATCTATATTTAAGAATTGAACGCATAAGAGAAGAGTGAAGAGTATCTTAGTCGTAAAAGGATCATTAAAATCCCCCTTTTGATATTCACTATATTAACTAGAAGGGGAAATAGTAAACACTTGGCGCACACTATTTTGTAGCAGAGTGTAATTATGTGAATGAGAGTTGAAGTTGCGAGTTCAATTGGGGGCAAGCGAAGGGGCAGCCAGCTCTGCTGACCAACAATGCTGCAATTCACTTAGTCTTTGTGTGTATGTGTGTGTGAGTGTGTGTGTGTTATTGCTATTACAAAACCCAGTGAGTCAGTCACTCGTTGTTGTTTTGTTCTTTTTGTTTGTATCACATTTCGTAATTGAATTTTTATATCTAATCTGTTTTTGGAACTTTTACAGGTGTCGCGTCGCTACAAGCATTTCGATTGGCTGCACGAACGTTTGGCGGAGAAGTTCTGTTTGATTCCGGTGCCACCGCTGCCGGACAAACAGATCTCAGGCCGCTATGAGGAGCAATTTGTCGAGCATCGTCGGGTGCAGTTGCAGGAATTTGTCGATTGGGTATGCCGCCATCCGGTCATTTCCAAATGTGAGGTGTGGTATCACTTTCTCACGTGCCGGGAGGAAAAGGTGTGGAAGTCGGGCAAACGGAAAGCCGAACGTGATCCCTACATGGGTGTCAACTATTGTCTGGCCATTCTGCCGCCCGACAAGAATCTGTTGCACTCCAAAGTTGATGCCCAACTGGAGAGCGGTACACAGTTCATACACAGCATGGATGTTGCCGTACGTAATCTGAACAACATTGCCAACGATATGGCCAAACGGTCATTGGCACAGAGCAAAAAGGAATACCAGCGCATCGGTGACGGACTCTCCGAGTTGGCCAAATCGTTGGCCATCGATGAGCGTCGCGCACCCACACGCAACATGGTGCCGCTGTCGGAGAGTGTGGGTCGCATTGGCGGCATCTACATTGGTATTGGTCAAATGTTCGGGGATCAGTCGAAACAGGATTGGGTTCCACTCTGCGATCGGCTGCATATCTACAGGTAAGCAAGTGTATATAGAAAATATTGGCAAATCTGATCTTAATTGGCATCTTTATTCAAACTTTGCTTAATTTCACAGAGGCATCTTGAACTGCTTTCCGGACATATTCTCCACACACAAGGGCGCCATACAGAAGCGCAAGGATTGTGAGCGCTCCACCGCCGAGAACAAAATGAGCAATGCTCAGTTGCAGGAGGTGAATAAACGCACGGATTGTGTCTCCTACACGCTGCTGGCGGAGCTGACACACTTCAAAACCGAACGGGATACGCATCTGAAGCAGACACTCAAGGACTTTATTGCCGAACAGATTAAATTTTATCAGGGAGTCGTTGCACGGCTTGAGGAGGCACATCGTCAAATTGAATAAAAGTACGCAACGCAGAGTCTGGCAACGGAGGGGGCACATCACAGGATTAACGTTGGACAACCGATGAACCGGCTGGGAGCACAATAAGCACGCGTAAACGTACACTTTACCTAAATAGCTGAAAACATTCGCACGAGCGCATTTCAAATGCTTGACAAAAAAAAAAATTCAAAATATTGTCAAAAACTGCAAAAAAAAAAACTTTATATTAGATATGCTTTTAACTAAACTATAAATTTAATCAATAATCTTGTTTGTAAGTAAAGAAAAGTTACGTATTTATACAAAAATTAACATTTATATATCTATACACCGAAATTAAAAATATATACATATATATTTATACATACACACAAATAAATGATATTTTCAATTACGATACAAGCTCAAAAATAATTATTAATATTATCAGCTTAAAAACTGATTCACGTCTTTAGCTGGACACGATTTTGGTTAGTGTATTGACTAAATTGCCCTCTTGCAAAAGAAATGTACCTTTTTTATGGGCGAAAATAATATGACTTTAAGTCGGCCAAATCTTTACCGATTTTCAAAAGACAAAGTGCGCTAGAATCTCAAGGATGCAATCCATCGAGCTGCATTTAAAAAGCCCCAACATTAAAAATAAGTCAAGACAAGAAAATACTTTTCCAAAATACCATTAAAACACAGTCAATTTTTTAGCTATTCTGTTGCCTTTATCAGCGAAATTCTCTAAAAGGTTTTTCTTTATTTTTTATGTTTTGCCATTTTCTCGTTTATAAGTTTCTTGTGATTCATGTGTTGCTGTTGTTGTGTTTGTTTTGTTGTCGTCGCTAAAACATAAATACATTTTTATGTATAAAGATTGCACATTGTTTAAGGGATTCCTTTTTTTGTTTTGTTTTTTTTTTTTCATATAAATAATAAGCATAATGATAATAATAATAATTATAAAGGAATAATTTGTGAAAACAATAACTCCTTCGTATAGCTTTGCCTTTGAATGCGGAATGAATACAAATTGTTTGTTTTTGCCTTTTTTTCGAGCCGCGAAGGATCTTGTTTAGCAGGAAGTTCGAGGGTTGGTCTAGTTGGGGGGTTAAGGTTAGGGGTTTTAGAGGGACTTACTAAGTGTAATACATCTAGATAAAAACGCTATATACACACACACGAGTTAATAATAATAATAATCATAATAATAATAATAATATAACGCAGCTTGGGTTAACAATAATACAATAATTAGGTTTTTGTTTCCATTCCTTATTTTTATCTTGTTTTGCTTCCATTGCCTCTGTTTCGTCTGCTTCTTCTACACATTTTTTGTTTTTTTGTTTTTTGTATTTTTTTTTTAACAAACTACCAATAACAAATTTTTACTAATTGTTTTTTTTTCTTATTTTTTTTTTGTTTTGTTTCGTTTTTAATTATTGTTGCTTTCCGGTTACCTTGTTGTTGTTGATGTTGCTGTGTTGTTTTTTTTAAATTAAGGATAAATATTCCTTAGCAATTCCTTGACGATAAAATGGCCAATATGCTTCGCCTCTAAATGTATACTCAAGTATAGCTGTGTGTTATCCACGTAGTCATTATTATATACTATATGTGTTTTTTGTTTTTCTTTATGTTTATGTTTATGTTAATATGCAAGTGTTTTGGTTATATGAACGCGGTCCTCCTCCTCCTACTCCTCATGTCTCCTCCTCATCTGTCGAGCAGCCACATCCAGCTTCTAGCCATAGTCGCCGGCATATCGGCCATGCTTGTTGCTGCTGCCACCGCCACCGCCGTGTGCTGCTGCTGCTGCAGCGGCGGCAGCTTGTGCCGCCTTCTCGGCGAGCAGCGCAGCCTTTTGTTGCATGTAGGGATTAAAGTGTTGCATGTACATCGAAGCAGCTGCTGCAGCTGCATAGTTGTTCGCATAACTGTTGCTGCTGTTGTTGTTGCGCTGATTGCTGTTGTGATTGTTCCAATGTTGCTGCTGTTGCTGCAGCTTTTGATGGTGTTGCTGGTGTTGATGCTGCTGTTGCTGCTGGTGCTGTTGCTGCTGCTGCTGCTGGTGTTGCTGCTGCTGCTGCCAGTAGCTCTGCTCCGCCATGTAGCCAGCAGTGGCATCAGCAGCAGCAGCATCATGCTTCTGATACAAATACGAATTAAGCAACTGATTGCTTTGGAACATATTCTCCATGGCAGCAGCTGCTGCTGTCGGATAACAAAAGTTGTTGCTTTGATTTTTAACTGCTGCTGTTGTTGCTGGCAGTTGCTTGACTGTTGCAGCTGCTGTTGCTGCATTGTGGTAGTTGCAACCACCACTGTTGCTGTTGCTGCTGCTGCTGTAGTCAAGCTGTTGCTGCTGATGATGTTGATCCTCGTAGCTGTTGCTGCTGTTGTTGGCTGCGTTTGCTGCTGCCGCTGCTGCTGCTGCTGGCTCCTTGTGAGCCCGACTTGACTGTCATTCCCCGGTGGCCGTCACCGTCGTCCATTGCCAGGGGCTGTTGTAGCCCTGCTTGGGATTGCTATCCAACGAAAAATACAATTATATATATATATTATATACAAATGGGTCTTTGAATATGTTTACCTGGCAAAGAGAGGATGCCACAGTGCTCCACTGGCATCCATGGTGGCGCCACCAGCAGCTGCTGCTGCAGCGGCTGCCTCCGCCAAATGTTGTTGCTGCTGCTGCTGATGCTGGTGGTGTTGCTGGTGCTGCTGGTGCTGTTGTAGATGTTGCTGTTGGACGTCGTGTGGCAACATGTTACCCCGCTTGCGCTGATGCAGTTGCTGCTGCAGCTGGAGCTGAGATTGTGATTGCGGATTGTAGGTGACGCAGGCCTTGCTGCTGCGCAGCTGGCGTCCACTGTTCGGCGGCTCCGGTGTCGTTGTTGTCGTCGTCGGCGTCGTCGTCTTGTGGAGCCCGCGCAGACGCAGTGCATCGAAGGGCACATTGAGTAGTGGCACCATATTGCTTTCCGGTTCCAGCAGATTCGAAAGAGATTTGCAGGTAAGGCGCGGCTTGTGCTCCACGGGTGGAGTCGATGCCGGTGTAGCAGTAGCAGTAGCAGCAGTAGCAGCGGGAACAACAGGAGCAGCTATTGCTGGTGGCGTGGCAGCAGCAGCAGCAGCAGCGACAGTTGCTGGCGCCTTTGATTGTTGCTGCTGCTGCTGCTTGTTGTTGCTGTTGTAGTTGCTATTAAAGTCGGGTATGTGAAGGGGCGTGGCTTCCGGATCACGTCGGGCGCGCTTGTGCTCCAGATGATGATGATGTTGATGATGCGAGGAGGGATCCTTGTTAGTAAGTGGCTGCTGGTTTTGTTGCTGCTGCTGCGATTGTTGTTGCTGCTGCTGTTGTTGTTGGAGTAGTTTCTGCATAAAGGCCAGCTCCATGGGATTGCTAAACCCATTATAGGCAGCTGCAGGCGGCGCTGACTTCGGAGCAGGTGCTGGAGCTGGCGCAGACGCGGAAAAGGAAGAAGGCGTCGTCGTATCCTCGCTGGAGCTGGGCTTCTGTTTGAGGCAGTGCTTGTACAGCTCATCCAGATGCTGCAGTCCAAACTGGCTATTGTACAGCAAATTGCTCATAAATTTGCGCTGCAATCCGAGGGGATCCTTCAGGGATTTGAAGAACTCCTGCGACAACTGGCCAAAGTAGGGCAACCAAAGCATCTGTTGCAGCAGTGCCAACGTTGTCGCGTTCAGCTCCGTGGACATACTCGAATCTGCTGCTGGTGAAATGAGCGATGGAGGCACTGCAGCTGTTGCAGCATTGGTCGGGTTGCCAGGTGTATGTGTTTTGTGTGGCAATTGTTGCTGTTGCTGCAATGGAGAAGGTTGAATTGTTGTTTTGATGACAGCTGGACTGGCACTGGGGCGGGGACTTGGACTGGCGAGAGATTTGCTGCTCGGCAGCTCGGGTGGCGTCGGTGCGGGCGAGCGGCCGACCACTGGCTGATTGGTGGCCAACTGCTGAGGCGCAAGACCCAACTTGACTTGCGATTTGGTAGTTGATTGATCCGCCTCATTGCGCAAAATAGCCTCCAGTTGCTCCATGGTGACGACAAGTATGTTCGGATTCTGAATGATCTGCGGATAGGCGAAGGCTTCCGGCAACCGCAACTCCGGTCGCGTGGTCAATAGCAATGGAATCTCACGGGCCGGCGAGGCCAAAACGGCACCCAATCGATCCTTTGGCACGAGTATGGGATCGGGCACCTTCCACTGCGGATTGCTGATGAGCATCTTCAGTTGGGTCAATGCATCCGGATCCTTATCCATTTTGATGGGTTTCGCTCGCTTTTTCAAGGGTTCATGGCTTGGCTCCGTCGCATCCGCCGGCTCATCATCCTCATCATCGATGACTACCGTTTGGAGCTTATCCCCGCCGGTCGACGCTGCCGCTGCTGCCGCCGCCGCCTTACCCAGATCCATGGGTTCGGCCTGCTGCTGTGCATTGCCGTTGAGTTTGAGAAACTGTTCCAGTATCAGATGCTTGATCGTCTCCGATGTTGTCTCCACCTCGGCGGGAATTGTTGTCGCGGGCAGCTGCAGCAGTTCCGGTTCGGGTGACTTTGATTTTAGTACATCCGAACTGGAGGTGACGGCACACTGACTCCTGGACTCCGAGGGCGGACAGACTTCCTCGCGCTTCTTATAGCTCAAATCCTTGGGCGTCTCATCGGGCACAGTCAGCGTCAGAGTCAGTGGCAGTGGCGATGACGAGGACGACGATTCCTTTTCCTTGGTTAGGAGCACAGTGTCGGCCTCGGTCACCGATTCCAATTCCTCCTCCTCCTCCACCTCCTCCTCGACAACCACTTCTGGCTGTTTGTCAAAGGAGTCAATGTTGAGGAAGAGATCTCCATGGAGGCCCTCAATCTCGCCGGCCTCATTGAACGACAGACATTTGGGCGCATCATCCGCACTGTCCATGCCCAGAATACTGGGCAGCTCCTTACCAGAAATCACATCGGGCACACAAAACGCACTCAAGCCGGCGCCAGCAGCAACTGTTGCTGTTGCTGATTGAGATTGCTGCTGCTGCTGTTGTTGCTGCTGGTGCATCAGGTTGTCCTCGCAGCTACGCTTCACCAGGGAGTCGAGCAGATCGGCGCCGTTGCTGCTGCCATTTTCGCTGCTGCAATGCTGCAGCAGATCATCGGCTTCGTCCAGCAGATCTTTCAGCTGCTTCGTATTCGCATCGAGACTGGACAAGTCTTGTTTGACCGATTGATGATGATGTTGTTGTTGCGCCTGCAACTCATCATCTGTGTCATCAGGCGGCTCCTCGGACTCCTGGCCAGGCACATTGGTCAGAAACAGACCCGTTTTGGGGCACAGCTGCAGCTCCAGCGGCGCCGAGCCGGCTGAAGACGATCGGGATCGCGAACGGGAGCGGGAGTGGGAGCTTTGATATGTGGGCGTATTGGGATTACTACTGCTGGTCTTGGTCGCCTTGGTCGATGCATTCGTCTCGCCGTCCAGCAGACCATCGAAACAGACTTCCGCCGGCGGAGTCCTTGAAAATTGTTGTTGTTGTTGCTCTTCCTCCTCCTCCAGCTGCTGTTGCTGGGCAGGCGGTATAACGACAACATCTTCAATAACCGTCAGATTGCTGATCTCCTCCTGCTCCTGTTCCTGCTGCTGCTGTGGCGCCTGCTCTTCAATAACAGTCCAAGCATGTTGTTGTTGCTGTTGTTGTGGCTGCTGCAGCTGCTCTTCTTGCGCCTCCTGCTCGTGCTCCTCGAATGATTGCTGTTGCTGCAGCTGCTCCCGCTTGACCTTGATCAAGGGCGACGTTGCCGCCGTCGTCATCGCTGCCGCCGCACCCGCTGTGCTGTGGAAGAACTTGACAATGCGACTGGACGAGGCGTCGGTGCGTGGCATAGAACGCCAACCATTCGTCGTCTTGGTCAAACGTATCCGATTGCGTTTATCATAATCCTCGCAGCGTACCTCCACAATGCGTGTATCGTCCTGCTTGACCCACAGAAAGATCGGATTAACGCTGGGCGTTGTTCGTGCCGTTGTTGTCGGCGTGTGGCTGGGAGCAACAGCTGCTGGTGCTGTTGCCGTTGCTATTGATGTTGCTGTTGCTGCAGCTGTTACTGCTGCTATTGTTGCTGCTGCTGTTGTTGCTGCTGCTGTTGTTACTGCTGCTGTTGTTATTGCTGCTGCAGCTGTTGTTGCTACTGTTCCTGCTACTGTTGCTGCTTCAGCTGTTGCTGCTGCTTTTGATGTTATTGCTGCTGATGTTTTGGTTTCAAGTTTCACTGCGGCCATTTTAAGCGGCAGCTTTTCAGGCTCCTCCTCATCTTCCTCCAGCTGCTGCTCCTGCTCCACCTGCTCAGCTTCAGGCTGTGGCTCCTGGACAACAGGCAACGTTGTTGTTGCTACTTCAGCTCCAGCTGAAGCTGTTGCAGCTGCTGTGCTGCACTTTGGTTCCGTTTTGATGTCGCGCAGGACATGCTTGTTGAGGCGCGGCGTATTCGCCACTTTTAGATGGCCAAATTTTTGTTTGGCCCTCGTGCCACGGGCACCGCCACGTCCGCCGCGACGACGCCGCGTCGGCTGCTCCTCGAACACAAGGAAAATGTCGCGTGCTATTTTTCGACGCTCCGATTTTCTGTGGCAAACGGGCGGCGTTGCATCAAATTCCTGTTTAACAATGGCGCTGTTGCTGCTGCTGCTGCTCCTGTTGTTGTTGTCATTGTTGTTGTTGTTGTTACCGTTGTTGCTGGTGCTGCCAGTAGCATTATTATGATTACCGTTAGCTACACATTCATCACTTGGCCTGCAAGTGCTGATCCTGGGCATTTTGTTCGGAGGAGCGCCCAATGTGCGTCGTCAATATGCCACTTGATATTGAACGATTGTCATTTTTATTCTTTTTTTTTTTGGCTACTTTTGTATTTTGTGTTGCTTTTGCTCTTGCGTTTTTTTTTTATTGTTGCCTTTTTTGCCTTTTACACCGTATGCTCTTTTTGCTCGCACTTCTTTCTTATTGGAAATTGGAAGCAGGGCAGCGGGCAGCAAAACTCTTGTTGGAACTTTTGTTTGTAGCGTTGCGAGTCTCAGTTGCAGTTCTCACAGTTCGTCGTGAATGTTGTTGTGCATTTTGCCACTCGTTCCCAATTTAGAGTTAACTAACTTCACACTTTATATATGGTGCTCGCCTGTGTAGCTATGCGCTGTGTGTGTTTTACGTTGACAAAATCAATGAATTTTGTATATGTACTGCCTTTGCCTTTGCGCATAGTGTGACCGTACATGCAATATGCAATCGCTATCGATACTCACAGCCAGCACATTTTAGGGGCGCGCAAATTAAAAGTGCTTTGATTTTAACTCGCGCTTATCTATCAAACATCAGGTTGTGTCGCTAAAATCTCTCTTTATACGATTAAAACTCACTTTTTTGTTTATTTTTCATAATGATGGTATCTGGTACTCTCGCTTGGCTACATTAATGCTCGATGCAATTGTTCTTACTACACGCAGCTGGCTTATGTTATGTATACGCATGAAAAGTTTATTTTTGAGAGATATTCTCATTAAATACATATTTGCAATGGCTGAGCAAGTATTTTAAATTATTTTAGGGAATGCCTGTAACAACAGTTAGAACAACGATATGTAAACTATATATCAACGCTGTTAACACAATCGATATATCGATATGGATTCTAACATTCCTGCTGCCATCACAACCAGTCTTATCTTTGTTGTTGCGCTGCGTGGACGTGTTTGTTACGCTCGGATCCGCTACTTGTGCCTCTATAAAATTCTTCTAATATCTTTTGTGATACATTCGCTATATATATATGTATCGGCATTGCAAAGTGATATAAGTATAAAGCAAAAACTGCATGCGTAAGGCGTATGTAGAAGTGTATGTGTGTGTGAGTGAAATACTAGAATAAGTACAAAATGGATGCAAGCAGCGATCAGCAACAACAACAACAGCAGGAACAACAATACTATGAGCACAGTTGGAAGTCAGCCAATCATGGAAATTCCTTATCAGACAGCAGGGATTATGATACAAACTCAACGCGCACATCGCTGACTGGTTCGCCGCCGATAACATCGTCAACTGGTCTGGACTTTAATGGATTTGAAGACAAAGCGCTGCTGGCATCGCTGCTTGCGCCCAAATTAGATGATGCCGGCAGCAGCAGTAGCAGCAACAGCATTTACACAACTGGGGAGCAACAGGTGCTGCAACCATTAGGCTTAACAACAACAACCACAACTGCGACGACGACAGCAACAACAACAGCGACATATACTTTATATGGCCCGGCGGAATTGCAGGCACAGACAGTTATAGCTGACGAGGACGATGACGCTGACGATGACTTAGTTGAGGACGAATTGGTCACACTGACCAGTGCACCCCTGTTGCTAACCAGCACCAACAACAACAACCACAATAGCAACAACAACAATAGCACATCATCCACACACACATTATCCACACCAATTTCACCATATCATCAAACACAATCCACACCGATACCTGTAATAGCAACAATGGGCACATATAATCTGGATGATATTTGCTTTACGTTGGAATATCAGTTTCTAAATCAGAAGCTCGTCCAGGTGCAGCCACCCACAGTGGTGTCGTTCAGCATGTTATCGCCAGAAGAAGATGAAGAACAACAACCCACAAAAACAACAGCAACTAGCAGCGACAACAATAACAACTCAAGTTCACCTTCTCCTACTACAACAACAACAACTGCATATTTCACTCTTGGGACGAGGTAGTAAGCACTGGGCAGCACCTCATTGCATGCTATACAGCACTGCCTTTTTTGTTGGATTGGCTTTTGCTTACCGATAATATCTGTTATTGATACCGGCTTTAACTATTTTGATGTGAGATTACTGTTATGTTATTGGTTATTGTTTGCAATTACTGTTATCGTAATGCACTTATTTTTTCTATCGAATATTGCTGGCTCCCTACTCTCTTGCAATAAATGGGAATTTTTGACAATGAGTTATCAGGTGTTAACCAGGTAGTTTTGAAAGACAGAGTTTTGAAGCTATTTGTTTAGCTTAAGCTTGCTTTGTGACACACGCTGCCTCTTGTTTGCATTATATTATAAAAAATTAATTTGCCGTTTCCAATAAACTCACTTATTCTGCCACTGCAATTATTTATTTAACTGATTTAGCAGCTGGTTTATAATGACAATGCTATATTAATAATCATTTAATCCTCTTTAATTTTAATAATGAATTAATTATCTTTAAATATCCCATTTTAGATCAGTTTTCCTATAAACCGCTTCAATTTATATGCATTAAATATGGTTAATATTATAAATATTAACAAAATAAATATGTAAACAATTTTGAGCACCCCACTCCCCACTTTGCAATAAGCTAGATACGCCCTTGCCCATGACTAAAATTTCCACTGCCCACACAACAAATCCGATTGCTGCTGCATGCTTCTTGTTCCGTCTGCTCGTGATCTGACGTGCCTGCCATTTACATACATACAAGCAAACATATACATTCATATTCATATATATATATATATATATATATATGTATGCTTGTTATTACATATCGCAAATTTGTATTGCTTTGCTTATTGGTTGATTGCTAATTAGACTCAAAAATCGCCTGTAAAAAGCTAACGAAATATTTTTTCATATTCTCTTTTGACAATTTGGCAAAATTGAAACAATTCCAATGTCCGCTTATTACAAAGCGCGTCCGTCAAGTGTCCGAAATGCTCAGCAAGTTGTTGCTAATTGCCCGATACATATGTATGTATGTGTGTGTGTGTGCATGTCTGTATATGTGCTCGCCGGTGTTCACCAACCTCTAAGACGAACACAAATGCATACCTGTATGTATGTATTTGTGTGTAGCCTTATGCATGTGTTCGATGCTGCTGGCAATGAGAATATAACGGTTTTTAATGCTGCTGCTGCTGCAGCCGCCTACTGCCTACTTCGATAATTGTATCGAAATCGTTTGTTTGGTCTAAAAATAATTATGCCGATGAACGCATTTAGAATTAACCCCCACCACAAGAAATTCACACATCTATTGATAGAATTATGTATAACTTTGTATATATATATGCATATACATACTTGATGTGTAAGATGAAGACAAAAACACAAGTTTTTCTATTTTCTAGTTGAATTCATTCACACTTGGTGTAAAACAGCCGGTTTCCAATTTAAATGAGCAAATGTGAAATTCCATTCGAGAATATTCCATCATGTGGAGGAACGCTCGAGCACTCATCTGTTATTTGTTTCTAATTTTTAAATCTCACGTTTTTATCGAGCAAGTTTTCAATTTTTTTATTCTATGGAATGGTTTACTTTCTGTTATCGACAACCAATAAGATTTTTTTTTTTATAAATTCTATGTCATTTTTTAGCACTTATACTAGATTCTTGTTAAAAATCAAACACTTGACATTGTCACATGTTCTAATTTGAATTCCCCTTTATTGCGTCTATTACTTTTAGCTTGATTCTAGTTGGATGAGTTTTATGAACCAATTGATTTCTAATGACGTGGTCAGCCTTACGCTTTGTAGTTGTTTTCAGTCATTTTAATTTTCTTATTTCTATTTTTCCAATTCTTATTTCTATTTTCTACTGCTCAGACAGAACTCACCCAAACCTCAACCTCAACCCACCTCCCCCAACCCCCACTGAGACAAAGGCTATTTTTAACACCATGAGTGTTGCACCTCAATCATATTTCTCATTTTTCAACACTCGTGCGATTAGGGCAAGCTGTGCGGGTGAGGGTGGAGGGAGGAGGGCAGGGGGAGGGATGGGAGACGAAGGCACAGCTGTGTGTTTGCGACAGGGACAGCGACAGCGATGAGTAGTGCAGATTGCTCAGTGTCGGGGGAGGGAGGGATGTAGGGCAGTGTCTAGTTGGATGCCAGCCCAGTCATTCCGTCGTCAGCCGATTCGTCCATTCGTCCACAAAAGGCCCACGCACTTGTTGTTGTTATTTTTGCTATTTTATTTTCAATACAATATTTTTGTTTGCGTGTTTTGTGTTTTCATTTAATATATTTGTTTTATAGTTCTTGGCGACGTCGTGTTTGACCATGACAATATTAAATATTAATTAATCTGCATGATATTGTAGCTTAAAGGCGCTTTCCAGTTCATCTTTTTTATTCTCTTTTTGTGTATTGTTTGTTCTACGTTTTTTGACAGATAGTTTTTACTTTGTTGCTTGTCAACTGATTATTAATGAATGTTTTTCTTTGTTGTTGCTGTTTTGGTTTTTTTTTATAACCTCACTAATCGCTGCACACATTTTTGCATATATTTATACAGACATAACTGTAAACAAGTTTGCACGGTACAGTGATCGCTCGATAATTAGAATGCTATGTTATCGGGTTGCATTTGATGAAAAAGAAAAAAATTAGTAAACAAAAAATAATTTTGAATGCATTGAAAAATTATAATATCAAAAACTTGGGGCACGTTTTAATTAGCAAGCGATCACTGCATAATATATATGTATATTTATATATGTATTTGTGTGTAGGCATGTGCATATATATAGAAGATGTTTAACGGCCCACTGACATAAATTGAAAGCAGCAGCATCGCTCGCCCGACGCATTTTCTCTTTTTATTTTGTTTGTTTCCAAGTGGGCGAGCGATACACACACACATGCACATATACACATGTACAAACATCCCCAAATACACACATGCAGAAAGAGAGAGTGTTGGAGAGAGAAAAAAAGAGAGTGAGCGATATATAAACACATAATCCGAACGATCTTGCAGCTATATCGAAGAGCAAACAGAGCCCGATGAGGACAATGAGCTGGCTCACTGCATCCATCCGGGCGCCCTGCACAAGGACACCGACGAGGATCAGCTGTTGATGGCGATGGCCTACGAGGTACTCAGCCCCTACATTCCATTAAAAAACATAAAACAACAACATCAAAGCAAAGCAAAACAAAAACACACTCAAAAGACGTACACAGTCGCAAAAATTGTGTCGTAACTAACGATCTTTTGTTTTTTCGAAACGCCGCTTTTTGTAGCAAACATTAAAAAAATGTTGTTCTAATCGATAATTGTTAATCGATAGTCTAGCGGGGGCAACCAGGCGGGCGTCTAGTTGCTCCTTCTCACGAATCCTCGCCGCTCTCGCCTCAGTTCTGCTAACCACTTTTGCTCGCATTTTTTTGCAACAATTCAACTTGGTGCGTAGTCTTAGTTAATCCCGAAAAAAAAACAAACACTCTTCCTCATTCACCATATATACTAGCTAGCTATATATATAAACACCACTCACACTGCATGCTCTTTATTTGCCGACTTACTACGAAGTACTACACATATAAATATAATACTTAACGACCTATTGACATTTTATTAGCCCACTTTGACTTTGTACATAGTTCAACTTCAGCTCTGTACAATCATGATTAGCTTATATAACTAATATGTATATATATACATTATCTGATCCTCCCCAAATCATCACAGAGCTCCGATGAAGCTCTCAGCCGTTATAAATGCAACTATGAAAACTGTTATCGCAGCTACAGCACAATTGGAAATCTGCGTACACATTTAAAGACACACACAGGTAAGTTTCAGTTCTAACTTAAAACTTTTATTTCTAATTTTGAATCAAATCGAATATGATATATTATATATTAAGGTTTTAAGTCTTTGTAAAATACCACTAGGAATGTAGTTAACGGCTACTGTAATACAATCTGTAACATAACATGCAATACACTGTACGTAACGATAATGCGATCACCTGTTTGAAAAAATTATTTAATTTACCTTCGACTGCTAAAAATGTATTTTAAATTTAATTTTTTGGTTTTTATATAGAGTGGATAATAAAAGGAATGGACTTATGATAAATACCTTAGGCACTCTAATTGTCTAATGATAATCTTCTATTTATTGAGTGTAGGACTTTGTGTTTTCTGCATTTTTCACCAGTGTATTGGCCGAATTGAGCAGTTCCAATTGTATATCGGCGCGGGTTGTTGCATCCACCCGACTCAATATACTCTCTAGATATTTATAGAAAGGATCGTGCTGGGTATCAACTATATTCGATGGTTGCTCTTTGAGTTTCTGCTGCAGCACATTCTCCAATAGGCCCATAACTTTGTGAAACTCCTGCTGTGCTTGCTGGAGACACGGCTGGCTTTTCTCATTGGATGCATCGCTTGGCGTTAGTGCTTCCCGGGTGTTTGCTTCTTCTGCATAGTCATCGTCGTCCTGTTTGATGGGTCTACGATTTAAGTCATCGTTTTCATAAGTCATATGTTTACTTGATAAGTCCACATCCAAATCCAGCTGGCTGTCCTCAATGCTGCTGCATATATATATATATATATATATAAAAACAATGTATATATATTATTATTATTATTATGTATATATTATGATAGTAATAATCTTACGAGCAGCCGCGCGGTTTGATGTGTTCCAGAAGAAACAAGAGCTCTTCAAAATAGCGCCAATGGCTGACTTCCATTTGGGTATCGGCGCATTTGTGATATTCGCGCACAAAACGATCGCGCAGCGTTTTCCATTTGCACTGGGTTTCTTTAACTACATCAAGCAAAACATAAATAACAAATATTTTACATAAATGTGAATTCTATATATGCATTTGTGCACAGCTTGCCTGTCAAACCACATTCGCTTGAAACCGTCGCCCACGCAATGTCTCTGCGCGGCCGATTTCGAAAGCCCGTATCTGATTTATTGTATAAGCAAGCATTATGTTTAACGCTTCTGATCAATCTCTCCTCAATGTCGCACATTATTTTTTGTTGTTTTTTCAAAATGAACTTCAACAAATTACATGCGTGCGTGCGCGTCGACGGCAAACGCGTATGATTGTTCGCTGATGCAGTGTTAAGCAACACTGGTGCCGATAAAAGACAGGCGTGTTATATGCGCAATATGCACGCGTGACGTCATGAGCGTCGAAAAGTCATTTAGTTTGGTAAATTTGTCAATTAATCTCTAATAATTATGCTATTCTTAAGATTTAGTTAGACGACTTTGGCTGAAAGTATGAACAGAATAGGTAATCTTTTGCTTGTTTTTGTTGTTAATTTGTCAGCTACCCTCTTATAATTATGCTATGCTTAAGATTGTTATGATTGTGCCACGTTTGCCAACACTGCCAACGACGTGCGCTTGCTTTCTGCGCCGGCAATGTTGACGGGACGGGTAAACATTTCTTGGCGCACGTAATTATTTGAAATTCTTTTTGTTTTGATATATAATTTTTTTCGTGTATATATATTTACAGGTGATTACAGCTTCAAGTGTACGGAGGAGGGCTGTAACAAGGCATTCCTCACATCATACAGCCTGAAAATCCATGTACGCGTCCACACCAAAATCAAACCCTACGAATGCGAAGTCAGCGGCTGTGATAAGGCCTTCAACACGCGATACAGGCAATAATAATAGATATATATATTTATATACATTATAGTTCATTGGCTTATCAGTAATATCATTATCGTTGTCTGTTAGATTGCACGCCCATCTGCGACTGCACAATGGCGAGACATTCAATTGTGAAATGTGCCAAAAGTGTTTCACGACTCTCAGCGATCTGAAGAAGCATATGCGCACCCACACTCAGGAGCGACCCTACAAATGTCCCGAGGATGATTGCGGCAAAGCCTTCACCGCATCACATCATTTGAAAACGCATCGGCGCACGCATACCGGCGAGAAGCCGTATCCCTGTCAGGAAGATAGCTGTCAGAAGTCATTCAGCACATCGCACAGCTTGAAATCGCACAAGAAGACGCATCAGCGCCAGCTGCTTAGCAAGGGGGGCAACAAAAAGAAATCGAAGCGTGCGCAGAAACTGCTGCAACAGGAACTGCACCAGCAACAAGAGCATCAGCAGGAGCAAGAGCAACTGGAGCGGGAGCAACTGGAACAGGAGCTGTTGGTGCTGCAAAAGACAGACGACATGGTGCTCTTTAATCCGGGCAGTCAGAGCTCGGAGACAACGAGCAACGATAGCGGCGTTGTAATCCAGCAGTTGGCCAATGTTTGCTTGCTGCCAGAGACATCGCAAGCGTATCCTTTGTCCTATGCGGCCGAGGAGGAGATACCTAGTCCATGGATTGATGCCGGTGTGCTCGTTTCTAAGCCCATTATGCCGATGGCACCGTTGACCGATGCCTGCGTTGCACTCGCCACTGAAATGCCCAGTTTTGTTGATTTGAAACACACATTTGGCAGTGCTGCTATCAGTGGTGGCACCATGGAAGAGTCAACACCACTCGATGTGGAAATGTTGAACAGCACAAATTCAAATCCAACAAATGCAACTGGCAATCTGCCCACACTGGAGCTAAATCCGCAGAACATTGAGGAGCTGCTGCGCGACGATAGTTTTGACAACGATGAAGATATGGAAACCGAATCCCTGTTGAACGACATCCTGATGACCATTGATAATAATAGTGCGCTGCTGCAGGCGACACTCCATCAGGCAGCCCAGGTGCCCAGCGATGCATCGGGTCTGGTCGAGCTGGACATAAGGGACAATAAGCCGACACTTAAACAGATTACAGCAGATGCGGGCATCTGCAATTGCACTAATTGCAAGTGTGATCAGACCAAGAGCTGTCATGGCGGTGACTGTGGTGCAACCAACAAATCAACCACCACTAGTCATAAACCCACAACAACAACAACAATACAAACGGCAAACAGCAGCTCGAAACGCATCTGTGGCAGCGTTGCCAGCAAAAAAGTGAGTAGACGCGATGCGGAAATAAATCAGAATATCGAGGATGTTGCTTTACTGCTCCAGAATTTGGCTTCCATGAGTGGCGCAAGCAGCAGCGCTGCTGGCGGTGGTGGTGGTTGCTGTGGTGGTGGTGGTGCTTCTACTGCTCCTCCTCCTCCAGTTGCAGCAGCTCCAGCCTCGGCTTGTGCTTGCTCCACAGCTGTATCCAAGCCGGCGCCAACTGGAGGCTGTTGTGCTCCACCAGCGCCTTCGCCGCCCGTCAGCTGCAGCTGCTGCTCCTCCAACTCTGGAGGCTGCTGCACACCAGCAACAGCACCGCTGCCGCCGCCGCCTCCTGTTGCCAGCTCCAGCTGCTGCTCCATGAAAGCACCGCCGCCGGTAATCCACAGCTCCACGACCGCTCTCAAGGGCAATGCGTGCACGTGCAAGAGTCCGGCGGAGGGCGTCGCCAATGGCTGTTGCGTTGTCATCTGCATGAAAACATTGCAAGCCCTGCGCAAAGTTCTGACACGCCGGAACCTCAACCTAATGCTTTGTCCGCAACAGAACTAAATTCGCCATCAAAAAAACAACAACAATTTCTACTGCAACAAAGCCTTATCCAAAGAAATTAATCAAGTTTCATCATCAAGTATTGTATTTGTGTGTGCCTATTGAAAAGTATTCCATGTAAAGAAACAAAAAAAAAAAAAACAAAATAAGAAATTTTATTATCATAATATTGTTACTGTTGTTGTTTTATGCCGCTAAGGATTGAAATCGTTGGTTAGCTAATTTTGTTAAATAAAAACCAAAAAACCTAAAAAATTGTTAACTTGTTGAACTTAACACACTTTGAAGACGCCTTAACTAAAACCAATCGAGCAACAATCAAAACACACATTTAAAGCTTTAATCTAATGCTTCAGTAACATTGTCAAGGATCTTCTTCGGGCACTTGATATTTTTACCCAACAATATTACTCTTAACATTTGTATAAAAAGTTACAAAAATGCTTTGATATCAACAAAAACAAAAGTGTTACACTCGGCGCGCCGAATTTAGAAATACACTTGCAGAAATGATATGCATAGATATGGAATAGCATTAGTTTTTCATAAGAAAATTGATTTTTCTAACTAATTTTACCTTTGGAATTGGGGGTAGCTATGCTCTACTTTATATAAAAGTAGATTTTTCATTTCTTGATTTGATCTTTAGCTGCAAAGATATACGATATAGTAGTCCGATTTAAAATGAGAACTTATACTCTATTCTTGGAGAAGAAAACATAATTTAAAAGAAAAATATTATTTTTAACCATCGTCCTATTGGCAGCCATATTTATATATATATAAAATAGTAATCGAATCTGATCTTTAAATTTCATTGGGGCTACCCAAGACAGCATGACAACGAATCCATATTTAAATGCAATCTTCAACTGCAAGTGTATAAAATAAAAATCTTAACAAAACACAATAAATGCAACTTTATATGCTTTATATTACTACATAAATACATATATTTTATATCTGACATAAAACATTTTGTGTATAAAGTCGAATAAAAAATATAACTAAAATTGTTGTTTTTTTTTCCGTTTGTTTATAATAATAATTGCTGTTATTTATTGTTTGTTGTTGTTGTTGATGTTGCGTCTGCTGCGCCTTCGCATCCGGAATGCAGCTTTTTGTATAAAGCGAAAAAATGTTAACTAAATTCTAAAATGAGAAGCGCTTAGGCGTTCAACTCTCCTCCTCTCTATGAATATATATATAAATATATACATGTATGTCTAATCCTCGCCAGCTGGTATGGCTTCCTCTAGACGTCGCACGAACTTAACACGCAACTCCGTCACATTGTCGCCCTTCAGCTGATCCTGCAAAGAAATCAAAATCAATATGTGAACGGCTCGAAGAGACAGCAACCACAAAGTATTCCACACACGCAACAAAAAAAAACACACAAAACACACAACATATTATTTAAAAATAAACTGCCTTTGAACAATAACATATATATATGTATATATATACCTGAACAAACCAGCACTGCACCTCCAGCTGGACCATCTCGAGGGCACCTCGTATACAGCCACTGAGTATGGCGCTATAGCGTAAATTGCTCAGATCTGTGGGCAGCTCAACGAACTCCGTCAACGGATTGGAATCGAAGAGTAGCGAGAACTCATCGGATGCCGCCGACCAATTCGATATGGTTGGTTGCACACTCAAATAGATGCGAAACGCCTGCTGGATGCGGTCCGCTGTCTCCCGCATCTCCAAACACCTCGGAGCGGAGGTGCGTGCCAGAAAGTCCTCGATCAGGCGCATGCCCATATTGTAGCCAATGCGTTCCAGCTGCTTGTTCACATCATCCACGTTCTCAAAGTCGCGCAGCATTTGGGTAACCAGTGCACCATAGGTGAGCGTCAGGAACTCCGAGTTCTATAAGCGTGTGTCAAATGAAAAGAAAATGCCAATAATAAATTGTACAAGAAAACAAAGAGAAATCGAACCGTATATGAATAATTCAGTTGTTCAGGCTATATCTAGGGATATCTAAATGTTGTTGTCTTAAAAGTGATCGCTTGTAAATGCTTATATTGAAGTAATTATATTTTATTATCATTTTAAAATCTCAACTTTGCCAGAGAGAAAGAAAAGTATTTCTAGAAAATATAATTAAAATCACAGCAAAATTCAACCGCATTTTCAAGCGTTCACTTTTAAGGGTAACATTAAGATTAACTATGAAGAGCCATCCATCCACGTTCTAAAGGCACACACAACACATTTAAATAAATACAAATTTATTTGTATGCAATTGTGTACAAAGTGACCTGAGCTTAACAATTATTGCTTAAAATTAAGTTTATCTACAACAACATGAAGCATGATGTTCAACTGCAGCTTATTCCGATTTGATGGCCGTGATTGTGATGCTCGGCGTTTGGTGTGGCGCTATCAGTTTTGGTGGGGCACGTGCTGTGCCCCGACTCAGCGTTGCACCGCCACTCGACGCCAGCGGCAACGTAATGCCATCCAGCCCCCCAGCATCGCCCTTCTCCTGGGCGGAGTGAAAGCGCCCACCTTCGCCACGGGCTCGATTCATGGCGTGCCGATGACGAGATTCATGTAGATATTTACAACGCTCCTTGGGTATACGTGACTCCAGTTTGGCCCGCGCCTGCCGTCTGATCAGTATGCGTTTGTATTGCTTGGCATTCACATACAGCGGCTCCTCATCTGCCTCACCCTTGGAGTTCTCATCCTCGCTGTTTGTATTCGTGCCCGTCGTGCTTGTGGAGACATCCGCCGACATGCTCGCATTACTTGTGGCAGTTGTAGCAGCCGTTGCGGCTGTGACTTGCAACTGCGACTGCTGCTGTTGTTGCTGTTGCAGTTGTTGTTGCTGTTGTACAGTATTGTTGCTGGTTGTTTGGTTTGCATTGCTGGTGGCAACATTGGCGGCTGCCGTATTTACCGCTGTCATTTGTGGCACCATTATGATCTGTTGACCGCCAGTTGCTTGCGCCTGGCCCGCATTCGCAGTTGGTGCCGCCGTTATCTGCACCAGCTGCCCATTGATATTGAGATAATGTGGTGCGGGTTGGGCGGCCACAGCGGCCGCTGCTGCTGCTGCGGCTGCTGCCGCCGCATTCGGATCCAGTGAGGTGAGTGTGGGAGTCTGATAGAATATCGTCTGGCCATCGGGCAGCTGCATCACTTGCATCTGTGGCTGCTGCTGATGCTGCTGTTGTGCGGCGGCGGCCTGCAGCATTATTTGATTCGCTTGCAGCGGTATCAATTGTGGTTGCAATCCACCCGCACCCGACGCACCACCCACCTGTCCCACAGCCTGTTGCTGTTGGCCAATTATGATTTGAGCGCCGCCGCCTGTCATCATGGGCATCGGTATCACCTGTATCGGAGGCTGTTGTTGTTGTTGCTGCTGTTGTTGTTGTTGTCCGGCATTTGCAACTGTTGCCGTTGCTGCTGCTGCGTTGCTTGCATTTGAATTGTTGTTGCTCGTCGTATTGTTGTTGTTGTTGGTGCTGCTGCTGCTACTTCCACTGTTGTTGTTGTTTGTGTTGCTAGCGGCGGCTGCGTTGCTCATTTTTGGAGTTGCTTTTGTTGGTGTTGCTGGTGTGGCTGTTGTTGTTGTGCGATTACTGCTAAAATGGTTATCCATAGCGCGCAGGTTGCGCTATTTATTGTGTGTGTTTCGTGTCCCTCTCTCAGTTAAACACTTACTGTAAAAGCGTAAATATGTGAAGCCGATTTTGAGGGTGGATGGCATCTTCAATGTTTCTTAAGTAGACCAAAACAACTAGGCTTACTAGGCTAACTAAATTCGAGCAGCGTTCGCGTTGTACTTGCTACCAGCTATTTACTTACCACTTTTTTCGCGTCCAATCTGGTTGCTTGTCGCGACATCTTGTCGAGCTTTTATTTTTATTTGAAAAATGCTTCGCAAATTGTGATAAAAATTTTTTCTTCAGTGATGGGTGAGGCAGATAGTTGCGATAGTTTTTTGGAATCGATACACTTATTGCACAACTACCGATCTATCGCACATGGTCACTGCTACATGAATATCGACAAACATCCGTAATATATCGATGTATTGTCACTTTATTTTTTAAACATTCCTGGTCCAAAGTACGATTTTGCGGCTGGTTCCGCAATTACAGCGATAACATGGCTTCAACTGGACTGCTCGTGGTATCCAACATTAAGCAACTGGGTCAATCGTTGCGTAGCATTGAAAAATATGTAAACTCGCTGTACATTCACTTAAATGTGCCAGCATCAACACTTCCAACACCGCCGCCAGTCTGGGGTCGACTTATATCACAATTGTATGCCGATAGCAGCAGCTATGTGGACAACAAGCTGGATCTACGTGTCCTGGTAGCGCCGCTAAGGCAACAACACGATGCGAGGACACTGAAACTGCGCAAACCCATTGATATCATATTCTCGGATGCACATCACCCGGAACTGTGCGACAGGTTGCGATCCGAATTGAATATAAGCAAGCCAACAATTTTTCTACAGGATACAAAAGGATGCACGGATTTACAGGCAGACAGCGGAAAATCGGTCAATCAGAAAGTGTTTCCCAATGTGGTGCTTGGCGGCACCTTTGATCGCATACACATCGGGCACAAGATATTCCTCACACAGGCTGTGCTGCGCACCTGTAAGCGTCTCGTTGTCGGAGTGACGACGGCCGCAATGACAAAGGGTAGGAAAGCAGTCTTCAACCAGTCTGACATACGAATAATCTACATATTACAAGCAAAGATGAAAAGCAAAAGGCTTATCATTTTTATCTATCAATCTACTTCTAGGTAAAGTGTTGCCGGAACTGATATTGCCCGTTGAGGAGCGTATTGCTCAGCTGCGTGAGTTCCTCTTGGATATAGACAACACCTTGCAATACGATATTGTACCAATTGATGATCCATTTGGTCCGACACAACATGATCCGGAGATGGACATGATTGTGGTCAGTGCGGAAACGTTGCGTGGCGGTCAAAAGGTTAACGAAATACGGGCTGCTAATCAACTCTGTCAATTGGATATTTTTGCCATTGATATTGTGGAGAGCAATGTCAACGATGGCATTCATGAGTCCAAGGTTAGCTCGAGCAACACACGCATCGATTTGTTGGGCACACGTTGGCAACAGCCCCTGGTAAAATTACTTGCTCTCCCTGAATTGTAAATGTTTTCAATGCGCCCAATTTCGATTGCAGGCACGCCCTGAGCTGCCCAGGCGTCCCTACATCATTGGTCTGACTGGTGGCATTGCCTCTGGCAAGAGCAAGATGGCCGAACGTTTGGGCAACATGGGCGCCCATGTCATCGACTGCGATAAGGTGGCGCATGATGTCTACGAGCCGGGTCAGCCGTGCTGCGAAAAGATAGTGCAACACTTTGGCCAAGAGATACTCGGCAGCGATGGGCGCATCGATCGCACCAAGTTGGGGCCTCGAGTTTTTGGCAATCCCCAAGAGCTGCAAGCGTTAAATGCTATTGTTTGGCCCGAGATACGGGTGGAGGTCAATAGGCGACTGGCTGTACTGCGTGCAGGAGCACATGTACCCAAAGTGGTGGTGCTGGAAGCGGCTGTGCTCCTCAAAGCCGGCTGGGAGACCAACTGTCATGAAGTGTGGTCCATGATTGTGCCGGCCGAGGAGGCGATTAAGCGTATCATGGAACGCAACAAGCTAAGCGAGAGCGAGGCAAAGAATCGTCTGGCCCAACAAGTGAGCAATGTGGATATTGTGTCCAAATCCCAAGTGATCTTCAGTTCACAATGGGATTATGATTTTACGCAGCGGCAGGCGGAGCGTGCCTGGCAAATGCTTACCAAGGAACTGGAGCAAGCTGAACGGATGTCGAGTAGTCTTTAATGATTGCCAGATAAATTTCTTTTTAATTTGCGTTGTTAGTTGTCATTATTATTAATGCATTTCTGTTAATTCTTGTTTAAATTTAAGTCGAAAGTACATGGGAGCAATAATAGTTGGGATTATTAACACAAATGCTGCAAATAATTATGTTTAACGATGGCTCTCGCCCTTTTTGCCGGAGACACGTTTAAAGTCCGTCATCTTGGTGGTTACAATCGGTGAGCCAATAAAGCCAATATAATCAATTTGGGTAATATCCCCGCCGGACTGGTTGTTCTTTACAAAGATCTGTATGTTTTGTACATTCTGGAATTTCACATAGCGCAGATTGACCGGATTTCCGTTCTCCAGCTCCTTTTCCGCCAGACTGCAAGCGATGCAAGCGAAATTAATTGATAATCAAATGTGCAGAGTTTGACAGACTTACGTCAGATCCTGGACACTGCTCATGGACTCTGCCATGTCGAAGTCAATTGTACGCGGCTGATTGATGAACAGCTTGACATCCTTTGGTCCCAATTGGGGCGGCGCTTTGAACTTTAGCGAATGTATCTTCACCGCCTGATTGAATGTTATGGACAAGATGAGCTGCTCATCGCAGTCGGACTGCAAAAAGCCGCCAGCGGTGGCTAGAGCATGCTTCAAATTGTGATCATCGGCTTCATTTAGGCACTCGCACTCCTGCTTCGAGATGAACGAGTTCAGCTCCATCTATAGCCACAAACAAACGTCATATAATTAGGCTATGTGTTTTTCTAATTGAGCGGTGATTAACTTACCAAACCTTGGCCATAATCCTCTCCAGCCTCAGCGCCGCCCGAGCCAATATGTTCCTGAATTTTTGCCTCCAAACCATTAATGTCGGCGCCCTGAATGCGATCGATTTTGGCTCGATTGCGATAGAATATGAATGTGGGCATCGCTGAGACACCCTGGCCGGCAGCTGTATCCTGGCATTTGTCCACGTCCACCTTCAGAAATATGGCGTCGGGATATTTACTTGGAAACGTGTCGAAAAGGGGCGCAATCCTTCGGCATGGGCCGCACCATGTTGCCGTAAAGTCCACAACGACCAGACGGACGCCAGCATGCGATAGTTCCGTTTGGAAATGCGATTCGTCGTTAATAACACGTACTGACATATCTACTTTGAATTGAAGATGAAATGGAAAATGACTGGCAGCTTTTACAAAAAAAGCAAGATGCTCGATTTTTTGCTCGTTGTGCTTATATAGTTGCGTTACGATATATAGTATCGAAACGAAAATCTATCGATGAATGACATTCATCGTGTCTTCTATTCTTGTATCGCTCCAGCTCTAAATATGGCGTCTGAATAAAAACAAGAAGCAGAGTTGTAAAAAAAAATTATTTTGTGGCCTGCCGGAGAAGTGATGAATTTTTTGTAAAAAGCTATTAATATTTAAGCCCTTACCTTACAAAATAACTAGTTTGTAAAAGATTAACAAAATATGGATGTTCAAGCGCCAAGAGGTAAGCGGCAATTGTTCGCAAAATCGCACTGCGCACAGACACACAAGCAAAATGTGGAGCTGCTAAGCTAAAAAAAACCATTTATACTTTTGCTATTTTTTTTCGTTTTCGCTTTCGTAGATGCAAGTTTACGCAATATAATAGATAAACTGGCGGAATTTGTGGCACGCAATGGACCCGAGTTCGAAGCAATTACCAAACAAAAGCAACAAAACAATCCAAAGTTTGAGTTTCTCTATGGCGGCGAATTCGCTAGTTATTATCAATTCCGTGTGGCAGCGGAACAGGCGAGTGAGTAAAATGATGCAAATTATCCAACTAATTATTGTGAGTGTGAAACTAAACGACAATTATTTTTGCTTTAGTGCTGAAACAGCAGCAGGGCGGCATGCCAACGGGTGCTAATTATATGCAACAGCCGCCGCCAACTCATGCTCACTACGCGTCGCAACAACAGCAGCAGCCCCTGCAACAGCAACAAATTCCAATCAATATGCATGAAAATGTATCGGAGAAAATGCAGCAAGCGCAACCGCCACAGAACCTCGCTCAACAACATATGTGGCCGCCCAATGCCAATCCCGGACAAGGACCGGGACCTGGGCCAGGACCTGGAGCAGTGCCATCAGCAAATGGCTCGCCGTTAACATTGAATCTTGGCAGTCAATTAGATGCCATTCAAATGCAGCAGAATACGTTGAGGGAGCAAATCAAACAATCGGATGCGAATCTTTCCGCACAGCATACGGTAAATAAATCAGCTCAAATCGCTCTCTTCACAGGTGTAATATATCTGTACTTGATATAAACATGTATAAATATATATATATACATATATATATATATATATTTGCTCAAACATCTCCAGAGAGGAAAGCAGCTTTGAGTGTGTCCCACCACTTCCAAAATACATAGTATCATTTTCAATTGCCAATATTTTAGTATTTCCGAATGAAACTTGCTTGTTTTGTTGCTGTTACAAATTCTTATAATACCTGTAAAACACATACAATTCGCAGCTAATCTGAAAGCAGACCCTGGGAATGAATCAGCCTGCTTTTTTTTTTGGCTCTATTTGGATCCGTTTCCTAAAGCATTTTACAATAATTACTTTTACCACTTCGATAACGGATCAATAAGAACAAGAGGTATTACATAGATAAAAATTGGTTGCGAATTAAAATTCAGCTTAAGCAACCATTGCAATTAAGAGCAATTACCTTTACTTGATCCTAATATATAAGTGGCGGAAACGATTCAAATTTCTATCTTTACGATCAAAATTTTGATCGTTGCTTTTGAAAAGAAATTTCCCTTACACTTTTGTTATCATTAAACAATCTCCCAACTCTTCACATGTTTTGCACCGGGGTTAAATGTCTTCTGTGTGTTGTTTTGTTCTACAATCACTCTCGTCTGCCCCTGTTATATATGTATATATACTTTCAGCTTATACAAAAAAAAAGAAACAAGAAGCATTTTCCTTAAAGATTCACAATATTTACAATATGTTTATAAATTATTATGTTTTAACGATCGAATTAACAATTTCAACAATGCTACATTAAATTTTTGCTTTATTGTATATTTTTTGAAACATAAAACCTAAAAAAAAAAACCACTCTTCATACCAACTGACAATAAACCAAATAAAATGTGTAACAAAAAACGAACCCAAAAAAAAAAAAAAAAAAAAAAAAAACTGATTGTTAAAAACGAAACTCTCGTTTATTGTCGCATTCGAAAATATGAAAAAACGAATAACAAATCTCTTGTTGCGCGCCCAAAATAAACCAACGAAATCAAACAAAAATAAAAATCAAATAAAAAATCAAATCCAATGAAACGAAATCAAAAAAATGAACCTTTAGGCGCTGATGACGCAAAAGACAAAGCAAATCGACGAAGCGATGGCGGCGGCACAAACAACCCAACTGGATCAATTGGCCAATGAGCAGGGTATCGTTTTACGGGAATTTGATGGCGTGCTGCAGCCGATCATCGAGTCCTGCACCAAGGATAGCATCTCTGCAGGTAAATATATATATGGCCAGCTCTCCAACGAGTGTGTGGCTATAAACAAAATCAAACTAGTATTTAAATTTAAATCTATATATACATATGTTTACGTCAGTTGTTAACTTTTGAGCTAGACAAAACTGCAAAAGAAATTCAAAATTTAAATAATACTAATAGAAAAAAAACATATTTTAATTTAAAAAATGAAAAAAGAAAACATTTAAATACATAAACTTAATTTGCACAGAGACTACTGACAATCTGAGTAACCCGTTTGATATTGCAATTTTAGGCAAGAACTGGATTTTACAGCATTCAACCGACAGCGCAAAAATCAATGTCGTTTTACAATATCTTTTAAAGAAGTATGCCTCAGTTTATATATTAATTAATGATCCTTTAACATTTATTAATTACCATTTGTGATTCTTTCTTTCAACGAGTGTTAAGCGAGAAACGAAACGAAAACGAAATGATACAAAATGAAATGAAACACGCACACGAAACGCATGCAAATGCTGCGAGCGAAGCAGACAGACACACAGAGAGAGCGTGTGTGACGATCAATTAAGAGAGAGAGAGCTGAGCTAACGAGTTATCTACTCGTTGCTATATAAAATTTAATTCGTTGATTCGTTTGGTTTTTTTTTTTTTTTTTAAGAGAAGATGCGCGAATTATTTCCGCTTGGACTCAGTAAACATTTCGAGTCTTGAGCGCAGTTAGGCAGCAACAATCCAAAGTTGCTTAGTTAAGATACAAAATACATACACAACCTCAACACACACACACACTCACATACAATAACAAATACGAATCACAGCACAGAAAACACACAGAAAAAAAAACAACAAACACTCTTTGGTAATTGTTGTTGTGCCTACAGAAGAAAAAAAACAAAAACCCAAAAAAAAAAAAAAAGAAGAAATGGACAAAAATATGTTTTTCGTTTGTTAATTTATTTTTAGGGCTTTGGTCAATGGTTCAACGTTTCAGCAAAAATTGCATCTTATATATTTAGTTAATGATATCCTCCATCATTGGTAAGTTCGCAAAAAACAACAAATAGCAATAAAAACAAACCACACAACTAAGTAACAGAGCAAAAGCAATAAATCTATTGAAACAATTAAAAGTATAGGCCACATTGAAACTTTGTTGCTTAGTTCAGGGACAGATACAGAGACAGACAGATAGACGGACGAATGGACGGTCTACAGTTTTTGGGCTGGGAATAATTCACTGACCCGAACCTGACCCGTGGGAATTGACAGACTGCATCCTCAAAACGAGCAGACCCCAAAATGCCAGGCATTTTGGTTTAAGCGCAACAAATCTATTTACAGCATGCGAAAAAATATCAGCGATTTGAAGAACAATCTCGAGAACGTCGTTATTCCGATGTTCTGCGGCGCCGACTTGAGTAAGTAATCCAACAACAACAAAAATGTCCCGTTTACATGTGTTTTTTAATTTGTGCATATGTTTTCTTCTGCCTAGTTGCCAACAATGATCAGCGTCAGAAGCTGTCCAAGTTGCTATCACTGTGGGAGTCCAAGGCCAAGTTCTTTGATGCCTGTGTCATCTCGAAGCTGCAATCACCGGACTCATCCATGCAGGAGTACAAAACAAATCTGCAGAATACGCATCACGATATTGTGGCCAAGTACACCCAAAGCACCAAGGCAACGCTAGACAAGTGAGTGCATATCTATATCTATATCTATATAGTTGACTTTGAAATACATACAAATTATCTTGCAGTTATCAGAAGCAGCATCAAATCTTTCTGCAGCATGCGACTCAACAAATTGCCCAGTTGGAGCAGCAGAAGCTGAAGCTGGAGAAACAAATACTGATTGCTCAAAAGGCAAAACACCAAAAGCAGCAGGTGCTCCAACAACAGCAGCATCAACAGCAGCAGCAGCAACAGCATCAACAGCAGCAACAACAACAGCAGCAGCAACAACAACACTCGCCACAAGGCGGCAAATCAATACCTTCCCTAATGGCGCAGCGAATCAATATGCCCGGCGTGGATAAGGAGCATATGCACACGCCACCGCCGCCGCCGACGGTGGCAACACACGAACTACCAACACATCCGCAGGCAGGCAACAACATCTATGCTGGCTATCCACAGCAGCTGCAACAACAACAACAAATACAGCCGCCAACAGCAAATCACTTTGTGGATCCGCGTGGTCCAAACTTTTTCATTCCGGACATGTCAAAGCCGCCGCCAGGCTTTCCAGGTCAGGTACCGCCACAGCAGCAGCAACAACAACAACAACAGGTGCCGCCGCCGCCAGCTCAATATCCGTCATTGCCCGCTGCCGGTGGCGGTGATGCATCTGTGGATCTGGGTGTGCTAAACGCAGCTATTCAGGCAGTCATGCAAATGCAACATCAACAGCAACATCAGCAGCAGCAACAGAGGCATCCCGATGATCAGCAGCAACAGCAGCTGCAACACCAACATCCGCATCCGCACCAGCAACAGGCACAACAACAACTACAGCAACAAGCGCCACCTCCGCCGTTTGCACAAATTCCACTCAATCTGCCGTTGGAAGCTGGCGTCGATATGGGTGCCTTAAATGCAGCCATACACGTTGTGCTGCAACAGCAGCGACCACCTGATGAAGTGCTCGGCTCCGAATCGCATGCGGATCAAGATCGAGATGCGGATGAGCCGACAATGCCGCAGCAGGAACCACAAGTGCCGTCAGCGCCCTATTATGACTTGCCAGCGGGTCTGATAGTGCCACTAATCCGTCTGGAGGACTACAACTATAAGCCATTAGATCCCGCTGACATACGGTTACCACCGCCGGCGCCGCAAAGCGAGCGCCTGACAAACGCATTGAATGCCTTTTATGCGGCGCCCTCGCACGATCGTCCCAGAGATAAGTGAGTCGCTATCAAGCAATCAATCTATATTGAAATCCTCTTAATATATATATATATATATCTTTAGTGAGGGCTGGGAGAAACTGGGTCTCTACGAGTACTACAAGGTGAAGAATGCGGCACGCAAGCAAAAGGAGGAGGAAATTAAGAATGGCACACGCGACAAGTCGCGCTCACCCAGTCCCATTATCCTGGAGAAGACGAAGAAGAGCAATAAGCGTTGCTATCGGTGGGTGGAGCTCCATAAAATTTATAAATTATTGTTAATTTATTATTAATATATTAATACACTTCCCGATGCAGTTCGAAAAGTCGAAGTCGCTCGCGTTCCCGCTCGCCCAACACTCGCACTAAATCCCGCTCAAGGTCCAAATCGCAATCGTTGGAGCGCGTGCCGACGCCGCCGCCGCCACCACCACAGCAACGTAGTATGCGAGGAGGTATTGGAGGAGGTGGCGGTGCTGGTGGCGGTAATCGCAAGATTCGCAATCGTTCGCCGCGACATGAACGTGACAACAACAATAGTCGCGAGCATCGCGCAGATCGTAGCAATAACATCAGCAGCAATAACATCGGCAACAGCAGCAGCAACAATAATAATAGCAACAATGGCGCCAACAATGTTAACAATTCAAGGCGCGTGGAACGCGACAGATCGCCCACACCACCCAGTTTCTTGTAAGTAATCCTAAGCTCCCAATCTTGTAAAGCAGAAATAATTCATCTGAATTATTCTGCTCACTCGTTACGATCTGTTCTCCTGCTTCGAATCTATTCAAAATTTTAATGATCCATTTCATTTGCAGTGGCAGCAGCTTTGCCAAGCCGCAGGAGTTCATCGAGGAGACCAACAAGGGCCATCAAATGCTCATGAAAATGGGCTGGGGCGGCACCGGCACTGGCCTCGGCTCCAAGAGTCAAGGCATTGACACTCCCATTTCGGGCGGTGAGGTGCGCGATCGCAAAGATATGTACAAGGTATGCCGCGGATCAGGAGTACCAATTGACCATTATTAATTTACATATATATTTTGCTTTGCAGGGCGTAGGCAACAATCTGAATGATCCGTTTGAGAGATTTCGCAAGAATAAAGGCGCCGCATTTGCGCATCGCATGAGCACAAGAGAATACAAACCTTAGAATCCCAGAACCATACCCAGCCCCACCAGTCCACACATCCGCTCCCGCCCGCCTACTTCTGGGATTATCGCATTTCTGTTCTTTTCCTCTAGCCAAGAGAATACAATTTTTTATATAAAGCATAAAAAAAATGTTTATATTTTTTCAATGTTAATAGTTGTTAAGCTGACACGTTGTGTGCCGTTTGTGCCGCCTTGGCGTTGACCTTCTCGAGCACCTGTGTCAGTCCCTTGCCGGGACCACACTCGAAGGTGCGCGGAAAGTCGGCGCCTTGCCGCCGCTCGTAGAGCTCGTGCAGCGTCTGCTCCCATTTCACTGGACGCACAATCTGTTTGGGCAGCTGGCGGAGGATGTGCGTCGCATGCTTGTATGGCTTCCCATCCACATTGGAGTAGACGCGTATTATAGGATCTTGCAGGCGAATGGACTTGAGAGCCTTGGCAAATGGCTCAACGGCACTTTGCATCAAAGGCGTATGAAATGCGCCGCTGACCGCTAAGCGTTTCATCCGGCGTATCTTGAGAGCCTTGGCATTCTGCTCCAGGAACTCGAGGGCCTCCACATTGCCTGCCACGACCTTGCAATGGGGATACATGTAGTTGGCAATGCCACAATAAGGTGACTCCACGCCCCGATCCAGACACCACTGTTGCGCCTTGGCGCATGCCTCGCCCAGATTGGTGTCCGGGCCGTAGAGTGTCATTGCCATGGCGCCCGCTGCTTGATCACAGGCCGCCTGCATCGCATTGGCGCGTACCTGCACCAGTTGGAGTGCTTTGTCGAAGGGCAGCGCTCCGGCATAGACTAGAGCTGTGATCTCGCCCAGACTAAAGCCGGCGGTGGCCACACAACTTTCTATGGCTTTGGGCCGCTCTTCGCGCAGTTGCTCCAGTGCCGCTAACGAGGAGACCATCACGGCCAGCTGTGCGTATTCGGTGCGATTGAGTTTCTCGCGCGGACCCTCCAAACAGATCTTGAGCAGATCGTATTTGAGCACCTCGTTGGCCAGCTGAAAGATGCGTCGAGCGCCGGGAAACCGCAGCAGATCCTTGGCCATGCCAACATACTGTGTGCCCTGGCCAGGAAACAGTACCACGCTCGTCTCCTTCGGATCGATTGCTTGCCGGCTGCTGCTCTGCTCGAGAGGATCCTCTAACTCTTTGAGTAGCTGCTCTCGTTTGCTTGTTGTCGCATCGTGTGTAGTTGTTTTTACCGGTTCTGTTGTGCTGCTCCAACGGCACCAGCTCCAGTTGCCGGGCACATTTGTTTTTCTCACGAAATTGCGCGTTCTTGCAACGAACATATTTTTTTTTGGAATGCGGCTTTTAACTTAATGCATAACAGCTGTGTGTAGTGTGTAATAACTTGCGCTAGATGTCGCTAGTTTGCAGCGCCATCCAGCGCATGTGAGCCTCACTAAACGCTTATCCGTTTCTTTTGAAACACTTTCGATTTCGTTGCGTCGAACTTGATTTATGTTGGCCGAAAGCAGCTATGACTAAGATGTTGATGCTGGTTGGCCATCGGCATCAATGGACTTTAGTCATGCCTATTTGAAATTCAATCTATAAGTCATGCGTCCGCGAATTGAAATTAATTAAATATATATATTTGGGTAGAGCATGTCGGGAATGGGAATGTCGGTTTCCCATATAATGAGCGGTGTTTTTTTCATTAGAAATTCGCGCATTCCGTGTGCAGAGTTTCTTGAACTTTCTTGAAAAAAAAAAACAAACGAAAAGAGCCGAAAAATTCTTTGGCAGACCGGTAAAGCTATGCTGAAGAGGATAGCTAAAGGAGTGAACGGTGGTCCGAGGCGGACGTGACACACCACTTTCGCCCTTAGTTCAAGGAACACGCCTACCACCAAAAATCCAAACCACAACAACAAGATCACAGGCTCTCACACAAAGCCCAGCAGGCGTTGGCCCTTCTGCTTTGCCTTGTTGCTTGTTGCCAAGGACCAAGCACGTCTAGACATGAGAGCGAGAGAGATGATGACGATCAAAATGTTGATGATGATGATTGCTAGCTAATAGAACGAGAACCAGTTTGGTTTTGGCTGTCAAATTTTGAAGCGGTAGATGAGTTTGTGAGAGACTGACTGCCCAGGTATGTTCTAAGAACAAGATAGAGAGATAATAACATAAGAAAACAGATCGTTGACATGGCGCAAGTGGTGTGGTTTTTTTATATTTTTTATTTTATTTCGTCTTGATATGAAATCAGGTTGTGAAATACGTAGCATATGCACATAAATACACACATACATTTCACGTGAATTTCATGAATGAGACTTGACTTGTGGCCTTTTGGGTCCAACCGGGATCTGAACTTGGATTTTTTATAGACCACAACAATAGCAAAAAACAACGGTAATATGACAACATAAAAAAAACGTTAAAATATTTTTTTTTAAAATCATGGACAAAAATTGGAATGAAATGCATACTTTAGTAAATGCCAAAGGCACTTTTTATACACATTCTTGCTCGTTCTGATGTTGATATAAATATAAATTATTTAATTTCAGTGTTATTGGCACAAAACGTGCCGGCGATAGATACCTTTAGATTTCAAAGGTTTGCAAATTCCACAGGAGCAGCGCGAACAACACGTAGAAGCAAATATGGATGCCAATACAAATACCAATACACACACTCACAAACACACACACTGCACGTGTAATACGTCTGTAATTGCGTCTTATTTAAATGCGCACACATCGCGCATACGACCCGTTTCCGGCTAACGATAAAAAAAACTCGGCCGAATGTGTGCATTGACCGGCATCATCCAAAACACATCAAAAATATATATGCATATTTTGACTCTTTTCTTTTTTTTGAAAATGCGCATGCGTATGCATCTGTTTTTTTAGTGCACTACTTAAAGCTGCAAGTAAAATAAGAATACAACTGACTGCCAGCAAATGTAAATTTTTATTAAGAAATAACTGTTAAGCGCTCAATGTCAGTATAACGTCAATGCGGCTGCAGCAGCACCTGCTTCCCTTCACTCTGCTTTGTGCTTTGCACTCACGCAGAGTGTACCGAAACAGCAAAACAACAACAACAAGCGTAAAAAGCGAGAGTGCACTTGAGAGATGAGATGAGATGAGAGAGAGTGAAATATGTTGAGAGAGAGTTCAAAAGCTGTTTGGCCTTGCGCATAGGTTCTAAGTGAAAGCACAACACATGTAATGTCTTTGTGTGTATGTGTAACAAATGAATTTGAATAAAGCATATGGCGCATGCGTAAAGCTCGTGACGTTTTATGAATGAAGTGAAACAAACACACACATACACATAGCTATACGTATATATGTTCGAATTTCACAAAGTCAAAAGCTGTGTGCGTGAGACTACTCATGTTGCTAACGGAATTCCCCTAGCAACAAGGTAGCCGCCAAAAGTTGGCAGTTGGCTGCTGGCCACGCGCTCACTTTCTCCCAGAGGTTGACCGCCAAACGTCGTTGGCTTCCTCATTACATGACAATTACGATTGATATTACAGTTTCAAGGTGCTTAGATTACAAATGATCGGCACACGTTTTAAGGTTTATCAGCAACAGCGCGCATGACTCAGCAAAATCTATGGCAATTATGTTGAAATAGCCTTGGCATTGACTAATAAAAACAAATCAAAAAGATACCAATTACAAGGGGAAAACATTTAATTAATTGCCAACGTCGTCGTCGGCGCATCCTTCCAAGTCTGACGTCGGCCCGCTTCTAAGCACACAATTTTATAACCGACTTAAAGTTGGCTGCGGCGCGCCTTTTCGCTTACGCATGCGCTCTTTTTTTTGTTGTTTTTTCCACTCCTACTCAGGGCGTACACACGCCGAACACACATGAGAACCCGAACCCGAAGTCGTCGCTGCTGTTGTTGTTGTCGCTGCTGCTCCTGCGCTCTGGCATTTATTTGCATATATTGCCCGTATAAAAGCTAACAACATTTGGGCGAAGCTTTCATTTGAGTTCGCAGCTTATCAGGTGACGGACGACGGGTCGGTGGTTGTTTTTGTGTTGCGTTCATTTACCCTTTACATTTACCCGCCAACAAATATCATATATTCGTTTTAAAAAAACACGTATACGCCGCGTTGCCACTGGGGCAAGTGAATACAAATTTAAAGTGCAAACGCATCAATTACAACAATTGGATTTATAATAATATAATAAAATCTACAAAAATGCATTCAAAGGTGAGTTTTATTCAGCAGTAAATCAAAAACAAAAAATAGCATAAAGATTCAATAGTGATGACTAAAAAAGGCAATTGCAAAGCTAATGATGAAAATTTCCCACTATTTGCGAAATTATAAGCATAAGCATTTTTGATTGCCTTTTTTGGTTGTTTATATTTTCGATTACTGAAAGTTGTTGCTGTTGTTGTTGGTGCTTAAAGAGGGGTGTGTACCCAATGGAAACCTGTAACACAACCTGTCTGTGGGCGGGCTAAAAATAAAAAGCAAATGCGCTTTTGTTCTCAGCAAAGACACTGGGCGAAAATAAATAAAGCATAAGTGTAGCGCTCTCTTTCATCTTTGTTATTGCTCAATACGGAAATGCCTTACTGCAAGAGAGAGTGAGAGACGGGAGAGAGGGAGAACGTGCTCGTTATTACATAATTTCCCACTGTAAATTCGGGGAAGTTTTGCTCATTAAAAATGCCATTTTGGGCTGCAACGACTTTTAAGTGCGCTCCAGTTTTATGCTTGCCTCATGACTTGTGACCCAGTTTATTGGCCCTCCCCCCCTTTATCCGCAACCACCCCACCACCCAACAAGGACAAGCAGCAACGTCAGCGTCACGATCTGATAAGCAGCTGGCGTCACTCAAAGTGGTTTATCCACCACAAACATTTATATATAATTTATACATTTGTTGTATATTGTTAACACACATATAAGCAGTTGATTCTGAGCTGAGATTTATATTTAAACAACTTATTTTAAACATATGTGTTCGCCTTGCAGTTCAATGTGTGCCGTTGCCTGCTGCTCGCCGTAATCCTTGGCTGCTGTCTTGTGAATGAGTCACAGGCTTACTGCTCGCTGGACGAGATGAAAACGTTTGCGATGGAGGCGTGCGAGCGACTGTTCCTACAGGATGAGGGCAGGGAGCGACGGTCCATAGACTACAGTGGTCATCACGAAAATAAACTAGCACGTAAGTGTATTCAGCGACGCTTAAATAAGGCCACAGAGTCAGTCAACCCGATGTGCATTGAGAAACGGAATCGGAAACACAAACACACAAACAATTCATAATTAATAATTCAATAAATAATGCAGTTCCGATTTTAAAGCTTGCCCGTTTTCAAGGCAAGCAAGTTCAAGTGGAGTCTTTATTAAATACTATTTTTTTTGTATATGATTTTTATGCGCTCTTTGCAGATGACAAAATGCATAAGGATCAGCATTATATTGGCAGGAGTAACTATCCGCGCGGTGGCTATCTCAAGGTCAGCAGGGAGCACTACCATCGCCTCATGCGACTGGATGTGATGCCCCGCTATAAGCCACGAAAGCAGCACCAGGACAAGAAGATGCGCTTCCGACGGGATAGCTCCAGCAAAAGCTACAACAACATCTCCTACTGCTGCTATCATCATTGCAACGAGGAGTTCTTCTGCTGAGACGAGGAGCAGACAAAATCATTCCAGCGACAGGAATTCCTTTAGAAGGCTAGTCAGCAACTGATTCCGTCCTTAGATCTATCCTATATACATATTATAATATTGACATTATCCACGCGCTCTCACTCTCATAGAGTAGGTACCTTAATTTGTTGAGACCACCAGCAAATCTTGCCACAGTATTAAACAGTAGAACAATTAATAAAGTAATAAGTTTGTTAAGCTCCTAGTTCATAAGGCAATGCATATAAAAAACACAACACTAATTAAGTATAAAGTATTAAATACACTACGCTAAGCCATACAATGAAAGAGTTGGTTTCTTGAATGCAGTTCGTTAGAGTATATCCTTGTTAATCTTGCAAATCTGCAAGGATTTGACCAAATTGAAAACATTTTTGTGAGAAGGACATTCGACTTTATGTCATTTGCAGATACTGCTGAGTCCTGTGTCCAAAATGTTGTTATCACCAGAGCTACTCACTGGGCAAAGGACATCCAAATCGTCCTTTAAGGATTTTTGTTTTCGATTCGAACATACAATGTCCTTCGAAAATAGGATAGGATATGACCGACATAGAGGAATTTTTTTGAAAATGCAATTGTCCTTATTCATTTTCGTTTTTTTTCATTTGATCCTAGGCGTACGCCTCTGAATTTTAGATATTTTCAAGCTAAATATCGAAATTTATAATGTTGTTCACCGTAAAAATATCCTTTAAAACTGTATATTTTATGAAACAACTCTTCACAATCGCGTTTATTTTCCAGCCGGAAAGTATGCTCCGCTTTCAAACATTTGATCTCACACTATTTTAATGACCCTGGAAGTATGCAATGCTTTTGATTGACATACTAATCACAATCATCCTAAAAGTATGTTGCATTTAATTTATAAGAAATGCTTTTGCGCTCTGAACGATTTACAAAAAACCAAAGTAACATATAAAATGAATCAGTTTTGCTTGGACACAAAATGCACGGAGATTGGGAATGGCCCACGCTATAATTCCACAGCTGGAGACATGTTGCTCACCGGGATAAGATATATTAAGGCATCTTGATTGAGAAGTTAGTTTAATTGAACAACTTGTAAATATTATTCGAGTAATAAGGCCGTTTACTTAGTGATTCTGCAAATCAAATAACATTTCGTTGCTTAGTCGAATCGATTGTAAATACATGTACTTAAATAAATCTAAATCTCATGTGTGCTCTGGCATATTTAAAATATCCAAAAATATGTAACATTTGTGCGGTTATTCGCATATTAAAACTCTTGTACGTTGATAATGATAAAATAACATTCAATATATAAATTCTATACATCCATTATATAATGGACACCATGACAATCCGCACACTTGATACGACGGCTGTGCTGTTCGTCCAGCGGCCGCATTGACTGAAAGTACTTGGAAACTATAGCTAGAATCTCATCACGTTGACTCTCCAGAAACTCGACGGTGAAATTCTCATAGTTGTTGACGCACTGCATCAAAATGCGATAGAGCACCATTTCTGTGGAGAGAAAGGTGTGCAGGGCACGATCAATGCTATCCACATGCTTTTCCAGAAAGTTACAGGCCATTTGCAGAATCAGCTCCACCGACCCGACACAAAAGTACTTGGCCAGTGCATCGAGCACATCCAACAGGCTGCCCAAGTTGCCGATGTGCTGGACAAACTTGGAGCCAAGCCAACTGGTCAACTGATTTACATTCAAACGCAATTTGCCCACATCATCCAAGCTGACCAGTTTGGGCAGCAGAGCAGCACCGACAGCACCAAACGCTGTGGAGCCCTGCTTCAAGTTCCGATGAATCTCGTGCAGGCTGAGAAGCACCTCCTTAAAGGGTATATCATTAAAAGTGCGCACAACATCAAACTTTTTGCCTCCACCGGCCACATCGCTATTCAGTTTTGCCGACTCCTCAACAATCTGGCCAAAAGCTTTGCTGCAAATATGAACGAACTATTATATTAAAGTCGATAAAATAAGTATATGGAATAATAATAATACCTGGTTTGATTTCGTACAGCGTCTCGTAGAGCGTTGCCATTTGTTGCCTTGTTGGCTATGCGCAGATTGTTAATCGAGTGCGTAAAGATGACCAGACCGGAGGCAATTTGGAGCACATCGAGGCTGCTCAGCGGCTGATCATCGCTGATTTTCTGAGAGCCAAAAATAAACAAATGTATAGCGAGCCTTAGTACTTATTGTTAATAAAAATAAATAAATAAGTAATAAAATAAGTAGTTAAAGTTTAGCTTGAGTAGCACATCGAACTGAACAAATATAAATACTAAGAATAAAATTATAATAATAATTAAATAAATACAGCGCAGTTTGAATGACATATCGAACTCACCAAATATATATCGTAGATGCCATTGGCCACACCCGTGCCGGATAAGACAATAGACGACACACTGACGCTCTTCACGGCCAACTGAGTCGTGGCATTGATTTCCGTTTGTGCCACTGTCATCGCTGTGGTGGCGCCAGCCGCACCCAGCCCAACAACGCCGCCAGCCACATTCAGCCAACTGTTGCGCGCCTCATTGTCCACCAGCGATATAGACTGTTTGTGCTGACGTCGGTCAAATAGTCGTCCAACCGAGCGCACTGTGCTATACGCGGCTGACGACACGCCCACAAGGGTAGCTGTCAGTAGAATGGGTGCCGCCACAGGAAAGGCGAGTGCAGCAGCAATGGGCACCGTGGCAGCCAAGCCACCAACCGTGGCAATGGAATCGCCAGCATTGAGTATTTGACGATTAACACGCGAAGCCGGTGTGGCAGAGAGCATTAAGTGTACGCCATGGTCCTGATCCTTAGTGAACGTATAGATGCCCTGGCTGGGCGCAACCATTGTGCCCCGAGGCAACGTATTGTTGAAGATATACTGCCGCCAATTGGGATAAACGCGTCCGTGTTCATCAATGAAGATCATGCAGCAGCTGTCGCTATTATCGCTATTATCCTCCCACATGCATTTGCGTGTCCGGATGACGGGATGACAGCTAAAGCTAGTTGATTCTAGTGCCAACTCCGGATCCTTCTCACTGGTGACCAGCACATAGATAATTGCCGATAGCAGCATTCGATTCGTATATTTCCTCTGTTCCCAAACATTCTCGAACAATTTCTGGCGCTGTCTTTCCAACGTTTTGCTCAGCTTGGTTACATTCTGGCCGATTAGATTGGCAATCTTTTGCTTGAGAACATCAGCTTGATCGGGCGCAAGTCTATCAAAGAAACTCGCCGATGACACATCGATGATAACAACAAAAAACACAACTTACGCGTCCCAAATAATTTGGGAATGGAATCCACAGCTTAGTGCAAAATCCCGCTGCACTTCGTACACAGACCTGGTCATCCTTGGAAGACAGGTTCATTGGGTGGTTTGAAACTTAAATAAACATAAAAACAAGCCTAGACAATATGTTCGTTATTATTTATTTTGTTGTTATGACAACTGCGTTGTGCATCGGGCAAATAAAATTTATCACATATGGCTGCTTTGTATATGTGTTTGTGAGTATCGAAATGAGTACACAGATGAGTACATGTTGATCCTAACGGTCGATATGTATGTTTATCGTTCATGTGGTCCAATTGTACCAAAATGTATCCTCTATCCATTGGTATAATTATTTTGAATAAGTGAATTTATATATTCTTTGTATACATGTACATATATAAAATTAGTGTTTGCTGCTACAAATTATTTTATCGCAGTGGTTGCGCGCATCACTTAAACGATACCGAGTATTATTTACAGGGCTCACAATTCAAGTGAAATTTGACCGATAGCTCAATGTCGGGTAATCGATACTTTCAGTATAGAATGATTTTGCAGCCCTGGCATTTTGTTTATAACTAATACGCGAAACCGCCGGACGCAGATTGCGCTTGAGTTTATGACAATTAGCCGTTTAAATTCAATTAAAGCAACGTAAACAATCACTAATACAAGAATAAAGTCCGCCAAAAACCAACAAGCAAACTGCACTTACACGCAATTTACGTAAGAATTAAAAAAGTGCGCAGTGAAAAACAATAGAAATTGAACAACAACAGCGTTGTTGGCCAAAAAACTACCCAACGAATACGCACGCACACATTGCCGACGACGACATTAAGAACAAACACTTGCATATACATATATACATTTATATATGCGTATATATAAAAATACATATATACAGTGTACATTTGTAAGCCGAAAACCACAAACAATTGACATTGGGTCAGTCACCACCTGTTTGTTTATGGCGGCGACTCAAACTAGCAATAATTGTTAACACATTGGGTCCGTGCCTTTGTCAGCTGTTGTTGTTGCTGCGAATTGTTTATAATATTAGTAATCATACGTATGTACATGCATTGTACATAAACCCATGCGCAATTGACATTCTCGCTGGTCGCGTGTCATCTGAATATATATTACTTATTTATGGCTTCAAATGCACAGCTCGGAAAAATCATTTTGTTGAGCGCAATTGCCGTCTTTTTTTACTACTTTTTTTGGGTAGCGATTCTCCCGTTTATGATACTCGATGAAGGTGAGTATCAAAACAAAACTCAACGTATGTGCGTGTGTGTATGTGCCTATGTGTGTGTGTGTGTGTGTTAATATTATGTTTTGCTTTTATTAAATAATCCGTGGTGTATCAGCATTTGACTGCTTCTCATTCTCAATTTCTCGCGGCTTTTGTGCGGTAATTAAAGTGCCGCAGATTAAATTCGCTTCGTGCGACAAATATATATATAATTTATTGTTATACATATGCGTTTGTGTGTGTGTGTGTATGATGATGATGAAGGTATGTTTTCGAAATGGTAATTTGAGGAATTCAGTTTGACCGCAGGGGTTGCCACAAATGTTTTCAGTTTTTTGTTTTGCCAATAAGCTGGCAAAAAGAAAGCTTCCCACTTTCCAAACTTTAATGGCGCTTTTAGCTCATTAATAAGTCTTACAAATGTTTACGTTTTACAGTAATCCGTGTATAACAGCAATCTGTATAACACATATAAGTAATAGAGTTATACGTATAACTGCAATTGCTCGCAATTGTAAGTTTTTGAAAATTAGGATTATCTTTGAGTTTAATAAAAAATCGGAAAATGTATTTTGAGTGTTATATAGGGTATTTGCTAGTCTAGCAGTGTTTTTGTGTTTTTCGTTTACCTGCTTCAAATATATATGTGCATGCAATTGAGAGCAGTCAATGTCAAGGTCGTTGTTTTACATGTTAACTAATCCTCCCGTCTGCCTCTCCTTCTCTCTCTCCTGTCTCTTAGGTAATCCCATACTTTCGTTATTTCCGCCGCTGAAGTACGCATTCATTGTGCCCACAGTATTTGGGGTCATCTGCCTGGGCGGCATTGCCGTATTCTCCTTCTATCACATTTGGAACATTACCCACGCGAAGCCAACAAATTGAAGGTGCTGATTGCTGATTGTAATAAAAAGCGTGTATTTAAAAATAAACAACAAATACACTCACACAGACAGAGACACACACACGCGCACACACGGATGAGCCACGTCAGAATAGGTCACGGCACTGGATAGATTATACACGGATTGGCAAGCGTAAAACAGACGGCTGCTGTTGCAAATCAACAGGCTGCTCCAGTCGGCAACAAGATGCCACAGTGGCTGGTCATTGGCATTTCGGGTGTCACCTGCGGTGGGAAGACGACACTGGCACATGGACTCCGTGATTATTTCAAGGGATTGCGCAATGCACCGCTCTGGAATACGCCGTATACGATTGGCGATGTTCAGCTCATTTCACAGGATGATTACTTTCTGCCCGTCGACGACAGACGGCATAAGCGTGTCGAGAAGCTGAATGCCATCAATTTTGAGCTAATTACATCGCTGAACACCAAGCAAATGCTGGCGGATATAGCGCACATCATCAATGGTCAGACGGAGCACAACTATGCTAATTTCGAGCACTATGCCCTGCAATACCAACAACAACAGCAGCAGCAGCAACAGTTGCAACAGCAGCAACAACAGCAACATCAGCAATATAATACCAATTATTATGGCAAACAACACTTGCCAGCTGCTTATCAATATCAGCGACAGCAACATCAGCAACATCATCATCAGCAACACAGGCAACATCATCCGCAACAACAACAGCAACAACATGCGGATCACATTATGCGTCTCAATATCAATGCACAGATTGCCGCCCAGCTACGTGACAAGAAGATCAATGTGCTCCTCATTGAGGGCTTTATGATATTCAATCAGCCCGAGGTGTTGGCGCTGTGCAATCTGAAATATCATTTCCATTTGCCCTACGAGAAGTGCTATGAGCGTCGAATTAAGCGCACCTATGATCCGCCCGATGTTACTGGGTATTTTGAGCTGTGCGTCTGGCCGTACTACGAGAAGAACTTTGCCGAGTATCGCGAGTGCAAAGATATCACCGTACTCAATGGCGAGATAGCCAAGGAGAAGATCTTCAAGTTTGTGCTGCAGCGGATCGTTCACTATTTCGAGGAGCGTTGCGATCCACCACCACCAGCCACATTGCCGCCGCCAGTCGTCGCTTGTCCGCCGCAACAGAAGCGTTTCGACTGCATGCTCTACATGGGCACGGTGGCCAGCAATAACAATCATTTGCCCACAGCCTGCCCCATGGAACAGTAGGCAGGGCAGTTGGTGTTGCCATAAATCCATTTATATATATACAACATGCATATATAGATAATTATGTAAACATTGCGAATTATTTGTGTAATTGCAATTCGATGTACATTCAAACATAGTTTTACCATTGTAATACAGTAGTCGCTCGACATATTAGAACGCAGAGTTTTATAGAGATATTATCTAGATCTATTTCTTGAAAAAGTATGAAGAATTTAATTAATTCATTTAATTGTGAACATTTTATATAAATTATTGTAAATTAAATGAATTTTCCTAGTGTTTTCACACGAAGATTTCGATTGCAACAAAAATGAATAATTATTGCTACAATTATTATACTTTTAATATTGTATTTTCAATAGTTCTAGAAGAACATTTAATCTTAGGTAAAAATGAAAAATTAGTCATTACAAATTATTATAAATGAAAATATTTCTGTAGACCACTTTTATTTGGTTTCAAATATTATATTCAAATTCTACTTTCTTTAAAAAATAATCTACGATTTAATGCATTAAAAATTGCTTCTAATTTTCTTAAAATAACCATTTCTGCAAGTTCTAATATTCAAGCGACCATCTATAGGCAAATTTATTTGCCATTAGCTAGTTTTATTGGTAGAATTGTTTAAGCCAGTAGTTTAATATAAGGACACACATTCTCTCTGTAACGACTATATATATATAGTATTTATAGTCTGGTAACTGATTGTGTAAAATGTTTTGAAAATGGTTCAGGAATTCATATAGCTGTGCTAATTAACTACTAATAATGTGTAATAGCAAAAAACAAAACTGCGTATTAACTGCAAAAATCACATGAATGAAATTCAATATTATATATATATTATATGTATGTATGTAACTTATACACTCTCTAGAATTAGTTTAACCTCTGGGTTCAAGGAGTGTACTCATTTTATGGCCAATTTAAAGCTTAGCCATCTGTAAATAGTGTACTATATATATATATATATTAACTGTTTTAAAAATTATAGATCTAAGACTTTGGACCTCTGAAACTAACACTAATTTTTTTTCTTGTGCGAAACAAAACACACAGATACACACACACACACATACAGATAAGCCACGAATAAAAAATATATACATATATGTATATTCACCCCTGGAGAAAAGAACGAAATCATTTTTGCATTGCTAAATTTATGAATTTTATTGCATTTATTCTCTTGGGTCGACATTGAAGAGAATTGGAGCAGGCGTAGGGGGTTTGAGTGTGTGCCTCAGAAGACAAGAAACGGAAAAGAAATAAATACATTAAATATAATTAAGAAAGTATGTACGATTATTAAATATACAGTACTACTTGTCGAACGGGCGGGTTTTTGGCTCAACATTTGATATTATTGATAGATTGATTAGGCGTCTGTCTTGTCTTATTTGCTGCATGCACAAAAATTTATTGCCAATCGTATTTTTTTTCGAATGAGTTAAGTTTGGTGCCGGGGCCTTGTTGCAATTGCGGCTGACTTGCGGCATTGGTTACATGATGGTTGCGATTATATCAATTGTCAACTTTATATGCTTAAGATTATGTTAATAACTTTATGCTTAAATATGCTGCCGAGTTAATGCTTCCGATCCAGTAACAACAGCTACAAAATAAGAAAGGAGAACGAAAGTTACTTAAGGATATTTTTAATTTTTATGTAAAGATTTGGAACATAGTTTTTACCACGCCCCCTACAAATATCTAGAGTCTATATGCCGTACAACTTTATAGTATTGGTTACCAAATCTGTTGAAGAGTTTTGAAGTCACAGTTTCGGAGTCTTAGTTTTAGAGTCTCATCTCGATTCACAGTTTTAAAGCAATAGAGCTGGTCTCAGTTTTAGAATCACAGATTTTAGTCACCCAAAATTGAAGCTCTTGTGTTTCGCGGAAAAGATTATTGTCGAGTTGGTAAGCTTGGTTTTCTTGGCAGATCCTCAACTTTAGAGTGCGTCTATATACGCTATAGCTTAATAGTCTCGTTTCCTCAAGTCATCTTAAAAGTCACCGTTTGAGAGTCACTGATGTAGTCTTAGTTTTAGAGCCGCAACAGTTTTATGGCCACAGAGCTGGTTTCTCCTTATGATTCATAGATTTGAAGTCTGCCTAAAATGAGAGCTTGGTGTTTCTTTGGCAGGAACTCACCTTTAGAGCGCATCCCAGTCGGTTTGACTGTTGTACACCTCCTCCTCGAGCCAAACGGCATAGTTGGCCTTAAAGTAATCCGTCAGCTCCACCTTGCGATCCCACCAGCCCGAATGCCCGAAGAAGGCAAAGTCTGAATGGGTGAGTATCTCATCGCTGGGGAAGCCACCTTCGACGCCATAATCGTGCAACTGCTGCTGCTGCTGGTGCTGTTGACCACTGTTGATGGTGCCACCACCACCACCACCGCCGACACTGCTTCCATTGTTGCCATAACCATTGGAATCCCGATCGCCGCTGCCGTTGCCCGCGTGCATATTCGATTGCTGGGCATTCTCGGCGTTCTGAGCAGCAGTGCCATTGTTGCCACCACCGCCACCACCAGCACCACCACCGCCACCGGCGCCACACTTTTGCGTCGCCTCCGGATAGCGACGCAGATTGAAACGATCGACGCAGGCGCGCAGTGTGCACTCCTCCGCCTGGAAGTCCCACGGTCTCGACTCGAGATCATTGCCAAAGGCCCAGTCATCGTTGAGGCGATGCCGCACCTTCGAATAGATGGCACTCAGAGTCTTCATATTCGATTTGCGCCACTGACGCCCCAAATACTTGGTCTGCATCTTCAACAGCTTCAGCACATACAGCTGCATCATGGCATGGCGCACCTTAAGGGTCTTCTTTAATATCGGCGCCGATTTGAAGACGACCAGCATCATGACACGTGAATGCTTCCACTTGATGAGCTTGTTTAAGATACGCAGCAGATTGATGCAGGAGAAGACATTGCGCCAGGAATAGGGTTTGTCGGACATTTCGCCGCCATAAACGAAACTATCGCCACTCAAATCCGGTTGCTCGCCAATCACACACGATGGGAAATCCAGCAGTGGTATCGAATTCTTTGTGTTCACATATTCCGTAATCGTTTGATTGAAGAACTTGAGCACCAACGGTATACAATTGGCAAAGACCAGATGCTGTGACATGAACTCAAACTGATACACATGATTGATCTTGAAATGCTTCAGATAGAGCAGAATAATTGCCGAGACGGCCTTCACAATGATCTCCTTGTGGCGACCCATGTCCACAGTTAGTTTCGTCGATTGCGTAGCCGTCAACGGCATCTTCTTGGGCAGCACATCAGCCATGATGTTGATGCTCTCCGTCTTCGATTTGGATGTAGGCGAGGCGGCGAGCAAGACTTTCAGCAGCGCAATCATATACTGCGGCAAGTTAGGCAGTATGGCCTGATAGAGGATCTCGGCGGGCGTCAGCTTGATCTCGTCCTCGTGCGTTGAGATTGGATTCCGTGCAATATCCTCCTCCTTCTTGATCTGCATGTCCGCTAAACTGACATACATGTGACGCTGAAGCGTCTTGAAACCCTCGTGAATCGGTTGCGGCAAACCCGCCAGACTTTCGTGATCCCCAATCAGAGAGTATCCGATGAATTTATTTCGCGATATATCCAAGAACTGATCAATGTCCTTCTGGCGCACCTTGGGCGTCCATGGCAGACGCGCCGTTATCTGCATGGCCGGCATTGCCGGCGTCTGTTGTGTAAGACTTGGTTGATTGTTGGGATTCGCTGTTTGTGTGCCGCCGCCGCCATTACCACCGCTAATGTTGTTGCTATTGTTGCCCGACGTGGAAGCAGAGGGATCATCAAAGGGCCGATAGTACTGGGAGAGCTCATCCTCGCCATTGCCTGTATTGTTGCCGCCCGTCGAGGAGTTGCCATTGTTTGAATTGGGGCCACCCTCATTGCCCGACATCTCCATGTCGATCTGCTCTGGTTCGTCGAGGAAACGTTGCTTCATCAGCGACCGTCTGTGTGCAAATCAAAGAGTTTCATTAAAGTTTAAATTAAAAATTAGAAACTCACTTGAAATTCCGCTTGGGATACTGATTCTCCAATATATCCGTTGCCGTTGCGGGCGGTGAGCTGGCGCGCATGCATTTGGTGACCTCCAGCGTGTCCTCGGTGATCGGATCCAGCCCGACCTTGACTCTGTACTCGTTCTTGAGATTCTTGAGGACATCCATGCCACCTAAGCCCAGCAGCGACACCTTCCACAGCAGCAGCACAACCTTTTTCATCGGAAATTGCGGAGCAGCGCCGCTACAGAAGCGCGTAATCATCCCCAGCAGCTTGACGGCAAGCAATTCGCCATCGGGGAGTGGACTATTTATCTCCTGGACAAAGGATTCGGCGAGTTGTGTGTAATCCTCGCTGGCCTTCTCACGCTCATCGCGAATCGTCTCTGTGATGATGTACAATACGGAAAGGATGACTCGTATATCTGTGGAATCGACGAGGGTGACATTGGTGATCTTCACCGCCACAATGTCGGGGGAGCAGGCAGTTTCGATCTCCATGTTGAGCAAATCAATGAACGAGGAGAACACGCCCAGCTGATAGAGGACGATGACATTGTCCCTGGTATTCTGATGCTGTTCCTCATCCGATTGCACCTCGGCCCAGCATCCTTGCGCCAGATAAAGGATGCAGCGTGCCGCCTGCATGCGAAACGATCGATCCGACACCTCCAATTGATCGACCAGTTTCATCACAATGCTCCGCTGCGAGGCGGCATCCTGTTTCTGCCAATTCGGTGGCAAATCGTACAGTTCCATTTGATCTTCGAACGCTTTCACATTCATTTGGAATTCACTGAACTCTGTGTAACTGTAGAGTTCGGCGATTTCATTCTGATAGCTATCCACATCGGCATAGATGAAATCCAGATCGGGGCCATCGCAGTTGGCGTCCACGTCGTGAGTATCCTGCTCGAACGAGTTGTTTATGGATGAAAGCATCATTTAGAGGCTGTTCCTATAACTCTCTATGTGTGTGTCAGTTTCTATGTGTGTGTGTGGTACGTATGTATGTGTGTAGATATATATGTTTGGAAATGTGTATCCTTGTGCAGGCAGTACGGCTGCAAGGAGCATGCCTTCTCGTCACTACACTGTGCCAATGTAGCGCATAATACTATTTATGTGCTAAACACTGCATTTCACTATTAATTTTGCAAACATAATTATTAAGCCTATCACAAATATCCAGCACAAAAGAAAAATTTACAAGTGTGACCAAAGCGTTTTCGCTTTGGCCCAAGTATCGCAAATGCAGTTCTATCCGATAGTTAATGTTAAGAACAGCTGTTCTGTAATGGGCTCTGTTATGATTCCGGTTAACAGATATTATACCGTATTTAAAGCTGTATTTATTTTAAACCATATTCCAAGTAGGTAATTCTCCTAATTTTAGCTCATTATTAAGAGCAGTTATCAACTCATTGCATAAGCTGGTTTCGGTTTCATAATAAATTACAAAAAGCAGCTAACACTAACAGCGCCCACAACATTGAAGAGAATGTTAGATATGACATAAATTGCTATCGAATTGTGCCCACTGGCACCGCCACTATTTATTTGTTTCCGAGCAGTGCCGGCATCAGTTTTTCCTTGAGCTTTCACACATAAATATTACGAAATAAGTAAGCTGCAGCATTTTTATCAAATTCTTTCATAAATCACAGCACATATCTAAAGTGCAGTGGGCATCAGAAATCAGTGAATGAAGTGCATAGAACTGTTAATTGGCATAAGCTGCTGCCTGCTGCCCGCCTTTGCATATCAGCATGAGATTGCAGAATTTGTGGCGACCACAGTTGCCACCATCTCCAAACAGAGATTCTCTCTGTTTCTCTCGACATACACATATATACTATGTGTATCGAAAGTAAAATTGTGAAATTGTTCTTGTGAATTGGCATTTGCATTTTATATTCCAAAGGAAAATGGCTGGTCGTTCTTTGGTGTCCTTTATGATGGGTGCTCTGGCTACAGCCTTGGGCACTTACATCTACTTAACAATGCAAGTAATTACACACATAAACTCTTTGTCACGCACTACGACAACAATTTCCATCTACTATAACTTTAAAGAGTTTGAATTTGTTTGCATGCTTAGTTAATGTGCCACATGGGCAGGGAGGGGCAACAGTAAATCCAATTGACGTTATATCACGCGTACATATGTTCTTGCCTGAATACATTATCATATACAGTGGTCCTTCGATAATAATAATCTACTTTCGAAAATGTTTAAAAATGTTTGCTTGATTTATAGAGAAATTCGATTTCCAGCTATGAATACTAAATTGGACACAATTTTTTATTCCAGTCACTATTGTAATTTGATTCCGAAAAAACTACATTTTAAACAATTATCATATTTCTGATAGTATTCGCGTTCGGGTGATTACTGTACTGAGTGCCGAGTCATCATGATGTGACTTTGACCTTCATGAATTATTTACTTGTGATTTGAGTGACAGGGCAATTTGTTTTTTTTAACTTATCTTGGAATTTAAGCGACTAATAAACTATATTAGAGCCGTATTGATTTCAGGGGTTGGTCGCAAATTGCTATTAAATATGAATATCAGGCTTATTCAAAGCATTGGTCAACAAGCAATCAGGTGCGTCAGGCTCTCAACACTAACAACGCGTAACTTTGGAGCAATTGCTGGGAATCAGTTGAGCCAGTTGAGTCCTCGCTATTGCGTTGTGCTTTTGCCATTTGTCGGCGTTGCCAGCAGTGTTAATTGCAGTGCAGCGGAAACAGCAACGAAGAAACAACAATACTCAACAGCAGCTGCCGTGAGTAGTTGTTATTTGTGTTTTTGTTTGATAGTAGTTGTTGATATTGTCGTTATTCGACTAACACTCTAGCTAATCACTAACACCAGTGCGCTCTTGCTTCTAATCCTTTTGGCCTTTGTTCTTATCTAAATTCTGTTTCTGTGCCTGCTTGCCGATCTCTCCCTTTAGCTGTTTGCTTTTAACTAATCAATTTGTTAATCGTATTTTTCAGCTCGACATGTCTAACGGGGATTACAAGAACGCTGCGTCCATTTACGAGTTTAACGTCAAGGACACTCATGGCAACGATGTCTCTCTGGAGAAGTATAAGGGTCAAGTCGTCTTGGTCGTGAACATCGCCTCCAAGTGTGGCTTAACCAAGAATAACTATCAGAAATTGACCGATCTGAAGGAGAAGTATGGTGAACGTGGATTAACTATTTTAAATTTCCCATGCAATCAATTTGGCTCTCAAATGCCAGAGGCTGATGGTGAGGCAATGGTTTGCCATCTGCGCGACTCTAAGGCGGACATTGGTGAGGTCTTTGCTAAGGTATCACAATTGTTAATCTCCTATAGTCATTTACAACTAATAACTAATCAATTGTGTCTCCACAGGTTGATGTGAATGGCGATAATGCTGCTCCTATCTACAAATACCTGAAGGCCAAACAGACCGGCACATTGGGCAGCGGCATCAAGTGGAATTTCACCAAGTTTCTGGTGAACAAGGAGGGCATCCCAATCAATCGTTATGCACCCACCACCGATCCCATGGACATTGCCAAAGATATTGAAAAATTATTGTAGATTTCGACATGTTTAGTATATAAGCATTATTTAGCTCATTTTTAAAGCTTATGTCGGTCGCACCATAATTGTTGACTTTTTTTTTGGCATACAGCTTATTTGTTTAGCTCTGGGCACATGTAGTGCATGTTTTTTAAAATTGTATTTGAAATATGGTTTATATTCCCTAACACGCTTTTTAATAAACGCAATTTAATGAATTATATTATGGACTTATTGTTAACTTACATCCATGATGGCCAGTCGTGCCAAACGATGGAGTTTGGCCACGATATTCACGTTCATAAGAAGGCCGGCATTCCGCAGCAAATTGTGGGGTATCCAGACCATGTCATATTCGGGATTCGTCATATAAAAGTATATATACCTATATATCGTATCGGTGAGCCAATGGATTATATTTTATGTATATGCACGTTTAAAAAGCAGCTGGAATTTTGATATTTGTAATTTGATAATATGACAATTGTTATATGGATAGAATAGATTCCTGGAATTTTGTTGGTTTTTGTTTATTTATTTAAATAATTATGTATTTTTTGGGTGCAATTAATCATTAAATTAATTAGTATTTATTATTGTTTATATAAGGTTCATATATATTTATACGTATATATATATATAGATATATATATAATTTATATATCGACTTTGTTTTCGCAATTAGTTTTCATCTTTTGCTTGGTTTACGCGCCCGTTTTAAAACCGTTATTTAACCATTCTCTTCATTTTGTCTACTAACGCCTACTGAGTGCTTTTTCATTTAGTTCAACTCGTAAATTTGTTTTTATTTCTTTTTAAACATATACACACACAATTGTTATTGATTTTATTTCTGTTACATACATAATATATATATATATCGTATTCCGTTTTAGGGTTTAAAATGAAAAAGAAAATATATAAACGTAACGCTTTTCTATTTACTGCACAATAAAACACAAAAAAAACACTAACTGTCGCTAGTTAGAATATTAGTTATTAGTTAAGTTTTTAGTCATACGTTTGTTTGTTAATGTTTATATGCATATGAGGTGTGTGTGTGTGTGTGTGTTGTGGTTTTTGTGTGTGCATTTATGTATTCATTGTTGAACAAAACTCTATCAATTATTAAGCAATTGGCGACATATTTATACACGCTACGAATATTGCTAAAAATACCTGCACATTTGTTTTGAGTGTGTTTTTGTTTTCTCTCTTTTCTTTATGTTCTTCTTTCTATTTTGTTGTAATGTTCAATTTATTTTAATTTGGTGTCCTTTTTGGGGCAGGTGCTTGATTTTATGTTAATATATATGTATGCATTTATTTTGTTGTTTAACAAGACAATTACATTCAGTAAGTAGGTGCTTATTATGGCTTACTTACTTGCCGAAATGCTTGTCAATACGACTTTGTGAATGCTCTTTAATTTTTATTAGTGTATGGCATATGAAGTAATCATCCCTATATATATAGTTAAATAGTTTAGTATATGCATTTATGTATGCTCTAATTAATTCCCTCGTTTTTTTTTCTTTTTTTTTTGGTTTTTGCTTGTAAATTAATAGCCAAATATCATTTTATTTATAACATTGAAATATACATATATAATTTCTTTAGCTGTTTGTTTGTCAAATTAAATATATAGACATAATTAACAAATTGTGTGACAAGCGCTTAATTTAAATCGTTGAACTGTTTTGGTTTAAATTTGCTGTTAGTTTTTCTTTCTGGCTTTCTCAAAACTGCTGAATTTTCTTCAACTGAAAATTGCAAATTATTATTTATTGTATATTTTTGCTAAATGTGGTTTTTGTTTTATTTCATTTGACTACTACTTATTGCATTTTAAATATGTTGCACATTAAACTTGTATGTATACATTTATTTAAATTTATTTCTAAATAAGTAGATTGTTGTTCTGCTTTTCAGTTTTTCTCGTTATCTTTATCTATACTCTTTTTTTTTGGATTATACATTTCAAATATGTTTGGTTTTTGTTTTTTGGGGGGTATCCTTTTATGCGGGAACAAAAGCTTATATTTTGTCTACAGCAAACTTTGCTTAAGCATTTTGTTCCGAAAGTCATGCTTTTGGTTTTATTTTATAATCTGAAGAAACTGAGTTCAAAGAGCTGCGAATGCGAACATTTTGGGAAGCAACCTGAACCTTGCCCAGCGCTGGCGCTCCTTGTTGCCAGCACAGAGGGGTATTAAGTACAATTTATATATATATATATATATATATATAGTTTTTGTTTTATTCATATATATATATATATATATATAGTAATTTTTATATATAAGTATATGCATGAAATAATGTAACCATAAACAAATTAGCAACAACTTTAATTTGCCCGGAGCGTCTTTTTTTAGTTTTGTATTATATTTATTATTAATGTTATGAGTCATAATTTACTTAAAATGTTTTCCTTTCTTTTGTTTTGCGCATTCTCTCAATTTTGAATGACATCGTTTTTAGTACAAGCTTTACGTAGAAATTATTATTTTGGTTGCAATTCTCGAGATTTTTTCTAGTTCAACTGAGTTTGTATTGTTTTTATTTTTTTTTTATACTTTGTTATTATTTGTAATCGAGAAACGGTCGTGTGGCGTCTAGAATTACTTATGCCCCGCCATGATCCGAATTGGCCACGACTCCAGTTCCAGCCCCGGCTCCATCATCGACTAGCGCCGATTGTCCTCCGGCGGGTGGCTGCTGTTGTGGCGGCGGTGGTGGTGGCATATACTGCTGCTGATACGGCGGATACTGCGGCGGCTGCTCGCCCCCTATGAGGCCTAGTTTATCTGTGAGTATGGTGTGGTTGTGTGTCAACAAAGAGAGAGATAGAGAAGAGCAAGAGTAAGTCAACCAGCAGATGAATGAGTTTCTTTTTTTTGGGATTTCTTTGACAAATTACACTGATACGATAATAATACACGATAATACGTATACGCCAAATATATATATATATATGTATATTAATGTATAATACACTTCAATGGACTTTGGAATATTTTATAAGAATTTTGTATAGAGCTGCGTCCAATACAACTCTAATTTATTTACAATTAATTATACAAGCTGATTCTAAGCGTAGAAATTTTCATGTTTTTCCCAAACCGGCTCACGCATTAGTCTGAATTCGGTGCCCTCTTCAACTGTTTGGTGCATTAAAACTGAGGTAAATTGTCCAGATATGGAAAATATATGTATATGCACTAAGCAGACAGTCTGCTTAGTGGTATATGTATACAAGGGCGTACGCAACATTTCACAAAGGGGGAGAAAGTGTGGGGATAATAGTTTGAAAGCTATACCTGCCGGATCGGAATATTTAACTTTTCGTAAAAATTCTATGTACAAAAATCCATTTGAATATTAATTATAATTTGCCATCTAGATTCACACAGCTTTTGAGTTTAGAAATATTGTATCTCGAAAAATATGATATTTAAATTTATTCAGATGCAAGGGTCTCTAATCTTCGGCATGCGTAAGATATTAGGGTTATTAAGTATTAGGAAGTTTGGGTTACTCCGCCTCCCCCAGATCATGTACGCCCTCGCATGTATATATTTAAACAACAACACCAATAATAAACACATATTTGTAAACGATAATGAAATTTGCGCACGATAACTTGCACTCAACACACATGCAGATAAAATGATAATCGATAACATATCGATAAGTGGTCATGTTAATTTTTGCTGTTGGTGTTGCTTACAGTGTTCGTTAATGGTTATTATATTTTTGAATGTGTAAAATGGTTTTGATTCTGGTTCAATTTGCTGTTGTTATTGTTGTTGTTATTGTTGTTGTGCTGTTGGGTGGTTCTTTTATTGTTGTTATTGTTGTTGTTCTGGTTGTTGTTGTTGATTGGTTTTGTGAGCGTTTTTTATTGTCCTGTCGCCACGTCATCCGTCGGACTCGGTGGTTCATCGGTCAATTTCTCAGCCAATGGAGTTTTCTCGAGTGTCGTTGGTGGTTCGGATTTGAGTGTGTGGTGTGGTGGTGCTGATGCTGATGCTGGTGCTGTTACTGGTGCGGATGCATGAACCTGCTGCAAAGCAGGAGGTGGAGAAGCAGCAGCATCATCCGACATGAAAGGTTCTACGAAAAATTTGTGAATATGCAACATTTTTTGTTTTGTTTTGTTTTTTCGATACAGTACAAGCCATTAAAGTAGTACCAAATTATCATAATTATTTAGTATGTGTTTGAGTGTGTGTGTGCGTGTCTGTGATCGGACAATACTTAACAAAATCAAAAGTAGCTATTAAATGATTTGTGCACCTAGCAATAATATTTGCATTTTGAAATATTTTGCTTGTTTTTACCTCAAAAAATTATAAAATTTACGTGATTTTCATTTTGATAATTGATTCTTAGATTGTTAAACAGATTAAATATAAAGCTAAAAGCTTGCACAAATTATTCTTCTTCGTCTTTCTCTGTAAATTGGTGGAGAAAAAGTTTGGTGAGTGTAACAGTAAATGTGGGCGTGGATGTGGTTGTAGAATTTGGGCGTGGATTAAGTGTTAGAAAATTCTCGGTGTTGTGTAGAGAAACAAATTGTAACGATGAAAAGATTTGAAAATCATATTAAAAACTTATAGAAAAATTGCAGTACTTTATGCGTTTTGCTGTTGGACCTGAGTTTGAATTATGTTTCAGCTACGTTTTTAGGTAGTAAGTTCGAGTATGTTACAAAAATTGTCTATCGAAACGAAATCAAATATAAACTTTAAACTTTAAACGAAACTCTAGACAAACCACAAAGATTACGGATTAACGGATTTACGGGTTAAGCTATAACTATATATGTATGTATATATATAGTATCCCAATACAATATGAACCAAAATAGTTCCTACAAATTACGGGTACAAATGAATAAATCGTTTAATTTTCACTAGTGAATGATTAACCACACTCGAATTACTTGATTAGCGGACAGGGGTTGATTCAGGGTAAGCTGCTTTTCAAAAATATATCAACCCAAACACATATAAACACACATATACAATGATACGATAATTATTACAAATTATAAAAACGTAAACAAAAACAAAAACAATAGTAATACATGACCTTAAATCAAATTACCGAACCTGGTGCTGTATGGTATCGTATGGAACCAGATGATGTTGAAGTTTTTTTTTTGAGATAGGTAATACTCTTTTTTTTTTGTTGAATCGCATGATATGCTAAGTACATTTTGATGCTAGTTTGCTCGATGGATCGTTCGTTATTTGCGAATGACAACAATTTTGGGGGAGAATTTTCGTTTTGGCGTCAATTTCAAATTCAGTACAGCAAGCGAACGATCATCAAATGACTGATTGTTGGGTTGATTTTTGTTAGCATTGCATTTGTTGTAACTAAGTTACTAAGTAGTAGTAGTTTCTTATAGCTATATATATATTTTTTTTTTATTTTTTTTTTTAGCAATCTACATAAAGTTACCTAGAGAAAAAAACGGTGACGGAATAAAAAAATACAAATAAATTTAGTTTTTGTGTGTAGTCAAAAATTAACGCAATTTAGGCTAAAAAGAAGTTTTCAGTTGAACTATTCAAAATCAAACGAAAGTAAAAATGAAATATATACTTTTTTTGGATTCTATTGGATAGAGTTGAGTTGAATGTATGTATCTGTTTGTGTTAGATTGGTTGATTGTGTCTCTGGTCGTGTATTGGAAACGAAATAGGAATTTCCGCACGAAGAACTTACTTGCAATAATGCCAACGATGACCAGTCCAATAACGCCCATGATGATCATCATCTGTAAGTGATAGAAAATTATGTTAGAATGTTCGAATTAGAAATGTTGTTTGGCCGACCTTCAAGTTCTGCAACCAGAATTTTCGTTTTAGTTTGCCCGCCTGTTGCTCGAACTGCGAGGCGCCCTGTTGCAAGGCATCGGCACGATCATCCAGCTCCGACAGTTTGGCATCCCGTTCCAGCACCTTCTCCACGTTCGTGCGCATTATGTCCACGACCTTTACAACAGAGAGAAATATAAAAAGATATAGAGGGAGAGAGAGAGGGAAGAGATAGGGAAAAATTGAGTCAGAGCATGCCCAGTGTTTTTTTCTTATATTATTAGTTGTGCTTACCTCATCGACTTGAGCCTGCGTCTGTTGCAAGCGCTTTTGTGCCGCAATTTGCTGGGGATTGCGTGGTCCCCCAACAATCTCCCCATCAGCACCCTCGCCCGCCGGTGGACCATCGGCTGGGGGTGCATCGCCAACTGGTGCAGCATCCGCCCTGCGGAGCCACAGAGAAAGATACATATATCCCCATTAGTCATCAATAATAATCATTCAAAAAATATATATAGCTAAAATTGCTAATCAACTCCCCATGGAGCTCTCAAATTAAGTAACTGGGATGTTCGAAGGGTTTGTATCTGGTTACGCTCATGAGATGTGGTTTCAACATTGCAAAAGATACATATCTATATGTATGAATGTGTGTGCGTGCGAGTGTGTTTGCTACACAAAGTGCTCGATTTCTAGCCGGGCTCTACTCTTAGACCAATTGGAGGAGCTGGGCACTTACGGTTCCTTGTTCTTGTCTTTCTTGCCCATGCTTATTAGGCGGCGTACATAGAGATAATAGTAACAAAATAATAATGAAATAAATATAATTGTAAATACTTAAAGAATGAAATGAATAGCATACTTATTTGGGTTAACGTGCACTGTTAAACGCACAGCTAACAATTAAATGGAAAAAATAACCATTTCATTTGCATGACTGAGTCATGATGAGGGCACGAGAACTTGTCTTTATCGATTTTGCGGTACGGTTGCGGGAAATTGCCATGTGATGCGACGTATACGGACATCTGTACGGACATTTGGCTGCGTCTATTTGCCTTGCCAACAACAACAAATTATGGCAACACAAAGAACGATAAAACGCTATCGTCATATTGACAGTCATAATGCATAATTTGGTCAACTATTGTTTTTGTATGTATATATATATATTCCCTCTTATTGTGTGTGTGTTTGTGTGTGTACACAAATAACATTTCTTTTGTTTGCGCGTGGAAAGGAAAGAGAAATCAATAATTTCCATTACTTACATTGTTTTTTCTGTTTGGTTTTGTTGCTGTTCCTTTTGTTATTACAACCGCTGATGCTATTGCTGATGTTGTTGTTGTTGTATTAACCAATTTGTACGTCGAAGTGTAAGTGCGATGACGGCGGCGACTTTGTTGCCCGTGTCCGTGTCAGTGTCCAGTATCCCGTTGACTTTTTTCTATATATGCACTTGCAAAACGTCTTTCACTTCAGAGCGTGGGTTGTGGATGGGGGCGCGAGTGGGGCGTGCTTGCTGGGTGCAGAGCAACCTTTTGCTATTCGTTGTTTTTGTTATCGATGGCTAAGCGCTCTCCTCTCTATCTCGCTGACCGACCGTAAAGCACTGCTCTCTCAGGCGCTCTCCTTTTCTCTCTCTCTTTTGCTTGTAAGCTTATCGTCAATGAATTTGGCGCTCTCAATTACCTCTCAACGCACGCTTACACAGACAAACACACGGCACCTCCTCAGCTGTGACGGGGGCACTGGTAGGCAGGCAGATACGAGAGTGTGTGTGTGTGTCTGAGAGAGAGACTCTATGTGTATGTGTGTGTGTATATGTGCGGATACCAAATGCCACGACGACTTGCCTTTTGCAGCAGCAGCAGCGCTTCAGTGAAGGAATCTTCTTTGCCTTTTGCGTTCGTTCGCAACTGTTTTGTGGGGTAGAGTATATAAATAGTTGTAACTATTTTTAGTATGTATGCGAATGCTTATGCGTTATGTTTATTCTAGATCGAATGGCGGCTTCAAATGAATGAAGCACGCCCACACACACAAAACTTGACTGGAGGCCTCTACAGTTCCTCATACTTATATACATATATACATGTATATACAAATATTAAGCAACATAATATTTTTGCATACACCCAGGCGCACCTTAAAGCACTTTTAAAGCTTTATTTTAATTCATACTTTGTAAATGCGTTTTGAAATTAGCAAATTAAATTTGCTTTTGCAAGGCAGAAAAATCAATGAAATTTTTACACAACACCATTTGTAGGTTTTCGGCAAATTTCCAAAGCATTCTTTTTAATAATTGCTGCAACTATTTCAGAGCTGTAATCTGTGCACTTAAGGCATCGCAGCACTTATTTCAAATTGAAATAATATATATATTTTTTTGAATAATAAATGAATTAGAATTTACGCAGCACAATGAAAATTTTCACTTACGACGTTTTTTAGCCAACTGCGAAAACTTGCAGCTTTCCTAACTGTTATGTGTATTTGGGGAAAAAGCTCACAGAATAAGGACGAGACCGAAAGCTTCGGAGAGTGACAAAAAAGTATCGAGTAGCTTTAATATATAATAACGAGTACAAAATCGAATAGATTCCTGCTGTCCGATGGAAGATGAAAAGGTGGATTCACAGAGGTTTCCTGAACTTGGTCTGTATCCAAACACGATACATTTTAAGGCAACGCCCACGATTCACCTGTAGTCTCCTGTCCACAATAAGCTGCTCCTCGACCAGACCCACTTTGGTGAACATATCTCGTAGCTCTTGTTCCGTAAAGAAATACACCATAGTTCCATCGCCGCGCACATAGAAATTATCCTCCAGACACTTGCCGCTCTTGAAGCGCAGCTGCGCCAGATCATAGCGTCCATAGTCCCGAAACACGAGCAGTCCACCAGGCTTGAGGAAGCGATAACAATTCTCGAGCACACGTTGCATTTTCGATGGTTCAATGGCTGACAACACAAAGATCATTACGATAATGTCCTGAGAGTCGGCCTCGAAAGGCACCTGCCACCGCTCCTCTGTGGCATCCATGACAAACACCTCGCAGCGTTTGCCATCGAATTGCGGCTGACTGCGTAGAATTTCGATGGCGCGTTCCGAGAAGTCACAACCATACACCTTAAGCTGAGACTCGCAGCTGTACTGAAGTATGGGCAGAATGGTGTTGCCAACGCCGCAGCCCAACTCGAAGATGCTGCGGGGAAGGGATTGCTCTCCGGCGGCCATGGGTGCCAGCTCGGGAAACTCTGTGAAGAGCCAATGGCGATCCTTGAAAAATCGATTATCGTGAATCCCATAGAAAGAGTCCCAGAACTTGGGCGCATCGGATTGAAAACGCTCTCGCTGATCCTCGCTCATTTTCACGGTGGAATTCTGCTCAACAGCCGCCTGAGCGGCTTGCTCCTGCTCCGCATCCCATTGCACGTGATCCCTGTTGAGCACATTTTAGTAAGAGAGTACTCATTAGTTGCTCAATTGAGTATATACCATGCATTAAACTCGAACACCTCGCGCGCATCGCTGAGTATTCGTTGACCAGCTCCGCTCGGTTTCTTGCGCTTGCGGGTGTGTTCCCAAGTTTTGCTACTGATATATTTACCAGGCGTTGTGCTTGAACACATCGGCATCGTCCTTAAGCAGACGTGTACCAAACTGCGGCCGCTTCTCATTGTCAACGCTATCATCTAAAGGCAGAATTGTTTCACTCATCTCAGAATAAATTCACGTTGTAAACAAACAAATGTGTTGCGATTCCGACCATATGGTACGTGAGGTGGCCAGACTGTTAAAATTAGGCATGTGGCAGCACTAGTTAAGTTGTTGCCTATTGGCAGGCCGCCACAATCTATCGGTTAGTATAACAAAACCGCAAAATAATTTTTGTTGTATGCGTTGTTGCTTTCTGCAGCAAATTGAAACAAATAAATAAGTCCAAGGAAAAGCGCCAACAAATTGCAATTGCAAATTGCCAGCAAACATTGAATTTCGGTGTGTGCAATTAAAAAATTCGAAAACAATACTTTTCAAAATGATGAACGAGGCTGCTGCACTGGCAAACATGATACCGTACGACACAATCGGACTCTACGAACAGCCCAAGCCCCGTTTCATCTTTAAAATGCCGCGGGTGGTGCCCGACCAGAAGTCCAAATTCGAAAGCGATGAACTCTTTCGTCGTTTAAGTCGCGAGAGTGAGGTACGCTATACGGGCTATCGGGAGCGCAGCATTGAGGAGCGTCAGGTGCGTTTTATGAACGGCTGTCGTGAGGGACACACAGAGGCCAGTTTTGTGGCATCGGGCACAAATCTACAGCTGGTGTTCAATGCCAATCAGAATCCGTACCTGCACGACAAGGAGTGCGATTTTGACAAGGAACACGGCAAGGTGCACATCAAATCCTATTTCATTATGAATGGCGTCTGTGTACGCTTCCGCGGCTGGCTGGATCTGGAGCGTCTGGATGGCGTTGGTTGTCTCGAGTATGATGAGCGGCGGGCCATGCATGAGGATGCCATTTTGCGGGATCAGATCGATCGCTATAATCAGCGACTGCGCGATTTTGAGGATACCAAGCGAGCTTACCGCGACAATCGCCAGGACGAGATGGAGGCAGTACGGCGGGGTGTCGCCTCCGGCGGCATTGGTGTCGGCGCCAGCATGTGGCGTCGTTAGTTGGATTTTTGGACGGCATCAGCGCCGTCACAACAACAGCAGCAGCACCAGCAGCAGCAGCACCAACTGCAGCAGCAGCAACTGCAACAGCAGCACCTACTGCAGCAGCATCATCAGCAACAGCAGCATGAGACTCAATTCGCAAATACTCAATACTTTATGGAAAACTGAAAAATGCTCCAAACTAAAACTAAAAAAAAAACCCAACCTTGCCACCAAAATGCGAGATTTGATTACGGATCTGATTCGTTGACTTTTAGATTCGCTCGAATATAAATTATATATTATTATTAGTACGCGCCTAGGCTTAATCTTAGTTCTTAGTAAATTACTTAATGTATTCTTGTATGGTATTAAAAAAAACATAACATTGTAATGTGAAATAGATATTACACATAAATATATATATATATATATACGAATAAACTTACGCATATTAATTCCGATAATTCAAACGTGACGCAGATTTTTTATTTACATATTCGTAGCATTAAGTGAATCAAAGTGAGTGGAGAGGGTATATTGAATTTAATATGCAATTTGTAACGCATCAAATGTGGACTAAATTCAAATCGAAAGCGTCTGCAACGAATCAAGATACAATTAAGAAAAGCGATCAATTGAATTGAATTTGAGTTTGTGTCGATTTCCATTTAGATTTTATTGAATTGCGTTAACAATAGCTATAATTCTTATAAATAAAAAGCTGATTAACATTTCATATGATGCATGATATTTATGTGTATGTAAATATATATATTAAAAATAAATCAAAATACAATTAACGTTTTCAACGGAATTGCAGATTGGAAATGCGCAGACCGATGCAATCCTTGCCAATCTGACTGACCTCGCAAACGGTGCAGATTTGTCCCTTGTACTGCGGATCATAGGCGGAGCTGCAGAACGGACAAGTGACCTCCGGCTTGCCACGGTACAACGGTTTCCAGCTGATGGCGCATATGTTGAACGGATTGAACTCCTCATACTCCAGTCGATGCTCGTCGACGGGATTCACTTCGCACGCTTGGAGTATTTTGCGTACCTGCTGTGCCACCTCCGGCCGTGGAGCCAGCTCCAGCAGACGACGTGCAAACGATGCGCCCGTCTTATAATTCTTCAGCTTGAAGAACATATTCAGTGCGGTGCGCAGCGTGAGGATCTGATGGACTGGTTGCAGTTTGCAGTGTGTAAAATAGGCAGCCATTTCACAGAGACGCTTCTGCTCTTCCAGCGTTGATTTGGGCATGCCCTTGCGCACCGTTTCCATCTTCAGGCCAACAATATACTCGGCACAGATTTTGAGCAGCTGTTGGGCTTCTGCCGTGTCCAGTTTGGTCTCGACCACCAGCAGCGGTATACTAATCAATATGGAGTGGAATTTCTCGATGGCTTCGGTGAATTTGCCGGATGTAGTCATCTGGTAGCCAGCCTGCAGGCGGGACACCAACTCGTTCAATTTAATGCCCAACGCTGGCCGTTGTTGCTTTGGATTCGTTTCACCAAAATTGCGAAGCGGATAACCGCTGAGGGATTGCAGATTGGGATTAGCTGTGTAGCTGGTGCGTGAACAGGCGTAGCTCTGCAGAAACAGTATCTTGAAGGGCTTGAAATTGACGACGCCCAGCTGATCGTTGAGCAGCCGGAAGGCGCTATTGAAGGCACCAGCCTTCACATGATCCAGCACCAGTTGCGAATTATTGGCCCAGTGCTGAGCCGGCGATTGACCCTTATTGGGCGCCGCATAATAGTTGCTGTCCAGCGCCGAGGCTTTAATCTTCGAGGCCAATTCAAGTGGTACGACGAGATCATCATCGCCCACATCCCAGCCACCACCGCCGCCGCCCGATTCATCGTGTCCCTCATCATTGCTGAGCGCATCGTGCATCTCCTCATCGCCATCATCGTCCTCGCCCAGGCCAAGATCGGCATCAGCCCCCCAGCCATCTCCGCCGCCATTATGCTCGTCGAGAAGCGCAGCATCCGCATTGATGTTGAGCGCCTGGCGAGCTGTGGCACTGTTGCCCGCCCGCGTCACCATTGCGCCCTCAAAGAAGCCCTTGGAGACGGACAGTAAGGGCCAATTGGTCTCCAGCTGCTGGATGGGCACAGGCGGTTGCAGGAGCTGTGCATTCGGATTCACCTCCGGCAAAGTGCTGCCCTCGCCGGTTATGTGCGCGCCCAGCGATTCGGTGAGATCGCCCAGACCATGTGTGGCCGCTGTGAGATACGCCAGCGATAGCTGGCCACAATTCTTGAGAATGCTCACGCGTTCCCGCACATCCCCCAGGAGCAGAGCACCCTGATACTGCGCCGAGATATCCTTGCGTATCTCTGCAATCTTGTTCATCTTCTTGAGCTTCTCCAGATTACCAGTGATTAGGTAGAGGAAGCTCAGCTTGTCAAAGTTCTTGGTGCGTTGATAGCACATCTCGACCACCTGATGATTGCCTTGGAGTAGAGCCGCCTGTCCCAGCCGATCCCAACAGTCCTTGTCGTCGAGTGCTTTGGCCGCCTGCAAAGCAATCTCAATATTTCCACACTCCAGGGCCAGGCCAAAGCGTGTCTTCTCATCCTTGACGAAATGCAGAGCCACCTCCGGATAGCCCTTCTGCTGCAGATACGCAATGATGCTCTGACCGACCAGTCGGGCATTCCTCACCATGTGCAAAACTTCATCATATTTGCGCTGAATCAGGGCCAATTTGAATTTGTATTCCGTCGAATCGATGTGGAGGACACGAGTGCGACATTCCCGATCCAAACAGAATACCTGATTGCCCTTGACTCGTGTCAAATAGATAGGCAGATCCAGAGTGCGTATGATGCCATGATCTCCATTGGTGATGGCATATTTAATGTGATTGCTGGTCGTATAGATAAAGACTCCAGATTCATCCCAGGCGCCCGACTTGACGCGACAATTCTCCTGCACGGTGCACAGATACTGCAGCCGGCGATCACAGATTGTCACCGAATGCTTACAGAGCAGCGCCACCAGCGACATATCTGGTGACCAGACGACATAGCGACACTTAGCCAGCTTAATGCTGCCAACGGAAACCAATCGTTGCACCTCGTACAGCGTCACATATTCGGGATCACGGATGAGCAGCATGCCAGTGCCGGCATAGAAGATCTCCTCACAGAAGGTGGGTATCTTTTTGGTCACTTCGTTCTTGAAGTTCTTCACCACCAGCTGCTGATTGCGATCGAGCACTGCGAAACGATTGCGTGCCACCCAAATGGCTGTGATGCCCGAGCTTCGTTTGCTATCCGATTCATTCTGACGCTCGCTTTCGCTATCCTTCGGTATCTGGCAGAGATCATAGGTGCTATTCTCCAGATTGTTGGTACGCGTGCAGATGAGCACCGCATTCAGTGCCGGATTGTAGGACATGCTATACACGGGCGACTTGCCGGGACGCAGTTGCATCACGACCGTATCCTTCGTTGTGGTAAAGTCCAGTTTGCGCAGAAAACGATCCTTGACATAGTACAGCATATTTCCATGTACGGCATAGGCGGGACGCTCTCGTTCCAGCTTAAAGACCACCATGCCTGCAAAGAAAAATATACTCAATTGGAGTCGTTGCTAAAGATTGAGGGACTCTCCACTTACCAGCATCGTGACCGGCTGCAAACAGATTCAATGTGGGATGTGCAGCCATAATCCAAAAGCGTTCGTTGTCCCGACGGAAGGTGAACAGGCACTGGCGCTTGGTCATGTCCCAGACGCGTATGCTGCGATCCTCACCGTTCGAGATGATCAGATCCTGTCGTGGATGGAATAGCACACAGGACACATTGTTGTAGTGGCCGCGGCACGTGTCCACCTCCCACGCCTTGTACTCGTTCATGCGCCACAACTTCACGAGGCGATCATCGGCACCGGACACAATCAACGGCAGGGTGGGATGGAAACTGGCCCAGTTGACGCCACGATCGTGACCCTCGAGCACATGCTTAACCACCGCATCGGCCTGGCCAAAGAGATCGGTGGCACCGGGATGACCCTTGAGATGCTCGTCCAGACCACCGGGACCGGGTGCCACATTCTTCTTGCGCAATCCTGAGATGTCCCAGACGCGTACCGTCTGATCCAGCGAGGCGGACACAATCTGATCCTCTGTGGGATGGAATTGGGCGCACATCACATAATGATTGTGACCGGTGAGCACACAGATGCAGTTCCTAGACTGCCAGTTCCAAATGCGTATCGTCTGATCGTCGGACGCACTCAGGATCCAGGGATACTCATGATGGAAGGCCACCGTGCGCACATAATCCAAATGGGCGAGCAGTGTGAAAATGCAGCGACGCTGCTTATAGTTCCACACCTTGATCTTGTAATCATCGCCGCCGGAGACGAACAGCGGCATCTGTTGATGGAAGGCGACACTACGCACAGGTCCGTCATGCTCATCGAACTTCTCGAGCAGCGTGTGCATGCGATAGTCCCATAACTGGATGACGCCGCTGTGCAAACTGGTCAGTATCCAGGGGCGTTTCGGATGAAACGACAGGCCCTTGACACGAGCCGATTTCGACTCGAAATTTGTCAACATGTTGGCAATTTCTTCCTTTGATTGTTGTTGTCTGAAAGACTCTGTCGGTTTTTGCTTTTACTGCTGCGACTAAGCACTCCGACGCAATTTGTTGTCTAAAATTATATAGAAACAATTGTCAGCATGTGGGTCACATTTAACAATAAGAAATACACATTGAATTTCAAATTAATTAACTATTTTATGTAAAAACACGCACACAAATTGCACAAATTTTCCAAGTGACACGTCAATTAAATTCTCCAATCGGCCACATTTGTAGAGTTGCCAATGTTCTTGTTGCATGACGATTTCATACCGATATATCCCATGATAGACAAACACTTGTTCACAATTTGCTGTATAAGAATACAATTAGAAGTACCGATTGCATATCAATTATGACAGTTTTGGTATGCACTAAGCTGTAACTCTGGTTGAGGCGATATTCTAGCAGTATATAACATTGATTCGTTGACTCTGCTGCTCATCGATTACTTATATTTGAAAATATCCAGAATATATCGATACGATATTCGCATTTTAATTTAAACAATGGTAATACAGACACTTGACAACAATTTTCTTTATAATAATACAATAAGAACGCCGCTTAAATGATACAGATAACGATTGCACGCCGTTATGACAGTTTTGGCATGTATTAAGCTGCTGCTGCAGCAAATAAATTTGATTCGTTGACTCTGCTGCACATCGATAAATTATATTTCTTTTATCGTACATATATCGATACGATATTCGCTGACTTTTGTTTACAATTTTTCTTGCTGACAACTAGAAAAATGCAATTTTAATTAAACAATGACGCTTGCACACCGTGCTCTCTTCACATGGTTCATAGTACTGGCATTCCTTATACTGCTCTGTTGGCGTCTATCACCACGGACGACATGGAACTGGTTTGTGACATTTACGCCGCTTTGGTTCTTCGATTGCATCCTCATCATTTACGTGCTGATCAAATTCATCCGCAAGTGGCGCAACCTGAATCGACTGGTTGATCTCCTATTCCTCTACAAGTGGAACATTGGCGGTGTGTTGCTGACCATCACATCGCAAGTGATGATATGCATGACCCTCGAGTATCCACAACAGATACCCATCTATGTGACAATGGCACCCCTGATCCTCCTGCTCGGCACGGCCATCGTCTATGTGGGCGGCAAACTACGCCAGCGTGAGGGCTGGCTAAATTAATAAACCATATTTATATTATTATGCTTAAGCTAAGTTTATTTGTAATTGATATATAAGAATGATGAGACAGTGTTTAGAATCCGTATTTGTTTTGGGTGGCGCGACGGGTTTGCCTATTGGCCGACCACATCGCCTGCAACTCCGCCTCATTGGCCTTGGCCTTGTGCGCCAAATAGGTGATTTGATGTTTGCGTCGCGTGCCCGCCACGGGCTCCTCATCAGTGAGCACGCCCGTCGCTTGAAATGCGGTCGTCGATGCCAGCGCTGTGCGCATCCATTCCTCCCGATCGGGCATCACTTGCGCGCCGGATATGTCAATCAGTTGCATTTCCTGGGCCTCCTTGCGCCGTCGCTTTGCATTCTTGCCCACCAGTGCATCCATTGCCTCCGTATTTAAGTGCTGTTCGTGATAGCGTTTCTGGGCGAGCTGTAGCTCTGCTACCTTCTGTTGAGCTGCTGCCTCCTCGTGCTCCTGCTCCTTCTCCTGGTCCGCTAAGAACTTCTGGCTGGCTTCGACCATTTTGGCAGCACGTTTGGCAACCAGTGCGTTAATCTCATTGCTGCTCACCGACGGCAACTGTTGCTCGCTGTTCAGCGAAAAGAAATCACCAACATCAGCATCCTCATCCTGGTCGTCATCCTCCTCGCTGTCGCTGACAGTTGGCATGGGATTTGGCAGGCTTTTGGTTTGCTTGCCGGGTTGCTGTTTACGCCCAAGTCCATCGACGCCTTCAGTATTGTGCGCGGCACGTCGCAGCTTAACTGTATCTGGCACAAAGGCGGGTGCCACAGGCTTTGAAGGCACCGCAGCTCCCTGATTTTCTTGAGCAGTCAACGGTTCGGATTTCTTGGCGAAAACCCTTTCGGATTTGGCCAGTGGTAGAATGCTGAGCAGTCCACAACCCTTTGACGACTTGCCATGTTGTTGCCTGCCCTGCTGCTGTTGTTTCTCTGCCTGTTCCTTGTCCACATCGGCGAAGTCCCTCAGCGATGGTATGCTAATCTTCACGCGTCCCTTGACAGCTGCCGGTGGCTTTTCCAATGCTGTGCTACCTGCTGCAGGCACAGCCTTTTTGTGTAGAAACTCATCGTCCGCTTCTTCCGGAATAGCAGCTGTTTTCCGTACAGTCCTAGGCATAGGCAACTTGGCAAACGCTTGAGTAACTTGCTCATCCGGCTGCTGCTCCTCCTCATCTGCGTCTTTCACGTTGGCGGCAACTTTGGGTTTGGGCAGGGCAAGCGTAAGTCGGCCACTGGGTGGCCTTAGCTCTTGCAAGGACACCTCTTGCGGTATGAAATCATCATCCTCATCGCTAATGTGGCCATTGATTGCTTTTGCTTTCACCTCAACTGGCTTTGTTGTTGTTTGCAGAAGTTGCACTTGCGTTCCAGTGTTATCCTCCTCACTTTCACTTTCCTCGTCGCTGCTCGCTGCATACGCAACTAATGACATGTTAACTATTATTGCTTTATTAAATGTAAATAAAATGTCAGAACAGAAATTCAACAAAAAGTATTCAATATAGAAAGAACAGCTGTTTTATGCAAACGAGTCACCCTGTCAGAAATATTGAAACAATGCTGCCACCTAATTAAGTCTGGCAATGCTGTGAAAATTGTCGGTTAAGGTTTGAAAAAGTTTATGAGGGGCTCATTTGTTTCTAAGCCTAAATTAACACCTGCCAACAGGTAGTTTAAGAAATATTAATATTAGCGTCACTACAGCTGTCAAACGATCATAAAACTATTAAATACAGGTAGCTACAGTTATGACATATCCCTTATAAATACCAAACCCAATTTGTTAACGAGATCAGTATGAATTTACACATCGAACTGTTAAGATCTTACAAAATGCATCATCATCCTCATCAAAATCTTAGCGATGCTGGCATAATGCCACCCTACGAAGCAATGGCGATGTACGAGCAACCCAAACCACGTTTCATCTTCAAAATGCCGCGGGTTGTGCCCGATCAGAGATCAAAATACGAGAGCGATGAACTCTTCCGGCGCTTGAGCCGGGAAAGCGAGGTGCGCTATACGGGCTATCGGGAGCGGGCGATTAATGAGCGTCGGATGCGTTTTGTGACGGACTGTCGGAAGGGCTATGCGGAGATCTCCTTTGTCGTCTCGGGCACAAATGTCCAACTGTATTTCAACGCTAATCACAATCCCTATGCACAGGAGCAGGAGTGCGATTTCGACAAGGAACGCGGTAAAGTTCACTTACGCTCCAGCTTCATCATGAACGGGGTCTGTGTGCGTTTCCGCGGTTGGTTGGATCTGGAGCGTTTGGATGGGGTTGCCTGTCTGGAGTACGATGAGGGACGTGCCCTGGTGGAGGATGCACAGCTGTGCGAGCAAATCGATAGCCACAACCAACGCATCAACGACTCAAAGCGCATTTATGTGCAGACGCCGCCACAGGATGTCATGCGACGTGGTTCGGGTCCGGGATCGGGATCGGGACCACCTATGGGCTGGTAAAACTAGTCTTTAAGATTTCTTAAATAGTTTTTTTTTCCTGAATAAAATGAAATAATGCAATATAAATATTGCAAACTATATATGTTTTGCAGCCCTGTTGCTATTGTTTCGTTGTTTCGTAAGGGTTGCTGCTGGCTGCAGGGTCTTTGGCCTTAATTACACCAACTTTAAAAAGGCGCCACCCCAAAAAAATAACTCAACCTAGTTCTCTCGCTCTCTCTCTTTCGCTGTTTCTCTATGTGCCGTTAGTCGGGGGACGCTTTCTCGGTATACCCTTTAAGAGAGAGTACTTTAATATTGTCGTCAGGTGTGTGATTGAAGATGACTGCTCCAAATAAATACAGCATACATATTCTTTTTTATTTTAATTTAGTTTAGTTGGTATATATATTAATCTATATATTTATATATTTTGAAGTATTTCAAATTCATAATTAAAGGAGACTTTAAGGGTATGTAAACTTCTACAAACCCATTTTCTAACAGTTATTTCTTGTTATTTGTTTGCTGTGCTCAACATAACGACTTACTTTTCTCCCTCTCACTCTTTCTTTCTCTCTGTCGCTGTCTGTTTCGCTCTCTCTCTCTCTCTCTCTCTCTCTCTCTCTCTCTCTCTCTCTCTCTGAGAATATATTGATTTTCTGGCATTCGGCATTGGGATGCTGCTGCTGAAAGAAACTTTGCAACTGGTCGATTGTTTTTAGTCTCAGTCCTCAGTCCAAATTCGAACGCGAGTGTGCCGGGTATATAGAAAAAAAAGGAAAAAAAACGGCGCAAAACTCGGCAGCGAAAGCACAATATTCATAAAATTATACATACCAAAACCACAACGAGTGATTTGCCAAACATTCAACAATTTTAATACATTTTTGTTGTTGTTGTTCTATTCGCACGAACAAAAAAAAAGCTACGACGTGCGCTAAAATTAGCGACCGGTGTATTCATAGGGTGTTTTGTATGCTGTATATGAGACTCGTCCCGTCCCAGTCCCAAAACACACATAGGCAACGCCCCCCCTTAGCGCCCGCAGACTACCTCTCTGTGGCAAACCAATTGCTGAATTAAAAACATATTTGGTGAAATAGTATTTGTTGCAAATGAGATGTGCAAATGATATACAAATATTGTAAGCATTAAACAAAAGTGCTTTCGTTGTTGGTGAAGTGAAGTGAAAAAATCAATTGAACACTAGAGTGGAAAATAAAATAAGGATAATCAGCAAAAATGCCAGCTTCGAATACGATTGTGCTGAAGAGTTTGTCCATATTGCTGGGACTGTTCTTCATATTTGTGGGAACGCTCAAGCTGACGCCGCACATCAGCAAGGATCTGTACAAGGATCTGGTAAGGGAGCAATTTGTTTACCTTGCGGCGCGCCTTTAACGCTAATCGATTTTTCATGCCAGCGACAGACACACAGAAAGAGAGAGATAAAGAGAGACCGAGAGAGGGGAAGAGAGAAAGAGAGGCGGTGAACAAGAGAGCAGAAACTACCACTGTGAAAATAAGCTGATTGTGGTAGACAAGTTCACAAGTTGTTTTGCTGGCTGTTGTCCTGGCAACTGGCTCGCTCTTATGTAACAAACTGGGTCAGCTTAATCAGCTAGAGATGGCTTTGTTTATTGCAACGGGGGGTGAGAGGGATAATTACATGTAAGCAAATTTAATTGCCACTGATGATGATGAAGGAAATGGCGATTAGTTGCGCCATTGAACTCGACCCCTCCTCGTTCAATGCCATCCGTTGGCCTTCAGAAATTCTTTTCAAAAACGTAATGATCTTCAGGAATATAGATATATGTGTATACATATATATTCATATATTTTTGTTATCTAAACACTTTGCTGGACTACACAATATTTTTATATATATATTTTTCTTAAATTGCTTTTCCTCTTGTAATCGCTGCTCATGAAAATAGAAAACGCTGCAAAATGCGTAGGCGAAAAATTTTGTTTTGTAAATTATTTTTGTTTTCATCAGCATGAACATATATTTCAACTTGAAATATATAAACAATGCGAAAACGTGTCAATTATTTATGCGACTTCCTCTTATTTATAACGAGACTATTTGGTTGTTTACATCTCCTTTTATTTTCGCGTTCATTGCATGCAAGTTTTCTGCATTTGTACTTTCATAAATATATTTAAGTTCTCAACTGGCATTTGGTTGCGCGCCATTTTACTTCCATCTCTCTGGTTTTATTTTGTTTATATGTTCGGGTTGGGTACTTGAAAGGTATTTGAAAATAAATATATACTCAATTCCGTTCTGTTGCAATTCCGCAGCATTTATAATTACCTTCGCGTTTCTTTCTTGGCGAATGCCAAACACCTTGGTAGTGTGTATGACAAATTAATGTTGTTGTATTTTTTAATTTTTATATATAAACAGCTTGCATTGCTCTCTACTGGGGTCGTCTAGTTTTGCACTGAGAAGAAACTATATATGCAATAAAATTGTTGCAAATTTTCTATAATAGATGAGCTGCAAATGGATGAATATAATATGTATAAAAATAAAATATTTGAAATTAAGTCGAACAATTGCTTTGCCTGAAGAAATAAGCTTAACTTTTTGTTTTTGAAGTCGTAAACTTATTGCATTTTTGATTGTAGCGAACGGAGTATGTGAAATATGCCAAGGTATTTCCGTTGACGGCTCTGTTTGGCGTTAAGATACCCTCGAAATGGTATAGACGCACCGTGGGCATTATGGAGATCGTTTGCGGACTGGCCATGGCGTTAATCCCCTATCGTAAGTACACTTCGGATAATAGATGTGCACTTCAATTAATACTACATTTATTTATAGATAAAATCAAGAATGTGGCGAATGTGTTGCTGCTGATGCTTATGCTGCTGGGCATCTATCAGCACTGGATGGTCAGTGATCCCTTCGAGCGTTCTGGACCCGCGCTGGTGTTCACCTTTATGCTGGGCGGTCGTCTGGTTGTCTGGTATCAGACAAGTCGCAAGGAGGCCGCTGATCTGGCGACGATTAATCTGCCACAAGCGAATGGCCTCAAACAGGAGTAGAGCCTGGAACCTGCCTGCCACCCCCAGTACTGCGGTCATCTAATCCTCAAACTCATAGACGCACTTGTAAACAGCTTTGTTTTAGCACAATAACTGATTAATTGGCTCAGCATCCAAAATAAAAAACAAGGAATCCTCAGATACAAACAACAGCAACAAATATTAACGAAATACTCAGAAAGAACTCTCATTTCTAGTTATAAATTAAATAAAAATTATTATATAGAGTAATTAATCAAAATCAAAAGCAAAAGGAAATTAAAGTTTTTCACTTTGGTGCCAAAATTAATAGAGCAGATATATATATATATATACTCGTTCTCGTACAACAATTTACAAATAATATACATACATACATCATACATAATTGCGAAAGTGTTCAAGTTATATAAATAATATAATTAAAAGCGAGTAAATAGTAAACACTCTCATATAGCTATAAAGACAAAGACCATTTTCGAGTAATGAAATTAATGCATTATAATAATAAATCCTTTAAAATACGGCAGACTCGTTTAGACGCAGCCATCGAATGCCCATATGACATTTTTAGCAACAATTTTAATAAATTTTGAATAACTCATATTCATACACATTATGTTTTCAACAATTAATCAACATCAGTCGTGGTTGTTATTGTTATTGTTTTGTTTTTGTTTAAAAGCATCTAGCGATTTTTAATAGCCAGTAATAATTGAGAATATAAATATCTGGCGTGCTCAAAGCATCAACTCTGTGCGGGATTAGTTAGTGAGTTTATTTGTCTGGTCTGTCTGCTTGGACATCTATTCGGATCCGGTGCTGAGCAGTTTAAGGGCCTTTTGTAGATTCTCAATCGCTGTCTTCACATCATCATAATTGAGGGCGCTGCCGGCATATTTGCAATACTTTTGGGCAATAATCATTTGATCTGGAGTTATCTGCACCCCAGCCACGGGCACAATGGGCTGATAGATGGCCGGATTGGGCTGAGCGGTTGGCTCGTAGGGCTCAAAGCCACCCGGTTTCTCCTCCTCCACGGGTGGACTCGGCAATTTGTTCGGATTCTTGAGCACCTCCTCGGCTGTGGGTGCTGTTACAGACGGACTTGTTGGCGCTGGCGAAGCGGGCTCAACTGGCTCATCATCTTCGGGTTTGGGCTCATCATCAGCAGCAGCAGCACCCGGTGACGACACATCGGGTGGTGTACTGTTTGAGCTGCCACCATTATCATCGTTGCTACCACCAGGCTGATTGTCCAGCTCAGCGGATTCATCGTCGGGAAAGGGACCGGGTATGGGTGTCTCGCCATTCTTCAGGCAATTGTGTATGTAGGCAGCCTTATATTTGGCATACTTTCGATTGTGGAGCGCCTCCTCGCTCAGCTCCCCAAACGTCAGCAATATGTCGTAAAGGACTCCACTGGAATAATACGCCTTGACAACGTTTCTGTGCAGAGTATGTAAATTATTGTAATTTCTATTTTATACACTAAATTCAATTCGCACTCACTTGCCAAAGTTCTCCTCGCGATCCTGTTTGTCGGCATAGAGAAACAATTTAAGCGCATAATTCTCAATGTGAGCCTGAGCAGCTACGTCATTAGTCAATGCTTCATTATCCGCATGCTGTTTCTTCATTTGCTCCAACCAATCCATAATAGCTAAAAACAAACATACAAATTGGATGAGTCATCACTCATTATGACTATTTACCCATGTGTATGTGTGTGTGTGTTTGTGTATTGTTTTTATCTTACCCAGCAGCAACTGTGTCTCCTCGGCGGTTTGTGTGGATGCTTTTAGGCCAACTTGTAGAGCGCTTTACAAAAATAGAATATAGAAAAAAATAAACCAAATTGTTTTTTTTCCATTTCCAAGAAATGGATTATAAATTTTACTCACTAGAGCCGAGCCCAATACGCAATAACGACGTCGCGAGTATCATGCTCCTGTGCCAACTTCAGAAAATGCTGAATGGACTTCAAGGAGGCCGGACAATTGGGAAACTCCATCTTTGGGCAACAAAGAGAAACGTAATTCCAAAAATTGTCGCCAAATTCCTTCGAACGCAGCAGAAAATTATTGTGATTGACAGCGCTGCCAACTCGATTCAAAAATGCCTAAGCAAGGCAATGTGACCGTAGCTATTGAGTTAGTAACTGGTGTGGTGACACTGACAGTCAAGAGAAATAAACAACTCATCACAGGTGGACGACAGTTGGCTCAGTCTTTTGTAGCCACTGCAAGCAATCGGTTAGTAAAGTCTGCGGGCAGCGCGAAGTGTTTGCTGATCGTTATCAACTTTATAAAAACAGCGCACTTTGCACTTTGGCTTCTATCATAGAATCTGCATCGTAGCAAACATTTAATTCCCTTTTATCCCACAGTCATGGCACTCTCAAAGCCCATTTATTCGCTAGTCGGCACATATCTGGAACAGCTCTTCAATCATCCAGTGCGCACGAAATCCATAACGGCGTAAGTTCCTCCAATCTTCCAGTGTCGTACAGTCTATTTACCGGTTACTTATGGAATTTCAGTTGCTTTTTGGCCACCTCGGCGAATGTTACCTCGCAGCGCATGGCGGGCGCCAAGAAACTGAATCAGCACAGCGTCTTTGCCTATGCCTTGTTTGGTCTGCTCTTCGGTGGCAGCGTTCCACATTATTTCTATCAGACCGTCGAGCGTTTGATCAGTCATAAATTGAAGTTCAGAAAGTTTCTTATTTTCCTGGCGGAGCGTTTAGTTCATGCACCCATTTATCAACTGTTGTCTTTGTATTCCCTTTCGCTATTCGAGGTGGGTTTCGGAGCGATGATCCTGGAATGTTTAACTGTTGTTGTTTCTCTTCCTATTCCAGGGCAATTCACATGACACTGCTGTGAAGAATGTGGAGAAGTTGTTCTGGCCCGTGCTGAAGGCCAACTGGCGATATCTGTCCATATTTGTCTACCTGAATATTGCCTATGTTCCTGTCATGTTCCGTCCGCTCACCATGGGCATTATTGCCTTCATATGGGTCGTCTATGTGGCCAGAAAGCGTCGCCGCTTCCAGGAAACTCAGGAAGCTGATAAGGCCACCAAATCCGCTTAGATACATTCTAATTTCCGTCTTTTTTGTTTATCTAATTGTATGCATATTAAGGCACTTTGTACTCTTTATGTACGCTTGGGTCGTTTTAAAGGTTTCAGCGGAATAAATTTGTCTATTTTTCTTTATAAGATAAAAATATAAATTCCGTGTGAAGATTTTGATGTATGTGTTGCATTCTTTGTGTGCTTTCTCACTTAAGATTAGCTAAAAGTGAGAACTCAAGGGTCGTCTTATCGCCTTAACAAAAAGACAACCAAAAAACACAACTGTAAAACTTAAATTGGTATATTAACTATAATAAAATAAGGCGATTTGAAATGGCAACAAATAATAGTTTTTATTTAAAAACGCAGCTTAAAAACTAGCAAATAATCGAGTATATTAGAGTATTATTGGCATTAAATATCTTCGTGGTCGTGACAACATTATTATTATTTATTTAGCTACTAAAGAAATGCCTAGAAAAAAATCAATTATACAACTTAGTCGTTAAGGATTGTGTCTAAGAACAAATATTGTTTGTTAGCTTAAGTATCATTTAAATGGAGTGTGTGTGTGTTGTGACTAGTGATTAGTAAGAGCTAATTGGGATCCACGCTTGCTCCACCAGATTCGATGCACATTTGGCGCAACGAATCGGTTAACACTCAGAATGCAATCGTCGAAGGACTTCGACTATGATGCATTGGTGTATGGGCGATGGGTGTGCCCGGTGAGCTGGCGCGGCTGAAGCAGCTGGAGCAGCAGCTGGAGGCGTCATTGTCCGCATGGTCGTCGCCATCGCCATTGGCAATGCCACCCCCTTCACCCGATCCCTTGTGATGATGATAGGGTATGGGTCGCTTTCGTGCACTGTAATAACCAACAAATCAAAGATTAGATATGCTAAATCTTTTGGATTTAGTACAACAAAAAAATACGTTTGTTTTTTTTTTGTTATTTGTTGGGAAACTTACCAAACTGAAAAGTGTGTAATCAAGTACGGAAATCAAAAACTAAAATCCTTTTAAAGAAAGAAAAACATAAATCGTGGAGTTCGACATAATTTATTGCAGTGCACACACAAACAACAACTGTTTGCATTGACTAATTGGAAAAATCGAATCAAATTATTGTGTTTACAAGCATACAAGGATAGCTACACAAAAAGAAAAATTATTACATTGTTGAAGAAGGAAATTTAATTCGATAAAATAATATATAATTATAATTCCTGAGTCGGCTGAAAGAAAGGAATAATATTAATCGAAACAAAATCAGGCGCTGCGTGTGGCATAATTTGCAATTAAGCATTTGGAAATTAAATGAGGCAACTGAAGCGGTTAACCTGCTCAACGTCTGGTGCTGCTGCGGGGCGAGCGACGGCTACAAAAATTAACGTAATTAAATCAAAAAAAAAAAAATATAATAAAAATCAATTAAAAATAAGTAGTCAAGTTTGATGATAAAACCTTGCGCAGTTAAGTAAAGTGTTGGCAATCAAAATACTGTGTATCAATCAATTCTTAACAATTGTTTTGTCTTTTTCTAGGCACTTTAGAATATTTAAAAAGCCCATATAAATATATATGATACATAGATGCATTCATAAAAATTACTAATTTTTGTGCCTGTTTTTAAGTACTTTTGAATATGTGTAGATATTTAAAAAACCTCTTAAAATATACATAATTGAAATAAAGGTTGTCAACAACTTGAAACACAAAACTCTGCAAAGTTTTATCAAAAGTAAAATTATGTAAAACTTAAAAATTCAAAACGAATTAAATCTAGAGATTCCTCTCAGTTTGTGGCTACCTTGTAATGCGACGTCTGTCCAGAAAGCTGGGCGAGCCACGACGTCGCGGTATAGACGGGGAACGTGATCCAGATTGTGATGTGCCCGAGCCGCTGCTGGACGAGCTGCCGGACGAGCTGCGCGACGTGCAGCTGGAGCGGGACGAGTGCGAGCCGGAGCGTGATCTGGAGCTGCCCGAACCGCTGCGACTGCTCGAGGAGCTGTAGCGACTGCAAGCAAGACAAGATTAGCAAGTCATCGAAAGTAGGGATAAGGCATGGACACTTACGATCTGGAGCGGCTGGTGGAGCGATGGCGATGACGACTGTTGCTTGTGCGCCGCTTGCTTCGGCTGTGGCTGGTGCGACGGGAACGACTGCGGCTGCGACGCGCGGCACTCTCAGCTGCTGCAACTGTGGCCGTTGACACCTTGGAGACAATGGCATCCACCAGCGAGCTGTCCGCGAGCGCCGCAACTAAGGGCTGTGGATCGTGAATTTTGAAGGGTTTGATAAGAATTTTCGGTTGTTTCTGTTGCTGATTGTGATGGTGATGATGGTGATAGCTTAGACTATTGGCCGCAACGGCCGCAGCCGCTGCAGCCGCATTGAAGTTAATGTTACTACTACAATTGCGACCCTGCAGCAACGCTCCATGTGGCGACGGATGGCCAAGCAAAGCCAGGCCGGCAGCAGCAGCTGCTGCAGCTGCCGCATTTGGGCCACCACCAGCCGCCAGGGACAACAAACTTGTCGCATGGCGGGCATGATGATGATGATGGTGATGATGTGGCTGCTGCTGCTGTTGCAATTGATGATGATGGCCGCCGGCAGCTGAGAAGAGCGCTTGCTGCTGCGGCCCAGGACCATAAAGACTAGAATTGTACATGTTTAGACTACGATTGAGATGATGTTGCTGCTGATGATGATGTTGCTGCTGCTGCTGATGGTGATCACGACGACCCAGCAACGGTTGCAGGTTATTATTGTGCTGATTCTTGCAGATATTATAATGTGTGGCCGTTAAGAGCGGGCCATGATTCAAGCGATTCGTCGTACGATTGTAGGTGCCCGGGGTGCCGGCAAGAAAGGGCAGCGCATTGTTGTTGTTGTTAGGATTAGTATGAGAAGGACCAGCACCACATGCATGATGATTGTTATTAATATTATTGTTATTATTATTATTATGGTTAGTATTATGTCTACTGTTGGGATTGTTATTCAGCGTTCGATTGTGAAAGACGCGCTTCGTATGTGGATATTGTTGTTGTTGTTGCTGTTGGTGTTGTCTATGATTGTATTTAGCTATTTGTATTGGCATTGTTAGTGCAGCAGCAGCGTGTGTTGTTGCTGCTGCTGTTGCTGATGTTGTTATTGTTGCTATTGGCATTGACATTGTTGTTGTTGCCGTTATTGTTGCAGTTGTTGTTGGACTCTTTGGGCCACCATTTGCAGCCAGTTGGGGCGCATTGCAAATTGGCGGTGTATTTGTGTCCCTTTTATTAGACTCAATGTCAGCTTGCACCTGCTCCTCGCTTGTGATTAGTTTTGTCGTCATTGTTGTTGTGGTTGTCAGTGGGTTAATTAAAGCGGTTACATTGTTAGCAACAAGGAATTCATTTAGCGAATTACGTTTGTTAACCACCAGCATCAGACTGGCTGTCTCGCCACTTACTTCACTGCCGCCATCCTTGGCTGCTGCTGGTGCATCCTTGCTGCATCCATCGGCGCCGCCGCCATTCTTCTCCATCGTTTTGATCTTTTGTTTGGCCTTCGCTGCAATGCCCGATTTCAGTTGCTCGAGCATGCGCAGCTCCTGCAGCTCTTGCAGCTCCTCCCGCTTGCTGCTCTGCTGGTATTCGTCCAGAGCTCCGGCCGTTGCCTCCGCATCGCTGCCATCGTCGCCGCTTTGGGCACGCAGTCGCACCACTGGCACTGGTTTTGTGCTGCCGGCGGCGGCGCCTGAGTCATGATGCCTTTTTTTCTCCGGCTGCACAATGTCCTGATAGCGTTCGGGATTGCGTTCAGCGGGGGAATAGTGCAGTTCGGATGATTGAGAGCTGCCCGAGCGACGCTTTGGCCTTGGGCTCGGCGTGTTGCCTTTGTCCTTATCCTTATCCTTGTCTTTGTCCTTGTTCTTTGACCTGGGCTTGGGGGGCGTGCCAGAGCGTTCGCGCTTGACAATGTTGCTGCTGCTCTTTCGGGAATTGGTGCTTCCTGCTGGCTCCCGTTTTAAATTCAATTCACGCTTTGGCTGCTCCGGCGTTTGACTGCGACGCCGCTGCTTGCGTGGCGTGGGCGTGGCTGCCTCACTGTGAGACGAACTGTCACTGGAGTCACTGGTGGATGAGCTCGAGCTGGAATCTGCACGCTTGCGCTTCGTTTGCTCGAGCGCCACCATTACCGACTTGGTGCCCAGTATATCGTTGACAGTGTCCTCGGCCGCTTTGAAGGGATTGAATGCGGGCGCCGCTATTGTCGTAGTCTTCTTGGACTGCACCAGATTGGGTGAGCGTGTCCGTTGCCTACTGTTCACTGCTACCGCCGGCGTTGGGCTTTGCTGCGGCTTCTTGTGCGAGTGGGAACGGGAGCGTGAGTAGCGACCCAGTTTGCGATCTTCGCGTGAAACTGAATGACGCTCACGACGACGCTCCTTGCTGCGCTCGCGTTTTTGCCCTCGGTCTCGCTCTTTGGACTTTTGTCGCTCCTTAGAGCGCAGTCGTTCTTTAGAACGCAGGCGTTCCTTGGACCGCAGTCGCTCCTTGGAGCGAAGGCGTTCCTTGGACAGACGCTGTCTATCCTTAGAGCGTTGCCTCTCTTTGGAGCTTAATCTCTCCTTTGATCGCTGTCGTTCCTTTGAGCGCAAAACCTCCTTGGATTTTACTCGCTCCTTTGATTTAAATCTCTCTTTGGAGCGCACTCTCTCCTTGGATTTTAAACGCTCTTTGGAGCGTAATTTCTCTTTCGATTTTGGTCTATCTTTCGAGCGCAGTCTCTCCTTAGATCTTAGTCTCTCTTTGGATCTCTGTCGCTCCTTGGAGCGCAGTCTTTCCTTGGACTTTTGTCGCTCCTTTGAGCGTTTCCTTTCTTTTTGACGCTGCTGCCGTTCTTTTGATTGCTGACGCTCCTTGGACGTTGCTCTGTCTTTGGACCTATGTCGCTCCTTGGAGCGCTGCCTCTCCTTGGACCTTTGTCGCTCCTTGGAGCGCTGTTTCTCCTTAGAACGTTGCCGCTTCTCCTTGGAGCGCTGTCGTTGCGGTGGTGTTTGTGTTGCCGCCTGACGTTCCTTGGACTTGTGGCGCCGACTGTTCTCCCGTCGACTGTCCGGCGAGGAATCATTTCGCCGCGACTTGGTCTCCTTGCGTCGCTCCGGCGAACGACTGCGGAATGGATTGTCCAGAGGCGTGCCACTGCCAGCATCCGCAGGCGGCGGGCGGCTTTTGGCCGATTTCTTGGACTTGCGCACAGGAGAGCTGTGACAAGGAATGGAATTATTAAAAAGGAGTTCAATAAGGATTTCAGTTTGTTACAACTCACTTGGAACGTGCCGAGTCCGTTGAGCTGGCACGTGTGCGACTCTTCTTCTTGAGCTTTTTATCGCGTTTTTTCTGTATAATTAAAAAGAGTGTGGATTATTAGCAAATTGAACAGCAACTTGCAGCAAGTCTAACTGTTAGCAATATATGCATTAAATTGATATAGTTGTATATAAACACATTTGTCATTCAGTATATGATCATGGCATGATATATATGTAGGTATATCTCATATGATATCTCGCATGTGGCTTGCATAGAAATTTGGCAGCATTTTTTATTTTTTGGTTGTTCTTTTTGGCAAGCGCTAAAAACATATTTTAAATGGTGATAAAAAGTTGGTTTTTTTTTGTTTGTTGATTGCAGAAACAATAGTCGGTTGACGCAACTATATATATATATGCTATATAATATCTTAAAGAAAACAGAGACAAATGAAAGTACTTACAAAACTACAAGAGAGCCTTTGAAAGCTATCCTATATCAATGAAGCGCCAAGGGTTTTTATAAACAAAATATAAATTTTCTTTTTCGTTTCTTATAAAATTTGATTGATTGGATTTTTGTTTAAGGTTTTCGAAACTACATTCAACTCAAAATTTCAGATATATTTATATATGTACATATATAAGCAAAACAAAAAACACAAAAAATTTGGGACTAGGCACAAAGATTATACATATTTATAGTAGTATATAAAGTTTGTGCCAAGTCCTCTTTTTAACTAGCTATACGAACTGAAAATGTAATCAAAAATTAAAAAAATTAATAATACTAGTTTTGTGTATGCGTTTGAAGCCTTTTTTACCTTTTACAATATTTGTGGGGTGAATTTTTTTATTTTTTATATTTTCTTTTTTGTTTTGTTCTATTATTACTAATTAGTTTGGTATGCTTTTATATTTATGTAGTAGAAAATGTTTTATATGCAGGTTTTATAGTTCAGTACTTTGGTTATTGTTATATTAGTAAATGTTTCGTTATTTTTTTTTGTTTTTTTTTTTTTTTTGTGGAAAAAGAAGTAAATAAGCAAGAGAAGAAATGGCGTATGTTTAATATTTTGGTGAACAATTGAAACAACGAAAAACGATAAAGTCAATCGAGTTATCATCAATATCAAGTATTATACAATACATTTGTATATATAGTATAGATATATAAATATGTATATTTATATAGATTTTGAGAGAGAAACAGTTAAATTCTTGTTTAATTGTATTACAAAAAGATCATCGGGTGAAAAATGTTACATCATTAATGGCTGATTTTTAGTTAGTAGATATATAGTAGTAAATGGGGGGCGATTATATAGAAAATTAGTTGAGAGTTGTTAGAATTCATTAGAGATTAAAGTCATGATAGTAATGAGAATAGCACACGGCACATGCACTCTTCAAGTATAGGTAGTAATTATTGGAAAATCACTTTCAAGTTTAGAACTTGAAAATTTCTCTCATTTTTTTTTTTTTTTTGGTTTTCTATTTTTGATTTGGGTTATTCCCACGGTTAATTAGTATGGGCATTACCTTTTCCTTTTTGGCTTTCTTGCGTGCACTCTTCAACTCACGCTCTGCGTCGCTGCTGGCCTGCTCTTCATCCTCCTCCCCGTCATCGTTATCGTCATCGCTATCCTTATCGCTATCGGCGCTATCGCTGCCGCTATATTTACGCTTGCGGGATTTCTTCTTTTTCGATTTACTGCAAGTAGAATGTTTTTTTATTACCAGATTAGTGCTGGAACTTCTGATTTTTATCTGCATCAATTTTTTCAGCTAGAAATTTGTGTGTCCAGTCCAAAAAACTGGGAGGCCCAAAAAATTGTAGTTTTTTTTTTTGGGCTTGGCAGCAACATTAAGAGAAGTTTGGGTAATTGTTTTTTGTTGGTTAACTTTTAGTGGTTTTTAGTGCTTTACCTTTATCGAAAACTGCTCAAAAATGCATTGTCTTAATAATAGTAGTAGTTGTAGGTTAACAATAATAATAGAAAGAAAGATGAGAAAGTAATTCGCTTTTAATTGTTGCAAAAACACAGTTGATTCCTTAACATCAAAAAAACTGTCTTAAACTTGTGTGTAAATATGTGTGTGTGTGTGAGTGTGTGTCAATTTGTCATGAAGATGAGGATTTTGGAAGTAGACAACAATTTGGTTATAATAAATTCGAATTTTTACTTACCCAAAGTCTTTTGATAAGGTCAAAATGAATGTTTTCAAACGAGATATGTGTATGAATATGTATGTGTGTATGTGTCTAAGTGTGTGCTTATAGACATTAGTGTTTAAAGAGAGAGAGCCCATTGAACCCTACGCACAATAGCACAATCAATAAAACGATGCCTTCGGCATAAATATGATATTAAAAGTATATTATAATACTTTTCAATTTTTCCATTTTGGAAACGCATTTGAAACATTTCATTCATACGATTTTTGTTTAGTTGTTTTTTTAATGTTTTTCTTTTGTTTTTTTTTTTTTTTTTTAAGTATAAGCTCATTTAAAAACTAAGTATAATATGGTTGTATGCAAATTTATTTGTACATAACTTTTCGCTTCTTTTTACTTTCTTTCTCATATGAGTCCCTTTTGTGGTTTGAGTTTCAAATGCAATGTAGTAAAAGAAGGAGTAGAGACGAAAAACACAAAAAGTATTAAGCAGTTGTTTGTTAATTACAAAGATTCGTTTCAGTTTTGCGTTTACTTAGTTTTGTTATTTTGTTCTTATCACGTTTTCAACAAGTACAATAGAAACAAAACAAAAAAATATTGGAAAACAACAGGGAAATCAAAAGCCAAACAGTTTTACAATGTACGGAATATATAAACAATAGATAGAGAACATAAAAATTCATGATTTCAAAAAGAGTATTTTGGTAAACAGAAGATTGTAAAGTGTAAATAAGAAACAACTAGTTGAATAAACACAGAGGCTACACAACTTGGACAAGACTCAGTGCTTGTGACTGATTCTTTCGAGTTCTTACCTTTCTTTCTTGTGCTTCTTCGACTTTTTCTTCTTGTCCTTGCGGCGCTCAGGACTTGCCGAACTGTGAATGGGAAATGTGCGAACAATAAGCATAAATAGTATATATTATAAGCAGCCTTCATTTACCTCTCCCTAGCGCGCTTCTTTTTCTTCTTCTTGTCCGACTTGGACACATGGTCGCGCTCATCGCCACTGGCAGCGGCCTTGCCACTTGCCACTGCCTCATCCCGCTCCCGTGACGGGGTGCGTAGCAAGGCATAACGTTTGCCCGTCTCCTTGTCTCCTTTGCCTGCTGTCGCTGCGGCCGCCGCCGCCGCTGCGAGGCTCTCGCGCTGTGCGTCCAGCTCTTTTTGGAGCGCCACACTCTTGGCCAAGTCCTCCTTAGCCTTGCGATCACAATCGAAACTGCTGCCCTCCACAAAGTACTCGGATATGTTGAAGGCTTCGCGCAATTTGGCGTTCTTCTGCTGCTGTGCTTCAGCAATTTGATGGGTATCGCGAGCGCTGCAATGCCAGAAGAATATAATATTTAGTTATGAATTATTTATGTAAGAGATTTTAATTAATTAAATCTGTAATATGTGTAAGGAATAACTTCCTGGAAAAAGTAGACTACAAAGTATCAAAAGGCAAGACTAAGTCTCACTCTCTTAATACAAATAGCCTAATGTTAGTTAATAGAATTATAATTACATTACATTCCCATACTATGTTAATTGCAATTAAACTGCAGCCGCCAGCGTTAACAGCACTCTCTCTCTCTCTGCTTCTGTCTATGATAAGAGCGCTCGTTGATCTGCTGGCTGCTGCAGCCATAACATTCAGTCGTGTCACGCTTGCTTTTTCGATCGTGTCGAATTGCTCTAGTTACTTACTGCTGTTGTTGTAAAGCTTAGCGTTCGGTTCAAGTCTTCGTATGTAATACACATAATAATTAATAATACAATATATAATATAAATATAACGTTGTGGAAATATCTTTGTGTTACTATTTGAAAATAGAACCGTCAAAAAGCTATCCGAAATTTAAATAACTTCCTCGAAAAACCAAACTAAAAGTAAGGTCAAGTTTATAGGGACTCTCTATAATTACCTCGCCACCGCTGCGCTGCCAGCACCGAGGAGCAGCGTCTCAAGCAATGAGCTCGACGAATGCTTGAGCAGCTCCCCGAGCAGCGCCGGCAGATTGATTTTCTTGTTGTTGTTGTTTGGTGTAGTTTTGGGTGTTTTATTTACGGGCATGTCCCGTTGGCCATCAACAGCTGCTCGCAGCAGCAACTCCTGCGGGCATTGCGTCATCATACGTGTTGGACTCTGACAGACGCAGGCGCAGTCGCCATGCAACTTTCTGGGCATTGCTGTTCGCCTGTTCTTCTTGGCGCCGCTTGCCAAAACCGGCCGCAATGGCTTGAATTTCTTAGCAACGGCGGCATAATTGAGGGCCGCCGCCGTTGCCGTTGCCTGCGCCGTAAAGTGGAAACTCTCATACTTGGCAATATACTCGCGATTATCGTGCTGAAAATATTGTGCTTTACATTTCCCAGCCAAACATCCAACTATGGCCTTGCTGCTGTTAATGTTACTGCTGTAGTTAATGTTGTTGCTGCTGCTGTTGTTGTTGTGGCTGCTGCTGTTGTTATTGCTGCTGCTGTTGTTACAGCCGGTTGCGTGTCCTGCGCGTTTGCGGCGTTTCTTGCGTCGCTTCTTCTTGTTGTTGAGGACAACATGCAATGTGCTGCTGGTGGAGGCTTTTGTTGTTGTCGTTGTGGCTGCCGTCGAGGTGGCTGTCGCCATTGCTGTGGCCGTCGCTGTCGCCGTCGTTGTTGCGCTCGTGTAGATTTCCGAGGAGAGCATTTTCAATTTTTCGAGTGGTTTTTTGGAGAGTTCGTTTTAAATGGGGTTGTTTGGCAAGTGAGTTAATGTTAATGTTTATGTTATTTTATTATTATTATAGTTTTTATTTTCTTATTTAAATAATTATTTGTAGTTTTATTTTTTGTTTAATTGTCTTTATAAAAAATATCTGTTGACTTTAATCAATGTCGTAATATTTGTTATAAATTTAACAATATTGTTAGTTGCACGATTTTATAAGGAAGACAGTTGACTTAGTGTATAATAAGATACAGCAAGATGTATTATTATTATATTTAATTCTTTCCACAATTTAAACAGGAAGACAGTGGATTAGTATAAATATATATATTTATTTGAATAAGTTAGTAAATATATTTACGAATTATTTCTTAATGTATTCGAAATCGTTTTATCTGGAAGACAGCGGATTATCGTAGATTTAAATTTATATTTGTTGCACTTTTTTCACACTTTAAACAGTATTATTTTTTACAATGTTTATAGACTCGCTTGTGCGATTATTTATATTCATATATTCTCTGCATTTTATAGACACGTTTGTGAGCTTATTTATTATTTTGATATATTATATTTCATTTCAGGAAGACTTTGGCGTATCAAAATCTTTAATATAAAAATATACTTTTGTATGTTTTAAATTTAAACGCTTATTGAATTAATTGGAAGACGAATGGATTAGCATTTGTATAGCTTCACACTTCGCTACATTTGTTTATACATATAAATTGTTTTATTTTGGTATTGTTTGGAAGACTTTGGATATTATTTAAGTTAAGTATTTGTAACTCCGTTTATGGCAAGCTTCTAGCGCGTTCACTTGACTCCATTTACCGACTAAGACTAAACTAAATTACGAGCTATGTTTGGAAGACTTATTTAGTGATTTGTTGCTTTCAGTTTCTGAGCTGTTGAAGCTCACATTACACATTACACTGCATCTCTCCCAATGTGAGCTGAATAAGGCTCCATTTGACGGTTGCACTCTGCATTCAATTGAAACAACATTAAAAGCAACCACTACGACGCAGCTAATCCGTTTAGTGGGTGGGTGGGTGCTCGAACTGGTGGCAGCCACCACCAACAACAAAAGCCGCCCATTGCTTAGATATATTTAGGTTTCTTCTTCATTTCGTTGGATTTGTTGGATTTCCACACTTGAGGGGCTGCTCGAATGCATGCATATTGATTGCATTTCCTTTGATGCATTCTCAACTGCCATTTTCGCATTCGGTTTTTGTGTCAGCTATTGATTTTTCCAGCAACTCGCCCCAAAAATTATCTTGCAACTCGTTTTGCAGTCAGCAGCCTTTGAAGAACCGACTTCATTTTATTTGACTTGTTTAACTGCTGTTTTATTTGTATTAGTTATTGTATTATTTAAATATTTATTTATTATTATTATAGATTTTGGGGTTCCTGAGCACGTTGGCCAAACGCTTTTGGTTTGTGTGCATTGGCTTTGGAAGACTTGATGTGACTGAAAAATCTTTTGCAGCAGCCTTTTGTCTCTACAACTCCGACTGTTTTCATTGGGCGAATGGACCATAGGGGTGTGGTGTGTTGGGGTTGGGTGTGAATGGGGGTGGTGATGACTGTGGTCGCGTGCTGTGCGCAGCCGGCGGCGCATGTGGATTTTGCCACACTGTTGACAGCTGGCGCTGAGATTTTTGACACGCGAACAGGCGTGTTTTTGGTTCAAGCGTTTTATTGATTTGTCAAGTTTATATGGCGCCCACAATATATTGTTTAAATTACATAATACTTAGTGCACTTAAGTGGTCTGTCTTTCAGTTTAGATTAATTGGCTACTCACGCTACACGTCCAAATTCATCCTTAGCCAAATCGGTTTTGCCTTGGCCCATCAATTTCTGGCGATACGTATCCACGTGCGATTTGATCTCTTCCGGTGTTCGTCTGTTTTGAAAGAAAAGATCAACAATTAATATAAGTTACACTTTAATGTATTTAAAATAAATATAAACATATAAATACAGCTAACAGAAATAGAGTTTTAATTGATATATGCAATCTATTCGTGAATTTTCTTTAAGCTGCTTTTAGTTTATTATCTCTTTACCTTTTAGACAAAAGTGTTAAACGATTAACTTCACAGCTCTAATTTAAATGTTGGGTATTGGTTTAAACAGGTTTTTATACAGAGTTCAATTACATTAAATGTAATATTCAGTTTTTCTTTTTGTAATTTTTTGTCCGCTTTATTATGCGTTAGGCGGATGTGTGATTCTAGGAAAATAATCTCTACAACTGAAATGCAGTTCAGTTTTCACCACCAGTCCAGGGCAGACTTGCCTGGGTCACCCGGAAGAGAAGAGCGCCACCAGAGCGCGCTCATATGTGACGCAAAACAAAGTGTAGGGTGTTTTTGGGGGGTGGCTTGGGTTGTAGGTGGTTCGGCTGTTTGGTGGTTGCTCTTGCTGAGCGCGTGTGCGTCTCTGCTTGCGTGCGCTTGCCACGCTCTCTGTTAAATACCAGGCGCCGCAATGCAAACACAACAGCAGAAAACAGCAAGCGGCGGGGAGAGAATGTAAATAGTGGCACACACACAAGTCGGGTGCATTGGCCAAAAAGAAACATGAATTGTGCACAAATATGTTGATGGGTGGACCGGTGTTATATAACAGCAATATTGCATTACATGTGACGGCTCTGCTCTGTTACCAAATATTTCTCTATTGCAATTGTAATTATAATTGCAAATTGAACTTGACTTCTTACCCCTGCTTCTCGAGTATTTCCTCGAATTCGATGCACTTCACTTCGATTTTGCGTTTGCGATCATGATCCAAAATCTCTTTGTTTGGTGGGCGATTTAGTTGGGCGTCCAGCTTTTTGGTATCATCTTCGGCCCGATAGTCCTTGTCCTTTTTGCCTGGCCGCACAAACGCCCAATTGCGCTGCACATGTCCATTGGTGCCAGAGCCACGCGGCGTTGTCAATCCAATGCCGTTGTACATGTTTTTGAGCGGCTTTCAGTCGCTTGGCTTAAACGTTTAGCGTTTTTTTTCCGTATGCATCAGCGTTTTGGAGGACGCAGCTGCTCCGCCAAATGTGCAGTTTGCAAACACAAGAAAAATCGATTTTCTATGACAGACGATGCCGACAATGCAACTCTGCATATCGATATATTTGTCGCATAGCGATACTATCGCTATTTAGTCATTGCGAATTGTAAACAAAAGTTGCATTTTGCATTATTTTTTTTAAAACAACGCTGCAGCAAAAATAAAATATGCAGACTGACGATAAAGTTGAGAATGACGAAGCTGAGAAACCTACAACTGTAGTTTTTAAGAAATCATCCCGCAAAAATCTACGTCAACGCAAGAATTCTGATGACGGCGAAAAGGAGGAACAGTAAATAATAAATATAATTATGCATATATTTTGGCTTCAAATCGAATCCGTCTCTTTTAACAAGGCTCACTCTGGACGAAATCAAGGAGCGCCAACGTTTGCGACAGCGTCCCAACGGCGTCAGCCTTGTGGGCCTGGCACTGGGCAAGAAAGTGGCGCCGGAGGAGGAGCTGGCCATCAAGGATCCGTTCAATGTGAAAATGGGCGGTCTGGTCAATATGCAGACACTGAAATCTGGCAAAATGAAGGAACCTGAAGATGCCTACGATGTGGGCATCGGTACACAGTTCTCAGCCGAAACAAATAAGCGAGACGAAGACGAGGAAATGATGAAATACATCGAGCAAGAGCTCCAGAAGCGCAAAGGTGGCGGAGCCGATGACAGTACTGATAATGCTGATGATGGCGATGCCCATAAATATTTAACGCCCGAGGATGCGGCTCTCTACGCATTGCCCGATCATTTGCGACAGTCGTCGTCGCACAGATCCGAGGAAATGTTGTCGAATCAGATGCTAAATGGCATACCAGAAGTAGATCTGGGCATCCATGCTAAGATACGGAACATTGAGGCAACGGAGGATGCCAAGCAGAAGCTGCTCCAGGATGCCAAGAACAAGAAGGATGGACCCTCGCAATTTGTGCCCACCAACATGGCTGTAAACTTTATGCAACACAATCGCTGTAAGTTGCTCAATCTAGCAAATCTAAACTTAATCCTAATCCTTGCTGCTGTTTTCCAGTCAACATCGAGGACAGCAATGAGCAGCGGCGACGCAAAAGGGAAGATAAGGAAGCCAAGAACAAATCTGCGCAACATCAAACAAATCCAAATGGCGTCAAGCGTGCCACAGATGATTACCATTATGACAAGTTCCGCAAACAATTTCGCAGATATTAAAAAAACATCAAATTTTGTATATGGAAAAAAATTAGACTTTTATTTGTTAAATGCACATGTGAAGAAGAAAAGCAGTTGCTTCCGGTTTAAACCCAGAGGGGATTCTCAGAAAGTCAAGTTTTCGATGGCTGAAAGTAGACGAATTATACATAAATTAGTTAAAATTGTTTTTTTTTAAGTGTTTCGACTACAACTAAAGCACTTTTATCAGTTAGAGATGTTTAATTTCATGGCAACGAATGACTGAAGCTCAATGAGATTCCTACTCTATAATATCATCATAATAATATGTAGAGGATTTTAAAATGATAAAATATACACACCTTATAGAGCATATACGACTGATTCTGCATTCCTGCTTCAAACTGGAAAAGAAAATCAAAAACTTTGGATTAGTTGAAGTCTTAGTAAAACTATAATGCTATAATATTTATAAAGTTCAGTTAGAGATGTTTAATTTCATGGCAACGAATGACTGAAGCTCAATGAGATTCCTACTCTAAAATATCATCATTATAAATAACAATGATATCCATAAGATATACACACCTTATAGACAATAAACGGCTGCTTTCTGTTCAAAACTGAAAAGTACAAAGTAAAAATTTTAATTAGTAAAGTATATATTTCAAATAAGCCGTACTTGGAATAAGTTCATTGTTCAGTGAGAGATGTTTGATTTCATGGCAACGAATGACTGAAGCTCAATGAGATTCCTACTCTAAAATATCATCAGAATTTATTAAAAAAAATTGTTAAAACAATAAATTACACACCTTGTTAAGATAATCGGATATCGGAACCGTAAAAAACTGAAAAATATAACAGACAAAAACATAATTGATTAATTACAAAGAAAATTACTTAAGAGAAGTTTAAAATTTACCTTTCTAGTTTGCCAAGTTGTTCGTTTTTGCTGAAAAATGTCTGAAATAAGATTAAGAAATATACGAAAACCAAAAACAAACCAATTCATTGTTTTTTTTGAGTGGTTTTTTGTTTTTATTATACCCAGAGACAACATTGCAAACGTTCATCTTCGCTGTAGCGTGTCATAGATTTTAATTAATATTTTGTTGTTTATAGAAAAAAATCCTATAGTGAAAATGTAAAACGCGATGTTCCGGTTTGCATTTCCAGTTGCTTATATGATGCCGATCTTGTTGGCGATATCGAGAGCATCGTAGTCACGCGCCAGGCGCACATAAGCCTTCTTCTGACCATCGGGCCGGATCAGAATGTTAACCTTAGCCACCTTAATGTCGTACAGTTTGCGGACGGCGGCACGCACATGATTCTTATTGGCGCGCAGATGTGTGAGGAAGACCAAAGTGTTGTTGTCCTCGATCTTCTTCATTGCTGCTTCCGTGGTCAGTGGATACTTGATGATGTTGTATGCATCCATGCGATTCCTGGTGGGCACCGATTTCCTTGGGTATTTGGGATTGCGGGGCAGCTTCAGCGTCGTCGGACGACGGAAGTGCACATTGGTGCGAATCTTGCGGGTGCGGGTGCCAAAGGCGCCCTTGATGACCTATTGCAAACAGATGGATAAATTATTAGTTTAAATTTTAATATATATATATATTCCTGAGACTCACCTTAACCTGCATCTTCTTGGCGTTGAGCAGGGCAACTGCCTTGGCCTTGGCCGTGCCCTTTGTGGGCTTGGCACCTGCCTTGGCAGCGGGCTTCTTGCCCTTGGTGGCGGCACGAGCCTTAGCCGACAACTTGGCCAGCACCGATTGTGGCTTCTTGCCAGCGCCCAGTTTCTTCTTCAGATCCTTGGCCTTCGGTTTGCTCACCGTCTTCTTCAGCACGGGCTTCTTGGCAGCAGCCGTTGCGGGCTTCTTGGCGCCAGCAGCAGCAGCGGGCTTCTTAGCCGGAGCAGCGGCAGCCTTTTTGGGTGCAGCAGCCGCAGCTGGTTTAGCAGCAGCAGCTGGCGCATCCTTCTTAGCAGCAGCAGCAGCAGCGGGTGCTGCCGCAGGCTTCTTTGCCTCGGGCTTCTTATCGCCGGGCTTAGCTATAAATAAATAAATAAAATATTTAACACTAATAAACACAGACAGCTGCAACTAGAAGTGAGGTTAAAAACGAGCGCACAACGCTTCGAGCAGTGTTGAAAACTGATTTCAATTGAGTCACTTGAAGTGCACATTTTATACACATTTTAAGTATTTCATATATTTCATGAGTGTGTCACACACACAGGCACACACTGCATTTATGGCATACACATTTTTTATTGTTTTTGCCGCACGTGGCGCAAACATGGCTACATATTTGGCATTATTTTTGCTAGAAATTCTTGCTTTCACACATTTCTACACGTTGCTGCACATTGGCCATGTATTAGTTTAGCGTTTGGTGTTTAATTCACACATTTTTATGGCATTTTTATATGAAAAATGCTTACCGGACTTCTCGGTTGGCTTTTTAGGTGGCATTTCTACGAGAAAAAGAAATGAAAAGGAAAACTGAGGGGCAGTTGTCAAAGCGGCGGAAGCCAAATCTGACAGTGGCGTGGCCAGATGGTGTGCGGGTGGCAACGCTCGCACAGGGTTGCGTTGTAAATGGCAACGCCAACAACACATATGACTGTGTGGCAGCACTGGAAAAAATAATCATAGGTGACAGCCCTTTTTTTTAAAGCGTTTATTTGAATGCGGTAAATTTTAAAATAAATGTTCATATTAGTCAAAATCCATTAAAAAAGACTGTCAACAAGCACATCCACTTTTCTGCTTGCCAGAGCGACTGCTAAAATAACTGCGTAAATCTATAAAAGAAAATGCGAGTTAGTAATTAAATTTGTGTGCATTTAAAATAAGGCTCACCAAATCTTTGCGACTTTTCCGATGTTTGTTTTGTCTGCTCCTGTGTTGTACTCTTAAATGTTTTTAGCTGCTGCTGCGCGGCCTTTTCAAAAGCCAGTGCTGCTAAGCGTTGAAAAAACTCTGTGATTTTAAAACCCGAACGCGCTGATAACGACCAATATTCAGCCCCTAATTCTGCAGCTGCAACGCCAGCAATACGCTCCATTCTCATAAATTCCTCTTTTGTCTGGAAGGAAGTTAATGAATATAGTATATAAATAGTATTATAATAATAGTATATTTTAAGCGATTGAACAATGTACACCACTCACCAAGAGATCTGATTTTGTGCCCACTAGAAATATTATGGGTTTTTGCGCAGTGTTGTAGTTTAATGCGCTGGAAAGCCACTTTTTGGCGGAGTCCAGAGTCTCCCGCTTGGACATATCATAGGTGGCTACAATGACTAAAATGAGGCAGAATATGAAGTGTGATGAAAGAAACCATAGGATTGCCTATGATATGCTCACCACTAGCGTTGCGATAGTAGGCGCCCGCTATGCACTTGAACCGCTCCTGGCCAGCTGTGTCCCACCTGCAAGTACACTCAAACAAAAAGTATATGCTTAAAAATCACACTTTTCGTTTATATTTAATTACATTTCCAGACTGAAATTGTGACCCAAAATGTTAAAGTTCTCCAGCTCAAAGTCGACGCCAATTGTTGCTTTATAGTTGCACTGGAACTTATCAAAGCAGAAGCTAGAATTATACGAATTCTTCAATGAAAACAAAATAGAAATGGAAAATATACAACTTGCTATCTTTCTCAGCAATAAGTTGAGGAACTCTTGATGCAGATTTCTAAAAGTAAGAGCGACTTTTTGTGAGTGCAGAGAGGAGGGCGGATCACTCACCGATTGACGATGGCTGTTTTGCCCACGGCACAGTCACCCACAAAGATGACCTTGCAGGGTCGCAGCTTGGGCTTGCGTGGCAACTCCAGCTGATATCGTAACTGTGGCGCAAAATCCTTGTCTCGACTGAAGGGGGTCTGGGCGTTGCTGTAGGCAGGTGGAAGCCGTCGCAGATGAGTCCGCGGATCGTGCAGGGTCACCGTTGGCGGCGCCGGCAACAACAGATTCTGACGGATCAGTTGGGGCATTCTCAACAACGTTTCACTTACGACTGAAATACGAGCGATTGGAGGAAAAACCCACAGGCGGAAAATCGGAAAACACAAAAAGAGAAGCAAACCACAAACCTCGACTTGAACTTGGTGGTTATCGTTGTGTTCTCAAGGCGTTCTCCAGGTGTGTGTGCTTTAAATTGTATATGTATTTATGCATACTCTCTGATAAGGGCAGCTCTCAATTGGGGTTAGCAGCGATAGCAAAGTGGAACAGAGCTGGATTAAATATTTGAATTGCGAAATTAGTTGGGTTGTGGTTGAGTTTTGGGCTGGCACGCAGGGAAATTCATTGAGCTGGGCTAATGTTTTCCTAAGTTTACCTTTAAGAAATGTTTAACAAAATGAAATTTAAAGACTTGCTTATAAAATATATTTTGGAGTAAACTTTTAACAGCTATTTGTAAAAATATACATGAAAATGGGGTCAGCTTTGCCAAATTGGTGTCTGTAGAAAATTTGAAAGTGTTCACAAGTAGATATCTACCAGTAATAGGTATGAAAGTTTTACACGAACTCAAATCAAAAACCATGTTTCTAAATGTAAATGCATTTTTAATCTAAAGATGAACTATTAATAATGGTAGTCTAAGGTGCTAAGACAACAATTTCAAGTGCTCTATCAAGAATAAACTTCTTAACATGTTTCAAAGATTTTGGACAAGTTTATTGCATCTAAAGACGATTCAAAATATATAATTTTATATTTATATTTTATTTGTGTTCCAGTTAAATTTTATTGAGTATTTGTTTTAGAATTGCCGCCAGGATAGCCAAAATAACCCACGCTCTTAGCCTGTTCCAGCAGTTCGGGATCCAAAGCCAAAGCCTTGAAAAGGGCCCGCTTGAGTTGCCTGTATTGGAAATGAGGCTGAAAGGGCATATCCTCAAAGGCCAACATCAGCAGATGACCAGCCTCGTTGCCCACCGCCAAACAGCGACCACAGTGCGTAAAACTGAGATTACAATGATTGGATGAGGAATTGGTCACAGAATAATAAAGGATCCACTTACCAGAAGGTCGTATAGTCAATCTTGGCATCAATTGTAGTCGATGAGACGGGTTTGAGTGTGCTATTCCTCAGATCCCAGATGTCAACGGTGTTAAGACTGAGGGAGACCAAGATTGTGGAATGAGTGCGACTCCAGCGGGCGCAGTGAACCGGCGACAGGTGATGATGGAGCGTGATTAGCGGCAAGAGGATGCCAGTTAACCAAATGCGAATGCACCTAGGAGAAAGAAAGAGAATTTTAGAAATTGTACAACTTTCTTTCATTTAAGACTCTATTCTTTCTGATAGCTTACCAATCGCTGCCACAGGTGAGATATAGTTTGGGGGACCAGGGTGAGAAATCCATGCAGACCGCGGTAGTCTCGTGCACCTGTCGCAGCTCCAGATGCTGCAGCGGATAGTTTGTGGAGCACTTGTAGAGTGTGCCCTCGTCGGTGAGCACATAGTAGAGATCTGTCTGCACTGGATCCAGCACCAGTTCGAGACACTGCGGATGTCGATTGGCAAGCAGCGGCACTATCTGAGACGGACGCTGCAGCGGAATCCCCTCCAGCTCCTCCTCGGCACGCTGGAAACGCTGATGCTCGAAGCCCAACAGATGTGGACTGTTAATCAGTTGATATTTGGTTATGGCGCCTGCTTGGGAGGCAGCCAGAAACGGCGTAATTTCAGCACCCGTTGAAACATCGCCATCGCTGCGCGGAATCCATTTGATGGACGTAACGGGCTCAAAGTGAGGTGAGCTGCTGCGCTGCGAAATGGCCAGCGGCGGTTGATCCGGCCGGGAGATATCCCTCACCTCAATGTCGCCATTGTGGAGGCCAATTGCCAGTAGTTGTGGAACCACTGGTGAGAATTGAACCGTAACCACGGCCACCCCGTAGTCGTAGCAACGTTCCGGATTCACGGGATTCTTAATGTTCCACACATAGACATAGCCACAGCTCGGGCTACGCGCAGACCGGGCACACGTATAGATGCCATAGGAGACGGCCAGGATGTCTCCATTGCTGGGGCAGAAGCAGACAGAAGTCACCGCCTGCTGCACGCCGAAATTGGACGAGGGAGCACTCAATCGCCAAAGTAGTCGCAAACGATACTTGAACTTGACATCTTCGGCCAGCGGATCAGGTGGTGTCATATTGCGAAAACGTCGCTGTTGTGGTTCAAAAACGTTGCTGGCGAGGATGCGCATGGTCAGCATGAGAGCGACCCGAAAGCTGGGCAACTTATTGATGGCGACAAATTGATCGATGCCATCAACTTTATAGGTGGTCACCTCCATTTTCTGGGCACCCTGCACCTCCACACTCTTTGTCGAGGCCTGCAGATCCTTGTACGTATCGAACATCTCAAAATTGGACACATACGATGCCACATTATCCGTACGCAATCGTTCCGTGTTCATCAACCTCGATTTCATGAGAGCCGTCATCGTTTGCGTATCCGCATCGATGGTGCGTCGGGTTTTATCCGTGCCGGAGAGCAGCTCCTCGTAGCGCTGATTATCCGCCTGGACATGGCGACCCTCCTCGGTGTCCGCCTCCGCGGTCATGCTGCAACGTTCGAACAGGATTACAATGGGCGTCTTGCGCAACAGTACCTTAATAAAGGGCGTAGCACTCGGCTTCCCACTTTGCCGTGCACTTTGAGGAGCGGCAGCAAAGCTAATTGTCTCCGTTTTCGGTGCGGACTTCTCAGCGGTCAAGTGCAACTTGTACAGGTTGATCTATGAGGAAATCGATGGCTGGATGACTTTTGGGTGATATGTTTGCACTGAGTAAGATTATTAAGAAATAAATTTCTGAAAAGTTTCCGAGTGCTGGAAAACAGTTACAGAAAACAGTTTATTCCCGCTAGTTTTTGACAATTTAAAAAGTAGATGTCCACCTCTCTCTCTCTCCCTTTCTCTCTCGTTCATCTGCCATCCTTCGTCTCATACTTACACCCAGAGCAATATCATCAAGCGAAGCTCTCATCACACATTTGGTGCGATATTCGGGAGTGCGAAGCTTTTGCAGCTGTTGCTGCTGTTCCGTTGTTGTTGTTTTCTTCATCAGCGGATGAGCTTTGATCAGCTGACTGAGCTGCTGGAAATCAGCTGACCGATAATCCTTATTCAATAAGCGCGACATTTTAACTGCTTAACAAAAGCTTTTGATGGCTTTATTATTTTGAGCTACTCAAACAATTTGTGTAATATTGTTAACATGGCAACGCATCGTTGCCACACGACAAGCAAATGCCACAAGCCAACGTGTGTGGTTACCACACGGTAGTGCTCCATATTGTTGCGCATCTGCACATATAAATATTCATAATTTAAAGCAATTTGAAAGCACGCAAGCGCAAGGCAACAACCATAACATTTATTTGTGGCAAGTAGAAGCTTAAATGCTCTTCAATAAATTTACAATGTGTGCACCAACCGTGCAATGTTACCATTGATAGAAAAGCTGTTTAATAACTTACTTATAATCGAGAACTGCAATGAACGTTGATTACCAAAACTTTCATTGCGATGTAAAAAGATTGCCACAAATCCTGTCTAGTGATAATATTGTATGTTACTCGTAAGAATGTCGTTCTTAGGATATAGCGAATGCCATAACTCAGTGATAATACCCAACGCTAGTGAATTAAGATTATGATGATGATGATTGCATGGTTCACAGACGCACACATACACACAGAGTGCAGACGAAATTGTCTATTGTGAATGGCGAAGCTTCCGCGACCTGTGCAGTAGTAATAATAACAACTCATACAATAACAGAGGAAGAAGAAGCAGTGCTATGACCTGTCACAAAAAAACAACAAAAAATACCAAGTTTCGTTTAAAATTTGTATAGCAATTAGACGCACACGAAAAGCAATTTACTTGTGCTGTACACATACACATACATATGTAAATGTGTGTGTGTGTGTATGTGTTGCAATAGAAAGGGTCTTTAATTCCGCCACAGCAGAAGTCGAAAAAGAAGTTGTCTTATGTTAATTTGCCTTTATGCTTCGCTACGTTGATTCGCTTAATGAACAGCAGCAGCGGCAGCGACGCAGCCGACTTTAACGTTGGCAGCGCAGCAAGTGCAATATGTCAAATAGACAACAGTCAAGCGCGGGAAAGAAGAAGAATGAGAAGAAGTTTTCCGCATCAGGGCCAAAACGTCGCATTGCATGTTGGTCAGCAGCAGCAGCAACGAGAAACGCGTCAAGCGTAAAGCAATAAATGTGCAAGTAAACAGCAAAAAAAAGTGCAGAAAAGAAACGCTTTGCGTGCATTATGAACTTTTGCACGGGCGAAAGAGCAGACAACAAAAAGCGCCCAGCTTGTTACACATTTTGGCACAAAAACCAACAACATGGCGGATGCGTTGCTGTCGACTTCGACAGCGCTGCGCGCACAGTGCTTTTGCGCGATTAACACCCACGAAATGTATTTTTAAAGTTTTGCTTATTTAATATTTAATTAATAATATTGCTTATTTAATATTTTAGTTATTCGTAGTTATCATTCCACAGTAAAAATTAAAATGCGGGCAAGCTTGAAAATTATGCATAACACAGAAAAGAAAAATGATCAAGATTTTAAGCGTTCACTGAGTTTTACGAACATCTAATTGTCCACACCCAGAAAATCGTAAAATTTAACAGCTACAAGTTCATCACACGCACAAACACACAGACAGACAGAGAGCTGGCCTGTCCGTGTCTGTGAACCGTTTTACTTTTCATTGAGATCGCTTTTACACCTGTTTTATGCTTCCACTGACCTGGCCCCAATGTGCGCTTGGGCGCTGCCAACGCCAGCGTCGACGCTGCAGTCGCCGTCATCGTCATCGTCGTTGGGTGTAACATATTTTCTTTTTTCATTTTTCTGATTTTGTTTCAGTCTTGTTTTGTTTTTGTTTTATTTTTGATTTTTTTCTTTCCAGCAGTGCCGCCGCACATTTAAGCCATGCGCACAAAACCGACTTTTATTCGTTAATTAACCGTCGTGAAGCGCAGAAGTGGCCGGCTTAACGGAAGTACACACTAAAAATCGAGAGCTTTTTGCGGAAACTCATCGCAAAGCGAGGGCGCAAAAATAACATAAAAAAGCTCACTTTGATACTACGCCGCCGCAGATTAAGCACACATTTTGTAACCAACTGTGGCAGCGCTGACACCTGCTGCTGCTGTTGCTGTTGCTGCCGGCATCGCTGTCTCCGCTAGCGTTGATATTGTCGTCGTCTACGCTTTTCACTCTTTTTCGATTTCGTGCGCGTCACAGTTGCATTTGAAACAGCGGCACGTGCGCCAAGTTCGTCTCCGATTCCAATTCCGAAACTGACTCCTGTTCCTGACGCGTGCGCAGCTCGGTTGCTGCTGCTGCCACTGCTGCTACTGCAGCCCTGGGCGCCATTTGAAGTTGTTATCCAAACACTTTTTGAGCGATATGTTAATTTTATGCAAATTGCCGCGAGTTGTTAATTAATTAATTAATGTGACGGCGTGTGTCAAATGTAAACAAGATTTTGCAATCGTCGCCCGCATTCACACAGTTGTTGTCTTATCAGCATCGGTGTATCTCCAAAAATGTTGCTTTGGAAGCGACTCTGTCGACCCCAAGGCGAACTAGCAACAACGACGACAACAACAACAAGTTCATCATCGTTGCCACAGCGCCGACGTAAGTTTGCCATATCTATTTAATTATTTATTTGACAAATCTATCCAGCCACGCCCCTTTCAAAACGTTCGCCCACGCGGCGCCTCAACTTATTTGTTTAAAAATCGAAAAGTTGTGTAAGAGAAAAATGTGATTTTAGTTTTGTTTATTTTATTTTTAATTTTTGGGGCTTTTTTATTGCTGTACATGAAATCCGTGCGTCTCATTTGCATAATTTGCATCTTAAAATTGTTTCGGTTTCTGTTTTTATTGACTGGTTTATTGATTTCATTTTGTGATATCGTTCGCAAACCCCAAACCCCAAACGCCAAACACAAAACCCATAAACCGAAACGAAACCAAACCAAACCAAACCAAAGCAATATAATAATAAGGCTCCTCCAATCGCAGGTCTTCTCTCAGCGAGTCTCGAGCGTTTCGCTGCATAATAAATTACTATCAAATTTTATCACCTACAAAAGATGTTGCGTGAAGCAAGCTCAGCTCACAAAAACCCATTGAGCCCCTAATGAATAATATCTTGTATGTAAATATTGGCTTTCAGTTCTGATTCTACACCACCTCCTGGTTGCCTGAACTGCTTCAGCTCAGCTTGGGTGGGTTTCGTTCGTGTTTTGGTGTCTTGGTGGAGACTAACTGTTTGCCAAAAAGATTTATGAATGAGTTTGCCGTGCTTAACATAATTATGCATAATGCTTAGTCGGCTTACGATTTAGATACGTTCACCAGATCAATCTATTAAAAACAGTAAGAATCGTGTCTGGTTGAGAGTGATCGAATGGCAGATTCTCTGTACGTTTGCAGCTTAATTATATGCCAGAAATCTAAAAATTTAAATATAAAATATAATTATGCGACTGCTGATAAAATGTCTAATATCTACTACTATAAAATGTATCGACGATATTTATCGATTTGAAATAAAAATGGAGTTAATCCAATTAAAGTTAGATCAACACCTTGACATGATACCCTTTCTACACATCTCTAACAGGCACAGGGTATATGGGAAGAGCGTGTCTTAGAGTTGAAACAGGTGGAGCCATTTATTACGAGCTCGAGTTGCGTGGGTTGTATGGAAATTTTCAGTCTTAGTTCCTGTTTTTATGTCATTTTAGAAGGCACTATTATGTTGGCTTGACGTGTGTAATGCATTAAAGGAGACTGTTTCGATCGGTCTATATATTCTTGATTAACATCACTCATAGTCGATATAGTCAGTTCGATTAGTCTGTCTCTATGTTTCTATGCAAACGACTTCCTCAGGTACACTATACCATACACCATACACTATATCCTATAGCTGCGATAGGAATAATCTGTGGACAGATGAGTATTTGAAGGAAAAGAAAGATGATTGAATACCTTTTTTGTTTACCAATAGATCCAATAGAAAAGTAGCCAATATGAGAAATATTATGATCTTCAGATATGGATCGGACTACAACATCATAAAGCTTTCATAAAAACAATATGAAATTTATGGTTATGGAGTTGTCTGCACTTGCATGCTTAAGATCGGCGTTTTTTCTCGATTAAGATAAGCATAATACTCTTTAGTAATATCTCTTGAGTGTTAACTACCTCTACGTATGTGAATATGTATGTGTACGATATATCTAATTATCTGCGCATTCTCTGTACAGTGATCACTCTTTCACTTCGCCGGGTGTTCAAGTGTCAGTTTGGATTTGCTTTGAGGCTTGAACATGTTTGGACCACAGTGTTGTGGTTTTCATTTCTGTTTTACTGTTTAATTTCTCTTCTTCTTTTTTATTTTAAACTAACTGTCGCGCGTCTCCTTTTCTAGTGAAGATCGGTCTCTTTATTTTTGGTCCAACATGACTTTGACTTGTGGTAATTTGATGTTAATGACACTCATCAGCACCGACACAAAACCCAACAACAACAACAACAGAGAAAACAAACAAACAAACAAACAAACAGGCAGACAGGCAGCAATGACATCGACACCGCTCTTACCCCAATCCCCCTTCCACTCAGCCGAGTCCCCTCCCCCAGCGCACACTTAACACGATTCTAGTAGATCGTTTGCCTGCCCAAGCGACATTTTTATGATCTTCTTTTCCCCTAGCCATATCCAAAAGTTGTGGCGCATAATCGGCTTAGGTGGGAGTGAAACAGCCTCTGCCTTGCGCTATATTATCTTTTTTCGCTCTCTCTCTCTCTCTGTCACTCTATCTACTTGAGGACACTTTACGTTTTGGGGCCTATGCGCTGCATTTAGGCATTCTTGTTATTAGTTCGTGTCTTGAGTCTTCTGTTTTTTTTTTGTTTGTTCTTCTACTTTTTCTTAAACGCCATCAAGTTGCATGTTTTATGCGTCTCGTAAAAGCCATGCTCCGATATGCGTATAAAAATGAGTTCAGCATTTTGTTGTGACATTTTTACGACTTTCGTCTTCTACTTTTTTTTTTTTGGTTTGTAGAGGGTATTATGATCTTGTTTCGAAATTGTTGTGACGCATTGAACGGTGAAATTTGGTAATTCAAAATAAAAAGTTTGACTGCTGAGCAGCGTATTAAATACTCGACCA